TGGTTTGTCTAATATTAACACAATTAGCTGTGATATATGATTGTTATACCGATGATTATAATAATAGAAAACATCTACCAAACCAATTCAAACAATCAAAGTAACAACAATTTATTAACAACAATTGAAAAATGTAACTTTCTCCTTTTCTTCAAGTTAATTGTATTAACTGAACATTAATTTTTATTGTTGATGATGTGGTTCCTTTGATTATCATTGATGATTATCTTATTATTATTAAATTGTAATATCAAATGTTATATTAATATCTAATTTATTAAATTTACTAGATTAAATCATCCACTTGACTTTGTATCATGATGATTACTCTTGAATATCATCAGTATTTGATAATCTTGTTGATCAGCTATTGTTAAAACCGCTGATATAATATCACAATCAGATTGATTCTGGTTGATTAAGCACAATTTATCCAATTGTATATTGGCTGGATTCAATTAGTATTAAAAAAAACAACAAGATAACTTGATGATAATGGATATTCAATATATATCTATCAGTTGATTATTATATTGTATCATTAGCTAAGTAAATCCATTATCATTAAGGATGATCAACTTTTTTTGTTTCATTGATCGATATGGTTACTATTAATTTATATCTCACTCACTTATCATCTTCATATGATTTTCCTACTGGAAACTATAGACTGAACATTTCAGAGCTTTTCGAATCCTCAGAACTTTTTTCTTCTTCTTTTTTGTCGTTAGATCAGTAATTTCGTAAGCTTCTTATTCTGTTACTTTCATCAACATCTTCATCATTTATGATACAAATGAGAAAAAAGAAGAAAAAGGTTCTCTCTCTCTCTCTCTCTCTCTCTCTCTTGATCATTCTTATTTTTCACCATCAAAATGATGAAGATTAAGTTGGAGAAAAAAATTAACTGTTTTTACTTGAATGTTGAGATGACCAGAGAAAAGTAATGTTGACCAGTCTAAGATTAAATGGACATAAAGTGAAGATTGAAAGTGAGAGAGAGAGAGAGATAGAGAGATGATGATGATTATGTGAGGGATGAAGCTCGTAAAAGTGAAAAGTGGACAGTCAAGGGAAGAGTATATTAAATTAGCGGTCAAGCAGCGTCGTAAACACTTTACTTGGTCATTAGATTAAAATGAAAGTCCAAAAGCTACACGAAGATGATAATGATGATAAAAGAGGACGAAAATGATGAAGATAGTGGATCAATAGAAAGGAGAGAGAGAGAGATAAAAGAAAGATGAAGATAAAATGATGATAATAATATACTGTTGATGATAATTCCTAATTTTATCTTGAAGAAGCAAAAAAGATTCTGATTTACTAATCAAACAATTAACTAATCTAAAAATGTATTTGAATACTTTTTTCATTTCCATTGATTTTCAATGATAATTTACTTTTCAATTCACACAAAGTAAATTATATTATCCATCAAACCAATTTGATTGATTATAATCAATTGAAATTGAGTCATTACGTTATTACAATTTAATCTCAATACTGATTGTTAATATTACCTTAACAGTCAATTGCCTTTTATCCTTAATCATCTCGAGGGATTTTAATATTCTCATCCCTAATCTTTTATCCCTCAACATCATCAAGTTAATCAACTAAACAACAACAACAACAACAAGCAAACAAGCAAAACAATTATGACCTCAAACGCGTGTTGATAACAATCAACACAGTAAATTGATTAACTGATGAAAAAAAAAGGTAGATTAATAATCAAACAGCAACCAAAATGATATAATATTAATCAAGTTAATCAATAGGTTTAACCGTTGGTCAGAAATAATCAACTACCAGGTATCAGATATGTTTAATTTGATCACTTTCACTGGTGATAATTATGTTATATTGATCAGGGAAGATGATGTTGTTGTTGATGATGATGATAAGGATGAGTATTATTTTGATCATCATCATCATCATCTTGATGCCAACAACACTTAAGTTTTACTTGTTACTAATACAAATTTACAAGTAGATCAATATCAACTCCCGATGTTAATGTATATTGTATTGTTGTATGTTGTTCAAATGACAGTTTCTTGTTCATCATTATCATCATCATCATCATCATCATCCGCATCACTAGTAGTAGTTAGTTGATAAACTTACAACAATCAACAACAATAATCTTCAGATTACATGTTAAAAGGCTCTTAAATCGGATTACATCTTGTATTGTGGCCTCGATTATCCTCCTTCTCCTCGAAGATGATGATGAAGATGATGAAAAAGAAAGAGGAGAGAAAAAAGTGTTTCCTTTTCTTTCAAATGTCAAATATTTTCTCTTTTTCATCTTCCATCTTCTGAAATTTTGGAACAAAGAAAAACAACAATTCTTATAGGATTGAATTGAGAGAGTAACCGAGTGAGTGAGTGAGTGAGAGAGAGAGAGAGACTTGAAGTTGATCATCAATTGTTAAATTCAGTTTCTCTGTTGATTCTGTGTTAAATGATGAATATATTATGATGAATTTACCTGAATCAACAGTAATTATCATTAAGCTTTTGTTGTTACTTTATTATTTAGTCAATTAGCTTTGACTGTTTGTTTGTTTATCAATTATCTGGGATTAAAAAGGTAACTCATTTACTGGTAAGAAAAAAAAAGATTTCAATGGAAATGGTTAATCATGATAATTGTGACAATTGTAAGTGGCTTGAGTTGATTATTGTTATTGACAAACTGTTCAGATTTTTGTTGTTGTTGAAAAGGTAAGATGATGATGATGATGATGAGGTGGTACTGATGGTGGTGATATTAGTTAAGGTGGAGGTGGAAATTGAAAAGGGTAAACAAGAGGCATTGATTGCGAGGATGAGGATGATGAGGATGATTATGATGATGGATGTAACAAAAAAAAGTTGAGAGACTGCAAATGGTAATGATGATAAAAGTGCATTTAGTGCAAATAATAGTAATTGCAAATTGTAATAATGATAATTGATTATAATTGACTAATTAATTTTGACACATTTTCTATTATTATTATTAGTGCAACTATTTGATAATTCATGAGAGGGATAAGGTGAAAAAATCAAACTGATGATGAACAAAAAAAGTGAGTGGGAAACCCTTAAGGGAAATGGTTCTACATTAAGGTGACACTATATGGTGAATGTGATGATGAGGAAGATGAGGAAGATGAGGAAGGGTGATGATGAGGATGGGGAGGGAATGAGTGTTTATCATAATGGGAAGTAATTATGTGTTCATCGTTTCATCTTCTCTCTCTCTTTCTATCTCTCTCATTTGGTTCTTTTTAATTTTGTATATTAATTGGGTGTGAATGAGAGTGTGAGTGTGTTAGGTGCGTGGTTGTTGTTGTGTCTATCTTTGTGTGGGGTGAGGTCAAAGTGTGTCTCTTTCTTTTTCCCTCTTTCTCCCGAATGATAATGAACTGATGCTGAGTTAACTATATGTTTCTCCATCATCATCATCATCATCATCATCATGACCAAAGTGATGAAGATTAAAACAAGCATCAAAGAGAGGTGGAAGATTAGATTTGCTGGTAGAGTGAGTATTTGAAACTCCAATCAATGAATGATGATTATGATGATGATAGAGATGAAGATAAATAAACTGACATAATATCTGTATTGTAAAAAAAAATGATGATGATGATAAGTAAACAACTTAATTTACTTGTCATTCACCTTTCTCATATATTCATCATCTTCTTCATCTTCATCTTTATCTTCATACTTTGAGTTATGGCTTCTGGGCTTGAAGATGATAATAATATCATCTTCATCCCCTTACCTACCAACTGTTATTTCAAATTATTTCCAATGCTCCCTTCTGTTACCACCCACCTTCACCTTTGAGTAAAATTTTTCTCATCATTTTCATCCTCATCCTCATCTTCATCATCATCTTCATCCTCTTACTCCCCTGAACAGATACAATTTTAATTGGACTAAATCAAGGAACGTGACAAATTGATTCACAAATTGTCACGTTATCACAAAAACCTTATTAAAAGTAGCCTTATTAACTTTGTATTGTTATCATCATCATCATCATCGTCGTCATCATCATCATTATCATCATTATTATTTTCATCCTCATCATCTTAATCAATACCTTACCTATTAAAAAATCATATAGATTAAAAATAAAAGAGTAGACGAAAAAAAATCAATTGTCAAAATGAACCTTGAATTCAATCAGTTAATTCAATTGATTGATCACAATTGTCTCAATTGTCAAAGTAATTAAGACACAAACAAGATTAATCATATTCAACAATTAGCAATAATCTTTTGCTCATATAAATTTTAATTAAATCAAATATCAATACTCAAAATTTGATGACAATCAAATTAATTAAAGAAAATTATAAATAAATTGTAACCAGATTAAATTGTTACTCTAATCAACTATCAGAATAATTAGAAAAATGAAAACAACAACAATTAGTTTTATTACTCAACAGGGAGGAGTAATTAGTTTGCCTTTTCCACCTTAACTCTATGTAATTATTATGATTACCATTATTGTTGATTAATTAATTAATAAAGGTAATTAAATATTAGTTTAGTTACAGTTAATTTTGTTGTTTCCTTGATTAAATGAATCATCAAAGAAACAAAGTGAATTAAAAAAAAAACGCGCGAAAAAGACAAAGATTGAAAAAATAGTTTGTTACCTTTTTCTTTGTATGTGTAAGAGGAAAATTAGTTAATCAGTTAATTCACTAATTACAATCATTATTGTGAAGTAAATACTTTAATTGTGATTAAATTGCAATAAACTGAACAAAATGATAATAAACAACAAAAGAGAAGAAAAAAGTTCTAACTCCTCCTTTTCGAGAGTAAATTGTTACTCTTATTGGTTAGAACTAAATGTTTGGGTGGAGTCGAAGGCGGAACTATAATGTTATTAACGAACGAATTTTTTTTTCCTCATCTTCCTCATCCTCTTTATCTTCATCTTCATCTTTGGAAATTGTTTAATTCAGTTTATAAGAGATAGAGAAAGTTAAAGTTAAATCAAATCAACTAACAATTTACCAACAATCAACATTGTCATGAGATAATAAATCAATACTCATAATCAGAATTAATTGTTAATTTTGTGAAGAAAATTTTTTTCTCTGTTTTTTAAATCATTGGATTAATTAATTTAATCATCGATACGATTTTCTCTCAGTGATTTATTTCATGGTGATTGTTGATCAACAAATCAAATAACATGATGATTTGTTGACAATTTGATTCCGTTCACAGTTTTTTTTGTTGATTTTCCTTGAGAAAAACAAAAGAAAACAAATCAATCTAATTATTAATTATCATCATTATCATCATCATATTTATAATCTATTGATTGGTTTAGTTGATTGTTCATCATTTCCACATGTCTACCAAAGTCATGGTAACACCAAGTTCATTACCAACAATTACTGGTCGATCACATTTCAATATTCAACAGATATTAGGCTTAGATGAATCATCATCTTCATCTTTAAATAATCAACAATCAACTGATTCTGGACAAAGTGTCAGAGTAAATAATCATAATAATAATAATAACTGTGATGTTGATGGTTCACCCAATTCCCAATCATCAACAGCCACAGTAACACCAACAACGGTAACAACAATTAACTGGAATCACCATGAGCCAAGTATTAGTGGCGGTGGTAAACAACAGACAAACAATCATGAAACCATATCACCCTCATCAGTATCATCTTCAACCCAATTAACACCAACTGATTATCATCATCATCATCGATCACCTAACGGTACTTTAAATAGTTTATATGAAAGTTCATTAAATGGATACACCAACAATAATGGTAATATAAATAGGGAGACAATTATTGGTGGTGGTGGTGGTCAAGCTCATCCATCATCATCACCTATTAATGGTAATGCTCAACATCATCATCATCATCTAACTTCACCCTCACCCCAACATCATCTTCACCCTCAAACCCAACCACAAACCTCCCCATCACTACCTCCAGTTTCATCTCATCATCAACAATCACCATCAACATCATGTTTCTCTGCCTTCACCTCAGCCTCAATGTTAGGTGCTTACCTTTACCGGCCCTCATCGGCCACCGCTGCTGCTGCAGCTGCCCTCATGTCCGGATTACAGGGTCATCCTCATCATCATCACCATCACCACCTACCCCAGCATCTTCATCATCATAATCATCATCATCATTCACCCTCTTCCACTGCAACCGCAACCGCAGCAGCAGTTGCCGCTGTTGCCGCTGCATCAGCTGGCTCATTTTCCCCAGCTTCAGCTTCATCAGCCGTTAATCATCATGGTGTCACAGGTAAGAATCCCCAATTAACCATCTAATTAACAAAATAATGTAAAAAAGGTTAATCAAAACACAATTAATTTCATGTTTATATTTCAATTTATTTAACTTGTAATTCACTTGCATCAAACTTGGTAGAAACTTGAATCGTTAAATTATTACTACAACTATTAAGATAATTGGTTAATTGTTACATAATTATCATCAACAATTGAATCTAATAAGTCAAGTGACAAGGTATTAAGTCAAGTGGATTCTATTAACTATTCTAATGTATATTAATCATAAAAATTCAATAGGTATTATTAGTTAGAGAATATGAATTATTCTGATCATGAACTTACCTTTAAATCATTGGTATCCCAACGGTGCTCTTGTGGCTCATTCAAATTCACCCCCTTTTCTAATAATAGAAGTGGATAATTGGCACCTTAATTTGTTAAACTGATTGTGATTGATTAATTACAGGGAATCATTACCATCAAGTATCCAATTTGATAGTAATTTACAAAGAATCAGGAAAACCCAGAAAAGGTAAAGGTAAATACTAATAATAATATAAGCATGAGGAGTGAATTGATTGCTTCATCATCTTCATCATCATCATCATCATCATCAAGTATCCTCTCAATGAGCTTAAAGTTGTCAAGCAAGAGGGAGGGATGGTTACTCACTACCCAGCTGAGCTATTGAATAGATGATGATAACAAATGAAGAAAAAAAAATGATCATCAACAAACAAAGAGAGATGATGAAAAGTTAAATGAATGAAATTAAAGTTGTGTAACTATCAACAAAAGAAGATGATGAAGATGATAATCACGCGTCTAAGATGTAACACTCTTGAGATGATGAGGATGATGATGATGACGAACAAGATGATTTTTGAAAGAAGCCACTTGAAGATAGAGGAAAATTCATATTTCGATGCTCACTTTTCTCAATCTGAACTCATGGATTCTGAATGATGATAGATGATCAGTTGAAGATGAAGCAAAGCAAATAAAAGGATCCATATGATTAAATATATCACAACCATTAGCATCCAACATTTGTCATAATTAATGTTATCATCAATTCACTGACCATCATCATCATCATCATCTTACCTTGGAATTGTAAAACCATTGGTCATCTTAAGTATCCCCTTTTTTTACTGGAAAAGAAAGAAAAAAAAATTCTATTCTACCTGTTTCTCAATTAGATAATTGACCACTTGACCAAAGGACTTAGAATTCAGGAAGAAAGAGAAAGGGAAGATGAGGAAATGATGATGAAAGAATAGAATCAATTTAATCAACTTTTCTTCTTAATTTTTTCTCACACCGGGGATCCTTTTCCACCCTCCTCACCCTCCACCATCATTAACCAATTAACCATAAACGTTTAACCTGTCAATTAATTGATAATCAATCAATCAACAGGTAAAAAAAATGTTGTAATTGTTGTTTGGTGTTGATAGTGATGATAATTGTTACTCAATGATTACCATAATTGATGATAACTTTTAATTGTAAAGAAACAATTTTCATCATCTTGAGAAATGGTGATGATTAACCTTGATGATTATCATTGGAATTAAATTTCTTGTTTCATTATTAGCCTTGTAAATTGTAATTCATGTTGATTAACATGCTACAAATGAGTTTTCCTATTGATTATCATCATTTCCTGAATCAAATGAACACAATTTCCTATATAATTGAACTGAACAGGAAACTAATTGAAACCAGAAAATTTTTGTCAGGAACCAGAAACAATTTAACCAACAATTAAGCTAATTTTATATATATATATTATCACAATCAAACCCAAATTATAACAGTAAATTATGTAATACAAAGTTTTTTTTTAATCAACCATGATTATAATGATTAATTGGATAGTGATGATAATTAACTAAACTAATAGTTTATTAGTTTTGTCAGTTGATTGTTGTTGTTGATTAAATTGACAATATTGTCAACATGAAATGATTACATATCAAAAAAGTTCACATTCATCACTGAATTAATTAATAAGCTTTTTTAATCATCATCTTGTATTAATTAAAGATAATTAAAGCTTAATTGGATTACTATACTGATGGAGATGATGATGATGATCATCATCATCATCATCATGATTGTATTGTTTTTATTATTTTCTTGTATTCATTGAGAAAGTTTCATTATCATAGTTTTATTTGTTTTCTTTTAATCAACTGATTAAATTAATAATTAACGGTAAATTTGGTTCACCTATTAAAATGAATGTTAGTTTGTTAGTGAAGCAATTAGTGTTTAATTAAACTATTAACCTTCTTAGAGGTTAATTAAGTGTTATCAAGTGTTTAGTTGATTGTTTTTCAGTTTCAGTTTATTATTAACAATGAGTGAAAAAAAGTTCTGAGTGAAAACATTGTAACATGTTACCTGATGGTGAAGGTAGAGGATGAAAAGGAGGAGGATGATAAATGTAGGAGTGATGAGGAAGATAAAATAATGATGATGATAAAAGTGATTCGACTCTGGGAGTTGATGATAACCAGAAGAAGATGAAGAAGAAGAAAAAAACAATTACATCATATGATGAAGTCTCTGAAGATGAACCCAAAATGATGAACATGAAGATGGATCGATTGTCGATCTTTCTGATTTATCTTCTCTTTCTTTCTTTCTTTCTTTCTTTCTTTTTATCATCATGATTATATAGACTGAAAATTGTTCCACAATTTAACAAGATAATTAAATTTAATTGTCCAATCTTTTTCTTTAAATAATTTAATCCAACCCACTCGCTTCATGTATTAATATAATGATGAATTTGTGTCTAACGCTAATAATTAATGTAATTTTTGTAATATCTCAGATAATCACCGATTTCTAAGAATCAAAGCAGAACTTATTTCGTCAATTTCATCACTTATAAACGTTATTATTAATTATTTGATTAATTCACGAGGACAAGATTTAATTATTTTAATTAACAAGGTACATGTAATATTATTAATGAATCACCAATGGATTAACTCAAACTGAAAAGAAGCGAGCACCTTAAAGGTGCCAACTCCACTGGCCAAAATGGCGGAGAGGAAAAAGGAAGAGAGAGAGAAGGGGAAAAATTGTAGGGGAAGATGAGGCGGTTTGGACCAGGTACTAAACCAGTTTTAGTACCTGGACAAAGTTATTATGACATTATCCGGACGCCATCCTCGTAAAGTCCCTTTTACGAGCAGAATTATTCAAACGACTCAGTAGACTTTCCATATCAAAGGTTGCAGTTAGATTGTTCAATTCCAGTATAATAATAAATTCAAAAGGTTAATAAATGAAATTACCCAACACCAAACCCAATCACCGAGTTGATTAATTATTGATTAAATTTGTTTTTAAGATAATAATATTCAGCTTCTACGGCATAATCCTTAAATTCATCCATTGAATTTACCTTTACCACAGCAATATACTTTAAAATACCAGGGAGGAATCCATTTTTAATATATCTTATTTTATCATCGAAATCCATATTTGGGTCAAGTTTAGCACACAGGCCAACCATTTCAAAGAAATAAGATATAACATCTTGACCTTCGTGTTGCTTTTTATTTTCAATTTTCGAGCGTAATTCATCTTGGTATAGCGAAGGTTGTTTGAAAGCTGCGAGTAATTTAGCTTTCAAATCATTGAAAGTAGTTGGTCGTTGATCAACAGGTTTACTTCTTATGCTAACAGCATACCAATCTTTAGCAGGACCAATTAAATAAACAGGTAATCGTCTTAATTTATCAATATTATTTAAGCCAGCGGCTTCAGTTATTTGTTCAAAATCTTCAAGCCAATCATAGATATCAGCATTATTTCCATCAAAGTTTTTAATATTGTTTAATAAAGTATCATCAAAATATCGACTCGTCATACTTAAGAATCTCTGTTCAATGTAGACTGACTATTAAATCCAACACAAGCAAACCAGCAATCTTGAAATGAACGGCTAACTCAATTAACCAAAAAGACAAAAATTTCACAGATTCTGGAACAACGGACAATCGAATCAGTTACTTGAACGACAAATTATTTAAACTAACAAATTATAACTAAATGATAATCAATTACTAGATTATCGAAAGAATCAAATACAAAATTTTCTGTTATAATAAATTTTCAAAACGAAATTGACTATTAAATCCAAGACAAACGAACCAGCAATCTTGAAATGAACGGCTAACTCAATTAACCAAAAAGACAAAAATTTCATAGATTCTGGAACAACGGACAATCGAATCAATTAGGAAGAAACAAATACAATTTTCTCAATAGAGTTTAACAAAGATGATAAACAATAACCTGTTTATCAAACGACATTAACCAAATGTTGAACAAAATTAACCAATTGACGACGATGATAAACAATAACTAATTTATCACACGAATTTAAACGAAGTTGACCAAATGACGAAGGTGATAAACAATAACTAGTTTACCAATCAAATTTTAAACGGAATTGTCCAAATGACGACAGTGATAAACAATAACTAGTTTACCAATCAAATTTTCAAACGAAGTTGACCAAATGACGAAAGTGATAATTTATAACGAAATTATCAAACAAATACAACCAAATGTTGAATTGAAATTTTCCAATTGACAAAGATGATAATTAATAACTAAATTATCAAACAAATTTAACCAAACGTTGAATTGAAATTTTCCAATTGACGAAGATGATAATTAATAACTAAATTATCAATCGAATTTAAACCAACGGACGAAGATGATAATTAATAACTAAATTATCAATCGAATTTCAACCAAATTTGAGACGAAATTCACCAATTGACGAAGATGATAATTAATAACTAAATTATCAATCGAATTTTAACCAAATTTGAGACGAAATTCACCGAATGACGAAGATGATAATTAATAACTAAATTATCAATCGAATTTTAACCAAATTTGAGACGAAATTCACCGAATGACGAAGATGATAATTAATAACTAAATTATCAATCGAATTTAAACCAACGGACGAAGATGATAATTAATAACTAAATTATCAATCGAATTTAATCAAATGATGAATCGAATTTTATCAAATGACAAAGTTGTTAATTAATAATTAAAATATCAAACAAATTCATCTAATGCTTAGCCAAACGAAGTAAAATTGTAACTAATAACTAAGTTATTCAATTGTTTCGACAATTCAATCACCAATAGAGCAAATGAAGAGAGAATGATGAAACGATCGCAAATACTCAAATGTAGAAAAGGTTTTTTTTTACGAGGATGTGATAATTCATTAACTAACTCAAAGTATTGTTTAAACTAGTTATCAGTCTGATATGAAGGTCACTATGAATGTTTAAGAATCTTTATAACTATTAAAGAAGTAAGATTTTGCTCTTTTTTTCAAACAGGTTATTTAGTGAAACTGGTTTCTCAAAATGAAAGAATGAAATAAACTCAATTAGGTGCACCAAACAAAGCAAAGAAACGAGTTTTCAACTCGTAACAAGATTCCTGAATTTAATAATCGAGTTAGATATATTTTTATTTCAAACAAAGAGAAGATTATTGTATTTGAATCATACTTAATTGATTGGGATAATCTTGATATAACTGACCATAGCAAACGTAATAATTAACTTTAGATCTCAAAAAAAAACTTTATCAATACTTACTACAAACGAAATTGGTCTTAGTCTCTGATATAGTTGAAAGACATTGTATTTAAATATGAGACAAAACAAATGAAAAGTAAAAGATAAAAAGACTGATGAAAAGTTCAAATTGACGATAATTTACTTTACGAATAACTATCAAAAGCACTACAATAAACTTAATATCAACACACACTCATCACGTCACAGGGTCACCATTATTTTGTAATATCTCAGATAATCACCGATTTCTAAGAATCAAAGCAGAACTTATTTCGTCAATTTCATCACTTATAAACGTTATTATTAATTATTTGATTAATTCACGAGGACAAGATTTAATTATTTTAATTAACAAGGTACATGTAATATTATTAATGAATCACCAATGGATTAACTCAAACTGAAAAGAAGCGAGCACCTTAAAGGTGCCAACTCCACTGGCCAAAATGGCGGAGAGGAAAAAGGAAGAGAGAGAGAAGGGGAAAAATTGTAGGGGAAGATGAGGCGGTTTGGACCAGGTACTAAACCAGTTTTAGTACCTGGACAAAGTTATTATGACACTTTCTTTCTTTCTTTTTATCATCATGATTATATAGACTGAAAATTGTTCCACAATTTAACAAGATAATTAAATTTAATTGTCCAATCTTTTTCTTTAAATAATTTAATCCAACCCACTCGCTTCATGTATTAATATAATGATGAATTTGTGTCTAACGCTAATAATTAACTTGATGATTGATAAAAATGAACATTTTGTGTTTCTTTTTCATTCTATCAAATTGATTAAACAATTAACCTAATTGTTGATGTATAAATGTTATTAGTAATTAATTATTAAAGTAATAATGACGCTGACAAATGATTGTGTTAATTAATTGTCAATTTATCAAATGCTATCAATGTGATGATGGTGAAGAAAAGTAAAAGTAAATTGGTTTCTAATCACTTATGATTAATCAATACAATCAATTGATAGATGAATTAAGTTAATCAACAATCAATGGATGTTAATTATTGTATTGGATTTAGATATTGAGTGAATTAACTGAGTATGAATGTGTTGATCTATTAGAACAAAATTTGGAACTTTGTCAAAATGTCGAAATGATTGAAAAGATCGATAAGGAAGGAAGATCAATGTATATATAAGGTGGTCTTGGAATAATCATCGTCATTGTTATCATATTAACGCGTGTAAAAGGCATTTGTGATATTGAACAAAGAGAGAAGATGAAAAGAAGAGAGAGAGAGAGAGAAAAAGTTCTATTCGAAATTTAGAGTTCGAGTTAATGAGGAAGTAACTTGACTCAATAGAAATCGAATTGCCTTTTTCTATCAATTCTCTAATATAATAGATATACAATAATAGTCCCATTTGTGGACTAGATGTAAGTCGATGTGTCAAAACGATTTGACGACATTGATGTCAAAATGAGAAAAAGGTCACAATCTCACCTCGAACCGGCGGGTTCTAAGTTCTAGTTGTTTACATTATCGACGCGAAGTAAAAAGAAGCAAAAATTGAGAATAGAATTGAGAGAAAATCTTTTCATCATCCTTATCATCTCTCTCTCTCTCTCTCTTCATCATTATACATTTGCCTTCAGCACTTTTAAAGCTCACTGATTGTACAAAATAATCAGTTGATTCGTGTTCACTATTAAATGTATTATAATTATCATTGATTTCTGACTACGAGTTGATTCAAATATCTAACAAACGCCTTCACAATTTATATCAATATTTATCATTTATCAATAATCAACAGTTAATGATAACTCATTCAATGTCAATTGTTAGACCTGTCAGAGAGGCTCATCAACAATTCATATGATTATTTTAAACCAGGTGCCTGATAATAGTTAAGTTAATTGTTAACAACAATCAACTTAATCATGTTGTGTGTGGATGTAACAAAAAAAAGAGACTGTTGTTGTAGTTGTTGATTGTCAATTTGAGTGATCATTTAATTGTTATGAACTTTTGTTTTTCTTTTCATTTCTTATCATTCAATTGTCTTCATCTCATCTTATCATCATCATTAGTATCCGATTAGTGATTAGTTTGAATTGGAATAATTAGATTAATTAACCTTTTCTTTTTCATAATCAATCAGTAAATTGTGATCATTGTAAATACCTGAGGAAATTGTTTCATCATTCATGTTGGTGAATGAAAAGGAAAATGAGAAAACTAAACAATCAGTTAATTCTTGGGTGTTAATTGAATTCCCAGAACGGAATCTTTTAACTCGTAATTCTACCTGATAATCATAATAATTTTGCGAATTAACTTAATTTATCAAACTAATTCTGTCAAGGAAAAAAAAGAGAACAGAAAAATATGTAAGATTTAATATGAAATAAAAGTAAGAATCGTAATCATCATGAGTTTCTGAGTGTTGGTGGTGATATTAAATTCTTGATTCAGTTGTGATGGTGAAAGATAAACAAGTCTAATAATAAATTATTAGAGGATGAAAATATTATTATTATCATCAGAATGATTATCAGGGGAAATGTCAACAAGAATCAACCAGAAGAAACCAGATTATCAAACTAATTTGAATCACCCTGATGTTGTTTGATCAACATGATCAACATGGAACCAGAATTTTCAACCTCTTATTAGGCTCCAAATGGTGAATTGAATTCTTGAAATTTTCTCCTCCAATGATAATATTAATTTAATAATAATAAACAAACATGATAGTCAATAGATGAGTTAATATGGAGGATGAGGATAAATGGAATGTGATGATTCATGATAATCAGTAAGAGAGAGAGAGAATTGGGTGTGGGTGTGGGGAGATAGGGATAAGTTCCAAGAGAAGAACAAATTTTTTTCTCTTTCATTTTTTTTATCTTCTTTTCTCTTTGTGATTTTCTCATCTATTATCTAATAATGGACAATGCTGATTGGCGATCAATTTGATATTCCAAGCTAATATTCTAGTGCTAATCTCTTTCTCATTTATCAAATATTGTCAATTATGAATTAGCAGGGGGAAAAGGAGCTAATAGAATTTTGGTAAATTCGATTCTCTCTCTCTCTTTTTTTTGTTCGAATTTTTAAAATTCTTTCTCTCTAATAAGTTATTAATATTATCATCATCAAGTGAGATAATTTATTTAATATATGATAATATGAAAATGGATGTTATGATTTTGAGGTTTTTCTTATTTTCTTTTTTAATCAAATTATTCTTTTCTCTTCCATTTAGGTTCAATTATGTCAGAATTTAGTCGATTAAGCGGAAACGGAAATGATGTTGACAATTCAGGTTCATCTTTAGGATCATCGACAAAAAAGAAGAAGAAAAAAAGGAGACACAGGTAAGTTAAATATGTTCGATATTTGAATAATTATCGAATTGATTAAAGAAACAATTAAAATACTCGATAATCATTTTATCTCATTTAGTTGCGTGATGATTAATTGTTATCCTTTGATTGTTTATAATCATTTAATTAGTTCCATTACTTAAATATTATATTTTTTTTTCTTCTATTTTTTTATTTTCCTCTATGTTAATTTACTTATATATTTATTAGCAACACCCAACAAGGTGGTTTAGAGGTGGATAAGAGGAGAGGAAGAGAGATTAATCAAAGGTGAGAGTTAATCAATTAATCTGACTAACCCAAGAACAGTTAATCATCTAACACAACAATTATATCCTAATATCGATTGACCATAATAAAAAAAAACAATATCATCATTCATTATTGGGGAAATTTGTCATTTGAGAGATTGAGATTAAGATGAAGATTAAGATTAAGATGAAGATTTGTTAATCGGAAATTGTTATGATAATATGCTAGTAATTAGATAGTAATCAGTTTCAATCTTTTATGTATATTGAATTGATTCAAGTTAATCATCTCTGGGCAAGTGATTAAAAGCTCAAGTATATTTATATAAGGTGATTAGTGGCAAAGATTAGTGTCAGGATTAGTAAATTAGATATGGTTTTACTATTGTGTCATTGTAATGACACTTGTAATAGATTAAGGATTAGTTGGATGATTTGGAGGTTGAAAGTGTGTCTACTATATGGATGATAATAGATTTCGGGATTGGGATAATAATGAAGGAAGAAAGAAAGAGAGAGAGAGAGAGAGAGAGAAAGTGGATGATAGGATATGATGACAATTTCGATAATAATGATGATAATTATGTTAATCTTACCTAATCAAAGCATCTAACCTGAAAAATAAATTATCTCTTCATCTTTTTCCAACCTGATTCTATTATCATGGTGGATAATCCTAATCTTTCATGTTCATCATCATGAAATTGAGCTCATCCAGAACAATATTCACAAGTTATCAATTGGAGGAATTGGAAAAAGCCTTTAAAGATGCTCATTATCCTGATGTATATGCAAGGGAAATGTTATCGGTTAAAACTGATTTACCTGAGGATAGAATACAGGTAATTAATTGTTAATTAACTTCTTCTAATTATCATCATTAACTTTGGGAAGAAAATTGTTTTTTTTTCTATTAGTTGTTTGATATTTGAGCGAATTCAAATTCTCATGTTGATATAAAAGTTTCATATTGTAAATGATTAAGATGATTCTGTTATTATTGAAGGAAATATTTTCGAAATGCTAAAAAATCAGCCAAGGTTAATATTTATTCATATAAAGTGGGTATGCATTCATTAAATTAGAGTTAAGGGAAATGCTTGAAAGGGAAATATGAGTAAAGGTATTTTTAACAATTACGATTAAATTGTGAATCAAAGGGGATCCTTAATCATTATCAATGGTTGATTATAAATCCTTTACTTTATTATTGTTGTAACAATTTAAAAATAGTGAATATCAAATATCATTATTAAAGTTTAATTGTTGAAAGTTAATCAAGCTAAGAAAATGATATTAATGAAAATTATGATGAGAATATAATTTAACCATAAACAATTAATAATTCATCAGATTACAAAATGATTTCTTTGTAATAATAATAATTAATTGTAATCAGAGTAAATCAAATACTCTGGATACAATTAATGAATTGTTCCTAATCAATGAAAATAATAATAATAATAATTGTGGTCAAACTTGAGGGAATCGTAACAAAACAAGGAAACGGAAATTGTATCAATTTTGAGAGAGAAAGAAAAAAATTTTCTTTCAAAATCGTTAATGTAAAATGTTGATTGTTGTTGATTTAATTGTTGATAATACAAGTGAAGTGTTTAAACACCCTGACTATAACAATAAACGATTGTCAACAAAAAAAACTGAAAGGATAACAAAAGGTTAACATTATTGACACTGTCCACTTGATGTTGTCCACTACAAGAATACAAAAAAGTGACCATTAGTATTATTATCAACATTTTGCTGACCAACTAAAATGAAAAAACAATTATCTTTAATCTAGAATGAAATTGTAATCAAATTATCAATTGTTACAATGATTGTCAATGAATGATAACTGAGAGAGAGAGAGAGAATGAAAAATGATTTTAAAGTAAACATTTACCTTGGAAGTTATCAACGATAATGATAATGATGATTCTATGATTAAAAGGGTATTTTAATTGTGAAACTGTGATTTGACTGATTGACAAATTAACAACAATCAACTATCAACAATTAAGTGATTACCTTTATTCTTTGAGTAGGAAACAGGAAACTATTGTATTCACATTTTACTCTAGTCAAAAGTTAGACACATACTCACAATATGATAAGAAGGGTATTCAACAATGGAAGGTGAATAATATACATAATATATATTGATAGAAATATAAAAGACCATTTAATTTGAGACATCATATCAATATGATTGAATTAAATTGTTTGTTAATAATGATAAAAGTCCATTGAGTATGTATACTCATTGGAAGAGGGTATTCATATATATATATAGAGTCGATTTTATTATTACTTTGACATAATAACAATTGTCATCTTATGTATTTTTAAACTCGATGGGAGTGAAGAAAATATTAGTTTTTTTGTCTTGTTTGTTTGTTCATATAACGAATTGGAAATGTTCAAAATCAACCAAATCAAATTATTTCAATCCTATAATCATAATAATAATAATAATTCTGTGTAACATTTTACTTGGAATAAAAATTTTTTTTTCTTCTTATTCTATTAAATCAATATAACTATTTTTTTTTACTTCTTTCCTTTCAATACCAAAGGTTTTCACCTTTTAGACAATAACATTTAGTTTGTATTATTTTACATTGTTAACTTTTGGATAATCATTTATATGAGTTAAGTATGAACTTGGAATGGATTCTGTAGATTTCCGTTTCCATGGTTACGGTTCTGAGAAATTTGGTATTTTAATCATTTAATGAGATAAATATTCTGATATTTTATTAACTTTTTCACTCTTTAAATATATCATTTATTTTTCGTCTTAAATTGTTGGATTTAATTTCTTATGTCTCTGAGTCTTGATTAGGATTAATATAATAACGTTTATTTCATTTTATTGCATTTCATTTCATGGTGAGACAATAATAATAATAATAATAATAAGTTGGTGGATCAATAAATTGGACATTGGATTAGTTTGAAATTGAGCTTTGATTAATTGTGCTATCGTTAACCAATGAGTTCACCTTTCTATTGAAAATTGTATCTTGATGTTGACCTTTGTCAAGATTGTGTAATTGTATATCATTAAATGTCATTGTTATTATGTATTCTTGTTGATAATGATTAAAGGGAATCACAATTTATCATCATTCATATTGTTATGATAACTAGTTGAACATACGAGGTAATTTAAGACGATTAATATATGTACAGTCACATACACAAGACACTCGCTGGTATAAAATAGTCAACATGGTGCAACATATATATGATATTGTAATTCTGTGAGAATTGCATTTTAATTGTGTCGTTAATTTAGATGATTTTTAAATGAATCGATTGGGAATCTTTTACTTTGTCGATTGGATAATAATATTTGCTTTTCAATTTTTCGCTCAAGGTTTGGTTTCAAAATCGTCGAGCCAAATGGAGGAAAACCGAAAAGTGTTGGGGAAAAAGTACAATTATGGCTGAGTATGGACTCTATGGTGCAATGGTCAGACATTCGTTGCCTTTACCGGACAGTATTCTGAGGTCGGCTCGTGATGGCGATGCTCAATGTGCCCCATGGCTTTTAGGTGTGTATCAAGAAAAAAGGGTTTAAAAGGTTTTTCTTTGGGTCAACAATTAGTAACTAACGTTAACTGCTTACTAACAATTTACTAATTTACTCAATGTTGTCTTTGGTTTGATGAGAAGCGATTGAATCTCTTATTTTGTTCAAATTATCAAAATATATATTCGAGACTTTGATCACTTCTCCAAATCATTCACAAGAATAACAAAAACAAGAGAAAATAAAAAGCCATAACATTAATAACAACAGAAAACCACCCGATAATATGACTAATCCTCCACCTCCCTGCACACCATATAGTTGATATTGATTAATTTGTTACACTGGAAAATTGTATTGATTAACCTGAACAATTTGCGTTTAGTCCATTGACTTGTTAACATGATAATCCCAATGGTCATTTGCATCATGAGAATTTACTTATTTTCTTCTAATCCTTTTGAGTGCATGGGTTAAACTTTTCTGCCTTCCAATGAATTAGATGCATGGGGTATTCTCACCAGAATAATTCTGCCAATTGCTTGTTCATCAAATGCTTAATTCCCTTGCACAAACATTCAACCAAATACACATTCATTCACCATTCCAAATACACACACACAATCACTTTCTCTTACACATACTATCTCTCTCTCTCTCTTTCTCTGTTTCTTTCATTTTTCTTGATTCAAATTGTCACCATTTATACAAATGAAATCAATCCTTCCTTCCTTCCCTCTGTTATTATTATCACTCATCAGATCAGAATCGCAAAAGCTCACAACATCAATATGACTCAAGCGAATCCCATCATTTTGACTTCGCAGGGATGCATAAAAAGTCCATTGAAGCAGCTGATAAACTACGAGATTCGGACACTGAAGGTGAATCTCGAGATGTTCCAAGTCCAGTTACCTGCCCAAGCCCTGGGGCGATGAAAAATTTACGAATCGACCATGGAAACATAAACCAATTAATGATTAACAATGGACAAAATAGTAACAATTCAAGTAACAGTTCAAGCATTGGTGGTGGCAGTGGTAATGGTGGTAACACCGGTGGTGGAAACAACAACAACAATAATAATAATAATCACAATAATAGTAATAATAATCATGTTATTGACTTGGGCAGCTCAATGGCTCTAACACTTAGCCATCCATCATTAACAAATCACCACAATCTTGCTCACAATGGATCGTCTATTCAATTGTATTCAATTCAAGATCGGAACCATTCAACGTCCAATACAACTAATAACAATTTAAACAATAATAATAACAGTAATAATAATAATAATAGTAATAGCAATCAACCTCATCCATTAACAACAACAATTACAACAACAACAGGACCATTGACTTATGCCTTTTCTGGATCGAGACATATTTATTAATACAATTAACTAATTACTATATATATAAAATACTATTATTATTATTGGAATATGATTATTATTATTATGTGGGTTATTATTTTACCTGATTATCATTGTGATTACCGATGACGATTCTAACGATTAAGGAAACATGTCGATCAATTAATTAAGACACAAACCTTAAGACACCAACAATTAAGCGACTTATGTAATAATGATAATAAGTTTCTCTCTCATTGTAATAATCGCTGACAATTTAATGTTCATAATTAACTTTATCTTATCCTTTTCTTTTTCTTTTTGATATATAAATTAATTAATTGTGCTTAATTTCACGCCTAATTAATCAATTCCGTCAGTAAACACCAAAGAAACGCGATCAAACTGCAAATCATCAAAAAAAAACAAACAAAAACTATTATTGATATTCAACTGATTAAACGTATGATTAACTGATAATAAATTAATTTCGATGATTAAATCGAAAATCAAAGTTACAGAGTTTTAATTGTTGCGGTTACTTTTTTTCGCTCGTTAATTATTAATACAATTATGATTAAGGAAACTTGGAACAGCGAGTGCGATGGTTAATGAAATTGTCGCTAATGATGAGACAAATTTAGAAGTGATTACAAACAATTTACAGAAAGTGAATCCAATATCATGACCTGAGATCCTTGTGAGAAATAGATTAACCTTTAAGAATGGAAAAAAGTAAATCAGATTAGTTAGTTAATTGTTGTCGAAAATTTTCGTTTTAAAGAAAATGATTTAACCTCATTAACTACTTCCAATGATGGTGAACCAAAGGAAAGTGAATAAACTTTGGTATAAGATTTAACTGAGAGCCAATTAACGTAAACGAGTTGATAGGTAATCGTAACGAGGTAAACAGTTTCACCGATGAAATAAATACAATTAAGTATCGGTGGAGTTTCATTATCAAATAGCCCGAGGAAATTTAAGTGACAAGTACCGATCGTATAAACGTAAAAGCTGAGAATCGATAATATTAAATAGGAATCGAGCCTTTTGACCATTTCTCCTGCTTCGAAGTAGATTAAACGAGCGAATCTTATTTGATCGAAAAGGTTTCGATTCTGTTTATCGATCGATTCAATATTAGCGAAAATCCCGATGAATATTGATTGTAAATGGACACAAATTTCCGCTAAAAAAATATGGTAATTAATCCAAGCAACGCTGTAGATCAATCGTAAGATTGTTAGTCCAATCAATTGAAAGATCATTGGATTTGAGACGATTTTTTTACTTAACAGGCTAACAAAAGGTTCAACGGAAAACATATAGAAAAGTTCATACAAAACGGAGATCAGGGTACAAAGTTGAAGGTATTTACGCCGACGGACAATATATTGACCCACCAAGGGTTTAAATTGGGATGGGATAAGTTCATCTAATTCGATGATGAACTGATTGTAGCAATTACGATTAAATATAAGCACCAATATACAGAATCCGATGGAAATATCATAGATTCGATTCCAAATTCTGTCAAGACGGTCGATTGATAAAGTTACTTTTCGGTTAGAGAAATAGAGTCTTGCTAAACCACTGACAATTAACAGGATTGAGATTAAAAAGATAATCAACTTGTAAACTCGTCGATTAGAGCGGATTAAGATCGCAATTAGTCCCGATGGTAGAGGTAATTTAACATTTCGAGATATTTGGTGATCCATAGTACTAAGAGTGTTAATGATCATTGGAAAGATTACCAACAATTAATGATCACAATCATAAACTAGAATTTAGTATTTTCTCTCGGACAAATTGATCAATGGTCAAAATAAATGGACAAGTTTAATTGTTAACAATAGAAGTTGACAATTTGATGATGAATGGATTCCTTATTGATCTTTAACTGTAGGAAATAATAATAACTGTTTTGTAATTGTTAATGTTTGACCTTAATGTTTGTCAATTTTCACGAATTTGATTGAATCGGTTAATTGTTCAATCGAATAGAAAATTAACTTTTAATCATTCATTTTTTTTCCTCTCTATCAAGATAGACAGAATATTAAACATGGTAAGTTAATTGTAGAAAAAAATTAATAAAATTAGATGACCAGGATTGATGATATAAATTAAAATTGATTGTTGGCAACTAGAGTAATTGAATCGTCTAAATTTTGAAGCTTCTTTCCATTACTCTTCGTTGATGACTTAGCTGCGGGAATAAACCTAAATGAGGAGAAAATAAATTAATGGTAATTAGTGTTTCGATTAAGATTTTTGATTAACAATCTACTGACCTTTTGCATTGTCCAGTGCGTTTGATGCTGCGTCCATTTCGGCTTCTTGGATACTGTGACCTTTTCCAGTAGCGAGTCGTTTGTCCCTAAAGTAAACAGCAACTTTATAAACTCTCGTATTGGTTGGACCCAAACTTTCAATGACTCTGAGGATACAAGTAAATAGTTAATTAGTTGATTATCTTGATTGATTAATTTTACGTGACTTACTTATAAATGGGAATATCGGGTTCGCCGCCGTCAATGGACCGTAATGTAAGGCAACATTGTTGTAATTTAGATTTAGGATCGTTCCAGTCTTGATTCATGATGAAATCTTCCAACCTTGGGAAGAAACAAACTCCACAGAAATGTCGACAATATTCAAGACCTTTGTCCACATAAAGAGCACCAAGAAAAGCTTCCAAAAGGTCAGCGCGATCTTTGGTCTTTAGTTCACCTTTGGCATAATTGAAAACAGCGTATCGAGTCATTCCCAGATCGTCACAAACAACTGCTTGAGTTTTGTTATTTACTAGGGAACTACGAAGAAGCGACAAGTGACCTTCATGATGTTCAGGGAAGTATTTATAAAGATATTCGGAGGCCACTAATTGTAAAACGGTATCACCAAGAAATTCCATCCGTTGGTTGGAACCAAGAGTTAAATTGTTGAAACCAACTGATCGATGGGTGAAAGCTCGAGCCAGTAAGCGAATGTGAGTGAATTCAATCCCAATCATTTCTTCAAATTCTCGAAGTTCCTGAAGACGGGGAACTGTGGCCAAGTACATTCGATCACCGCCGGGCTCTTGCTGTTGAATTGGATGAGGCGGATAATTGACCCAAACTTCATACAGCAAATCTTCATCTTTGAACAAAGTGTTGGAAAAAACTTGATCGGCTACGTTAATTGCACCATCCAAAAATAGGGCGCCCATTAGAGCTTCGAAACAATTGGCCATTGCATGTCGAAGTTCAATATCGTGACATAAATCGGAACCGTGAGCATAAAGCATATACTTTTCTAATTGAAGCTTTTTGGCCAAAACAGCAAGATGTTGATTCTGAACGATGGCCGCTCGATAAGTGGCCAGACCACCTTCTTCCAGGTCGGGAAACATAAAGTACAAATGAATCGAGGAAAGAAACTCGACCACAGCATCACCAAGAAATTCAAGTCTCTCATTGTGATTAATGTTTGACGCTGTTTCCTCTGGGCAACCAAATCGAGACATGATATTGATCAACATGTTGATTCCTCTTTTCCGTGTATTCATAAAGTGGACTCGACGATCACCATAATGAGGTTGACGGATACCACAGTTTGTTAGAGCATTTCTAGCGTGATCCGGATTGGTACCAAAATTTTCACGATAAGAGGGATGAGTTAAGGCCAATTGTAAAAGATAACGATCCTTGAATGGATAATCTAGAATCTCTCTAAATGAGCCAACGATTGATGGAACCGAAGGTGACAAATTACCACTGGAATTAGGAGAGCGTGTTGGATTACATCACAATAGATTCCCGTCTTGTGGAAACCCTTCGAACTTATAACAACGGTAACATCGCGTTTAAGGTCATTTTTGGTTCGCATCTCTTGTAATTTCTCCTCTTTTTGTAACAATGTTTGTCTATCAACGTAACTCACTTTCGGCTTGTTGGCAAGTAAATGACGGAATTTGACATAATCTCTCCAGGCTTTTTGGTACTTCGGGTTACCGGCATAGCTTAACTGTGGAGGTCGAATACCGAAATGTACAATCACTGGAAACGCATCATCAGAGTCTGGTTTTAATTCACTGGGTTGAACTGGTTTATCTGGATCATCGTTTGTGGTCACAGTGTTTTTATCAATTTGATCGACTCGAAGTGAACATGGTTTCATACCAGGATAAGTAACGATCATTCCTCGAACGGTGTCAACAAATTCGAGCCACTCTGAGTCATTCATTGATTGTATTCTCTTTAAATCTGATTCTTTGATCAATTCACCACTTTGAGATAAAAGGTATTTCATGATAATGTTTAAAGATAAAAGTTCTTTACCATTTTCTTCAATCTGTCTTGAGAATCGAGGAAATAGATGAAATTGTGGACAATCATCGAAACCTGTTGGTGTCGCATTCGCAGCATGCCAATTAAGATCAACTAATTCCAATATTTCTTTGAACAGATATTCAGTTATCATCTCAATACCTCGAACGGAAAAATTGTCAGGAAATTTTTCTTCCACCAAAGTTATAGTATATTCAATGTTAAAACGAATCAGTTTACATGGTGGATAGTTGAGAATTGGAGAATGAGATAAAATTGAGAAACCTTCGAACAAATATTCGCCATTGTTGTGTTCGATTGTAGTTGGAAATTTAGAAATATAATTTGTCAATGGGCTTATATTCAATCGATAATGGTAAAGGTGATTAGCGTTGTTTGTTTCGGGAATACAATGAGCGATTTTCTCCTCCGGATAAATACCATGGCGGATTCCTGATCTTTTAGCTTTGGCCGAGCATCGACAAAGTGGCCCATCGTTCATTTCACCGGGATCATTGAACCAAAGTTCCTCATGAAGTCGCCAAGGGTGAAGTTTTTTTCTCTCCAATTCTTCAAAAGCGGTATCTTCTTCGTCTTCTTCATCTGAACTACAGGTTGAAGAAGAACATGATGAGGATGATGGAAAAGGTGAATCTGAACATGCATGATGATGGTGATGATGATGATGAGGTTTATGAAGTTTCTGTTTTCTAGGTTGAATAACAATCGGTGGTTTAGTGGAGATAATTTTTCTCGCTCGATTTAAAAGCTCATTTTCAAATCGATCCTCAAGATCTTTCATTTTCTGAGTAATTGTAAGTATATCCTCGTTATCTTCTCCATTCAATTTATCTTCACGATAATTGATAAAATATGAATCAGCATTAGAATATTTGATTGAAGAATATTTTTTCAACATTAACTGTTCCAAGGCAGATTGTTTCTCATAGACTTTAACTCGTTGTGATCGATCAGCAAATTTCCTTCGAGCTCTTTTATCATCCCCACGATCACCCATCCCACCAAAACCAGTAATAGATTGACTATTCATTGGTCGAATAAAATAAATTAAAAAAATTATATTCCCACTTAAATAACAACAAAAAAAACCAATCAATTAATAAAACTACAAATCAATCGATGATCATCATTAAAAAAAACATCAAGCACATGTCAACATCTAAAAGTAAATGTAATAACATTTACACTTATATCCCATTAGAATCACAGATAAATATTATCACAAAGAATATCACTAATAGTTAATTAAATCTAAATCATAATAAAAAAAATGAATTAAAGTAAAAATGGACAAAAGAATCAATTTAATCAATTGGACAAGAGGCAAAAGGAAATTAAAATCAATTGAAATTAGAAAATTTCTTTTGTTTATAATAGAGAAGAAAAAAAATTCCACAGATGGAGCCACTTTTGCGAATTTGAGCTCTGCTTGTGTGTGGAAATTTTTTTTATATTGATTTAGATTTTTGTTTTTTTACCTTAATTTTAACTTCTAATTAGTGAATTGTTTTTTTTTATTCTTTGTGATGTTAGTCTTTGTCTTTAATTGTTTGGGTTACCTTGTTAACGGGCTCGTTATTGGTGGTTGAAAAGTTTGAGGAAAAAAAATCGGTGAGAACGGAGGAGAAATCTGAATAGAGAAGAAAAATTCATTGCAAGAGAAAAGAAAATGACAATTAAAAAAAGACGTGAAGGAGGAGCAGATCCTAAATATTTTGAATCACCAGAGATAATTAATGGTTTTGATTGTGTTCGCCAATGGTTGGATAAATCAATCTACTGTCAATATCTTCAAGCTGATCCTACAAGTGCTAAAAATTTGGTCTCAATTGTCCTGAGTTTGATACAATTTCAAGAAGATAATCTTGGTCGGTCTGTTAGTAAACCGCCAATGACTCGGTTACCCATGAAATGTATTCTAGATACCAAACCAGGAGGTGGACTTTGCCATATATTGGGTACAATGTTTAAATTTAAATATGAACAAGGATGGAGAAAATTTGACCTACAGGCTACATCTATTCCCAAGATTGAGAAAAATTTAGATCTACTGAGAGCAGTTGAAAAAATTTTATTCTCGGCGCAAAAAATATCAACACCCATTGTGTATATACGTCCTGATGTTGATGATAAACTATCTGAAACCTTGAAGGATATCGTTCGTCGTCATCAAGGAACATGTGTTGAAACTTTATTGGAGGCAACTCATATTGTTCATAATTTAATTCTACCTAATAAACAACCAGATGATTATTGTCGACCTGTTGCCAAGAATCAATCGGAGAGAAGCGCTTTAATCCATTGGCTTTATACTCCTGATAGTTATGATTCTTATCTAAGTAATGTTGATCTCACCGTTGAACCAGATACACCTCGTCTCGGGATTAATCAAAGGGAAATTGAAGCTCGCTGGTTATTAGATACCGATGTTTACAATGAATGGATGAATGAAGATGATTACGAAGTAACCATCGTTGATAATGTTCCCACTCACACCAAGAAACGTTACACTCCAGCTGAATTAATCATTCAAGTTTTACCTGATGAAACCAAAGATTCCCGGTCAAAATTTTCAAAAAGAAAACTTTCCCCGTCACCATCATCAGCCGATAAGAAACGAAGATCTCGATTGTCAACAATAAGAACAAGTTTTTCCGGTGCTGATTCTTTCAAGAGACGCGCTTATAAGGGTTTAGACGAAGATTATGAAGATTTAACCAAAGATTTAGAAGATCCTTTACCTGAGCCAAATATTCACGAAGTTCATCTGCCAAAATTGGTTCCAGGAACTAGAACTACAAAGGATAATGAATTAGCACCAATAAAAGGAGGATATATCACTGAATTAGATTCTGTTGACCATGAGGATAAAGTGGGAATGTCAGATTTTGATCTAATGAGAAGTCAACATTATGAGGAGGAAACTTTGACCATAAGAATTGGTGATGATGATGAAACCGAAATTGACCAAGCAAATTATGTTGTAATTCCTAGTTACTCTTCTTGGTTTGATTACAAATCAATACATCCAATTGAAAAACGAGCTTTAACCGAGTTCTTCAACAATTCAAACAAATCTAAAACTCCTGAAGTTTATTTAGCTTACAGAAACTTTATGATTGACTCTTATCGTATTAATCCAACAGAATATCTAACAGTAACTGCTTGTCGTCGTAATCTTGTTGGCGATGTTTGTGCCATTCACCGAGTGCATACCTTTCTAGAATTGTGGGGATTAATCAATTTCCATGTAGATCCAGATGATCGGCCAAATTCAATGGGACCTCCAACAACCAGTCATTTTAATATATTTGTTGATACTCCTGGTGGACTTATGCCCATTGCTCATCCTCGAAGTGTTTCAAGTACCTCAGCTCAAAAGCAAGTTTTATCTTTAGACAAGGAAGTTAAAAGTGAATCAGACAAAACGCAAACGAAAACAGTTTTAAATGATAACTTTGGACTTCGAATGGATCAATACGAACAAAGAAATGCCGCTTATCGACACAAAGGTGCAGCCACAATAACACGAGAATGGGATGAACAAGAGATTCTACTTCTCCTGGAAGCCATTGAGATGTACAAAGATGATTGGAATAAAGTTTGCGATCATGTTGGAAGCCGAACCCAAGACGAGTGTATTTTACAATTTTTAAGATTACCCATTGAAGATCCTTACCTTGAAGATACAGGGTCACCCTTACCAGCCAATTATCAATCAATTCCATTCTCAAAATCAGGAAATCCAATAATGTCAACAATTGCTTTTCTAGCGAGTGTTGTTGATCCTCGAATCGCTGCTTCCGCTGCTAAAGCGGCGATCAATGAGTTTGCTCGTCTAAAAGATGACAATGTTTCACCACAAAAGTTACACGATTTAACCACCACTTCAACATCAATTTCTTCTTCCAGTGATACCTCAACAATTAAAGACTCTGATATGAATATGAACCCTGGCGATGGAAGTAGAGGTTCCTCTCTGTTTGGAGCATCTTCATCTTTAATTGATTCTGAAATGAAAGAACCGCTGATTACACCTAAATTAGAATTTGATCCCAATGGAAAATCTTCAGAAATTGGTTCATGTGATTCGATTCCGAAAACTACAACAATTAAAGAGGAAACTCATTCCAATGGTGTCCAAAGATCTGATTTTAAAGATGAATCTTTCAATGAACGATCATCAACCAAGGATGGTAGTGGTACATCGGGAACATCGACCGCCGGTGGAGGAACTGGTGAAAGAGATAAAAGTTTAAAAGATTCACAGATTAACAATGCAGCGGCATCGGCATTGGGAGCTGCCGCTGTTAAAGCGAAACATTTAGCCGCTGTTGAGGAGCGAAAGATCAAAGCGTTCGTTGCCATGTTAGTTGATACACAATTGAAGAAATTACAACTTAAATTGAAAAATTTCGAGGAAATGGAATCGTTGCTGGACAAAGAGAAAGAAACTGTAAGTATTTTGTAGAAGTTTATAAAATTTTCTCTCAACAATTTGATTGATCATCTAATTGATTATTTTTTTCCTCTTTCAGTTGGAACAACAGAAACAAGATTTAATCCATGAGAGGCAACAATTCCACATGGAACAATTAAAAGCAGCAGAATCAAGAGCTCGATTGAAAGCACAAACTACTCTTCTAGGACCAACTGTAGATAATATTACGTTCCAGCCAATTACACATAAATAAATCTATTTCATCAACAACCATCGCATCTACATTATCAAGTCATCATTCAAAACAATCAGAATATTTAAGGAAATGAATTGACAATTAAAGAAAACAAAAATCTACGAAAAGGAAACAAAACTAATCCATGAAGATCTTCATTTTCTCTTCTTTCTTGTATCTCAATTTTTTATATTATATTTTCCATTTTCCATTTTCCATTTTGCTTTTCTTTTTCATTATTCTTTCCTTAACTATGTTTACTTTTACTCTTTTAATCGACTTATTTATTTGACTATCGACCTGAAAAGAGAATCACATAGATTTTCAATTGTATCCTTTGAATCTTTTACTCTTGTATCTACGTTCAAATCGCACGTTAACTTTACTGTGTAAGTGTTTTCTTTTCCATCTCAAGCTAAAAGGAAGGAAAAGAAAATCAATTCCATCAGAATCATGTTTATGCTATGAAAAGAAAAACTTTAAATAAACAAAGTAATCAAGTGATGATTAACTGATTAACTTTTCATTACCATTTCCATCATTTTAACACTTTGGCTGAAAATTTGAGAATTGATGTTTATTTTTCGTATAAACCATTTTCTATTAGGTATAAATTGATTAAAAGGCTTTTTGATTCCAATAGATTTGATCAACGGGTTTTAGGAATGAAAAAAGAGATTCGATCATGTAATTTAAGCTTGATGAGTTTTCAAAATCCATCCACAGTTAACTGTGATCTTAGAGCAAATTGTGATTTCGATTGGTGAAACAATCAAGTTGAGGTGAAGTGATTTAGTTTCAAAATCAAAGTTAATCTCTTTGAGGTGAATACGAGCCTTGGTGTCCATTGTGCTGAGGTGAATTAATTATTTAACTAATTAGAATAAAAAGTTTTGGTATAACTTGGCAAAAATTGTGATTACTAAATAATAATAAATTAAGGCACTTGATTGTTGATTGAGAGATGAAAATGAACCACTACCGTAGTCTGAGTATATGGATGAACAATCGGGTGGACAGATAACATTCTGAGTTTCCTCTAATTCGAGACTGGCTTTTGATGCTCCCAATTTGTTGGAGGCTTGACAATAATATCGACCATAGTTTCGTTTCTCGATTCTTTGAACTCGCAAGATTGTTGTAAATTCAAATTCATTGTTAGTCTGAAATATTGAAATGTTGTAATTTTTACTGTTCGATAAATTTTCCTGATAGTCATCACCCTCTTTATACCAAGATATTGAGGCCAAAGGGAAGGCACGAACTTTACAGACCAAAAGTTGATTATGATTAAGAGCTTGACCAACTCTTTCTTTGGGAACAGTAATCAAAGGAGGATATTCAACTTCAACTGAAACAGCCCGACGATCTCCACGAGCAACACCATTATCGGCAATACAATAGTAAGTTCCTTGGTGATTGATTGAAATATTGGTTAATACCAATTCAGATCCAATGAAATGAGCACCATAACCAGGTAGCTCTTTGTTACCATCACGACGCCATGAGATTCTTGGTTTAGGATGACCATTGGCGAAACATTTAAGAGTAACTTTTGATGTATTAACTGATGTGATTACATGTCGAGTACTGTCATCACTGATAACTGGAGGGATACGAACAGTTAAATTAACAGAGGCTTGAATATTGGACGATGATGATACCATAGTGATTCGGCACATATATTCACCATTATCTACTTCTCGAACATCTCGAATATGCAACTTGTATTTATCACCGTCACGAACAACCATGATTCTATCACCCAGATAGTTTGTTGATCCAGAGGAAAGGATAATCACTGGGTCACTTAATTTAATCCATTGAATAGCATAACCGCTTGCGTAAAGTGTGTCACAAGAAAGTTCAACGGTCTCTCCTAAATCAACAATTTTCTCCTTACTGATGAATGAGATTGTCGGCTCTTGTTGACCAAACGTAACAGGTAACCAAAAAAAGCCAATTAGGCTCAATAATAAAAGGTAAGTATTCAGATGAGATTCCATGTTGATACCTTTAGTCAAATTTCTTGAGATTAAACGATTAGACTCAAGAAAGAAAAGTAAAAATTTGGATGGAAAATTGTTTCGGTGTAAAGGTAAATTCCAGTATATGAGGTAATTGGACCGCCACAAAATCACTGGGTGGAAAATTAGTTGATGAGAAAAAGGAACCAAATGGAACCAGTGGTTAAACCATTAAAGGTAGAAAATTGAAGAAGAAGAAAAATAAACGTCAAGGTAAATAAAGAAGTTCTTCTGAAGAATCGTTAAGGTTCCAAATGAGTGATTAAGTCCAAATAGAGAACAGATGTAACAGTATTAATTCCAAGGCCCTGAAATAACGAAAGAAAAACAGTTAATTGTAACAATTAATTAGCAAAAAAAGAACAACATAAATTTGAAATTCCATCTGCTGGTTAAATGGGTTGGGCTGGTCAACCTTTTCCATAGCATTAAAATACAAACATTTATTGAGGAAAAAAAACTCACCCAATTGTTGATTGTTATACTTGTCAGGCCTGAGGAACAATTAGTAAAATTAACTGATTACCAGTCCATTGTTTAGAATGGAAAATATTACAATTTAATTGAATTAAAGAAAATTAAACAATTTGAAGTAAAAGAGAATAGAAAAATTTGTTTATTCTATTCTGCTACCTTAGTTACCTGAACGCTAAAAAGAAAAACAACTTTTCTTTTTCTTCTTTCCCTCTTTTCTTTTTTTCTCTTACTTTTTTCTCTTTCTTTTCTTCTTCTCTCAGGTAATGTAAACAAAATAGAAACAAAAAGAATTATTAATTTACAATCAATTCTTCCAAACGAATTAATCAACAATTAACCATCGCAATTTAATCTCAAAGGTGAGTGAACAATTTTCTTTAAATGTTATTAGCTTTTTCTTTGATTCTGTTTGTTAAGTTGATCAAATGTTCAATTGTTTCTTTGATTATATTGTTTATGTTTTTTTTCTTGTGTCTTACCATTTTGGTTGATGATTTAATTGTTGTTGTCAAGTTGCCAATTTAATTGCTGTGATTGTCCATTACCTTTGATTACAATCTACTTGGATCAAAAGGTTGATTGTTTCATTCATCCATTGGTTTCTTTTTGTTGGTGTTTAGGTTGACAAATTGTTGACAATTTCATTGGAAAGTTTGACTGTTTGTATATAGATGATTTTTAATTAAATCACTTGATGGCATTTCTAACTAATTGTCTGAATTATGAGATAATTTATCAATTGTTTAAATCAGCTCAATGAATTTCTAGATCTCTCATCTTGAAAATTAGGTTACTTTTAATGAGATTTATTCTTTGTTTGTTTTAGTTTAATCTCTCACTGGTTAATTAATTTTTCTCTTCCGAAAAAGATTGTTAAATTGTCTCTAATTTTGTGCCTCGTAATTTAGAATACGACAATTAATTTAGTCTAATTGTCAAAGAATTTAAATTATCCTGGATATGAGATTAATTAATTTCTTTTTTAGCTTTTTCTTTGTGCTTCACTTCACTTGTCTTCTTGTGACCATATGATTGGCAACCATTTTGTTAACTCTTTTAAATTCTTTTCTTTTTTTTTTTTTCTATTCTCTTTTTAGAAAAGAATCTTTTTTCCACCATGGATTTGTGTCAACTAATATTCCCCGTTAGTTATCCTGGAATGAAAGATTGTAAAAGTGTCCTACTAATCGGAAGCCCTGGTACGTGCAAGACAAGTTTACTCCTTCAAATGGCGAGTAGCCTAAGTCACCAATCTTGCAAGACTCTAAATTCCGACGACTGTACAATTATGTTCATCTGTAATTACCAGTTAACCAAGATTCCCCTTCATGTTCATCGGATGCCACAATTTGATGCAATTTCAGCGAAAAACATTTCCATCCAATACCTGAAAACCTTTGGTGATTTAATCTCCCATTTGGCAAACCTTTTCATCCATGTTGGTAAACTCACAGGAATTATAATTGATGGAATTGATAATTTTCTCAAGACAATCGATGAGAAAGTTGATGGCAATTACAAGGATTGTTTGGCTAAATTGTTTGCTCTTCTGGTTGATTTGGGTGGACATTATTCTGATTGTCAGGATGGTTTCGTCGGTGGTGATCCTTGTCCAATTGTAGCTTCATTTGATTCCAATGATGAAGATATCAATGAGAAAGTATTGATATCATCAATTGGAAATCATTTCTTTGAACAAGTTGCTAAAATTGAGCCTTGTACCATTCTTGGAACCCGATTAGGATTTAAAATGACCGATTCTAGTGACCATTGTATCTATTATTACATTGACGAAGGACAAATTTATCTGGATCGGATCTCGAAGATTAAATTAATCTACTAACATGTATTAACGATGATTAATCTTCAATGTCATTGGAAAAGCTTCAAATTTATTTCCAGCTGACTTGTTGATTTCTTTAAAAATGCCAGAGAGATTTTGGAAAATGATGATCATCTCATCTAAATAACTCATCGTCATCTAGTGGCCTCTCAAGTGTTACTCAGCAATTTAAATGAATTATCCAACTAAAGTTATATCCCTATCGATGCCAATTTCGTCTTGATATCGACACATCTTCTCACTCGACTTTTCAATTTTCTCTGACAATCTACCAGATGACTTGAGCATCTTGAAGTAAAAAAAAGTGATTTAATTATTACAGAAGCGAAAAAAATGGCAAAGCTTTGTAATTTAAACCTCCAAGGATAAATGATGAAGATAATGATAATGTAACGAGGATTATGACGACAAGGAAGAAGGAAACGAAGCGTCAAGATGAAGATGATAACAAAAAAAAAGAGATACGAGGATCCATGAAGGTGATTTTCGAGGCTCTGTGTCACCATGAGTACTTTTGAACACTTTCAAAGAATAACTGGATTACGTTTGATGTTTATTTTCTCAAATCATCATCATCATCGTCATCATTTGTACAAAAATAAGCCAAATTTTGAAGAAAATCTTCTGCTCCTCGTGCAAAAGATTTGCATGGAAGAGAAAGAGAAGGTTCTTCTTCCATCCTCTCAATCGAAGGTGTATATTCACGAGTGAACATGTACCTCTTTTTTTCACTCTTCTAATACTATTGAAAATGGAAACAATTATGAAACATTTGCTACTCTCTCTTCTCAGAATCAATTGCGAGTTGAGTGCAGATATTTTTCTCTACGATTGTGTGTTTCTAGCCACAGTTACCAAAAATAACCACTGCCACTGTACCATGAGCGATATTTGAAAGGAGAGGGAGAGAGAAGATAAATAGTGAGAATCAAAATCTTCCTCCTTAATCCATAATATAAATTCTAACTCTTATTAATCTGGTTAATATTCACGATATTAACCTGTTGTAAATAAGTTCTAAAACCTCAAAAGTCCAATATCAACGATCAAAAAGTTATATCATCTAATTTTCTGTGATAAATTATATCAATCGATTTCATCATAATGTCGGCTAAATGTCCAAAGTGTAGTAAAACTGTTTACGCCGCCGAGGAAATGTCCGCTGGTCCATTGAAGTGGCACAAAACATGCTTCAAATGCGGTAAGTATTTAAAGCCATCATTTTTCATAGACTAACACCAACTGATTGATTAACTGTTGATTTCTATCACAATTAATCCTGTCATTGTGGTAAATTTTCTGCCAACTATGGTTATCATTAATTTTCCATCTTCTATCCACTCTGATTTCTATTCTAATCATTTCCATTCTCTCTCTCTCTCTCTTCCGTCCATCATCAATTCCAGAGGCTTGTAACACTCGACTGGCTACAGGAAAAGCAGCTCGACACGAAGATAAATTGTACTGTCAACAATGTTATCTGAAAGGAATGTACGCAACCAAAGAATTACTAAATTGACTTTTTTTCTCCATCTCAACTAATCCAATTTTGGCCAACAATTAACATTTGATATTGTAACAATTTATTTATGGAATTACATTGCAAGTTCGCCAAGAAAAAACGGAACAGAATTTCACTCAACATTAGTCTACAATTTTAGATTTATTTACAGGGAATTTTGTTCATTTAGGTTTCTCTCTCACTCTCACTCACTCACTCACCGTCTTCCACATCATCCTAATCCAGTTTATCCTCATGTTGATCTCTCCTTTAAATCAATCTCTGTTACGAAAATGTTTCAATCTCAATGATAAATTGCAGTTAATTTCATTGAAATCATTATCATCAACTCATGATCGCCAAAATATTAAATGAAAAAGCCCAAATTCAAACAGAAACTGTAACTTACAGTATTACAATTAAATGTACTTACAATTTATTTATCTAATCAATCAGATTAAAGAGTTAATTTGATTTCAATGAACATAATTCATTTGAAAAACAATCAGTTAACCTTAAAATTAGATGATTAGATTGTTGATTATTTCAACGATTATTTGATAATCTAAATATTAATAAATCACTGGATTGATTTATTGAAGATGATTTGATTTTCTGTTTAAATTGATCAATCAAAATGTTAACCATTGCCAGATAAATTTACACTTGAAAACAAAAACTGCAAACATAATCAACTAATGTAAACTAATTGACAATTAATTGTAGTAAACTAAATTTGTTGGAAAACAGAAACTGTAACAAATTTAAATTGACAATTAGGATCATTGATTAACCACTGAAGTAATGATGATGAAGAGCAATCAATTGAGTTGAGTGCAATTTACTTGCTCAAGGTGATAATGATAATGATTAACAATTAGCTAATAACAAGATCAGTAAATAATAAAAAACAAAAATGAAACAATCAGCCAACAATTAACATAACCAATGATAAATTGGATTGAAACCAAAAAAAACAACAAAACAAAAACTTAAACAATTAAAACACTGACATGGTTAATTGTAAACTCTGTCACCATTATCAAGTTTAATCATATCCTTAACCATAATGATAATGGTTAATTTGTTTAAATTGCCAGAGGACAATTAAATTGATTCCGATGAGGGTAAATACTAAACAATAATAATTGCTAATGTTGATCGTAAGAAAAACATAGATTAATGTTAACTAATAATTACTATTTAGTTAATCATCGTTTTCTAATCATAATTAATATTCACAAGTTGATTAATATTATTTTCTAATGATTATCATGTCTTTATTAATGGATTTCATTTCATTTCATGAACTCAGGTAATTCCGGTAATAGTTACAAGTGTAAAAAGGTAATTTAATTTTTCTCGTTGATTACAATTAATCGTAATGATGTTTTCATCGTCATGATGATGATAAATTTAAATGATACAAATGAAACTCAGGTAATAATGATGATGAGAATGATGATGACAAGTGACACCGGAATAACGAGTAACAATTAGTCCACAAGAAGAAATGAGAAAATATTTTCTTTTCATCATCTAAATAGAGGAAAAATTGAAATAAAGGTCAACCACAATTCTGGTCTTGGTCAGTTTGATTTTCGGGTATCATTTAGTTTAACCTCCTTTACCTCAATCCGGTTGAATTAAATCATTAACTGTACCAGTTTGTATGTTTATACCGTTCCAATCAACTAATTGTATCTTTTTTCAGCCTTTATCAATGGTCAACTTTGCCAAATCGGTCTTGTCCAGTTTCTCAGGGGAGGGTCAGTTTTTTCCGTGTAACACTTAACAGAGAGGGAGAAATGATCGCAACGATCGTTACAACGAGGGAGCGAGAGAGTTAATTGATTTTTTGTATCTTTTTTTTGGATATAAAAGGCTTCGTCTTTGGTTGATATTGTCTTCATTTAGATTTGACTACTTGATTGTTGGTCATCAATTTGATTGTCGAGTGAATTGATTTTGATTTTGGTCATTATCTTTTTCTTTGGGTCTCTCTCTCTCTCTCTCTGTTTATCATCATGAATCAATCATTTTTAATTGTTTACCTGTTTCCCATTGGATTATTGTTTAATTGTTTGGTTAATTGTGCTCCTTTGTATGGAGAGATTGAAAGTGATATTGATACAACCAAACAATCAATTGTCCGAGCGAATCAAATTTTGGCTTCGATTAATCGAGATGTTGACCTTTGTCTGAGTAATTCTGTTGCTTGTACATTGAAAAGTTACGACGATTTGGATTATCAGACATTTGAACAGCAACAACAAGGATCCAATAGTTATAACGGTAATTCTGATTCATTGGTACCAACAACAGTTACTTATTCTGAATCCAATTCTGAGGTCAATGCGACACTTTCGCCAATAGCTGATTCAACGGGATCAACTTCATTGTCTCACTATGGTCGTGTTCCAATAACTAAGATCGTTGTACCACCTTCGTCAGATCAAAAGTTCACTCATGTTCTAGATGATATTGATTCCCTTGAAGTTCATGTTCAATCAGCGATAACAAATTTCACCTCGACCCGTCGATTCACCTACACGGCCATGTTGAAACCGATGCTGAAACATATTCACCAATTAAGGAACAATTTATCTCTTCTTCATAATCGGTTAATTGGTGTCGCTGCTTTGACCAATATCGCATCTCAGGTAAATGAATTGAGTGATCACATTTCTGATGCTTTGGTGGGCGGAAGCGATGTCCCATTGGACGACACACCTTCGAGTCCAGTGTCTTCATCGATCGCACCTTCATCATCTCAACCAACATCGACATCATCATCAACATCAACAACGACAACGACAACGACATCATCACCATCGATAGCATCAAGTAGTCAAAATCCAACAACAGTTAATAGTCAACCAAATTCATCAACAATCAAGGTCGAACCAGCAGTAATTTCATCATCAACGACACAAACTCCACCATCATCATCATCATCATCATTACCATCAAATCCAACAACAATTAACGACAACGATTTAATCGTTGAGACAACAACCAAAACAATACTTGGCTTAGTTGATGATGTTGATGAAGCTTCAATTACAAGCACAATTAAACCAATTTACTAATTTACTAATCCTTGATTAACTAATTGCAAATATTGTATTGATAATTTTATACTCTAATTTATTAAAAGTGATTAATTTATTGAACTAAACAATCCAAACTGATAAATCAATCAATTAGCTAATCATGATACAAGATTAACTTACAGACGATTCTCATGAGATAGTTAACTCATTTCTACGATATAATATTCAATTGGGACTTGATGGAAACGGAAGTGACCTGACAAGTAAACATTTTCTAAGGTCACATGTGTGAGGGGTAGACTTCCGATTTCAATTCATCACAGCTAATTAGAAGGGAACATGACGAGGGCGAGAAGGAGAGCGAGAGAGAGAGAGAGAGAGAGAGAGAGAGAAAAGATGATGATGAAGATTGAAGAAATTTTTGCGAAATTCAGTTTGGCCCAAGATTTTTGTTCCTAAAATAAGAGAAGAGAGAGCGAGACATGTGTAAGCCATGTTGCTTTTCGATCAACAATCATCTATATTTGGACCAAATATCTATCGAATAAATCTAAACATTATCCCTGTTCAATTGGAAGAGGGAAAAGGTCAGTTCATGTTACTTGTCCTCTTCGAATCGGATCATTTTTCACCAAAGTTCAACAATAGATTTGCCTCATCTTCGGTTTTCATCTTTACTTATCTTCGTCATCTTTTTGGTTCATTACATTTTCGTTTTGTTTTCATCTTAACCTCATCTTCCTCCTTCTTCCTTTATTTCTCTCTCTCTCTCTCTCTCTCTCTCCTCCTCTTTGATTTTCTCATAGTTAGACAACAGTTTTTGGCAAACTATCAGCACCCAATGGTAACTTCCGGCCTTCGAATACATAAAATTCTATTTATCAAGGTTTTCTCTTTATTTTCTTTTGTGTTATTTCCTGAATATCTTTGGTTTCCAGTTTTTGATTCATTCGATTCTCATCCAATATAACTGAAAATTTCCTTGTGTCGTTAATTTGTAGTAATCTAATTTTAATAGAACACAATTTAAACTGTTCAAACCGAGTTCTATTAATATCCTATAACTAATTTATTAAACTGACTCCAATTTTCTATGTGAAAATTTAACTTAATTGGACTTACCTTAAGAAATGAGAAGATTCATCTTTGTCCATTATCGATGTGGTCAGTTGGAGGTTGATTTTCGCAGTATTTTTAAGACATCTTTACCTGACAGTATTAGATTATTTCGAATGGACATTCCAACGCTGTCTGGTAAGATGTCTCTCTTTTTTTTCTGCACCACGATGAGAGACAATTTGCAAATTCTCTCGGATAAGTAGGTCACATAGGCGAATGTGTAGTTGATATCGTAGAATAAAAAACATTTAAAACTAAAAGTGAACAGAGAAAAAGTAACAGTAAAGATTAGAAAACTAAAAAAGAAAATTGATTAACAAAAGGAAAAACTAATAAACTAGAAGCGTTTTTGAATGTTAATGATTGAAGATTTGATGGGAATATAAGAGTATATTGATGATGATGATGAGGATGATGTTGAAGGTTATGATGACGAAGACAAGATGATCAGAATATGAAGATAGGAACGATGTAGGTAAACGTTTTGTCTGTTTATAAGTGGAACGAAAAGCGAACTTAAAAAAAATCGAAAAAAGGAAAAGCTCTCTCTGATGATGATACCTTTTCTCTATCACCAATTCATCTTCTTTCGTCAAACTCCTTATCCTCTCTCTCTCTCTCTATTTTCTTCTTATTCTTATATTTTCAAGTGTAAGGTTTTCTTTCTGCTGAACCAGCGATTCGTTGCAACTCGAACTTTGTTCCTCTTGTTTCCAGTAAATTATGATAATGGTTCACGTTGTTGAACAAGATGAACATCATGTTAATGAGGAAGATCAAGACGATTAAGAAAAACAAGGTTACAAATGAAGATGATGTAGATTATTGGGTAAAGAAGGGGATTAGAAGGACATCAACACGTTGTTACCATTTTATCATCAAAACGGTAAAGAACCAGGAAGACAAATTAAAGATGATAAATGAAGATAATTATGAAGAAAGTTAACTGGAAGAGAGAGAGAGAGAGAAAACCAATAAATAAATATAAGGTAAGAATCTAATTTGATCAACTGATTATTAGAAATAAAAAGAACACAAAGAAAAAAACAAAAAGTACACATTGTAACAGAAAAACATGGAGGATAAGGGAGAGAGAAAGAAATGAAAATGAATTTGAAAAAAAGAGGAAGATAAAGGGCAAGAAGAGACGATGAAGAGAAAGAGGGAAAATGTTGAGAAAATGAGGGAGAAAGAGAAAAAGAAAGAGAATATGAGTAAGAGTTTGATGATGTTTTGTTTCTCTCTTTGAATGTAGTCAACATGGCGATAACAGTTGTGAGAAGAAAAAAGCAATTAGCTAATTGTTTAATTCTCCAAGTGTGTTAATCAATGTGTTACATTAATATTGTTTCTCTTCTGTAAACTCTTCATCATCATCATGTCCTTAAATATAATCACCAATAAACCACAAACATAATCAATTGAAAGAATCAACCAGTTGGTGTATCTTTGTCTTGTCTCAATTTCTCTCATCATATTTATCATCATTAGATCATCATTCTCATCAATTTTTTGTTCGTATCTTCCACTCAAGTGGAGGATTGATGATGATGATGAGAGAGAGAGAGAGAGAGAGAGAGAATCATCTTTGGTTATATTGTACAGATTAAGAAACAACAAAACAAAATTATTGATACTACAGGTAAGTGGATAGATGAACAATTTACAATGATGATGATATTGATTGTGAAGATGTTGGAAACGACATAAAACTATGGAAAAGATAAAACTATGAGAAGAAAATGATTTTGAAATGTTTAGACGATGAAGAGGATGAAGAGTGAAGAAGATGAAGAGATTATATATAATATCTCACTATTTTTACTCACTTTCAAAGCGACCCTTTATCCCGAGGATGATGATCCATAAGAAGATGATGATGAGGATGTAAGAGAGATGCACATATTTCTTTTTCCATTTCATCTTCTTTCCTTTTCTCTTTCTTATCATCATCTAAAATATCCTGACTTTACCATCTCTCTCCCTCTCCCTCTCTCTCTCTCTCCTACGTTTATAATAACCAAGTGTGTGTGTGTGTGTCAAGGGAAAGACAAAGATGAGAGTAGAGAGAGAGAGATGTCAAGAGAGAGAAGATAAATTTAGAAGAAAAAGAAAATTTCGATCCCAAAAGATGCGGAGGAAGAAAAGATGAAAACAGAAATAAAGATGACGAAGTGTAGGAAAAATGAGTAGGCCAGAAAAAGACAAGAGTTGATTGGAATGAAAATTATGTACATGTTGTTATCATCCATTGGCTATAAATGGTATCCATCTTGTTCCCAAACGATAAACTAACAATTAAAAAGAAAAGAGAATATAAATTTCCCATGTAAATTGGAAATTAATCAAACAACAATTAACAGAATAGAACAAAGAAAAATCAAGACTTACACTTGAGGTAGAAAAACAAAGAAACTATAGACAAACCATAGAAATCAATCAATTCTCCATGGAACCGTAACTCCAAACAATTGACCGAAAGAATCAATGTTAACACTAGTTAATTATTGTCAATTAGAAGAAGACACAAAGGTAACAATCAGTTAATTAAATAGAAAATTTGAAAATCAATTAGAAAAGCAAAAGAAAAACAAAAGACAAACCTGGAAAAGGAAACAGTTGAACAGGAAAACCGTTTGTTTGGTTACATGTGATTCTCAACATAATAGTTTTGTTTTGGGAACTAAATTAATGTTTAATTGTTGTTGTTGTTGATTAATTGTTGGAGATAAATTGTTGATACTCTAAGGTGGACATTCGCGTACAATCACAGGAGAAAAATTAATTAATCAATTATAAGAATATAAATAATCAAGAGAGAGAATCAAATGAGTGAGATGATCTTTGGTTCGTTAACATATGATCAGTTAAAGCGAAGGAGGAAAATTGGATAAACAAGGATGATGATGGAAGATGATGATGATGAGGATGATGATGATGATGAGGATGATGATGATGATGATGGAGTGTGGAGGAAGGAAGATGACATGAAGATTAAATTGTAAATAATCAACAATTAATTGCCATTAAATCACATTGTATTAATTAGTTGATTTTGTAACCTTCAACTTGTGAATATTTTTGTTGTTGATCAAAGTGATTGTGGTTTTAATTGTTGAATTTAATTTTCTTCCCAATTCAACAATTTAAATTAAATCATTTCAATTTATTAATTGTATCTTATTATACACTTATTATTAATTGTTACCTGTTGTTGTTGATTGTTATTTGCTTCAGGGTAAAAATAATTAACTTGTTTTCTTAAAGTTTATTTAATAGTTTCGTTGATCAGGTTAATTGTTGTTGTTACAATGTTTCAATTAAATTGTTTTAAGTTAATTGTTTTATCAAAAAAGGTTAATTGATCAATATAAATGATACACTGTGATTATCTCATCTGTTTGTTAATTACTCTTGTTAATTATTATTATTGATCATTGTTGGATTTCAATGTTCAGTTGATATTAATCATGATTACAAGTTAATTGTTTCCTCTTCATTATTGAGTTAATTGCTGAGAATCAATGTGAAATTAAATATTGATTAATTGATTGTTGAAACTAAATCACTTGAGAAATTAATTTGCGATCTAAACTTAAATCATTATTATGATAATTGAGAAATTAAATTGTATCAACTATTAGATGATTACTTTATTGTTATTGCTGTTAATTACATGTAATTCAGTTGCTTGATAATTGAGATGATAATTTGTTAATTGTTATCTTCCAGGTGATTATTTGATTGGAACAATTAAAAAAAAAGATTCACCGATATGACGAAACAATTTCGTTCAATGGTCAGTTAGTCTTGTCCATTAGCCGATCCTACGATTTTGTAATCGATATAATTGTTGACCTGAATTCGTCGGCGATTTAGTAACTTGCATGTTATTATTTTGACCTGGAATTCCCGTCAGAGGCCTCATATTGCTATTCTGATTGATTCCTTGTTGTGGTGGACTGTTGATCCCATTATTATTAACTGGACCAAAGTTTTGACCATTTGTTTGTCCATTCATTTGATTGCCCTGAGGGTAATTTCCTTTTCCGTTATTAATTGGAGCCATTTGTCGATTACCTCGAGTCGATTGTCCATTTTGGGTCATCATTGAAGTACCACCAGTAGAAGATGTTTGACCGTTGGAACCTTGACCAGAGTTAAATTTATTCTGTTGCGAATTTCCGTTCATTCCTTGACCCATCGAGTTCCAATTGTTTCCATTCTTGACCGTTCGTCGATTATTTTGATTCACTTGTCTTGCGACTCGAATTTTTTCTGATTTCGAAAAAGAAAATCAATTAATTTAATCGATTAAATTGTTTATATTGATTTTCTCTTACCTAATGTTTGAAGATCTTCCCCAATGAACAATAGATCCTCGGTGATGATACAAAATAGTCCATACAATTAAAAGATTTCAAACAATTTAGGATAACAATTAAAACTAAAAAGTTATTTAGATGGGACATTTTATAACGAATTGAATACAGAACTTTGATAAACTTATCAAGGTACCGATCATTTGATTGTAACAATCAGAATGATAGGTGAACCAGTGTAACAATCAGGCTATATAATAGTCAAGAAAATTGAATTAAATAGCAAACAATGAAGGAAAAACTTTTAATCGTTGGTTAATTTTTTGAAAAAATTACCTCAAGTACTTAATCAAATCCCACATTAAAGTAATCATATGATTACACAAAGAAAAGGTCTAATTATCAAGGTAATTACCTTAATTGTTTGCATCCCAACCAATTTACCACAAGCCAATGTCACATAATAATAGTTACAAGTTAATTGATAAACCAACACAATTTCATAAAATATAAATTGAACACTACAATTGAATAGCAAGAAATTACAAACCAACCAAAAGAAATCACAATGAACCATTCTGATTAACAATCAATAACTTTGACAGATAAATTGATGATAACGATTGATGAATAAATCTAAAGGTTTCTTTCACCAAGTAAATTGATTGTAATAGTTGACTAACTGATGAATCTTTTAAATTGTAGGACAGTTGGACTTGCACAGATAATTGTTAATGAGATCGACATGAGAGAAGCGATAAATTCTGATGTGATTACGAACAGATTACCAAAGGTAAATCCGACATCTTGTTTAGTTAATCGGTAGAGATATAATCTAATCTGAGGATTAACAAGTGATAAACATAATGGATTAGATTTTCACAACAATTAAAGTCTATTGGTGATACTTACCTGTTGTCGAAAGTGTCTCATATTTGAATAAAATGAAATCTCATACAAATTCTCAGTAAATTGATACGATAAACTGTTAACAGCAATCAGGTTGTAAGTTAAATAAGACATAATAAATAGATTGGTTAGTCCGAAATGATAAAATCGAAATGAACTCGAAGTGAACAAAATGTGAATACAAATTTCAATCGTACTGTAAGAAGCAAATTCAATGTAAATCCAAGTGATATAATACCTGATGAATTGTTCAGCTGATTGTGTCACTCTTATTGATTTACTATGAAACAATTGATGTCTTTTCAGCTTAAATCTCATTAATCTAACTTTCAGATCACTTTTTTCAACAGCAGATCCAAGAGTAAACTTTAATTGGTCAAATTCAATATTATTGAGATAAAATAAACCCTGTAAACATAGACTAGTGTCCAATACAATATTCAACATGAAACACCAGGAGAAAACCGACAAAACATACATGAAAATCTCATGAACCTGAATATTTGTGAATCATAAGAATCAGACAGAAGTGATTTCACCAATATAGTAAAATAGCTGAAAAATACTGCGATTAAGATGATGAATTTGATTTTGCGACGTTTAGAAATGTAACTCGTAATTGTTGAGTTGTTGACAATCAATTGTTCAATTGAATTAACATAATCGGTAAACTGGTTCCATTTCAATCCAAATATAACAAATAAAGATCTGATAATTGATGTGGAGCTATTAATTATCACGATTGCACAAGTGAAACCAGTTGATTTGGTTATTGTTAAGCAAAGAGATGATCCCAATATCGACTGGATAATACCGTTGGTCAAAGGTCCGATTGTGAACATAATTATCAGGATCCATCTTAAATGAGTTGATCTACAATGTAAACCTTTCGTTATAAATGTTTGGGTCATTTTTGTTTAATGGTCAAAAACAGTGACAAATTTAGACTGATAATGAGTCTTTAATCAAATGAAGATGATTCGATCAATTATTTTTTATTCGAGAATTTTATTGATTTTTTTGATTTAGCAAATTTCTCAATGTTTCTTTAGCGCTTATGATCATTAACACAGAGAATATCAAATTATGGTTATCAATATAATTTTTAAATTGTTTCCAATTTAAACCAACTACAATCAATGATGATCTTGTAATTTGAAAATAATTAAATTGAGATTAAATTTGATCACATATAATGATTTACCTTGGAAATATAAACCTTGGGTAACAATTGATTTAACCATTGGATCTTAATTTTGTTTAAATTGAGATTACATTGATTAATAATCAACTGAATCAATTTTCATTTGGACCTTTTTAGTTATTGGTGACAATTGTTTGATTGATTGTGATTGTAATCGCATTTTATATTAAATCAGTTTAAATGATCGATGTGATCAGTAAATTCAACCAATAAATTGACTACTGGTTTCGAAATTTACATAATTTAATAGATTTGATTAGATTAATATTTTAATTGAAAAGATTGAAACAATGTGTAAGTTTTTAGTATATTTTTATTAATTTAGTAGCTATTAATACATCAAATGTTGTTTTAGTTGATTAAATGAATGATTCTAATTAACTAAAGAATCGTTTAAATTGTAGGACAGTTGGACTCGCACAGATGATTGTTAATGAGATCGACATGAGAGAAGCGATAAACTCTGATGTGATTACGAACAGATTACCGAAGGTAAATCCAACATCTTTTTTAGTTAATCGGTAGAGATATAATCTAATCTGAGGATTAACAAGTGATAAACATAATGGATTAGATTTTCACAACAATTAAAGTCTATTGGTGATACTTACCTGTTGTCGAAAGTGTCTCATATTTGAATAAAATGAAATTTCATACAAATTCTCAGTAAATTGATACGATAAACTGTTAACATTAATCAAGTTGTAAGTTAAATAAGACATAATAAATAGATTGGTCAGTCCAAAATGATAAAATGTGAAGGAACTCGAAGTGAACAAAATTTTAATGCAAATTTCAATCGTACTGTAAGAAGCAAATTCAAGGTAGATCCAAGTGATATAATACCTGATGAATTGTTCAGCTGATTGTGTCACTCTTATTGATTTACTATGAAACAATTGATGTCTTTTCAGCTTAAATCTCATTAGTCTAACTTTCAGATCACTTTTTTCAACAGCAGATCCAAGAGTAAACTTTAATTGGTCAAATTCAATATTATTGAGATAAAATAAACCCTGTAAACATATAGTAATGTCCAATACAATGTTCAAGATGAAACACCAGGCAAACAATGAAAATGTATCCAAACCAAATCCAATGAATCTAAAGATTTGAGAACTATAAGAATTATTCAGAACTGATTCAGTGAATATGATCTGATAGCTGAAAAATACTGCGATTAAGATGATGTATTTGATTTTGCGACGTTTGGAAATGTAACTCGTAATTGTTGAGTTGTAAACAATCAATTGTTCAATTGAATTAACATACTTGATAAACTGGTCCCATTTCAATCCAAATATAACAAATAAAGATCTGATAATTGATGCGGAATAATTTATGGCCAATACGAAGCAAAATGCGCCATTCGATTTGGTTATTTTCATGCAAAGTGATGATTTCAATATCACCTCAATAATACCGTTGGTCAAAGGTCCAAATGTGAACATAATCAGTAAAAACCATTTTAATTGAGTTGATTTACAATGTAAACCTTTCGTTATAAATGTTTGGGTCATTTTTGTGTAATGGTCAAGAATTAATTCATACTTATCGTCAACCTTTGCTCATAAGAAACTGTCGACAAGAGTTTAGAAATTGATTCAATCAATCATTATTCATTTTTACAATTTTTCTCATCTATTAGTTTGATTGATTATTCAAAATTTAAAATTAAATTCGATAGATGGTAATTCAGCTACTATTTTCATTCTTTATGTGACTTTAATCGGAGAAATTTATTTTGTTTGTATCAATCATTCAACCGCTGAGAATTTATTAATAAAATTGATTAACTTTTGAAATTAATGAATTTTTCAGTACAACTATTGTCGGACTCGCACAGATGATTGTTAGTGAGATGGACATGAGAGAAGCGATAAACTCTGATGTGATTACGAACAGGTTACCGAAGGTAAATCCAACATCTTTTTTAGTTAATCGATAGAGATATAATCTAATCTGAGGATTAACAAGTAATAAACATAATGGATTAGATTCTCACAACAATTAAAGTCGATTGGTGATACTTACCTGTTGTCGAAAGTGTCTCATATTTGAATAAAATGAAATCTCATACAAATTCTCAGTAAATTGGTGCGATAAACTGTTAACAGCAATTAGATGATAGGTAATGTAACTAATTAGCATCGTATTAACTATGGCAAAATTAAGATAACGAACTAAATTAATTTGAAATAATAAAATAGCACTGGTTTCACTTATCATGTAAAAAGCATATTCAAAGTAGATCCAAGTGATATAATACCTGATGAATTGTTCAGCTGATTGTGTCGCTCTTATTGATTTACTGTAAAACAATTGATGTCTTTTCAGCTTAAATCTCATTAATCTAACTTTCAGATCACTTTTTTCAACATCAGAATCAAGGGACAACTTAAATTGTTCAAATTGGTTGTTCACTAATTTGAATATCCCTTGTAAACAGATACACAAATCAATTGCGAGTCCAACCATATAACACCAAAGGACAATTGATAATAAATTGACAACAATTAGAAACAATTTACTAATCGTAAGTGAACCATTTGTACTCAGTACTGATAACATGAAAATACTTAGATAATCACTAAAAACTACAATTAACATGATTAATTTGATTTTTCGATGCCTGGAAATGTAAGCTGATAATACAATTGTTTCACTCAGATTAGTAGTAATCAAGTATTTAAGATAATCAACATAATTATTAAATTGTTTCCAATTTAAACCAAATACGATCAATGATGATCTTATGATTGCAAGAATATAATCGATAAGTTGAATTAAACAATATCCAGCATTTGAATGGGACAATTTAAGACAAGGTGGAAATCGTAATATTAATTGTGAAATATTGTTGATTAAAGGACCGATTGTGAAAGCAATTAACACAAACCATTTTAATGAATTAGCTTGGAAATATAAACCTTGGGTAACAATTGATTTAACCATTGGATCGTAATTTTGTTTAAATTGAGATTACATTTGATCACATTGATTAATAATCAACTGAATCAATTTTCATTTGGACCTTTTTTAGTTATTGGTGACAATTGTTTGATTGATTGTGATTGTAATCGCATTTTATATTAAATCAGTTTAAATGATCGATGTGATCAGTAAATTCAACCAATAAATTGACTACTGGTTTCGAAATTTACATAATTTAGTAGATTTGATTTAGATTAATAATTTTAATTGAAAAGATTGAAACAATTTGTAAGTTTTTTAGTATAAATAGGTAAATCCGACATCTTGTTTAGTTAATCGGTAGAGATATAATCTAATCTGAGGATTAACAAGTGATAAACATAATGGATTAGATTCTGGTCACAGTTAAAGTCGATTGGTGATACTTACTTGTTGTCGAAAGTGTCTCATATTTGAATAAAATGAAATCTCATACAGATTCTCAGTAAATTGGTGCGATAAACTGTTAACAGCAATCAAGTTGTAAGTCAAATAAGACATAATAAATAGATTGGTCAGTCCAAAATGATAAAATGTGAAGGAACTCGAAGTGAACAAAATTTTAATGCAAATTTCAATCGTACTGTAAGAAGCAAATTCAAGGTAGATCCAAGTGATATAATACCTGATGAATTGTTCAGCTGATTGTGTCACTCTTATTGATTTACTATGAAACAATTGATGTCTTTTCAGCTTAAATCTCATTAATCTAACTTTCAGATCACTTTTCTCAACATCAGAATCAACAGTACATTTTAATTGGTCAAATTCATTGTTATTCAAATGAAATAAGCCCTGTAAACATATAGTAATGTCCAATACAGTGTTCATCATGAAAAACCAGGCAAACAATGAAAATGTATTTAGCCCAAAACCAATGAATCTAAAGATTTGTGAATCATAAGAATCAAACAAAACTGATTCAATGAACATAATCTGATAACTGAAAAATACTGCGATTAAGATGATGTATTTGATTTTGCGACGTTTGGAAATGTAACTCGTAATTGTTGAGTTGTTGACAATCAATTGTTCAATTGAATTAACATAATTGGTAAACTGGTTCCATTTCAATCCAAATATAACAAATAAAGATCTGATAATTGATGTGGAGCTATTAATTATCACGATTGCACAAATGAAACTAGTTGATTTGGTTAAGCAAAGAGATGATCCCAATATCGATTGGATAATACCGTTGGTCAAAGGTCCAAATTTGAACATAATCAATAAAAACCATTTTAATTGAGTTGATTTACAATGCAAACCTTTCGTTATAAATGTTTGGGTCATTTTTGTGTAATGGTCAAGAATTAGTTCATACTAATTGTCAACCTTTGCTCATAAGAAACTGTCGATAAAATTTTAGAAATTGATTCAATGAATTTAGCAAATTTCTCAATGTTTCTTTAGCGTTTATGATCATTAACACAGAGAATATCAAATTATGATTATAAACATAATTATTAAATTGTTTCCGATTTACACCAAATACTATCAATGATGATCTTGTAATTTGAAAATAATTAAATTGAGATTACATTTGATTACATTGATTAATAATCAACTGAATCAATTTTCATTTGGACCTTTTTTAGTTATTGGTGACAATTGTTTGATTGATTGTGATTGTAAATTAAATCAATTTAAATGATCGATGTGATCAGTAAATTCAACCAATAAATTGACTGCTGGTTAAGTAATTTAATAGATTTGATTATGTTAATGGTTTTTAATGAAAAGGTTGGAACAATTTAATTTCAGTTTATTTTTGTCTAATTGTGATTTGATTGTTTGCTCATCTTTAATTCATCCAATGATGTTGTTGATTTATTGAATGAGATTCTAATTGTTTGTTTACAATAATTAAGGATCACAGTTGATTTCCATTCAATTGAAATGAATTTTTTTCCTCTTATTGTTTGTTAATTCATCTTTTTGTTTTTGGTTTTTATCTCAATGGGATTAACCATTGGGGTAATACAATTAAATTTGATTTAGTTTAAATTCAACCGCTCGGTTAACCGTTAGGAACAGTAAACAAAGATAATATATGAATTGGCCTGGAACAATTAAGAGAGACGAGATGATTAAATTAAGTCCTGTCTGTGCAACTTGATGAAAAAAAGTAAATCATTTTGTTGATTATTAACTCAGATGAACTTCAGTTAATCAAAATGTTTAAGTTAAAGGTTAATTGTTAATCAATGGATTAATATGAAGGTGAATTGGTTAATTGTGTTAATCTTTCAACAGGTTAATCTAGTGATCGGCGATTACTCTCAACTTTTCTGTGACTTTGAAACTGACCTTTGCTCGTGGCGACATGAAGTTGCTTATACCAATGGTCTTAAATGGAGTCTCTCTGAACCTGATGGTCAATGTGCCTACGGCGATGCTCATTGTCCTTATTCAACTGACCGATACCTTTACACAACATCCAGAGTGTTAACTACCAACGGATCTTTCGTGCGCATTGGACATTATCCTTTGGCCGCTCAACTCACCGGGAAATGTACCTTGAGCTTAAAATATATCGCTCATGGAATCGGTTTCGCTAAACTGGTCATTGGTATTCGTATGGTTGGTGACCGAGAACCTGAGCCGATCTTGGTCATCCACAGTTCCAAGGATAACGATTGGAGGGCGGTTAAGATACCCTTAGTGGCCAGTTACGTTTTCACGCCCGTGATTGAGGCCATAAGACTTGATTCGGTTGATTCGAGCTATTCAACGGTCAATGGGTTCGTGGCCATTGATGACACTTTGATCAGTGATGGTTGTTTGCGACATGGTGACTCACCGCTTGGTGATCCGATTTCTGAGTCTAATGGTCACTTTGATTCGCCCCCTTCATCTCCTATGCTTAGTAGACCTGCGAAAGTGTCCAAAGGTTCAAGGGACAAGTTACGTGACATGATTACCGATTGGAGAGGGTTGGGCAAGTTACCACGACCGGTGACTAGTTTACCGAGGCCAATATTTACCGATCAACCGGAGGATAAAGACGAAGAGGGTAAAAAGTCAAACTCAAGGTCGGGAGGAAAACGGAAGAAAAAAAGTCGCTTCAAGGCTTATAAATCGGTTCGAAATAAACATCCAATTTGTAGCGACGGACTTGATGACGAAGGTGATGATGTCCGAAGTGGGACTAACCCGTTGGATGATTTTAATTGTGAGACAACAGTAACTCGATGTTCAGAGAATCGAGGGATTTGTGATTTCAAAATGGACTGTGAAGATGGTTCAGATGAATTTCGTTGTCCGTCAATTTGTGACCTCGACTCAGTAACGGACCAAGAAGCGTTTAAAGAGCTGTGTGGTTGGTCACAGACTCGTTCAGGTACTCGATATGCCACTTGGGTACTAATCTCGGGCTCACATGCATCCAAATACTTTCAATTGCACCCACTTCGCGATGCCACCGCGGGAACAGTTCAGGGCAAATATTTGATACTTAATTTAGTCGATTTACCTCATTTGCCCTCCGTTCACCTCAACTCACCGACCTTTTACTCTTCAAGGTCAACCTGCTACTTTACTTTTTCTTATATAATCTACGATCTATCGGCCATTTTTTATGTCACTCTGACGGTTGATTCTGACGGCGACGGAGCAAGTGATGGGAAAGGACTGTCGGTTCTCTGGAAAAGCTCGACCGCTCCGTCGACCACAATCATCGCTCGAAACAAAATGTCCACCTGGAAAATGCGTCCGCTTACATTGGCCGACAATCGAGTCCGTTTTTTCTGACCTTCTCTCGATCGGCTGCTCCCTTTTCCTCGCAAGGAACTGTCGCTTTGGACAATTTACAATTTAATGCATGTTAATCACAATTAACTCTAAAATGATTAAAAATCAAACTTAATTTTCCGAATAATTTTCAAGTCCTGATTGTTTAGAATCACCATTTAGTTAATTAGTCTAATCAGTTTCTTTTTTCAATTCAAACTGTTTCATTTCCTTAATCATATCAATTAAATGTTAACCAAAGGTTGAGTTTAATTTAGAAACAAATTTAATATAAAACTCATTTTGTCTTATTGTTTGGTAAGAAATCAATTAATTCCTTGACAATTAGTGACAATTAGAATTGATTTTGTTTTATTAGAAACAATCTATTAAATAATAGTAATAATTATAATAACTTGGAGAAAGAAAATTTTTAACCTTAACCAGATTAATTAACACAATTAATTAGGATTATGATTAATGATAAACTTTCCCTTTTCTCTTAAGGATTTTGACAATTAAAGGTAAAACCTGAATATATATTTTTCTTATATTATATAATTAGGCTGCTTGCATTTTAATTGCAAGTTTGATCAAATACTAATTAATTTAAATCCCTTTGTAGTGGTTTGATTTTTGTAACTTAAATTGAATACAATCATTTGTCCCAATAAGATTGATTTATCAAAATATATAATCATTTATGTATATAATTTTTTCTTGCTATTTTTTTATCAATTGAATTGTTTTTTTTGATTTTTTTGTTAGTTTTCATTGATTAAATCAAAAATTGAACACAATCTAAAATCTTTCCTCTTTGATTAATCTCATCTTTTTCTTTAAGCCCTAGTTGTAATTTTTTCTTTCTTCTTGCTGATTTCTGATTACGCGATTGAATTGTGTTATTTTCAAGTTTTCTTGTTGATGGTGTGATGGTTGTTGACGTTGACGGTGTTTTTTTGATGATTTAGATGTTTGAATATATAAATTTATATTATTAAGATGTAAATAATAATTTGTTTTAAATCTCAAGGCAAAGGTGTGATGACTCTTTTCTCTGCCTGTTTTTTCAAAAAGTGTTTTTAGCTTTTTGAAAAGTTGTGTTCACAAATTCTCCCCCAAATATTAATATATTGATGATAAACATGTTTTTTTTGGTGATGATCACTATCAACAATTAAATGTATATAAACCCATTAGTGTCTCTTGACGAATCAACATTAAGCAAATAAAATGATATTATTCCTCAGGATTGTGTGAGTGTTGGTGTTGTTTGCTACAACTGCCCTTTAGATTGCGTTTAGTAGGTTAGTTTTGCAAGAGGGATGAAGCAACTCGGTTGCTTGATAAGCCCCATCCACGAGATTTAGGTGATTCAGAAGTATCTGATCCACCATCGCCAAGCATTGATGGAAATTCCTCAGAATTAGATGTATCAGGCATACTTTGTGATTGTTCCCAAGGTGCACCTTTAACATAAAATCCACGGCCAGGGTCAGCTCTTGGTGTGTATTCCTTTTCATCGTTGGATTGTCTAGGAGGTCGATATTGTTCCTCGACATCATCAAGCTAATATTAAGAGAGAAAATTAATCAATGAGATAAGTTTTAATTTTTCTTTTCATCAAGTGCAAATGACCTTCAATTTGTTAGCATAGAAATTGGAAATGTATTTTAATCACTTGATACTGATAAAATGAAGTGGATAAAAGTTTCTTAATGATAATAAGAGAAGATTAATCAGATTAATCAAAGACAATACTTACATAGTCATCTTGAAGAGAGAGTAAATGCTCTCTTGCTCTTTCAATATTATCAGGTTCGCCCGAAATAGTGACCAGATTTGGATTGCTACTGTTTTCCTTAGGGAATTTAACTTCAACTTTAAACTGACTCATAATGTTATTGATATTTCTACCTCGGGCACCTATTAATCGTCGATGTACCTTAGCGTCAATTTCAACCTCTTCAGATGTTGAGTTTTCCAATTTTCTAACAATATCAAGGATAGCTGCTTTAGCGGCTTCGGCATTTTTTTCGTAACCAATAATTGAGATAATGTCGGAAACTTCGTCTTTCTTTTCTGGTGGGAATTGGATTTGAACCTCAAATTGTTTTCGGATTTTAGAAACAATTTTACCACCTTTTCCAATAATCTTAGGATGGTGAGCAGGATCAACTTGTATCTCCAATTTGAAATTTTTAGCATCCCGTTCCAACTGTTCATCCTTAAGCTTTTGTACTTTCTCATTTATTGCTTCGATGGCCATCTCAACGTTAGACCGGGTTCCCTTGACCTTAATTGAATCCTCTTGCTTGTCAGAAGGAGGAACAGAAATGTCAACATCAAACTTTTCTTTCATCTCTCTAATATTAGCTCCTTTTTGACCAATGATAAACCTATGAAAACTAAAAGGCACTTCAACTTCTTTAGTAACTGGAATTGATTCAAGAAGGGCATTTTTAGCGGATTCGCAGTTCTCTTTTCGACCCTTCAATACGATTATGTCAGATTCTTTTGTCTTATCATTACTTTGAGTTTCAGGTGCTTCATCTTGAACTGCTACCTCACCATCAGCATTACCATTCAGAACACCATCTTTAGAATCACCAGTATCACGTTTAGGGAATTGAATTTCAACTTTATGCTCACTTTGAATACTTTGAACATTTCTTCCTGCTTTACCCATGATGTTTCGGTGATAAACTTGAGGAATAACTACTTCCATAGTTACTTGAGCTTCCAAATCACCAACCATTTCTGTAATACGAGTCTTTGCCATTTCAACACAGTCCTTGGAACCTCTGATACTAACAACATCGCTATTATTGCTTTTAGGAAAAGTGATCTGTAAATCACCCAATCCTTCCTTAATCTGCCGTTGAGCAGAAATGCGTTTGAAATGGGCATGATATTGTGGTGGAATCTTAGCGGTATCTTCGACAATCTTTTCCAAATCTTGAATCATTTCCTCCAATTCAGCTTTAGCCTTGAGAACACCATCTTTTTTACCAACAATTGTGATTAATCCATCAGAAACATCGTCCCCATCAGCAGGGAACATGATTCGCACACCGGTTTTGGTTCGTAATTTATTGATATTGGTACCTTTTTTACCAATAAGGAACCTATGTAATTCGGGTTTAGCTTTGATTTCCACTTCAAAACTGTTCTCAACTTTCTCATTTTTCAATTCAAGCAATTGTTGTTTTGCTTTTACAACCATCTCTTTAGGTCCAATGATTGAGACTTTTTCGCTTCCGGAATTTTCAGGGGGGAAGTTGATAGTAACACCACCACATTCATCACTAATTGATCTAATGAGGCTACCCTTTTTACCGATAAGTGAATTATGAAACTTAGCAGGTATGAAGATATCAATCTGAACATGATTTCCTAATTCTTTTTGAAGCTGTATGATCATTTCTTTGGCTTTTTCAACATCATCTTTCTTGCCAGAAATGATAATAGGAGGAAGGCTGGTTGGTTGTTTTGCTTCCGGTTGATTGGGTTGGCTAGGCGGTAGATCGACGCGAGTATTGGTTTCTTTGCTCATCTGAACGGAAAAGGGCGTTTGAAGAGGAAAAAAAAGAAATTGATTTAAAAAAAACAGTGAAATACAATATTGTATGAGAAAAATAAAATTGTCGATGTGGCACGTTTTGAAACTGTAATCAATAATCATTTCCATTATCTATCTTTCTATCACTCTCTCGTTCTCTCTATCTCTATAGAAATCTCTCTCACTCTCTCTCTCTCTTTTCTTTCTGTTGCTTACACAATTCACTAGCACACCAACTTAAAATACTTGATAAATGTGATAAATGCATTAGATGTTTACCTGCTGTATTTTAACTCGCTCCTTAGTAGTAAACAATTTGTAAAATTGATTGGAAATAGGCACTTCTAAACGATAATTGTTAACTAATAAATTTTGTGTTTCTTGAGCTAAAAACTTGTAGCACTTTTCAACATCATTTTTAGAACCACGAATTGTGACTTTGTCACTTTTGGAGCTTGGATCAGGAAAGTTAATGGCAACCTAAAAAAAATGAAAGAAAAATATCAAAAGTAAGTAATGATGAAGAATGTTGATGAATAAATGATTTCATCAAGATTACCATTAAAGATTACACTTCGCATACACGTGGAAGAGAAAATACGACTTACGGGGAAAAGATAAGAAGATACAGATATCTAAGAGAGGGAGAGAGAGAGAGGAGGAGGTAACATGAAACAAGTAGCCCTGGGACAACTTTTTGCACAAGATGAAAAAAGAAGAGAAAGAGAGACTGGAAAGGGAATAGAATGAAACCAGTTTTCAGTGTCAATGTCTTGACGGGTCTGAAGAGATTGGAATTCTCACAGACAAATTTTTAGATGTACGAGTGCGATTCTTTAATGTTAATCTTGTTTCTCACATTCTTGAATGACGTCTCTCTTTTTTTCAATATATTGAATACGGAAAAAAAGTATATAGTCATAAAGACGGATAAGAATAAATTATTAAACTTACTTGGTTAAACATATCCCTGATCTTTCTAATTTCTTCACCCTTTGTACCAATAAAATGCCGGTGAAAACGTTGTTCAACTGCAAGTTCCTTGGTAACTTCATTTTCTCGTTCTTTTTGTTTATCAATTATTGCTGTCAACATTTCTTGGGCCTTTTTAACTGCCTCAGCAGAACCTTCGATCCGAATGATATCGCTTGAGGCACTATGGTCAGATTCGTCAGGAATATGCACTTGGGCTTTACTTTCTTCCCGAATTTGAGTTATCTGTTTACCTTTTTGACCGATAATAAATCGATGATATTTTGGATCAATTTGAAGTTTAATCACAGAGATACGACTTTGAATCTCGGCAATTGCATCTTCCAAAATTTTTCTTGCATTGGGTAAATCATTTCTTGGACCTCGCATTCGAACGATACCATTATTCTCAAAGGTTACTCGAACTATATTATTGAAGCTTTGACTCATTTCTTGGAAGTTGGTTCCTTTAGCACCTAAAATGTGGCGATGAACCCATGGTTCGGTTTCAATGGTTTCTTCCACCTCACTATGAGCTTTCTCCCAAAGTACACTTAAAGCGGGTCCAATTTTCTCAGGTTCTCCCCAGAGAGTGACAGTATCAGTTTCATCATCTTGACGGGGGATATCCACGTAAACTCCGGTTTGTTTGAAGATTTCTCGTTGAGTTATACCACCGCGACCAATGATGTACTTGTGCTGAGCCTTTTTAACTTGCATAGGTACAGATGTACATTTGACTTTCTTTTCTTCATAAACTGCCATGATTTTAGCCTTGGCAGCAGCGATCGAGTTGGGGTCACCCATGATATTAATGGTTTCATCGTTTGCTTCTTGGGGTGGGATAGCGATTCGGGCACCAGTTTCTGCAGCAATTTGATTAACTGTTTCATCAAAAGGACCTCGGATGAAAGGATGTAAATAACGGGGAATTTTAATCTTCTCAACAGCTTTTGAATTTGCTTCGTGAGAGACTGAGAGTATTTCATGCATTGCCCGATCAATTCCATCCTTAGTACCAACAATTTTGACAGCTTCAGATGTATCATCTTGTCGAGGAACAGTGATCCTAGTTCCAGTTCTTTCTTCCAAATCTTTCAGCTTTAAACCATTTTTACCAAGAATAAATTTATGATGTTCTTTAGGAATGCTGACTAATTTTTCACCTTTCATCTGTACCGCTTCAGCAATTTTCTTCTTAGCCAAGATACAAGCTTCTTCTTTACCAGTAATCAAGAAGGTCAATTTTCCATCCTTAGAGTTGCTCATTTCAATTCGGGTGTTTGTTTCGTGCATAATTTCAAGGCATATTTTAGTTTGATCTCTTTCTCTGAAGACATTATTATCTTTGAAGCGTCTTTCTTCAGGAGAGACAATATAAACTTTCGTTATCTGGCTTGGTTTTAATTTAGTCGTAGTGGGAATTGGCTTGGGTCTAAAAGAGTTAACAAGGGCAGTTGAGCCTCCGTTCATCTCAACCTTGTCGGAGGAAGATATAGGAAAACTCTCAGGGAGAGCAGGAAAGACTTCATCGTAAGTTGGTGGGATATTTTCCATTGAAGTTGAAGGTCCGGGAGTTTCACCAGTCGTACCAGTCGAATCAGCAGCCATGATCAAGAGGGGTCCTAATCAAATTGTCCAAAAACATAAAAATCAAGTAGAAATGAGTAAAAGAAAAAACCATGAGAAAAGATGCAAACACAGAAACACATACGCATAAAAATGGAGAAGGAGGAAAAGTGATGACGAGGAAGAAGATAGAGACCGAAAGAGATACAGGAGAGAGAGAGAGAGAGAAAGAAGGGGGGAGAGAGAGGAGAAAGATAGATAAAAAGAAAGAGAACAGAGTAAGGAAATGAAGTGAAGAAAATAATACACACGAAATAGATAATAGCTGAAATGAGATAATACGATAAAACATACCTTAAGCCGTTGATGTTCCGAAATCCATAGAGTAGTCAAGTAGTTCAGAAAGAACTATAAATTAAGTCATAATCTAGTTAACTATGGTTGGAATGGGGACCAGCGGCACAAAAAAACCAATCATGGAAAGAAAGAAAAAGAAAAATTGATAAGTATTGAAGAAAAAAATTAAAAAATATTACCAAAGAAAATGGGGACAAGAACAACACATGTTCAAGGAAGATAGAAAAAAACTGTACATGTAAGCAGTTGAGAAGGAGAAAAGGATTTAGTACAACAAAATTTAACCACTTGAGAGGCAAAAGGAACGAATATTTTTCTCTAAAATCATCCAAAGTATTCAATTTACCAGAGAATATTTTACTTAAGAAATTAACCTCAACACACAAGGACCTCAAAGATAAAAATTACCAAATCAAAATGGAGAGAAAGAGAGACAGAGAGAGGACACACATAAGAGCTAAAGACAGAAATAGGGAAAATAAAAGAAGCCAATGTCAAAATGTGAAAAACCAATTGATGGAAATGGCAGAGAGCAATAAAAATTCATACACAGAGAGAGAAACAGAATACAACACCCGGTCAATCATAACCACTGTGGGAAAAGACACATAATTGAAAAAAAAACAAAAATTTCGGTCAAAAAAAACAGAGAGAAAAAGGAAAAAAAGAAAGAGAGATAGAAAATAAAAAGAAGCAAAAAATCACAGAGATGAGAAAGGATAGAGAATGGAATTGAACAAAGATTTTACAACATAGGAAAATAGAAAACGTTAACCATAATAAGAGAGAGAAAAAAACTTGGATAATTACCTAAAACAATTGAATAAGAGAAATGATACAAAACGTATCAGAAATGTTTTATATTTGTGATGATGATGGTTGGGAAACGGAAACGAGATTTATCTTCAAATAGTAAGACAAAAAGCACAAAGCATAAAAAGCTTTCGGTTTGTATTTTGCTTCGACAAACAAATTGAATTACCGGTTTAATCAAATGTTCCAAATACCAAAAGAACACAAAAAAAAAGGTAAGACAATTAAAAAGGTTAAATTTAAATGTTAGAAATGGACACTGGTCACCATAAGCAAAGAGTTAAATTATAATCGGTTGACAATATTTACACAGGAATAAAAGTGATGTCCGATTGGGAAGATGACGTAGAAAAGAATAAATTTTTATTCTCTTTTATGCTTTTTCCGTTTTTCTTCTATTCCCTTTATGCTTTTCCCTTTCACTCTCTTTCTTTTTCTCTCTCTTTCCTTTCTTCCTTTTTATGCTTTTATGCTTTTTCTCTTCTTTCCCAACTGAGCAAACTCATTTCCGTTTTCTTTTAGTACTTAAGGTTTCGGTATCTTCATCATCTTTACACTTTTCATCTTCTTCCTTTAGTCTCTGGTTTGTTCATCGTTTTTTAGGTAATTATTATTTTAATTGTTCTCCCTTTTGGTTAAATTGTCTTCAATTGTTTGATTAGGTTTGTTTATTGTTTTTTCTTTCTTCCTTGTTGTTTGATTTTGTTTGGTTACTAATTAATTTGTTTGGTTTTGTTTTCATATGATGAACGATGACGAGTATGAAATTCCGCCTATTGATTCAATGAGGAGATCCAATTTATATAATCACTCGGTTTGAGTCTTACCTTTCTCTTTCCGTTTATATCTTGGAACACCGATACCATTGAGATTATATCAATTACAGGAATTCAATTGATTGTACAGTGCGAGGCATTTGTCTGAGAAAACAAAACCGCAAATTTTTTAGTTTCATTGGTTCCACATTTGATTTGAACTTTTTTTCTATCAGGTTATTGATGGTTTTTTTTTTTTTTCTTTTCTTTTTTTAGGTTATTCCCTATCATCATGATGGGTATTCCAGTTCTACTGTCGTTTATTACTTGAATGGGTTTTTGTCCACTTCTCTGGTTTATGTCTTACACACCTCGTGGTTTCGCTCTGTGATGGTAACACCACGTGTCCGTTTGGTTGAATGACTTAAAATGGTTTTTGCTTTCACAAGTAAGTTTCTTATCTGTTGATTTTTATTTCTGGTGCTTGAAGTTATTTTATCAAGTGAATTGAAATGATGTTTAACTTAGGACACCTCTTGAACAATCAATGATGACAATTATGTTATATTAAATGACTGATCATTCACTTGATACCTAATAATCATCTTAAGATAATTGTTGCTAGACTTTTGTTAATTTTGTCTATTTAGCTAAAATTTTGACCCTTGTTTCATTCATTTGTTTCTCTTTCATTTCTATACATGCATGATTCCCATGCTTGAATCGCTTTCTCAAGTGGATGTGATTACAATCTCAAGTTAAATCATAAATTTCTGGTAAGTGTTTTATCCTGACTCTAACTATAACCTTGATATTTCTCAAATGATGAAATTTACAGACTAGAGTCGCTGAAAAATAATGATTATAATTTTCTGTCCTGATTAACTCTAACCTTTACCAAACCTTTACCAAGTTGAGCACATGGGTTAACTCATTTCCTTTTCCTTTTTCTCCAACAGGTTGATCAAACTACCATGTGGTTGATGTGTCGACACTTACTAATCTAAAGACCACGTTGTTTTTTTGGCGCAACAACCACCATACAAATAATTGGATCTAACAATTATGTCCACCAATTAAACAAATTGTAAATCAAAACATCGATTTATTTGCAATCGTAAAAATTATAAACGAAAGAATATACTTTTTATATTAAAAAGAAACTTTATCCCGATACAAAATAACATCAAGTTGATTTATCTTTTTTGGCTTTCGGTAAAATGCCCATAATTTTACACACAATTCCAAGCATAATCTCATCGGCCCCTCCGGCGATTGAAATAACTCGAGTGTCCCGATAAAGTCGACTGATGAGAACGTCGTCCGAATAGCCCATTCCCCCCCAGAATTGAAGACAACCATCGGCAACTTCCCTCAACATGCGACCTCCTTTCAGCTTAATTACCGACGCCAAATAAGTGACATCCTCTCCCTCGATGAATTTATCTTGAAAGAAGCAAAAAGAATCAATTGTTTAATGAGTTACATGTTAATTAGTTAATTACCTGCAGCGAGATAAAGTAGAGCTTTAACAGCCTCGACTTCACATTGTAACTCAGCCAATTTAAAGTGAATGTGTTGATTGTCAATCAATGGCTGTCCAAATGTTTTCCTTTGACGACAATATTCAATTGTATCGTTAATTGCTCTTTGTGCTGATGCAGTGGCTGTGGAAAAGATATTCAGACAATTAGCTGATTAAATGTCAACTGTAAAGGGCAAATTGAAACTCACAAGTTGATCCAACAACTAATCGTTCATCTGCAAATTGAATCATTTGGTAAATGAAGCCCATTCCCTCTTCGCCGATAATATTTTTGGCCGGAACTCGAACATTGTCAAAGAAAATCTGAGCGGTGTCCGAAGATAAATTTCCCATTTTGGCGATTTTTTTGGCTCGATGAACACCCGGTAGATTAAGTGGAACACAAATGAGCGATTTGTTCTTATGGGGTGAACCTTGACTCGTATTTGCAAGGAGACACATCCAATCAGCTTGATAGCCATTGGTGATCCACATTTTACCTCCATTGATGATTAAATCGTCGCCTTCACGTTTAGCAGTTGTTTTGATTGCTAATCAAGAGAAAAGGAAATTAACTATTAATATGCTGATTGTTAATCTCTTTTTTGGTTGAATGAATATCAAATGCTAATTAGATCTGAGTTGCAATCAATGTGAATATGAAATTAACTATTGATTGTTGGGACTCTTTGGTTAATTGGTATTGATTTGTTTGTTTGTTATGATCTATTTTCACAACAATCAACTAACCAGCAACATCTGATCCTCCTTCCGGTTCAGAAACTCCGAGACAGGCAACGAAATCCCCGGAAATTGTTGGGGCTAGAAAAGTTTGTTTCAACTCTTCACTTGCGAATCGAGCCAAAGCGGGTTGTGCCATATCCGCCTGGACCCCGATTCCCGTTAATGGACCAGCAGCGTTAATATGATAACCAAACTCTTCGTACATGGCGACGGAAAATGAATAATCGAGACCTTGACCTCCGTACTTTGGATCGCGACACAAGCCAAGTAAACCCGCTGATCCAAGAGTTTTGAACAGTTTGTGTCCATCAAACATTCCCTCTTTTTCCCACTGGTCAACAAATGGATTAATATCTTTTTCCACAATCTAATTAAAAGGAAAAAAATCCAATCAAATTAAGAAATTTTTCAACTTTTCTTGTAGCGATTTTGTTATTTACCTTCCGTACGGTACTACGAAGTTCATCATGTTGCTCAGTAAATTTCAACAATCGACTGGATGAGACTGATATGTATCTCTTGGAAATACAATTAACTAATCCTCTGGAAGCCAACATTTTGATTTCTTTTAATTGTTCAACAGAAATTGATTTTTAGTTGGAATTTGGAGCAAATTGAATAATCAGTCAACTGAAAGAAAGAAAATCAAAAATTATTTGCAAATTCAATACATACGAACTCAGGTATTTCAAAAGAAATAATTAAACAACAGTTTCAAATCATAAATCACTGATTATCAATAAAATCAAAGGAAATTAATTTGATTCTTTTTGTTAACTAATCGAATTCAATTTTGGCGCTTATCCTATTCAACGAAATGTAAACAAAAATATAAACAAATTTTTCCTCAATTTTCACAGATTTTCAATAATTAGGCCAATTAATTTATCTGGTTAACCATTGAATTAAAGTTCAATTGATTCAAACCTTGAACTAATCATGACTTAAGACTGAAATTGTAAAAGTAATTGAGATGATAAAGAAAACTGTTAAACATTAGTTTTCTCAATTAAACTTACCTTAGATGTTTGTGTTCAATTTTTACGTTGGTGATGATTTTCAAGTCTTAATAATTAACCAAATTGCTCTGAGAATTTAATCACATTCAGTCAATGTATACAAGCTCAGTGATCTAAATTGACAGAAAACAAATTTGAATAATTATGTACGTTAAACAATTAAGATATTGAAAAAAAAACCAACAAATAACATGGACTGTGAATAGAGACAACAAATGAATAACAATTTAGATCAACTGTTAATTGATTGGTATCAATTGTTGGTACATTTTAAGTAAATTCTGGTAATCATTCTGGTTAAAAGGTAAGATACCTACTTGATGAGATTACAATTGTGATTAGATTAGTTGATTAACACAAAATAATTAAAGGATAATGTAAATAAATAAACATGGAAATGAAGTTTCAACTGCTCAATACAAATGAAAACTAAACAAATCAACTTTCCAAGTTAAATTGTTTCAAACGAAAAGTTGTTAACCTTTTAATTTATGATGAAAGTTAATTAGTGAATTTTTCAAATTTATAACAATCAAATCATCTTATATTTTCTGTTCAGATTCATAATTTATAGTCAAATGAAATTTGATTCACTTTCATCATATTGATATAAATGATCAATTGATTAGATTTGAAAAGACACAAATCATTTTAATTGTTTACAAGCCTAGAAGGTTAATATAAAATTAATCATATAAAAATCAATTAATCAGTGAACTTAAAAAGTGAATAAAGATCGTGGTAGAGTTGTGATTGTTAGTTTAATAATCAACTGGTAATTTCTAAAATTAGCAACAATTAAAAAGAGATGACATTAATTGACTGACCAGTCTTTCTGGTAAACGCTGACCATATACAGAGATCAAAAATGTTTTGAGATTAATTGTTGGATTAATTGTTTGATTTCGATTTCATGTGATTAATGAGAAGTTTTCAATTGATTTTCTAGGAAAACAATCACGAATGAGCTTTAATCCTGCTTATGATTATTAACGGGAAAAATTATGATATAAATTGGAGATATGATTGCAAAGTTTTCCGTTGATTGCGAGCATTGAGAATCAATAATTATTCTTGATTGTTGTGTTAATTATGTCTCCTTTGGATCAAATTTCATCATCTTCTCAAACTTTAATTACTGCTTTTCTAGGACTTTGTTTAATTTATTTAGTTAAATGGATCGTGGTTACGGTTCAGACCATCGTCTCGTTGCCCTCTGGTCCATGGGGCTATCCAATTGTTGGCTATTTGCCGTTGATCAAGCAACATATTTACCTGGAATTTGAAAAAATGGCCTCTAAATATGGACCCGTTTTCAGTGTTAAATTGGGCCAGAAAAATATCGTAGCCATATGTGATTGGCCTCACATGAAAGAAGCCTTTGCTAACCAAGATTTATTAGCTCGACCTGAGGCCGTCTTTTTTCCTGGAATAGTTGATGTCCCTTCGTTAGTCGAAATGTCGGGTGACTCTTGGCGTGAACATCGTCGACTTTCACTTCATATCCTTCGAGATATTGGTCTTGGTAAGAACATTTTAGAAAATCTTATTAGTGAAGAAATACAATCGTTCCTTCAAGAACTGAACAATGATGGTAAATCTATTGATTTTCTGAAGAAATTTGGAGCTTCAGTGTCCAATAACATATCGATCTTATTGTTTGGCCATAAGTTTGACTACAACGATCCGGTTAAAATGAAACTCGATGAAAGCTTCCAGTCAAATGGAAGAATATTTTCAGTGGGAAATATCTTCGTTTTCTTGCCTTGGTTAGCTCCACTTTATGTCGCATTGGGTAAATTCAGAGTGGATCTCATTAAGAGAAATGTTTTATATATTGAGTCTTACATTCAAACTGAAGTTGACCAGCATATCGAGAGTTCATCTGACCAAGTCGTTGATTATATCGATGGCTATCTTCAAGAAAGACGAAAGAGAGAAAAGAACGCAGATTTATCCAAAGAGCTAGAAAAAAATGGTAACTTTAGCTATGGTATTTTACGTCGTAACTGTGCTGCGTTTTTTGGTGCTGGCTTGGAAACTATTGCATCGACAATGTCATGGGCGATGTTGTATCTTATCAAGTATCCTGAATTCTATGATAAAATACAAGCAGAGATAGAAGAGGTTATTGGTTATGAAAGAAAACCCGAGTACTCAGATCGAAATCGAATGCCATTTACAATGGCCTTTCTTTACGAGGTACAACGATATAGTTCAGTTATTCCGACGAATCTCTTTAGACGAGCTTCTCGGGACACAACCATTGGTACTTATAAGATACCTAAAGATGCATTTGTTTTATTCAACTTCTGGTCGGTTCATCATGATCCCAAATTGTGGACTGAACCAAGTAAATTTGACCCTTCACGATTTCTAACCGAGGAAGGTACTAAAGCCGTTAAACCAGCTTATCTCGTCCCATTTTCTGGAGGTAAAAGGATTTGTCCTGGTGAAGGATTGGCTAATGTTGAGATGTTTCTGTATCTTGTTTGTATTGTCCAACAATTTAGAATCAAATTAGAACCAGGAAGTGAGTTGAATTTAAAAGCAGCTTTTGGAATCTCTAGAAGACAGAGAAAAATGCCCAATATCATATTCGAAAGACACCAAAATAAAGCAAAGATTAATAATTAGATAAGAGTAAAAGAAATACTCAGATTGGTTTTGTCAGATGTTAAAAAACTTTTCACAAAAATCTTAATAATAAAATGATTTATTGATCGTTCAAATGCTTGAAATTCACGGTTAGTTTATTGAAAAGTTGATGCACTAAATAGATAGAAGATAGTCTAATGGTCAAATTACAAAGGTAAGTCGATGATGAATAAAACAAATGAAATGAACATTTGATATGCAGTCAAAAATGTATAACAGTTAATTTTAGGATTGGTTAGAGATGCGAAAAATTTGCTGGATCTTCATATTCTTGATAAACCAATTCTCAGTTCCTTCATATGAAAACTAGCAGCGAAATTTTTACCTTCGGTTTCTTTTAATATAAAAAAGGTTTTTATCAATTTAATTGCTTAAACAATTAATTTAACAATCTAAGATTATTTGACACCCTGTGGGCATAGGGCCTTTCAGTCCATATTAACAATAACATAAATACAATTAGCGTATGAGTGTACTGATTAGCTGTTGATAGCTAACATTAATTGTGTGACAGTTTGATTGTCTTCGAGCCTTCCTTCATCCATAATGACTCTTGAAAGAAAGAGAGCCCAGAAAACCTAATCCGGTTCAAACAAACACAATTAATTGAACAATCAAGTGTATTTTTATGTGTAGCTTGAACCTTAAGCAGAAAAAAAATCAGCTTTAAATGAAAATGTTGAGCTGACAAACACTTTCATCGTGTTACCCTTGAGTCGAACACGAATTTTGCTAGCAACTGAATTAACATTGGATTCAATTCATTGGACTTGAGCCCATTTCTGGTCTTTTAGGCTTAACCGTTTTTTTGCTTTGCCTTTAGGTCTCCGAAAACCCGTAAATCGTAATAATTGTCAAGTGTTTGTTAATTGATGATAAGCAAACATGCTAAATAGTGATGACAACATGGACTGTAGATAGAGATTACAAATTAATCTAATTTAGATAAACTGAAATTAATTGGTTCATTGTTGATTAGATTAGTTAATTAACACAGAATAATTTAAAGATAATGTAACTAGACAAGTGAAGAGTTGAATTTTAAAAAGTTGTATGGTCATATTCATTGTCATTCATTGTAGTGACACAAATCATTTTAATTGTTTACAAGCCTAGAAAGTTAATCTAAAAATCAATTAATCAGTGAGCTTGAAAAGATAGATAAAAATAGAATAGTGATAACTGATCAATAGTTGTTATGATTGAACAATAAATCAGTAAACACAACAATCAACAGCAATTAAATATCAATATCAGTCTATTAACGAAAGGGAAAATTTTACTTTACCAACTGACCAGAGTTTCGTTGGGACTTTAACCATGATAAGAGACTAAGAATGTTTTGAGATTAATTGTTTTGATTTCTGTTTCATTAATTGATAAACAGTTAACAATTGATTTTGAAGAGAAACAATGAAAATGATAACTGAGCTAATGATGATAATAATCTTAATAGCAATTAGAAAAAAATATGATATAAATTGGAGATATTGTTAAGTACAAAGCGCATTTTGTTGTTAAAGTGAATCAAGTGATTCTTAATTGTTGAGTTAATTATGTCTCCTTTGGATCAAATTTCATCATCTTCTCAAACTTTAATTACTGCTTTTCTCGGACTTTGTTTAATTTATTTAATTAAATGGATCGTGGTTACGGTCCAGACCATCGTCTCGTTGCCCTCTGGTCCATGGGGCTATCCAATTGTTGGCTATTTGCCGTTTTTGAAGCAACACATTTACTTGGAATTTGAAAATTGGCTTCTAAATATGGACCCGTTTTCAGTGTTAAATTGGGTCAAGAAAATATCGTCGTTATCTGTGATTGGCCTCACATGAAAGAAGCCTTTTCGAATGAGGCTTTATTAGCTCGACCTGAGGCTGTCTTTTTTCCTGGAATAATTGATGTCCCTTCGTTTGCCGAAATGTCGGGTGACACTTGGCGTGAACATCGTCGACTTTCACTTCATATCCTTCGAGATATTGGCCTGGGTAAAAATGTTTTGGAAAATCTTGTTGGTGAAGAAATACAAACGTTCCTTCAAGAACTTGACAATGACGGTAAATCTGTTGATTTTATCAAGAAATTAGGACCTTCAGTGTCTAATAATATTGCGATCTTATTGTTTGGCCATAAGTTTGACTACGACGATTCTGCTAAAATTAAACTCGATGAAAGTGCTGAGACCACTGGGCGGACATTTTCATTTGCAAGTATCTTTGTTTTCTTGCCTTGGTTAGCTCGTCTCTATGTCGCATTGGGTAAATTTAACATGGACCTCATCAAGAAAAGTATTTTATATATCGATTCTTACATTCAAACTGAAGTTGACCAGCACATCGAGAGTTCATCTGACCAGGTCGTTGATTATATCGATGGCTATCTTCAGGAAAGACGAAAGAGAGAAAAGAACGCAAATTTATCCAAAGAGCTCGAAGAAAATGGTAACTTTAGCTATGGTATTTTACGTCGTAACTGTGCTTCGTTTTTCGGTGCTGGTTCAGAGACTGTTTTATCCACAATGACGTGGGCGATGTTGTATCTTATCAAGTACCCTGAATTCTATGATAAAATACAAACAGAGGTAGAGGAGGTCATTGGTTATGAAAGAAAACCCGAGTACTCAGATCGGAATCGAATGCCATTCACAATGGCCTTTCTTTACGAGGTACAACGATATAGCTCAGTTATACCGACGAATCTTTTCAGACGAGCTTCTCGGGACACAACCATTGGTACTTATAAGATACCTAAAGATGCATTTGTTTTATTCAACTTCTGGTCGGTTCATCATGATCCCAAATTGTGGACTGAACCAAGTAAATTTGACCCGTCACGATTTCTAACCGAGGAAGGTACTAAAGCCGTTAAACCAGCCTATCTCGTCCCATTTTCTGGAGGTAAAAGGATTTGTCCTGGTGAAGGATTGGCTAATGTTGAGATGTTTCTGTATCTTGTTTGTATTGTCCAACAATTTAGAATCAAATTAGAACCAGGAAGTGAGTTGAATTTAAAAGCGGCCTTCGGAATCTCTAGAAGACCAGAGAAAATGCCCAATATCATATTCGAAAGACACCAAAATAAAGCAAAGATTAATAATTAGCTAGTAAAATAAAAAATTCTTACATTGGTTTCATCATTTTAGAAAAATTTACACAGAAATTTTAATATAGATTGAATGAGTTGATTGTTATCAAGTCTTAAGCCCTTTGACAGGCTTTTTTGTAAAGTTAATTTAATGAACAGGAATTAATAAATCAAAAATAAAAAAATTAATTCAATTGACCATTTGGTGAGTCGATGGTAAATAAATGAAGTGATGATCATTTGATGTCCCATCAATCAATGTTATTAATTAAAATTAGTTTTACGAGTGATCAGAGATCCGAAAACTTATCGGGGTCTCCACATTCATGATAAACCAATTCTTGGACTATGGTCAATTTCGGATGTTTATCAAGAATACTCTTGACGAAGCCATTTTTATACAAAATTAAACCTCGACCGAACCTGTTGGCATAAGAGCTCAATTGGTATTTAAGGTAATCCTTATGGCATTGGGGTGAAGCGAAAAGAGCTTTACATTCAATCCAACAGACAACAATTCGCTGTGAATCTGTTTTATCATCAGATGAACACAATTGACATAAAGGAAGAGAAATCGGTGGAAGGATAAAGGCTCGTTTGGAATCTCGAGAAACAGCAATGGCCAATGGAATATTCAATTTGAAATCAGGAGTAACATCAAACTCCTTCGTTCTGAGGCTATTTTCCGATGAATAACAAACTTTGGCTCGCTTAAGAATTGTTGCTATTTCACTTTCGAATAATTCACCAGCATTTGTCGTAATACAATTGGAAATTTGACCGAAAATTGGATCACAATATTGAGCGGTCATCACATCAGTCGCCAGTTTACCTGTTGAACAAAGAGAGAGAGAGAGAGAGAGAGAGAGAGAGAGAGAGAGAGATTTAATTGTTGATAATTAAAGAGACACCATTTTAGTTAACTTACCATCAGGAATATTTGATGAATCTTGTAACCACAATTTAACTGATGATTTGTCAGTTAAATTGAGGAGAAACTTTTTAGCAACAATAGTTGGACTTACATCCAAATTCATTGAGGTGGAGATAATTGTTTCTTTGCCTTGTTTATAATCAGCATAAGCTTTATTCCAATCAATTCGACCTACTTTCAATTTAGTTTCCCACTGGTGAATATAAGCAACTATACATTTAATTACAGAATCAGGTATTCCTTCAACAGAATATTTAACAATTAATTGATCAATAACATCCTGCAAGTGAACAGCATTGAGACATTTTCTCAATCTCTTGTATTCCTCACAGATTGAATTGTATTTAACGAGATCCATGACCACCATTTTAGTCCAAATAGTTAAACAAACAAAACACACAAAAGAACAAAAAAAAATAAATTAATATTCTAAAAATAGATTAACAATTAACCAAAATAAAAAGAAAACAAAAAAATTCTGATTCAAGTTTTCCCACCAAAAGTCACATGTTTTCGAATACAAGTGCTGCCACCTTGAGGAATTATTATCGATCGTGAAAAACTTGATTCGATTTGTGATTCTTTTGATTTATCTGACCTTTTGGCCGATGGTCAGTTAGATATCATTAGAGGAATCACATGAACTGAATTAATGTAATTTCATCACTCAAAATAGTTTATTAATGACAGATAATTTCATCAATTCAATTAATCAACTTGAAATACAACTTTTCAAGATTGATAATCAGTTGAATTGGTTTGAATGAAAATGAAATTAAAAATAGAAATCAGGACGAATGATCAAGAATGGTAACAATTAAAAAGGTCAGTTCAAGATTATTTCAAATGTTAACTTTGATTAGTTGACCAAAAGGTTTAAAAACCTGAACTCACTTTCCCTTTAATAGTAAATCTTAAGATGCCTGATTAAAGATGAAACCTTTAATTACCAAGTCAAGAGAAGGGACAAAAATTTTAATTGCATCCAAATTAAATCAATCTAATTATAAATTAGTAAAAATTTCAAGGATGAGATTGAAAAAAAGGGACAACAAACATTAAAACGTTGTCACTTTAATTCAACTCTTCAAGTTGATCGGATGTTCAAATTTACGATTGGCGAGTGAAAATTAATTATTCTGAGTTTTCATCAGAAACTTCAATTAATAAAAAGTTTTTCATTCAAGTGCAATACAAATTGATCGAGTTCTGTTATAATCCAACGATGACCATCCACAGATTAATAGTTTTCCTGATTGTTATCAGTCTCATGGTTAATTTGATCTCATCAGCACCAACCAAAGGATCAACGGGTAAGGACGAGGACGAACGGAAGCCATCGGAGGCCTATCAAAACGCCATGAGCATAATCCGATTTGTACCCGAAATGTTATTCAATGTGTCGATTCAATTGTTACATGGTGTCGTCGCTTACGCAGCGATGCAATCAGCTAATCCCCACCAAGGATAATCAACCCCAACGAAGTTAATCAATCACCTAAATCTTGGGTTTCCATCAAATTATGTACATTTATCTCATCGTTTTGTTAATTTTTACGATTAATTCAAATTGACCAATACAAATAAAGAATTTTTTTTGAAAAGTTTCTTAATCATTTCAATTGATTTGCTCGAGGAAAACAAAACAATCAATGAAGACACTTTGTAACTCAATGTGATTCCTTGATTACTTGCTACTCGGTTGTAGACAAAACAACAATTAATAAATTGATTGTAAGTTTGATTGTTTCTATTTTTAATTCTGTTTAAATGTTGGCAGTGTTTAAGTGATTAGTTTTACTGTTTTTGTTGTTGTTGTTGTGATTGATTGTTGAATGGATTTTCATTCATTTTGATATGTTTGAGATTTTTTTTTATTAATTTGTTTTTCACTTTTTTTTTCTTCATATGAATTAGTGGCTTATTTACAGGTAATTAATTAATTATTTTTTGTTTTCTATGAGACAATTGAGTTACTCCATTTTAGTTGTTTTGTTGGATGGAGAAAGAAGATAAGAAGAGAAGTGATTAAAGTTGATATTCACAATTATTTACATGATTTTGAGCCCTTGTTGTGTTTTTGTTTGTAAATATAAGTTGTTCAACAGTTCCAAGTGCTGATTAGGGGTTTTCTTTCATCATTACCAACATATAACAATCAACAATCATCATCATCAGAATCAATTATTCACGTTATTTGTACTGACCAAAAAGAGAGAGAGAGATGTTTGGATGGAAAATTGTGTGAAAAGAGGAGAATTAAATTACCAAGAACAATTATATCGACAAATCGACCATTAATATCAAACAAATTGTAGGTAATTATTGAAAGGAAAGAAACAAAATGAAAGTGAATGAGAATGAGAATGAAATTGGGAGATGATAAAAAGGACAATCAACAGAGATGATTGATAATTTTCTCTACGTTGATCGGTTGATGTGTTTCACTGGAGAAGAAAAACAAAATGAAGATGGTGGGTTTTACTGTTGAAGGTGGAGGGAGAAGTGTGTTTTTCGATGTTCGAAGGCGAAAAAAATACATCTTCAAATCTCTTTCCGTCTTTTCGTAGTATCCATGGAAAAAAAGAGAGAAATACTTTTGTTGTTTTATCCTCTGGAGAAAAAGAAAACTTTGTTTGTTTTGACATAATATTTATGATGGTGAAGCCGAAGACGATAAAGATGATGGTGAGCATGAGGATCATCTCTTTATTATTATAATTTGGATGGTTTTCATTTCGCGTATTTCTTGATAAATTAAGAGATGTTTTAACGACCAGGGTTAATACATATTATGCAAATGTAGGTTACGACTCAGAACCGATCTAACATCACTCGTGAATCTTAAAGCATCTAAAACGGGCAGAAGATTCAGCAACGCGGTGTCCCTTGGATCGGAAAACCAGGAGCTAATTGGTATTGCATTATCTGTAGAGAAAAGATTGCAGAGAAAATTAAAAATTGTTTTAATAGTAACCACCAGATAGCATTCGAGAAAAACCCTTACTTGGAAAAGCTTTATAAGCTCCAGGCGAGTTATCCAATATGAAAATACTAGAGAGATCAGGGCTTATGGCCGATAAGTCCTTAGTATAACTACCACACTCCAAAGTACAATGTTGCCTGAAGTATCTTCTTTTAAGAATGTTTCGATTATTATCTAATTTGTCTGCCACAGCAGCACCATAAATCTCCATGCTTGCGGTAAATACGACCAACTCATACCAATCACTTACCTGGAGGAGAAAAGAGAGAAAAAATAAGATGGATTAGTAATCAAGTTTTTCGGCAACAGGTTGTTATGATTGATTTTATGTCTATAAGTTTATAATAACAAAGGTAAAACTGAACTTATGAACGACTTTATATCAAATATCATTCAAATCAAATGGAAAACTGTCCTTGATCGTTGGGTAGAAAAGGAAAGTAATCATCATGTAGTGAATAATCATCATGGTGGTTGATGTGTAAGGTGAGGAGTAATTATTGACTGTCATGTGATTAAAAGATACTAAATATTTATCAAGTAGTTAATAGATTTACTGTTGTTGGCAACTATTTGAGAAAAAAAGAGTTTTTTTTTCAACAAAAAAGTTGACCTTCAATGAGAAATTCATATGTGGCGGGCAACCGTTTAACCAAAACACAAGAACATGTAACCATGTTTACGTTTGGAAGGAACCCAAAAAAACAAGATGAATTAACCAAAATTATCAATGAGATAATTAGATTAATCTTAGGTTAAAGATGGACACTTACTAGTTTTAAAAAATAATCAACATGAGGTCTTTTATGAACAAAAAAACGAACTGGATGCCGGTCAATTGTGACCTTGATCACAAAATCAGCCGGTGTACCGGGAGTAACCATTTGTCTTATCACTCCATCATGTGTTGAATGTATTAATGTCTCATCCAAATCGAGGACTAATATTTTTCTTTTAACTAAACCTGAAGAAAAAAGAACCAAAAAATATGGTAGAAAAAGAAGAGGAAGAAGCAAAAACAAAGAGAAAAAAGAAGAAGAAAATGATTAGTAAAAAAGAAAAGAAAATGAAAACCAATATGAAACACTCTGGATGTTTAGATTGTTTTTTTTTCTTCTCCACAATAAGCAACACTTTTTCTAAAAGCTTTTTCTTCACACTTATTAGGAGATTTTTTTCTTTCTCTCAAATATAATTTACTTACTTAAACGATGCTTTGATAGTGGAGATAAAGGAACAGTATCATATTTAATTGTTTGATGTTGAATTATCTTTGAGAAGAGGCGACAAGAACTAAGAGATTGAATAAAGAGAAACATCAAATCGATTACCCAACCTATTTTCCTCATTGGCCAGAGCGTTGGCATTTTCAGTAGCTCGATTAATTGGGTGAAAATCACGATCACGAACGATTAAACTCTAAGATAATAACATAATCCAACCTCGTGGGTGATTAGAGGCACAACAACATATTAAGAATTAGGTGTTTCCATCGGCTTGAAATTTTCTATTCTTTTTTGTGGCTCCATCTGTGTTCGGCTGGAGGAGTTAATTGAAATGAGATTTGAAAACTTGGAAAACAATTAAAGAAACAAATTTTAACTGTAATTCAGTTGAACTGCAATTTAATTGTTGGCTCATTTTATTTGTGATTTTTAATACTTTTGTTTTTAGAAGAAATTAATTGTTTTAATTATGTCTGGTTCGAATCTTTTAAAGCCCTTGGAACGACAATTACGAGAGACTTTTCCTGAATTACGAGATGAAAAGTCTCAAAAAGCAGCGACGGTTATTCAATCTGCTTGGAAATTGTATAAGATTAGGAAAAGAAAACGTTTAGCTTTGGCTTTGTCCCGATCTAAATGTAATTGTACCTTGTGTTATTTTCGTGACCTTTGTAAAAAATATCGACTTTTACACCTTAACCTTTGTGCTACTCTCATCCAATCAACCTGGTTGGGTTATCATACTCGTAAGGTCGCTCTTCGTGATCGGGATTTCCGTCTCATTTATCGAGCTCTTCAAAATGCCAATTCAACGGCCAATCAGGAAAACCGATTAGGCCATAGGTTTGATGTTTCTCTCAACAGATTATCAAATAATTGTCGTTCTATTCACATTGAAAATGATTTGTGTTCCATGGAAATTGCCACTCGATTATCACCTGAATGCTGTTTAAAAGCCGCTCAATCAAATGTAATCACCATGATGGTTAATATCCTTAATGAGGCTAATCGGAGTGAAGCTCACAAATCGAGGATTATTTTATCATTGGCAATTCTTGTCAATATTGTTAAGGTATAAATTAGTCTTTTCACTGATTTGGTTTCACTAAATTAATCCAATCAACTCTTGATTTGTTTTCTATTTCAGTTTACCAAATGTGCTAAATATATGAAAGATGATGAAGAAGCCATTGCAAATGTTTGCTTGAAGATGATCAAAATCCACAAGAAAAGTGATAAAATTTTACTCACCTGTGCAACTCTATTAGCACTGATATTAAGAAATTTAAAAATTAAAGAAGTAAGTAATTAGAATTAACAATTGTCTCACCTTTTGCTTTTCTAAAACAATTTCAATTCTTTTCATTTCCCTGATTCTCTTAGGTAATCACAAAAGACTCAATGAATAGATACACTATTAGCAGTATTGTCCAAACAAAGCCTAACGATGGGAAAACATTGGAACTAATTAAAGCAATTAGATTAAACTCATTTAAATTTGAACCTTATTGGAATTTAAGGAAAGGAGTTAAACACCAATTCACCGACCGAACCACTGCCTTGACTTATTTGGGCATTTTATTTTCTTCTTGATTATTATTGTTATAATTTCTTTACAATTCTAACCATTGAATTAAATCTCACACCGAGAGAGAATTAGAATTAAACAAACCAGAAAACAAAACAAAAACAAAACAAAAAGAGAAAACGAATCCAATTAAACAGGTTTGTTAATCAAATAACATTTTCGGTTACAAAAACAAATTGACACAATCGGTAAAATCTAAACAGAAAAACTCATCGGTTTGTTTATCTTTTGATCGCCGAAAAAGAGGCTGAACGAGCCGAACCCGCGAAAGAGAAAAAAGAAAATGAGCTGAGTGAGTCTTCTTTTGTTCACTTGGAAAAGAGACTTGAAGCTGTTCACTTAATCGGCTAATCGTTCACTTTGTTGTTTTCTATTTGTTGTTTATTCTCATTGCTGTGAATAACAATTTGGTTATTATTTCCAATATTCCAGGAATTCAGTTAATCTGAATGTTTTAAATTATTTTTTTTCTCTCTCTGTTTTTTCTCTCTCTCAAAAAGATGAATCGTGATCATCGTAACAATGAAGAAAGATACTCTCATTTCGCATTTCTTCATGTAAAACCAGCATCATTGTTCATTGGTGGTTATTTTTTTGTGAGTAATTTTATTAATTATTGTTGACTTTTAATTTCTCATTAAAAGAGAAGCTTTTTTCCCCCTTCATCATATCAGTGGTTTTTTTTGGTATCCATTGGAATATTCTGTTTGTGTGTTAGTCATCTTTTCTGTGTAGAATTTGTTTTCTACCAAAAATTCGATTTCTCCACTTTATTCTTCATTTCATGTTTTCTTCTTCTCACCCTTTGAACGCCTTTTTCTTTACAATGACACCGATGTACCAGTGATTTGTTGTTCTTTTCTTCTTTTATCTTAATCCCGTTTATTCTAATAATTACCCTTGTGATTTCCATCCTCCCATGAGACTTGACAAACTTATTTTCCATCTTCTTTCCTCTCCTTTGTCATTTTTGTCAATCTATAGGAAATTCTCTTGTTTATTCGATAACCTTTTCTAATTTTTTTATTCTTTTTCTCTTGTTACTTTTAAACTCTTTTCTCTTTCACTCATATACTAATTTCTCAAATGGTTTTATTTTCTACCTTTTCTTAATTGTCTCATTTTTCTTTTCTTTTTACCTTTTTACCTTTTTGTTTTTCTCTTTCTCTCTTAGACAACATCTGTACTTAAACTAATTAAGCTCTCATCTGGATATAATATTCGACCTGAAGATGACATGCGAAGGTTTATGGCTGTCAACCGACCAACTTCTACTCTTTTATTTATGATTCATCTACTGGTGGCCATTGTGTCCGCCATTTTAATTTATGGTGTAACTAAATCTAAAGCTTCCTATTTGATGCCATTTTTTGGTATACAATTGTACCATTTTCTTTTCTCCCTGCCATCATCTCTATCTCAGCTTAATGTTTCTGCAAATCAATACAGAAATCACTATGGTTCAAATACAGTAACTAGTCCATCAGATGTTCGTTCAATCTTACGAGCTGATGCAACTCATACATTTTCAGTGTTGGCAACACTTATCGATTTCCTTTGTGACATATGCTTCATCTGTATTATATGGAAATGCTATCGATATTTAAAAATGAAAGAGATCCAAGCATCTTTAACTCTACCATATAACATTGACCTTGAGGTAAGTAATTAATTCTCTTGTCTAAACTTTTAGAAAAATGAAACTTTCTCCCTAAAATAAACCCTACCAATATTTAGGAATCTTTTTCCTCCAATAATTTTCGTACAGAAAAAAAAAGAAAACTTATTGATTTATTATTATTGTTCTTCTATTATTTTTTTTTCTCTCTCTCTCTCTCTTTCCAATTACCCTAAAGATCGTGGTACCATCAGAAGTAGTCAGTACAACCAATATAACTCCCCCCGACTACGAGACAGCAATTAAAGACAGTCCGCCCCCTGATTACGAGTCCGCCGTTAAATTACAAACCACTAGTGTGACACCTTCGATATACACAATTGACAACAATTAGCAAATAAAAATCATGTAAGAACAACAACTTAAACACATAAATAAAAAAAAGAAAACAATTCATGACAATTGACTTATTTTCTGAGTAATTTATTTAGTTTTTGTCAATTGTTACAATTAATTTCTATTAAATTGTGACATTTTAATCTACCTTGACATTTAATTTTCTTTCTTTTATCAATAACAGGAATTAAATTATGATGATGATGATGATGACAAAGTTTTCACTGTTAATCTCATTGAAATGAAGACTGAAAACTAAATTAATCCCAATTATTGATTATGTGAAACAATTGACATTTTAAAAAGTTATCAATGATTAGTAACTGTTTTGATTGTTAGTCTGATGTTTATATCTTTCATTTAAATTGTTTCTTGATTACTTTGGGTAAATCTTTCAATGAGGTAAACAAAAAAGTAATCAATTAAATTGTTAACTGAGAACAGGTTTCCTTTGTTAATTGTTGTTTAATCATCAACTTTACTTGTATCATATTTAACTTTTAATTTATTATAATAATGATATCCTTGAATTGAATTGATTATTTTTGTATTGTTTCAGTGAGAAATTAATTTTAATCAGTTAATCATTAGCTGGATATTAATAATTTCAAAAGGTTTAGTTGATTGTTGTGATTACTTTAACTCATCATTTCCGCCGTTTTTTAATCATATGATATTTTTTTAATTCCCATTCTATGTTTGGTTAAATTGTTAATTGTTTAGATCATTTTGATCACTTTGATTTACAGTGAAGAAATAATTTTATTATTATTGGATTAATCTTTTGATTATTGATCAAGAGACAAAAGTAACAATTAACCTGAGGAAATGCGTTTGTATTTTAATAGTTAATCATTTGTAGCAGAAAATGATTAATTAACTCAATTCCACTGTTAATTGTTTTCGATAACAAGTATTAAATCAATTGTTTTCCCTAATACCAGGCAATTAATTGTTTGTTTTCATTAATCTGATTAATGTGACAGAGATTAACAGAATAAAAATGTCAATCCCCTTAATCAACAATTAATTGATAATTAGAAAAGGGTAATTATCAAGGATTAAACTAATTACCTTATTGACCTAAAATCAATTGTTGAATAATTAGTTGATTTCTAGAGTTTTCAATTGTGACGATTGTTATTAAAAACCAATCTAATTCAACCTTGATTGTGATTATAAACATAAACTTGTATCCAAGTAATAAATAGATTGATGCAGTTAATCAAGAGATTAATTGATTTACAGTTAGAAAAAAAAATTGGTTTGAGAAAAGACAATAAATTGATTGTTTTTCTCAAATTAAAGTTTGTTACCTTGTAACGAAATCAATTGATTGTAATAGTAAAGGGTGTCAACAATAAAACGGATTGAGCTCTAAAATCCAACTAAATTCAATTGGTTTTTGATAATTGTTATCTAAACAAATCGGCCACTGAATATCTTGATTAATATCTGATTGTCTTCTTATTGATTAGTTTGTCTAGATAACAATTATCTAAAACCAATTGAATTTAGTTGGATTTTAGAGCTCAATCCGTTTTATTGTTGACACCCTTTAGATAAATAAACTCGCCGGTTCAATAACATGCCGAGCAAAAATCTAAATTGAATGTGAATTGAAATCGCTAATTAACAAATTTAATGGGCGAAAGAGAAAACAAATTAACTCCAAATGGAAATGATTAGTATCAAATCCACCCTTTGGTCTTACAGGATAATCATGTTGTGATTAGTTAATCAACTTTCATGGGAAAATGAAAACTAATCAGATTCCAACATGAGAGGTTAGAGTTAAAAACTATGAACTTATTTTCACCCTCTAATTTATTCTCAATTAGAAATTCATAATTCATGAAACGAAAGCCACATGATAATCTTGCAACATTTATCACCTTGAAAGTCAATTTCTTTTCCACACTAATGTAAACTCACATAGGAAAAGAAAGGAAGTTGATGATGATGGTTTTCCAAAAATGATTAAGATGAAAATAAGAAGCAGAGAGAGAGAGAGAGAGAGAGAGAGAGAGAGATGAGTGAGTGAGTGAGAGAGAAGAAAAAAATCTCAACCAAAGGGAGAAAAGAGATAATCATCTGTTGATTTCATTTCTTCGCATCCGAACAGCAACAAAACCACCATAACCTTGACGCTTTTTTTACTCAAACAACTTTACTACTAAATTAACATGATCAACATAGTGATTATGTTAATCACTCTCGATATTTAATTCATACAATTATCTTTCTCCATCTTTTCTGTGAATTCAATTTTTTGTCACATCGACCACTTTGTCTTCCCTCCAATAATCATCAAAGCATAGAGAAAAAATATCACTGGAAACTGGTTATTGTTACCGAGAGAGAACTAATAAAAAAAGGAAATCAATTAAATTGTTAGAAAGTGAATTACAATCACAATTAACGAAAAGGCGAAAAAAAATTAAATGTAACATTAAAAGAGAAGAAAAAAAGTTTAATTAGAAAAAAAAAGAAAAATGAAACAAAAGAGATTAGGGATTTTTCTCTAATTACAGTACAATTGATCTGATTGTTTTTCTCCTCGAATTGTTAATTGTTCCGATTAACCAGTTAATCAACTATTCTAATTGTTGATTAGCTTTTCGCTTTGATTTATTGTCATTGCTATTTAAAGGTAAGTAATAATTTGTTCACTTTATTCACTTTAATTACTAATTAAATCCATAGATTTTAATACTTTCCCTTTTTTACTTTTCGTTCAATAATTAACTTAATTGCTCGAGGGTTAATTTAAACTAATTTAGTTACAATTAACTTTTACTTATCAATATAAATTATCATTTGGTATTTTTTATCCTTTGGATGGCTTTTGATTTTGGCAATTTATCAAAGTCAAAGTTTAATCAGAACACAATTAACATTGATTATCATTTCTAAGCATTTGATCAACAATCAAATTAAAATGAAAACCTGATCTTGTTGACGATTAATCATTTGCTTTATAATTACACAATTACAATTTAATTATGTAAAAAGATGATACAAACCAACCAGTTAGCTAATTATTTTCACTTTAATCAGTTGAGTCTTAATTGTTGATCGCTTTCCATTCAATCAACTGAACACAATCCAAACAAATTGAAACATTTTTTTCATCTCAAATGATCAAACACCAATACTATTTGTTATTAACCATCAACACAATCAACACAATCAAACAATTATTATCAATACTCGATAGTAATGGATGATAACATGATAACTTTCTAGAATAATCAATGAAGATTATCAATTGAATTCCTGAATGGGAAAGTAAAAGTTGTGAGGCGAATTGATTTTCATGCTTATTATTAATATTTTATTCCAGTTTTACATTTTCTCATAATAAGTTATTATTGTTAATCATAATTAACTTCCTGATTAAATATGGATAAGAAATTGAAAAGGTTTTCGAGAAAGTCGATAACATTTTCTTTGAGGGTATGCGATGGACTGAATCCAGGTAAGTCTACGTCGGCAAGAGCGTTTTTAATGATCTGATTAACAGCCTCTTCCAATGAAACGTTTGGATCTAATTCAGCTTTGGCAACCACAGCATCGGCCAAAGCGGCAAGATTATCACCAACTGACTTTTTGACGTCGCATTCTGGGCATTCAATGAGTTCAGGGGCGTTGAGAGCTTCAATAGCATTTCGGACAATTTGATCATGAATATCTTGGAGTTCGTCTTCTGATATTGCTAATAATTTAATTCAAATTGAAAGTTAATTGTTGATTAACAGGTCAGCATTTACATTTAATGTTTTAATCAACCATTTAGTACTTACATAGGAAGGGGACCTTTCCCAGGAAATGGAAGACAAGAATGTTAAGAGCTTCGGTGACGGACTTGGTTTCATCGAGTTCTTGAATTTGAAGTGATCGCATGAACGTTTCAAGAACTTGGACAATATTATCGTCTAACGAATAATCGGGATTCCAGCCTGGTAAAACACCAGCTTTTAAAGATTCGTCGACAAAGATTAGGACGTTTTTCTCGAGCGAAGCTGATCCATTCCAAGCGGGAATTTTTTCTTCAAACTTCTCGATCCAACCTTGGACAAAGTTGATGAAGATTTTGGCGAATGGATTTGATACTAATGGATTGAATCAAAGGAGCAATTAGTTATCGTTGAAAAGATTTTATAAGTTAGTTAATCACTGATAATCATTAAATATTAATAATTAGTAAATTGAGCTTACCTTTGATGGCTCTAGCGTTAATTGCTGAGACACAGAAAAGGGCGATCAAGACAAATGAAAGTTTCATTTTAATGGTCAACAAAAACACTCAATTAGTTAATCAGTTGAAAGGTAAAGACTTGAATGGATTAACTGCTCTAATTCAGAGACTTTTATATGCAATTAATTAGCTGATAGCGAAATTAAAATGAATTGAACTTTGATTTGCCAATTTCTGCAGAAATTGGAATCCACTTAATAAACAACGATCATAGTTAATTGTTATGATATTGTAATACTCTGGAACATTATCTTTGATTATTAGTAATTTTTGATTCTTTTTTAATTAATTTTCTTGGAAAGATAATTGATTGATTTTCCTATGATTCCTTGTAATTGTTAAACGTAATCATTTGGATATTTATTGTTAATTTAGATTATTTTCTTATTAATTGTTGAGCAATTTTGCAAGAGTCTTCAATGGACTGATTCTTGATAGTTGTCGTTTTTAATTGTGAATAAATTGTTGGGAATATAATGAGATTTTTTTAACTCAAACTTTAAAATTTTTCTTTATTTATTAATACAATTTGTTGATTAACTTGGATTTTGTTGCAATTTATTTTTAGAAATCAACAACTCAAATAAATAAACAAATAATTAGCTTGATTTTCATGTTAATTTAGTTTATCCTTGGAAATTGATTGTAACAATTTAATATGTTTTTCTCATTATTAATCTTTCCTTTGATTGTGGTATTACTATCAAATTAGATTGAGCAATTACGATGAGAATATTATTAATAGTTAATTGTGAGATTTTCGTGTTGATAATTAACTGGTGTTTTCGTCCTTATTGATTAATCCAATAATTCACAATTAAAGTTGATTGTAATCATCATGAAAGTTTCAACTGAAATTTGCTAAAAACTGGTTAGGTCAATGAGCTTTAATTTTGTGATTAATTTGATTGACAATGTTAACAATTAAGATGATCTTTATGGGTAATTGTTTGATTGACAATCGAAGCAAATTTTCAATTCATTTAAAGTTAATTAACTTTCGAATTATCAAAAAATAATTTCACCAATCAGTTGATTAACAGACATAATTGACAACCTTTCACAATTAGTTAAATCACTCAATAAGAATCAACAAAATTCAAACTCAAAAGTACAACAATTAAGTAATTGCTGGATAAAAGTCAATGGCTATTAATTAATTAATTTGAATGAAAGTATCACAATTAGTTGATTGATAGACGAAGTATATAAATTAGGATAATCAATTAGAATCAAATTTTCATCGTCAGAAATTGTAATCAAATCGTCAATCAGTAATACGATTTTAATTGTCAACTTGCTACTTTTTATTTCATAACAATTAGTGAACAATTTATTTGATTGTTTTTTGCTTCAAGACATTTTCACTTACAAATGTCAATGGTCATTTTGAACATATTACAAAATAACAATTTACTAATTGTTTGAATAACTGGTTTTACCATTGATAATGTTACTTAATTGTTGATAGATCTTTAAAAGTAGATTTCACTTTGATTTATTAATCAACTGAACAACCTCAACAATTTAAGTTCTCAGGCAATCAATGATGATCATGATTATGCTTTTTGATAAATTGTCATTAAGGAAAATACCTTTTTCTTTCATTTAGTTGATTGTTGATTAGTTTGTTATAAATAGAAATGTGATTGATATTATATTCACAATTAACTGATCAACATTTGCTAATCATTAAAGACCAATTTAACTATAATTAGTGGAATTGCTATCAAGTTAATCGTAGTTGGTGACTAAATCATTTTAATCACTTTCGTCTTTCCCCCTTGTTAACCTTTAATTTCAACGTTATAATTGTGTGATTATCCAACAATTAGCTCTAAATAATCAACAATTAATTGTTGATTATCTCCAGATTAATCATTGATTAATCTTCACAAAAATTACTTAATAATAAGCTCGTTAATCCCTCGATCCTACGTTGAAATAGTTAATCAATGATGGAGTCACAACAATTAAGATTGTGATTTAAAGGTGTAATCATCGTAAAACTGGATCAATTTAATTCTCAATATTGTTAATACTGATTAAATGGTTAATAGATTGACGTTATTTAGATTACATCAATGTGACAATCAATGGATAATATTAATTGTCAATAGGATTACCAAGAGTACGTAACAAAAATTGAACGAAATTAATGTTCATTGTAATCAATTGATTGTCTATTTAGATTAATCATGAGCCAAGTGAATTGATTGAAATTAAATTTGAGTTTATTATCAGTTGTAAACAGTGTTAACAATTAACCATCAATAATATTGAAACCTCAACTATTGAATTTAACACAATAATTGGATGACAGTTAATTAGACAATATAAATATAATATTAGAATGTACCATGTGGTTAATTCAATTGTTGAAAACAAGATGAAAATGTAACACAATTGAATTAGAAATGTTTGAAATCATCAACAATTTACGTTGATCAATTTTAGCTTTCAAATGACTTTGTTTTGTTTTCTTGCTGGTTAATTGTTGGTTCTGAATAAACCAAAGGTAATTTATGATGAAAGATAATCAATTGTTTGGCAAATGTAAACACTTAAAACATTGACAATCTTAGTTACGATTTTCCTTATTAATCCATAGATGTAAATGAGAAGATGGTCTTGTTAGATGGCACAGAGATTTAAATGATTATCGGTGTAATTTATTAGAGAGAGAGAGATATTGTTGTTGATCTATTTAACTTCATCTTCATTGACAAGCATATTCGGAATACCCTGTTTGATTGGAAATTTCCTTCCAGTCTCAGGGCAGACTAAATCTCCTTGGGTGATCTCAATCTCGAGAAGAGCATGATGAACTTTCCTCAGTAAATCCTCATTCTTTTCAATGTCAACCGGAACATCTTCTGGTAGGGTTACACCAAATTCCGAAGCAGTAGTACTTAGAACCTTCCAATCAACCTTAGGAATAACTCGGGTAATAAATTCACCATTATAATCAACATTTTCCGTTTTAAATTCATTTGCCTTTAAGAGAAACAAAAACAAAACAATAACAACATGAGAATCAAGGTGAGATTTTCACTGAATCAACAAAAGTAAAACATTTAAAATACTTACCACAATTTTCAATGGATAACCATTAGTTACTCCTTTCAAACATCGAGAGGTTAACATGTTATGAGTTAATAATTTCATTTTAATTCTTTGATTCGATTGATTAACAAACAATTAAAAAAGCAAAATGCAAAATTGAACCGAAACAAAATCTTTATGTTTTGATTTCTATTTCCAAACACATGGTTCTGCTTTTTATGCTCTTTATGCTTTTCTCTCGGCGGTTCAGTTGTTTGTTGTTCTTGTGGTTGGAAAGTTAATTTAATTATGACAACGTTTAAATTGTTCTCTAATTTATTTGGAGTAAATTGTTTATCTTTTAATTGTTTTCCACGAATTGGGAACCTTTCAACTTTATCTGGATTTAGATTTTATTCTAATCAATTAGCGAAAAGACCGTTTGACTTTGATGAAGATGAACAATCTTTTCCATGTCATGTTCCTATTATGTGTAATGAGGTGAGAGAATTTAATTAATTAATTAATTAACTTGGTGTTTTTATTGATCTGATTTGATTTGAATTTGATTTTGATTGCTTTATGGGAATGTGTAAATTATTTGGCCTTTAATTGTTTTAATTGTTTGTTTCTTTGTTCAGCTGGTTGAACTTTTTAATCCTCAAGATGGTCAATTGTTTATCGACATGACATTTGGAAGTGGTGGTCACTCTAAGGCTCTTCTTGCCTCCGGGAAGGATATTAAAATAATTGGAATGGATAGAGATCCGTTGGCTTATAAATATGCTCATAGATTGGCTGAGAAAACCAATGGACAAGTGATTCCGCTATTGGCTAAATTCAGTCAGCTGCCTGGTCTCTTGGATAAACATGGTATTCAGAAAGGATCAATTCAAGGGATTATCATGGATTTAGGAGCTTCTGCCATGCAAATGGCTGATCCTAGTAGAGGATTTTCCTTCAATTCTGAAGGTCCTCTTGACATGAGAATGGATGGAAAATATTGCAATGTGTCGATAACAGCTGATGATGTGATTAATTCACTTGATGTTAAAGATTTAACTAAAATATTTAAAATCTATGGATGTGAAAAATTGGCTGCTAAATATGCCAATGCCATAATTGATTGTCGTGTGATGATGAAAAGGATATCATCGACAATTGAATTAGCCAATTTAATTGATTCTCTTGCCTCTGGACATGTTATTGAGGATGTTGAAAGAGATCGAACCTCAGCTACCAGAGTTTTTCAAGGCTTACGAATTTTTGTCAATAACGAGCTAAATGAACTTAATTATGGCCTAAAGAAGATGAGAGATTATCTCTTTAGAGATGATAAAGTTACCCAATTGTACAAGAATAATCTTGACAATATGAAAGCCATAAAAGATGAAATTCGAGCATCAACATCGGGAAAATTAGCAGTTATCTCTTACAATCGGCTGGAAGATACATTAACTAAACGACATCTCCAAGGGACGGACATTGATAATCCACTGACCCATCAACCACCTCAACTTTTCAATTCGCGACTTCACAAACCAACCGATCAACAAATGGAACGAATTGTTTTTAAAAAATGGTTCTCATTATCTAAAATAGCTTCTAGTCAACAAGAAATTGAGCAAAAGTCTCTAACATATCCAGCTAAATTACGAGTTGCAATTAGAGTTTTATAATCAACAAACAAAAACAATCAAATCAAATAGAGACAATTAACTTTTTCCAACCATCAATGTAAATACAATCACAATTGTATCTCAACCTTAATGTATAAAAAAATAACAACAACAACAACAACATTTGTACCATACAAAATTGTCAAAGTTTCCAATTCAAATACAATTAGATAAAAAACAAATTACAATCGGTAACACAATTAAAATGTACACATGAAAAAAAATTAAAAATGAGAAAAACGAGCAAAAACTTAGTTAACAAAAGAATCACGAGATGGCGTTGATGCGAATTTCTGTTAGAAGATTGAAAAAAATTCACAAATAAACAATTTCAATTAAGGATAATCTCAATTGTATTAAACTGACGATTTTGTTTATTATTAAATGTTGAAAGTAATTGTTTTAAATTGAAAATAAATTGTTCCCTCTTTTATGTTAATCAGTTAATTGGTCGACATGGACACAAGTGATCCTAGTGAAATGTCGTCAAACCTTGATGGTTCCAATTGTATCTCCAATAATATTGTATCAACAAATGGTGTTAATAATAATAACAATGGAAACAGAAATGAAAATTGGAGAGGTGGTGTTGGTGATGATGATTCGAGTAATGAAACATTTACCAAAATGAACATTAGTGGTAATAGTTTTAACGGAACTGGTGGTCATGGTTTAAGCATAACCGGAGGAATTGGTAACTCAAATAATAATAACAATAACAGTGGTCATGGTGGTGTTGTTAATATGGCAATTGTGAGTGGCGGTAATGGTGATCGTAGCAATGAGCAGAGTTGTTCAAACGATATCAACTCTTACCACTGTGAAAGGTCAAATTTAAGCTTAACCGAAGTACCTCCAAGTGAACGTGAAGCTTTATTTATTGAGAAAATTCGTCAATGTTGTATCATTTACGATTTTACTGGTGATCCTTTGAACGATCTACAAGGAAAGGATAGTAAAAGAGCTGCTCTCACCGAGATGGTTTCTTATATTGATCTTGGTCATGGAGTAATAACCGAACCTCTTTATCCTGAGTTGATTAAAATGTTCACCATAAACTGTTTTCGGACTCTTCCTCCCTCATCTAATCCCAATGGAGCTGAATATGATCCAGAAGAAGATGAACCAACCCTTGAACCTTCATGGCCTCACCTTCAATTTGTTTATGAACTATTTCTCCGTTTATTGGAGAATCCGGAATTTTCTCATGTGACAGCGAAAAAGTATATCGACTCACGATTTGTATCAAAGTTATTAGACCTGTTTGACTCTGAAGATCCACGGGAAAGAGATTTCCTGAAAACTATTCTACATCGTATTTATTCCAAACTCTTAGGCCTTCGGGCTAATATTAGGAAACAGATAAACAATATTTTTTACAAATTCATCTACGAAACGGAGCGTCATAATGGAATAGCCGAGCAACTAGAGATCCTTGGAAGTATCATCAACGGATTTGCATTACCATTGAAAGAAGAGCATAAAACTTTCCTTCTAAAAGTATTAATGCCATTACACAAGGTTAAATCAGTTAGTGTTTATCATCCCCAGTTAGCCTATTGTGTGGTACAATTTCTCGAGAAAGATCCAGCTCTTGCCGAATATATAATTCATAGTCTACTTAAATTTTGGCCCAAAGTACATTCACCGAAAGAGGTTATGTTTTTAAGTGAAATGGAGGAGATACTCGATGTAATTGAACCACCCGAATTTCAGAAGATAATGTTACCACTTTTCCGTCAACTGGCTAAATGTATTTCATCAACCCACTTTCAAGTAGCCGAGAGAGCCTTATATTATTTTAACAACGAATACGTTATGTCCCTGATAGCAGATAATTTTGAAGTTATCTTACCGATTCTGTTTCCAGCTCTTTTTCAAAATTCTAAAACCCATTGGAATAAAACGATCCACGGATTAGTTTACAATGCGCTTAAACTTCTTACCGAAGTAAATCAAAAGCTATTCGATGAATGTGCTCAAAGATATCGAACTTCACTTCAAGATGATTCGGCGAAAGAGAAAGCAAGAGAAGAGGCTTGGAGACGAATTGAAACTTTAGCCAAACAAAATCCTGTTTGTATTTAAGAAAACTAAAAAAGAGAAACTATTTCATTGAACCAAATTTTCCCGGAACAACAAATGTAATAATATTAATCACACTTCGTATTTGAATGATGATAATGATGATAATCATCTTCATCAACATCGTGATACTGATAAACATCATGGTATAAATACCCTTTCTTCACAAAGAGAAACACAAATCAAATCAAAACAAATCACATCACACAAACATCACAAAGCAACTTTACTACTTCATTGACCAAATAAAAAAAACCAACTTTGATTATCATCGTTAATATTAATCAACTACAACAATGGTCAACCATACAACAATAACAATAACAATAACATCATCATCATGCATCATCATCTCTTAAGTTTCAATCTTAGTTAACTATTTTGAAAACTCCATAATTACAATATCACCATTAAGCTGGATCAATACTAATTATGGTTTAAATTGTGGCATCAGATGAAAAGGAAAACAACCCAAACCAATTGCTCTATTTGCAGTTAATTAATTGATGTTTCAATCAAGAAGAAAACTAAGTTTATTGAACACAATTAAATTTGTAAAGGGAAAGATCAATCGAGACGCTATTTTTGCCTCTTCTTATCAACATAACAGAATTAAATTTCCACTGGTTTTCTTACATCAGCAAGAAAAAAAAACTCATGATTTAACCATCAAATCAGAATTCAATTCAAGAGAAGGAAAAGTTTATGGTGATTATTATCACCATCATTTTAATGGCTACGGAAAGATAATTCAGTTACAATATGGAATGGACAAGAAAAGGGAATGAGAGGAAGATAATATGAGGACCATTTAAATGAAAACAATAACAAAGTGCAAGCAAATCACAGTCGCAATTGAATTCAATCAATATCAAAGAATCACAACAATTTAACTGGAAAACAAGAAAACAGTCAAATAACCAGAGTTATTTTATAATCTTTTTTTAATCTCAATCTAAATCTCTCTCCATCTATTTCTTTCTCCCCATATAATGTATACAGAAAAGCCCGATATCTCTTCTTCTTCTTCTTCTTCTTAATTACTAATCACTCTGTTAACATAATTGTTGACAATCTTTATGTTTTTCTCTTCAAGGATTCACCTTGATCAGATAATTATCTTTTTCTTAACCTTTCTTTCTTTCTCTCTTTCTATCTTTCTAATGATGATTTACAGACCATTTAAATTTCTCTGATCTTGGAAAGAAAATGTTATTAGTTATGTATAGATGTTTCCTCCTTCCATTTTTTACTCTTCTCCCTTTTCTTTATCATCTCCTCTCTCAATCTTCCCCTGAAATATCATCATCGCCATTATCACCATCATAATATTCATTAACCACAGTTAACTAATAAGTTGTTTCCTCTCTCTCTCTCTCTCTCGTTATAATGCTTAATGCTAATTCCACCACCACCACTACAACAACAACAACAACCACCACCATCATAAACACCATCAATTCAATTATTATCCTAGTTTTTTTTTCATCTTGTCAGTTTGTTGACATTTCAGATGCCAGAGTGAAAAACAAAACCATGAGAAGAAAAGTACTCAATGGATTAAGATTATCTTTAAATTATTCTTATCATCATCTTGAATCATGAATGATATAATTATGATAAGAATAATAATAAACAAAAACCCGCTACGGATAAAGTGTATTCTACTTCTAGACCAGCCAAACATGAAAATCCTCCCAAAATGTTAATCCCTTTTCTCACCCATTCACTCAAATCTTTTTTTGTGTATATTGTATAATAAGACAATTCAACTTATAATTACAACAAAACAATTGAGTCTAAAGTTAATTAACCCAATCCCCATTTTGCTAACACCACTAATCATGATTATCATCATTAATTAATACAATAGATGCCTTTAAATACACAACAGATTTGAATTATTGTTATGTTAAAATGATCAGATTTATTATTAAATCGAAACTTTTTTCCCCAGTTCTCAACTTAATCCAACTTTTTTTCTGTTTTTTTGCTCAGTAGATGATTAGATGATTCATTTAATTCTTATTACAATTAACTTGTTTCTTCACAATCTTGGTTGAAAAAAGAGCTCAAGGCTTGACAATTAGCCAACAATCATGATGAAAATCAAACTAATCTCTTTTTAATTCATTATTGAACAATTTCCTATTCTTAACTGTGTAATATATTCATTGTAATAATAAAGATATTAATTAAAGCGAAATTGTTTACACTCATTCAACAATTTACTTTTATCAAAGTGGTTAAAATAAACAAATTAAATCCATCTAAATTGATAATAAATTTTGGTTAACAATGAAACAATTAACTTAACAATTTATTAATCTATTACATGTCCAGAGTTAATAGAGACAAAAGTTATACGAAATGATTTATTTTTCTTAATTGTTGATTAGTTGAACGAAAAGAGAAACTTGTTGATATTGTTAATAGAATAATAAATAATTGAATTTCTGGTTAAATTGTTTCGAACCAGAAATTAACCAAATTAACCAGAAAATTTTTCGATTCCACTGGAAACTAATGCCATCTATTGATCCTTGATAAAATACAATTGAGGCTTCGCTTGATTTTTACCTTAACTGTTGTTCAATTTAATTCATCTGATCATGATTAGTGAATCTACAGATGGAGCCTTGTCAACCATGATGATAATATGATGATGATGATAAGTATTACAGTTAACTGATCATCACAATAAGTGTACATGTAAACGGATAGGATTTGATTTTCTTGCTTCCACCTAAACCGATTTTTGTATCCAAAGTGAATTATGTTTTATATTATTTATTAATTCCAACAATTAAATATGAGTAATTTTAATTTCTAATTGTTTTTTTATACATTTAATTGAGTCAATTTTGTTCTTTTCCTCTCTTTTTATTGATTGTGTACAATTCCCAATAGAAATTGTCAATTATCATTGGGAAATATGATTGAGATACAAATATGGTTGAAACTGTGAATAGTAAATATTTTTGTCCTCGACTCATTGATTATATTGTAATCGTTGGTGTTAAGAATCCTTCATCTCATGAATCGGTTAATATTCCTGAATTATTACGTCGATATCCTTTAGAAGATCATAAAGATTTTCCTTTACCATTGGATGTTGTCTTCTTCTGTCAACCGGAGGGCTGTCAATCGGTTGGTCATCGACGCCTTAACCTTCGTGAGACCAATTCATTTGTTTTCGCTCTTACCGAGAAAGACACTAATCGAGTTCGATATGGAAATTGTATCAACTTTTACCGAGCCATTGAATCGACCAAACCAACTACAACATCAAATCGTGACGGTGGAGGAGCAAATGAGGGTAAGGAAAAGATTAGTACCAAAAATGGTAGAGGAAGAGATGGAAATGATGATGAGGCCACTGATCGAAATGATGATGAAACAACAACAAGATACCAACAAGTCGATGATAAATGTAATAATGATGATGGAGATGAAGATGATGGTAATTCTAATCGAGGCCGTGACGGTGATGATACTGGTAGAAGGGCAAGTAAACAAGAGGGTAAAAGTGGCATCAGTGAATCGGAAAAATCGATTAAAGCCCGAAAACGACGTAAAAGTCAATCGTCTTATATCAATTCCCTGACGTCCATTTGTATTATAAGTCATCATCCGTTTTTCTCAACATTCAGGGATTGCCTTTTTATCGTGAAAAGATCAATTGAATATTGCAATGAAAGGCATTCTAAACAAAGAGCCACCTCAAAGTATTTCAAAAGGTAAGAATAACAATTTACCTTTGATTTAGATGAAAAGTTAATAATAATCAGCAACTAGTTAAAACACTTTGATTGTATTGACCAATCTCTCCCATTAGAATCCACATAAATCATCATAATCACTTTTGTTCAACTTTCCATTGTAGTTTTAACCTTTACCACCTTTTGTATTTTAATCATTTCAAACGCTAATTAAGTTAATTAATTTTATGCTAATCAGAGATTGGGTTTGGAACCTATTAACCTGTGGTATACCGGAAAATGTTGACCTTCCCCAGACCATTTTCAACGATCTGAAAGACATTGAGATGCTTTTACTCCGTTTCCTTTCAGCTCCAGTTCCAGTTCCTGGTAAAACAAAAGTAGAGGTAAGAAAAGCAATTAACTAATTGTAATGAAAAACATAAATATAAATGACAATATACTTGATGATAGATTGAAAAGTTTCATTGATTAAATCATGATAATAATATTAATAGTAAAACTTTGGGCTTATCATTATCAACATTTCAATATTATCAACTAATTTAATCCAGTGAATATTTAATTTATTGATTGTGAGTTAGATTTTTAATTAACATGATGAAATAGGAAGAAAAAAATTTGAATATATAATTAGTTTGAAAGTTATTATCAAATTTAATTACATAAATTAAGCTCTTGTTGTCAATTTTGGTTAATTTTGATGATATTAATACACTTTAATTTATGTTAACTGTCATACAAAATATTAACTAATCATATTATTTTTTCATCTGGTTAATCATAATCATCTACCATTAGTGTTTAAATCATGTTAATTTTCATGAATAAATTGTTACAAATGTTACTTGAAGGTATTAATGATATTTTGTATCATCTATTTGCTAAAATTAACCAACGTCAATTGTTAAATATATTGAGAGACATTTTATCAATCGGATGTTGATTGTAAATCTTGATTTAGTTGATCAAATTTAAATGATAACAATCAATTAAATGCATTGATGATGTTTTATTATCACTTTGATTCGTTTATTATATTTGAAGAATCAGTTGATTACAATCAATTGATTTTAATACTTTACTACAAAAAGAAAGGTATCATTTTTGATTGTTGAGAGCAATTGGAAAACTAAATCAACAATCAAATATCAGAATCAGAATCAGAATCAATGAAATTGTGTAAATAAATTGGAAAATATTTCATCTGAAATCAAAGATAAAATCAACAATTGTTAACGACAATCAATAAATTGTTAACAAATTGTCAATCAGATGAAAACATTTCACTTATTGAAAATGTTACCATTAGATTTACTTTCAACTAATTTATATTTATTGATTAAATTAACACTGATTAACTGTACCCTAGTTAATAATTTACATTTCATTTAAAATTGATTGTGTTATACTTTGAATAGTTAATCATTTGGATTAACCTGACAAATCAATATGATCATTAATGAAAAGCTTTTGTTTATTTGATGACTTTTCTTTGTTTATTGTTATTAGTTTATTACTTTTACGATATATACACATGTATATGATTAGATTGTGATATTGATTTGATTACAATTAAGGAGAGAATCAAATATAATACTGAGATTGCCTTAATTGTAATCAAACAAGTAGTTTGAATTACTTACGAGAATCAAGTTTATTGTTATCATAATGAAACCTTTCAAATGTAAATGATTAACAGAAAATCAAACTAAATCAACACAAATCATCGTAATCAAAATCAATATCAAATCTAAATAATAAGATAATATGTTGATTGTGATTAAGTATTCTAAACCATGAGTTAATTAATATCCTAATACTAATCAATCAAATCCCCTTGCAATTATCTATCAACTGATCAAATAGTCTCGATAGTTGATTAGATTAAATTTGAATATTAATTGATTACAATTTGTTTTAATCGTTTACAATAGCAAATATTATTGGTTCCCAATCAAGTTGATCATAATTTACCTTCATTTTAATTTTTATCTTTGATCAGTTAATTCAATTAACTTATTACTTTCTGGTCACTCATCATGATCACAACTCTATCATTATAATTGATTATCATTGAAATATATATATAATTATATCATCACCCTGGTGATGATAATTAGGATATTTATTGTTTCATCACAATCACCATGACCAGTTATCATCAAGAGTTAATCATTAATGGATCTTGATTCTTGATTAGATACAATAATTAACCTAATCAACTGTTTATCTTTCCACTAATGAGAACAGTTATTTAATTAAACTTTCACCAAGTATTAATTAAGATGAAATTGAGAATTGTAATTTTAAATTGAATGAAATTTCATCTTAATTCAGTTTAGAACCAGAATTTGAGATGAATCGATCTTCCCTGTTGAGAGATAACCAGGAAAGAAAAGATAACAAGAGGAAAAGAAAGAACCAGAATCATGAAGAAGATGAAGATGATAAAAGAAGTCGAAGAAAAAAAAATAGAATTCAGATCGATAATAAGAATATATGAGAATCTTTTCAACAGAAAAACTGGAAATCGAATTCATTATCAATATACTAATGGAAAATTCATCAGAAATTATCAACTATTTAATTCACTATTCAAATTGTTCAGATTAATGTATTAATATAAAGTAATGGAAAATAATAAAGTTTAATCAATTTAATTGTTACCAAAATGGTTGATGAAATTTCAATGGAACGAGAAAAAGTGAATCTAATTGAAAGTTAATGTTAAACAATCAACTAACAAACTCTGTTGGTGATTGTTTCATTCACTATTTTCAATTGAATTGAATGAACATGATCATAAACCAAGAATCATGATCCATGTTGATTACAATCAAGTACAATTTACCTTAGGTGGTTAAGTTATTATATCATCCCCATTGTTTTCATCTATTCCTCTGGATTTTATATTGGACAAATATCCAAAGGAAAACATTGAGTATATCATTCACATAGTGACAGATATATTACTTATCATCCTCATCATCATCTTCATTGGGGTTTTACTGACAAAAGATGAAAGAGAGAGAGAGAGAGAGAGAGATGATGATGATGATGAGAATGAAAATATTGGAGAAGAGAGAGAAAAAAATGAGAAAATAAAAGTAGGTCAAAGTGATGTTTCTATTCTGAAGGTGAAGAAAAAAACTCTATACAATGAATATTATCATGGAATCAGCTATACATGGAGTCGATAACAATGTTGGACATAAATTTTATCTTCTATGAGATGTTATTATATATTAATACTCTTAATGTTAGTTTATCAACTTTCCCTTGATTCCCTGTGTTCACCTTAGCAACAGGGATGGTAATTGTTGTGTATTAATAGTAATAATCATGGTAATAATTTAGTTTCATTCATTGCTCAATGATTCGTATACGCTTGATAATAGATGGTAAATGTAAAGAGAAACTCAATTATCTTTGTAATCTTTATTAACAGTTTTCGTTTATTTCTTACTGTTTATTATAAGTTCTGAAAATTGATTTTCCCTCAAATTGAAAGTTTCAATGATAAGATGATGATAATAATTGTATTGGTTAGAAAATCTAATTTACTCCTTGATTGCTTACTATTAATGGTTAACTTTGATTGTCCATTTTTTATTCTTCTCTCTTTTCTATTCCTTGTATTTATCTGTTGATTGTTGATTTAATCATTGATTTACAAATTGATGCTTTTTGTTGAATGTAAATTCGTGATGAACAAGAAAATTCAATGAATCGTTCAAAGATTCAGGTAATTTTGTTGATAATAATAACCATCAATTGCTATAGATAATTAACTGGGTGGGGATCATTTATTAGAATTAACAAATTATCATGATAATTACTTAAGGAATTAATCAATTTGATTAAGTAGCTGATAGAAAAAGGAAAATCTTTTGCTTTGATTTGATCATTTGATTGTGTGTTTTACTAATTTCTTTGTTAATTCTTGTTAGATGGAATTTCTTCCAAGGGAATTAATGAATCCCCTGGTTTTGGCTCTTCCTGATCATACAAGATTCTCTCTGGTTGATTTCCCATTACATTTACCGTTAGAATTGTTGGGCGTTGATACCTGCCTAAAGGTATTAACTTGTATCCTCCTGGAGCATAAGATTATCTTACAATCTCGTGATTACAATGCCTTGTCCATGAGTGTTATGGCTTTTGTTACTATGATTTATCCTCTTGAATATATGTTTCCTGTGATACCTTTACTACCTACATGCATGAAATCAGCTGAACAGGTAAGTCTTTCCATGTCCAGAGGGTGAAAAAAACATCCAACTCGATTATCCTTTTATAATTGAATCCATTTCTTTTCTGTTTAGTTACTTCTTGCTCCAACTCCATACATAATCGGTATCCCAGCGAGTTTTTTAATGTTCAAACGTAACTTTCGTCTACCTAACGATGTTTGGTTAGTTGATTTAGATTCTAATCGAGTGGTCAAACCTCCAGCCGCTGATGATCTTCCTCCGCTTCCCGAACCCGAGACAAGTATATTAGCCAATCATTTGAAACAAGCTCTACACTCAATGAGTATGTCACCTCAGCCCTTGAAGAACTTGGATCGTCTTCATCCTGATAATATGAATCCCGCCGAGAAAATGTCACCCTTCTCATCCTCACCCTCTTCAACCTCTTCTTCCCAACGAATCATTTTCGGTAATGATGTTGATTCAGTCGATGTTGCCACTCGAGTGGCTATGATCCGTTTCTTTAATTCATCTTCATTATTAGCTAATTTCACTGAACATACTCGAACTATTAAACTTTATCCGAGACCAGTTGTTGCCTTTCAAATTAACTCATTCCTCCAATCTCGACCTAAACCATCAGTCTTCCTGCAGAAATTTGTTCGAACTCAGGTCAGTATCTCGATTCTTATATTTTTCACTCATTTAATGTTCATTTTTGGTCTTTGTTTTTGTAGGCAGTTGAATATTTCGCTGAATGGGCTTTAAGTCCAAGTAACGTTGCCTTTTTAAGGGTACAAACGGGAGTTTATGATCCATCAATTGTCGGTGATAAATCAAAATGGTTTTGCCACCAATTAGATCCAATTGTTTTTCGATGTTGGTCTGATCCGAAAACTTTTCTGTTCAATGCATTTCGACGAGACTCATCAGCACCAAGTAAAGAAACGCAAAGTCCAAGTCCGTTGGTCGAAGGTACATCAGATGATAGTTCAACCGATTCTGATGGAAGTTCAAGTTCATCTTATTCATCTCTCAGCGATTTTGTCTCTGAAATGGTTAATAGCGATATCGACGGCAATAGACCAGGTAATTACATTCATATATCTTTTAAATGATAGTGATTAGAGTATAAAAGCTGATTCGATTTTTTCATTTCGATTGTTTTTTTCTCCTTGTTTTTTGATCTTAAGTTCATGTTGTTGATTCGTCTTCATCGGGTCAAATCTTTTGTGACCCTAAGTCAGTCTGTCATCCTCCGTTGACCTTGCAATTGCCCAGCTCTCGTCGTACAACTCCAACTCATGATACAGGTAAGGGAAGTCGACGATCACCTCCCGAAGAGGGTGGAATTGGTTCAGGACGGAGATCAGCTTCTTCATCTCCAGGTCGCTCATCATCAACAACAAGTAGCCAATCAATTGATGAAGATGATGAAGGTAATGATGATCGAGAAGATGGAGATGATGACGACGATGAGGCCAAGTCTATTGAGTTTACAGAGGAAAGTGAAGGAGGGGCAACTCTACGTTCAACTCCAACTACTTTAACACCTTCGTCTACAAGTAAATTAAATTTATCGCCTCAAGATCCACTTTTAGTCCATAGTTCAGTTTCACCTTCATCGATAATCTCACCTCAAGCACCTCAGTCAATTTCCGCTTCCCGTAGTCCCATTGAATCAGAATCATTTGGTAATCAAAAGCCTCCATCAGAGTTGAGCTCAACTTCCGGGATACAGTCTGATAAAACAGCAACAGGTACATCGTCAAGTGGCGGATCGAGTCAAAGTCGTAGCAATACACCACAACATCACCACAAGGTTGCCTTAGCTGATCATCGTCCTCTCTCAGCTGAACCCTCCCTTGAGAAAAATAACTCAGCAAGTTCATCGCCGACACTTAGTAGGACGATAAGTATATCCAGTGTTTTCAGTCGAACGGGTTCTTTGGCTCAACATACGAATAATAATAATCAAAGCTCGAGCGGCGGAGGTACAAGTTCATCACAGAATTTATCAAGTTCAACCTCACCCTCTTTCCTGGATAGATTTACCTCTGATTATAAAGAAGTTGCCTCGCTTGCTAGAGAGGCAAAAGCGGTCGCCGTGGGTGCGAGTAAAAGTGCTTTGGAAGCTACTAAAAAGGAAGTGGGAAATAAAAAGTTGCTCAAAAATCTTCAAGCCTTGGGTGGACCAGTTAAAGAACACACCAAAGATCTTTGGAGAAATAGTCAAGATCGAGGTGATGAAGGTCATTCGAGTTACGGGCGAGATTCTGATTCTACTTCGTCGGTCTCCTTAATTTCCAGCGTAAGTTCAGATTTCAATGGATTCGCTGATAAAACGTCCAACATGCTCTCAGGTCTATTTGGTTCAAAGGCCAGTGGGCTAGCGGAGAAAATGCAAGAAAAAGCCAAAGGTTTCGGTCCATTTCCCAAAGGTCAGTATTCGCCACCCAAATAGTCAACACCTATTTCTCATAACAATTAATCACAATTCACAGGTCGTAAAGGTCTAGTTGAACGGACATCTCTAATAAAGCACAGCAATAATAATAGACAGCGACGTCCCTCCGAGATGATATCCAAGCAAAGTGAATCAAGGTCAACCCATAGGTTAGTATACTATAAGAATTGACAATTAATCAATAATCAAGAACAACCTTGATTGTTTATCGATAGTCAGCTATCAATCTGTATAACCTTAATAATCAATTGAAGATTAATCATTTATTTGATTCTATTATTACTATATGACAAATGCATGAATGATTATCATTATTATTTAATGTTCGTCAATTTATATTGAATTTTGTTTATTTAATTGTCAGTGAGAATCAACAATTTCTTAAGGAGATGGTTAATTCAGTTCTTGAAGGTGAAGGAGTTGGTTGGTTGAAATTAACTCGAGTTAAAAAGTTAATGGAAGAGGAAAGTTACCGGAACCTCGTAGTTTCCGGGTTGAATAAAACTCTCGAGAGGAAAGTTGGTCCTGATGATCATATTGAGGATGTTTGTCTGAGTAAATCAGTTTGGAAAGGGATGTTAAAGTTAATCGGTGCCATGATCTATGGCCTGGAACAATCGTATATGCACAATGGCCTTGGAGGAATGGCTTCGGCATTTAGTGTACTTGAAATTGCGCATACACATTATTGGGCTAAAGAGACAACCGGAGATGAGAGTAAAGGTGAATCAAGTGTGGCCACAACCGCTTCCGTTAGTCAAAGTAGTTCACCTTTCGGTAGTGGTGATAATCTTAATAAACTTACCGTAAGTGGTACTGGTGATTTGGGTACACCTTCATCAGATATTAGTGGTACAGTTAAGATAACGGGTAATCTTGGGTCAGTTATTTCACCCGAGGCATCGGAGGCAAGTGATGAATCGTCAACTCTTGCTAATCAACAATTGGCAACAAATAAAGGGGCCACTTTGTCACGATTAACATCAATTGAATCCGAGGTTTCCGAAGCGGGCACTGAAACTATGGCCACAAGTTGTAATGCAAGTGAATCGGGATCTATGACCGTAAACCCAACTTATTACATTGGTCAACGATTGAATCAGTCGGTCTGTCGATCAACCTACTCAGACAGTGAACTTGATACGGTAAATTGAATCTCGAAAATTACAGAAAAGAAAATCAAACTCGAGAAAACTAATCTTTGTAATGTATTTGTTTTCATGTTTACAGGATCTTGGAAGACAATCTCGAGCTCCCAGTATTTGGAGTAGTAAAAGTAGTGTTAGTACCGGATTTCGGTACCATGGAGGTAACCTGATTGGGTCAACGGTTCCAACCTCTGATCCTCCTCGAACTTATCTTTTCCAAGGATTATTGGGAAAAGATAGGTCACCTTTATGGGATAAAATGCAATTCTGGGAAGACGCTTTTCTTGATGCAGTTTCTCAGGAGAGGGAATCAGTTGGAATGGATCAGGGTCCAGGGGAAATGATGGACAGATATCGATCACTTTCCGATATTGATAAGAAACGATTAGAACATGAAGAGGATCGTTTACTGTCTACTTTACTTTATAATCAAACCGCTTTCATGATCATGATGAATTCAGATCGAACTGAGATTAAAAGGAAAGTCCGTCGATTATTGGGTAAATGTCACATTGGTGTAATCTATTCAGATGAGGTGAACAGTTTACTTGAACAGATTGAAAATCTTCATGGTAACGATGTTGACCTTAAACCTTTGGCCAGTAGACAAATGCATCGGCAAACGTTTACAATTCACATGGGAACCGATACCTCAGGTGATATGTTATTCATGGAGGTTCGAGATGATGGTCTCATATTGAGAAGTATTAATGGAACGATAGTTGAACGCTGGTGGTACGAGCGATTGGTCAATATGACCTATTCTCCCAAGAACAAAGTTCTGTGCCTTTGGCGACGAAACGGAGGAATGACTCAATTACACAAATATCATACCAAAAAATGCAAAGAGCTTTATTATTGCATTAAAAATGCAATGGAAAGAGCTGCAGCTAAAGGAGCTGGTGCCTTACCTGGTAATAGATTAATTCATCACTAATCCAGATAGATTACCTCCTTCCCCCCTCTCTCTCTCATTCAACAAGAATAGAAAAAGAAAATGAAGAAAAAACAAATTCTAATAACCCTTTTCCTCTTTACCAGGAACGGAACTCGGCGGTGAGTTTCCGGTTCAGGATATGAAAACAGGCGAGGGAGGCTTGCTGCAAGTGTGTATGGAGGGAGTTGGACTCCTCTTTGCCTATAGCAAGGTATGTCAATCAGAACTTTCTTCTCGAATTGTAATTATTTCTGTTAATTTCGATCCCATGATTATAATCATTCATCTTGAAGAACAATATCTTAAAATTAGAACTCAACTTTACCAAAAGAAAGAAAAAATCTTATTATTATTAATTATTACAGAGAAAAAATAACAATGAAGAATAATTTTTTCTTCTTCTTCTTCTTTTAAAATAAAAGAACAAGAATATCATCATGATGATATAAATATTCAGAAGAGAAAATATATTTATGAATAGATGAACATGATAATTCTAACAAGTGAATGTTGAGAACTTTGTTTTTTTCTCTTGTTATGATTAAGTTATAAGGACGAAAATGTTCAAATCAAATTAGAAGGAAATTCGGTTGTTTGTTGAGAAAGAAGAAAGAAAAAGTTATTCTCTCAATGGAATCTTTTCGTTGGAATTATCATTTAAATCTAATTGTTTCATGTTCTCCATGAATTATCCATGAAAATTCAGCATTAGAATTCAGTATAAGGACCTACTCAAAAATCTCTTCTTTTTTTTCATATTCTCGAAACAAAGATCAACTAACAATTAGTTAATTACACAATTTGTAACTTTGGAAGGAGAAACAATTAAGTTAATAGAGTTTTGATGATTCGTCTCGAAATTAATTTCTTTTAATTTCCTTTCATTTGAGAATTCAACTGATTAACTAATTCACCATTCTACTGATAAGTAAATTGTCTCTTGATGATTAGTTGGTTTCGATCACAATTTAAATTCAGTTGATTAACTATGGAGCTTTTGTTTTATCCTCTTCAATTGATCTAATTGTATATGTTTACACTTTGATTGTAATTAATCCTCATTGACAATCACAATTACCTTTTTCCATCGTTTTCCCTCATTGATTAATTTAATTTTTCTTTCACAATCTAATCAATTAATCATCTGCACGAATAATAAAATCTTTATCCGGTTTAAAAGCGCAAGAACTTTTTCTGTTTACTGAGTGATTTCAATGGAAAAGAAAACACAATCGACACTTTCACTCGAAAAGAAAATTGATTATTATTATTATTATACAAATCGCTGTTAATTAAGCACTTTAATTAAAAGGAACAATCAAAATTCTAATATGTTTCTTTACCTTTGACACACCTTGTTTTTCATGTTCTATAAACAAAAAAGAAAATGAAAAGAAAACTTTATCGAAATGATTTCGAATCAAATTCCAAATGGAACTTTTTTCACCCTGATAATATAATTTTCTACTTTTTTTATGTTTCTATGGTTATGGCTCGTTCTCAATTCTCTATCTCTTATTTTCTCGTTTTATTGTTCGTCCTCTTTTCCATTTACCGTTATAATTTTTTTCGTTATTTCGAACTCTCTCTCTCTCTCTCTCTCTCTCTCTCTCTCTCTCTCTCTCTCTCTCTCTCTCTCTCTCTCTCTCATACAAATCTACAATTGAAGGATGATTATTACTCTGAATTCCTGCAAATCTTCATCTTCTTTTTCCAACCTTTCTCTCTGTCTATTTCTCTGTCTTCGTTCCATCTTCCAACCAAATTCCCTTTTCAAATTTGATTATTATAATAAATCTACTCTCTGCCTAGTATCACAATGCTACATGTAATACTAACTATTGAAAATCAATCACTTATGAGAAGATAATTAGCTAATTAATTTTAATTGTCAAGGTCAATTTTCGGTCAGTTTGGTCAAGGGTTGGTCATCTAACTCCAGCAAACTTTACCCTCCAAGTGAAGAGACTTTTGAGATGGTCCTAATCAACTAATTTCCCGCTCTTCCAATTTCTTCCTTTGCATTCCCTCTGAACAATTAAACCTTTAAATCAAGACAATCAACAAATAATTTGATTATAAACTCTTTTATATTAATATATGTTCAGTGGTCAAGTTTCAGGAGAAAAACAATTAACCGCAAACACTAATTTATAAAAAAAAATCCAACGGTCACCAATAAATGAACAACAATTAGTAGACAATTAAAATTAGATTTAGATTAATTAACAGTATAAAAGATTAACAACAATCAAACTTACCCAATGTGAATGTCGTATAATAATTCTGAGTTTTCTTTCTTTTCTCTCTTTCTCTTTACATCCCCTTCTCATCTCAACTTCATCATCATTTCCGTTTCCTGTTTCCTATTTAATTTTAATTTTCGTCTGCAATCCAATTAATTTCATCCCATTTATTTATATTCTTTCTCTTCAATTATCATGACCAATTATTATTCTTGTTCTTATTTTATTTCTACCTTCAATTCCTTGACCATTTCTCTTTCTCTCTCTCTCTCTCTTTCTTTCTTCTATCTCTATATACTGTCCACTCGAAACAAACCATCTTATCGGGTTGAATAAACGGGATAAATGATTCCGATTAATTGATCATCTTCCATCTCTAATCCAGGATTTTGAGGTATTATCCGTTAAACAACAAACAATTAACTTCATTAATGAAAACAAAACACTAAAATCCTTTTGCTTTTAATTTGTTTCGTTTTTTTCCCCACTCATTTAAATCACCACTTAATCACTTACACTAATTCACAATCAACTCATTATGTCCACTTATTTAATTCACAAATCCCACTATTTTTCGTAATTCTCATATGATTAATATTCTTAATCCCTTTTCCCGTATTAATCTTTAATCCCTTTCCTCTCTATTTTATATTATCATTTCAACTTTTTTATTTTCTTTTCACTTGAAAGTTTGATTGATTAAGACAATTAATTATGATGTGAATCTCCATCCATAACTATCTCTCTCTCTCTCTCATTTTCTGTAGTTAATTGTGACAATTAGTTGTAGTAGTTTTTTTATCTATGTAGTTAGTTCTGTATTGTGTTTGCTCTGATTTTCCTTTAATCTCCTTTGCCCTTCATCTTAATCATCTCGACGATCCTTTTCCACCCCAATGATAGTATTAATAGTAAATATCACTAGTGAATAGCATTAGATAATCGTAGTGTCCACTTCCACTGCCGCTTCGCCATTTTTTCTAATCCGCCTAATCCATTGTATCGAAAATATCGATTTTCCTTGACCATCTCCAAAGTTTAACTTCCTTAGAGAATATTCAGTAATTCATAATTTACTTTAATCTATTTTCTCTCTCACTCTCTCTTATCCATTATCATCTATTATCTTCCTTTCTCTAACTTTTTTTCACGAAATCACACTTATCCCCTTAATCTTAATCCGTCGCATTTACCTTAAGCCTTGTTGGATTTTTAATCTCTTTAATTTCACTCTTTTGTTTTTCTCTCTCTCTCTCTATTTTTTCATTTTCATTCAATTAAACTGCTCGTTGATTGTTCAATGCTTGTTACTTGTTATGTAATAATTAAGCCTGTTCTCTTTATCCTCTTAAGCTTTTCTCTAATCTCATTAATCTCTAATCCATAGTAAAACGTAAAGACTTTGACCATTTCCTGTTTGTTGTAAATTCTAATTTTATCCTTTTCCCCTTAATTCTGACCATTATCACTTTATCATTTTCTCAATATTAGTAACATATGATTGAAGTGAATCTTAATTGTGTTTTCCTTTGTTTTGCTTATTCGATTTTCTATTAATTTAATTGTTACTTTTCTTTTGGGTTTCTCTCTTTTTTCTCTCTCTCACTTTTTCGTTTTCGAATTTACCTGTTCAATTGGAATCAGTTCTTCGTGCGTCTGGAAAACATTCGCAAGTGCTTTACTCAAAAAGGAGGAATTTTCGTCCTTGAAGAATACAGTAAGTTCTAAATTAGATTATGCATCGAATTATATTCTCTTTGGTTATATTATTCTGTTCGAATTCAAACTCTTTCCCTTTGGTCAAGAGAAAAGAAAAATAATCAATTGATCAACCATCAAATTCTGTTTCTTATTCTGTATTGACCATCGAGAATCGTGACTTTGGTTCATTTTTTTTTCTCCATTATTCTAATGAACTTTTTTTTTGTTCTCATTTCTCTCTCTCTCTCTCTCTTTCTTTCTCATGATAGATCCAAAAACTCGTCAAATTATCCAACGTAAATATCGATCTCAAATGGCCGATCAAATATGTTATGCAGTTCTCTGTGTTTTCTCTTACATTGCTGCTGGTTTGGAACAGAAAAAATCTCAGCAACACCACCATGGATCATCTTCCGGACAAACACATCAAATTCCAGCATATCAACAACACCATGGAATAGGAATACGTCCAAGTTTACCGGTTGATCCAAAGGATTCTCTAGGTCGAGGTAGACGAGGATTTACTGGTCCACAGAAAAGATGATGATGAAAAGAAAAGAAAAAGAAAAAGAAAAATATACAGAATGAATATAAATACTACTAAGAATTATCATAAACTCTACTACAACCATGGGAATCACAATTTTCTAAATGTCAGATTGACTGATAGAAACTTCATCTCCACCTCATCACCTCTTCACCTGCATCACCAGCATCATCAATGTCTCATTATCATCATCAAATTAATTTATTCTGATCTATTCATGTGTAAACTAATCATGTAAATTACTCAGCCTCCCTCGCACATCCCACGACCTGCACCACCGCCGCCATCATGGTCCACCCACATCTCATCATCTTCTCATTAATTTAACCCAAATTATTATTTTTTTGCTCCAGAAAAGGAAAACCAAAAACTCTGTAACTTGAAACGATTAATCTGATTAATCCTTTCCAATCTGAATGTGCTACAGGTTAATTGTTCAATTCCCATGGTTGTATTACTTAATTCATATACATATAATTATCACTGTTTTTGTCTGATTGTGAACAAAACAAAAAACATTAAATGTTTGCTGGTAATCTCATTCCTCACCCCTGAACAGAGGCATTTCCTATTTCCGCTTTTTAATCACCGTTGGTGTTTAAAAGGTAAATCAGGAGATAAACATTGTAAATGTTTTCTTTCAGGTTAGCTGATCAATAGATGATTTAGATTGTTGATAGAAATGAGTATATTTTTGACGATAATTTAAACTAAAAACAGTGATGATTAAAAAGAGAAACAATTTATTAATAGATAATTTAGAAAAAAAAGTTTTCTCTTTCTCTTCTTTTAGATTGTCAATGTAAATTGTAAGTCATTTAGGTGACAATTAACTTGATTGAATTGATTACCATCCATTAAAAATTGTAAAAGTAATAATAATGATAATGTCTCTGTGTTTGTGTTGTATGAACAATTTAAATTTGATTGTAATCATTTTTGATCCTTTCATGTGTCTATCTCTGTGTGTCTGTCTACTGATTCATTTAATTATTATTACTTTCCAATTATCATTTAATTGTAATTCTTGATAAAACAAATTGTAAGTTAATTTTTATTATTCATTTAATTGTGAACACAAACCCCAGAGCAATAATCTTTATCGTTGATTAACTTAATCAACGATTTAACCACAAAAACATAAGACACATTAACTATGCATAACAATTTTCTCGTCTCTGATTAATCATTCCCGATGATTGTTCAGTCTTAATTGTTCAAGACTTTCAATCATTAAGAATTGACAGAAAACAAACCTAATCAATAATAATAATGAATAACGACAATAAACGATAATTGAACTCAAATAATTTGTTCATTCATTAGTTTCTAATTGATATAAGTTAACAATTAATCTCGTTGATTTGATTGAATTTCATTGAAAATCAATTAGAAAATCAAATCAATGGTTGTTAATTGTTTTTCCTCGTTGCCATTGGCAACCACTCGGTTTCATCATATGTTTGGTTTTCATTTTCATCGGTTGATTTTTGTTTTTGTTTTGTTTTGTTTTCCATTTTAATTGTTTTGGATTGTTGATTAACTAATTGTTCATCTAAATGGCATCTTTCTTGAAATCACAGGAGGAAGTTAAGGAATTCATTGACAATTTAGGAATAGAATATAAATTCTCATGTCTTTCTGAAAAAGATCCTGAAGGTAAGTGTTGAATTTTGTTTCGTTTCTCAATTGTGATTAATTAGATTCTCTTGTGATTATTTGATTGTTTCTAGGCTGTTTTCTTCTTGGTCAATGGTTTGAACAAGAGCAATTTGATTTCAAACGGTCAATTGATGCCTACAAAAAAGGATGTGATGAATTAAATTACTCAAAGTGTTGTGATCGAGTAGGAGCATTTTATTATTTAGGTAAATCGGTCGAGAAAAATGTTTCCAAATCAATGGATTACTGGATGAAAGGCTGTTATGATACTAAAGGATTAACACCCAGAGATCCTACTTTATCCTGTTTTCATGGAGGTGGTTTATTAACTGGTTCATTACCGGGTGATGATTCAGTTAAACCCAATCCTGGCAAAGGAATTGAGATGTTGAAAAAGGCTTGTGAACTGAGACTTCCGGAAGCTTGTGAATCTTTACATGAGTTATTCCTATTCGGTAATGATCATGTTCCCAAAGATGCTAAGAAAGCTCTTGAATTCGGGTTAATTGGCTGCGAATATTCAAATTACCAGTGTTGCCATAATTCTTATATGATGTTGAAGAAAGGAGATGGAGTGGAAAAAGATCCGGTCAAAGCCAAGGAATTGCAAAAGAAAATGAAAGAAATTGATTTTCAAAGTTCAAAGGAAATGAAATTCAGTCAATATACATAAGATTATTTTCCATCTAATTTCTCCTTTAATTTAGTAAAAGTAATTAATTCGAGACCAATAATTCATGTATAAAGTCGTTTAGATATAATTTTATGTGCAACTCTCGGTGAAAGGTGATGAACATTAAAATCTTTCAGAGTTTCATCAGAAACATTTCCTTTTCTCAGTGTATCCTGGAGGAGAAGTGAATTTCCTTTGGCTAAATTCAACAATTGACAAGCTTCAACCAATCTAATCAACGCAATTAGAGAGTAAGAGAGAGAGAGAGAAAACAATTGATTAATCACAACAATATAAAATAATCAAGGTTATTGGTTAATGTTTGAAATTGATTGAAGTTCTCACTCGATAATTAAACTTTCAGGATTAGGAGTGTAAACTCTGAACACTGAAAATAAGTTAATATTAACATCTCGGTGTAATTGTTGAGCTCCTTCACCATTAAAACTGTTATTGTAAATCACTTCCTTCATCAAGGCTGTTTTAATTGAGTTGGCGATTGTTTCAATTAACTCTTCCAATATATTCTGGGAAAGTTTTCTCGCCAGTAATTCCAATGATTTAGAAATTAGATAAAATAATTGATAGGAAATATATTGTGTGTCATCATCCAGCGGAGTAAAACAATGCCATCTAAATAGAAAGGATTCAAATTAATAATGGAAAATTAATTATTACCTTTATGTGTAGAAGATCAATCAACTAAATTAAAAATTATATTAACCTTAATGAAGAATAGGCTTTAATTTTTTCCATCACCAATTTCATCAGACTGTCAACAATTCGCTTTTTCATTTCGTTAACCATATGATTGTAGAGAGACAAAGAATCGTCAAAAATTGAATCTTTCAGGGAAAATTCTGACATATCCTGGAAAACCTGAAGAAATTAATTAATTTTAGAGATACGAGAATAAATTAATTAAGTTTACATTATTGTTGTTGTTCAACTTACTGGAAGATTTTTCCAATTGTCAAGCAAAAGGAGGACATAGTTAAGAGTATTTATTATTGAGAAAAATCTTTGAGTGAAAGGCCATTGATTTAATCCTTCGCTGTCCAATGAACGGTAAATTTGTGATAATCGAAGGTGAAAATCGGCTAACATTTCAAGTTCGAGTACAATAAAAGCATATTGGTGACTAATCTTTGATAAATGAGAGAAACGATCTAAATGAAAAGAAGACGAAACAATTAAAGAGACAATATGATTAATAATCCATTCTAAGATTAGAATGAGATGGAATTGTCCAAACTAACCAGTGATTGATTGTAACATGAGAATAAAATTATCGCCTATTTCTGGAACTTTAAGAACATCTTCATCTTCATCATCGTCGTCAAGAGAGGCCACTAACGGAGACCAGGCTGTTTCGGAAGAGATAATTGTTTCGATATATTCCATTGATCCTTTTTATATAGAGAAATGAAAGAGAAACTAATCAATTTAAATTGTTCCACGAGGATCATAATCATAATTCAACTCACGACGTCTCTCTATGTTTCTTAATCGAGTGAAATAAGGTTCGACGGCAAATAGACTTAATAGATTACAATTTTCTCGAAAAAGTGCTAACCAGTCTTGATTAAGATCTTCCAATTCTCGTTGTGTTAATAAAACTTCATCGAAAGCATGAGAGAACAATTTATCATCGGAAGACAATTTAGGAAGATCTTTAGCTAATTTTTGAGCAGCTAATTCAAGTAATGCACAAGTAAATTGAATCTATGAGAAAAAGAGAGAAGCAAGAATTAGTGATTAAGTGAATAATTAATGCGGTGGATAAAGTGAATCATCATCACCTTCAATGAAGCAAATTCAGTATCTCGATCCTTGAGAAGGCAATTAACGTGTTCATTTAGGAAATCCTCATGGTCCTTAATCCAGTTCATAACTTGAGTTAAATACCATTCAGGCTGAGAAGAGATTAAGAAATGAACAGTTAGAAAACAGCAAGGTGACAATTAGAAAGTAAATTAATACTAAGATAATTAGAAGTTGAATATATACTTTACTCAGTTGATTTGTCCGAGCATTGGTCATGAAATGATAAGTGAATCTCTTACGAAGTGGTTTCACCATAAGTTCAAGAGGTAAACAGATTGGAATAGTGTTGAAGAAATTATCATTTTCTAGATTAATTGTGAAATCTTTATCATTGAATAAATGTTTCACATCTAATTCAAGAAGAGAGATGAAGTATTGTTTAAATCGGGATAATCCATCGGTGGAGGGCAAGGGATCGGCCACGGAAGAGGATACATTAGACTTCAATATGGGCCAACCGATGGTGTTCAGAATAGCTTGAAAAATGGGCTCGATTTTAACTCGAATTTGTTTATTCCAATGAAGGATCATCTCTTTTAGATATAATTTATATGGATTATCATCTTTAACCTTAGACAATGATCTCCACTCTTTGGTTAATTGTTCGTAAACATTTAGACTTTGTAATAATCTGGCCTCAACTTCGGCTTGTTTGGTTGTCTTTAGTTTATCTAATTTCTCCAATTTAATGTGTAATCCTTTTAGAAATTGTAGTTTAATCAACAGATTACGCATTTTCTTCAGCTCGTCTAAGCGCTTCAATTGGGGCTCAATGTCTTCCAAAAGTGGTTCCAATAAGGCCTTACGTTTACCGAACTCACTGCCAAGACTTTTAAGATCGGCCACAGTTTTGTCAATTATCAACATTTTACCTTTGGCGGAGGAGACAATTGCTTCAATATCTTCTTCATTGATTGCCTGATCCTCCATGATAAATTGTTTACCACTTAAGGTTGAATCATCCATTGAATGGAAGAGAAAACAAAATAACAACAAATCACAAAAGAAGAATAAAATTGAAAAGAAAAACGTTCAAATGAGGTTAATTAATAGATTAGTTGATTGTTACGAGAGAGAAACAGTCAATTAGTGAAAAGAGAAATAAGTAAATTGTAGTAAATTAGAAAAACAATCAACAAATCAAAAGCTCTTCTTACAAAATGACAACGTTGATTCAGTGACTCTCTCAATCAGCTGGTCTAAATTGTACACTAATCCTTGAGAAAAGTAAACAACAATTAAGGATTTTAATTTCTTTCTTTGGGTGATTTAATTTCTATTTATTATTTAATTGTTCAAATGATTACAGATATGCTCATGATGATTGACTAATTGTCGATTCTTCGAAATGTCTTAAGAACTTTTAATTGGAAAACTTTGTTAATCTTGTTTGTTAATGTTTGAATTTTTCACAATTGTGGTAAATTGATTGTTTTTTTCTGTTCTTGTTTTTCAACAGATTATTTGGTTATACTAATTGTGATTTAATTTCCTTAAAATTTTTTGATTGATTAACTTTTTCCAATTCGATACAATTAAGATGAGACTTGGAAAAACTTTTGGTTCTTCGTTTGTTATTTGGGAAAGAAATTGAAAACTTTTCAACTAATCGTTGTTGATTGTTGTTCTTAGTTGATTTCTAATAATTTAATTACGCAATCAATTTTTTATGTACTTTAATTATCATCATTATCATTTAATTAATGGAGATACTTTTAAATTGTCAAGGAAAAGGATTATAATTATATATTTCTTACGATGATAGTATCTTTTTTGTCTGAAAAAGGCTCAGGTAATAGTTTGTGTCATTTAATTGCCGTAAGTGATGATTAATTAAAGTTAATTAAGATCGAAAGTAATGAGAATCAAGTAAAACTCAATGACAATCAAGTTATTGATTTAAAATGATTGGATGATATTCATTTTCCCTCAATGATTATCCGATCATCCGATGTTAAACAAATTAACTAATTGCCATGTTAACTTGATCATTGTTACAATTTGTAAAGTTATTAATTGGAAATTAATTGTCTTCATTTTTTAACAATTTATCTTAATAATATTGTTCATATCTTATTACATTAATTTCATCAATTCAATTGATTTGTTTTCATGATGGTTTTGTTATTGTTCCGAATCTGGGGTTAAATCCATAAATAAGAGAGTCTTATTTGATGACCGTTGAGACAATTAAGTTAATTATGATTAGGAAATTGAGTTTAATTGTTGATCAAGGAAAACAATTACTCGCTTATACCAGATTCCAGGCATAAAGTTGACGTATTTTTTGATCGTTTACCGGTGATTACTGGTGATTTATTGCGACCATTGGTAATTGTAAGAGCTGCACCGATGGGCCATAAATTAGCGTCTAACAATTTATCTAAATCGGATAATCTAACGGTGACACAGAAATTACGAGAACGATTAAATGAATAAGGACCCATGACACATTTAATTGGTTTCATTCCATTTTGTCTCAGGTATTCCATTAAAATTTCGGGTGTCATAAATTCACTTAGATTAAGAACCGTACAATTGACCAGCGAATTGTCCAATTTAAGGTTGGACATAAGTTGTTCGTGTTCCTCTCGAGATAAAAAGATCCTCATCATTTGACTTTGAGCATATTGTAGGTAACGAAGTACACAATCTGTATTCTCACTAATCTCCTTGACCCGTTGTGTGATTATTTCCCCGGAGGCGGTAATAGTTTCCATATCACAGGTTAGCTGATTAACCAAATCTCTCAATTCTTTTAATTCACTTCTTTTGTCACAAATATTTCTCAATTGTCGTATCTCATTAATTGGATTGGGTGGTGAACAAAGAGTTGTAGGTGTTGATGATGAAGATGAAGATGAAGTTGTTGTTGTTGTTGTTATTGAAGATGAGCAATGATTAGAATCAACAACAATAGATCCATGAGATGATTGACCATTGGTACCAAATAATAAATTATTAATGTTATCACCATTTGTTGAGACTTTAAATGAACACCAAGTTAAATGTTGATCCAATTCACAGAGTTTCATTGTCCAGCAACAACCATGCATATAATTTGAACATCTGATTTCCAAATTTTTCACCAAGGAAACAATTATCCTGGGACCGGGTCTGAGTAGTGATTCATTCAATGAACATCGGTCAAGGGGACAGGTAAGGGAATGACGAAGCCATGAACGTATACAAGTTGAACAGTAAATGTGATTACAATTAATCCCATGAACAGGTTTCTCTACAACACCCTGGCAGATTGGACACTTTAATTCAGAGTCAAGTTTAGAAATAAATAAAGATGGATCATATCCCATGGTAACCGAATAGAAAAGAAAATGAGTTGGAAAATAGAAGACAAAAAGAAGATGAACAATTGAAGATGAAAAATAATTCCAATGGCGATGAGATTGTTTTGTTTTCTTCTTTTTCTCTCTTGGAAACAGCAACAGGTTTTGGGAAGAAGAAAATGAACAAATTGAGAAAATCCACTGAGTAGAATAAGAATTTGAATAAATTAAGTGATGAGAAATGAAGAAAATGGCGGAAAAGTCTAGAATGGAAAGTGAGAAGAAAAGAAAACAAATAGAATGGAAAATAAAATAAATTAACAGGTAATTAGAAACATTTCTAAATGGGATTGAACTGATGGTGAGAAATTAACTTGTCTAGTAAATGAGAGAATTCATGAGATGATGAAGAAGAGAAAAGAAAGAAAACTGAAGACAAGATGAAGATAAAGGGTTGAACCTGATGGAGAAACTGCTGAGAGGGTGGAAGACAAGGAGAGAGAGAGAGAGAGAGAGTAAATGACGTGTTCTTTTCTCACTCAATTCTTATGTTCACAGACTATTTTCTTTTAAGATCATATCTTCATCTTCATCATTATCATTTCTCCACCTTAATCATCATCTCATGTTAACCTCGTGATTAAAGCACCAGTTTGTTGCTTTGGGAATCGGGGGTTAGAGAAACAGAAAGAGAAACGATCACCAGCAAAGGAACAGAAAATCGTTGAAGCTTTTCAAGGTCAGAGAAACGAAAACAGTTTAGAAAATTCGAAGCGATTTTTTCCTAATCAACCTTTTCCTTCCTTTTTCTTTCTTTTTTTTGTTCTTTTTTGTCGCTTTTCGAATTCGAATGTTTTTCTTTTATAATTGATTCACGAATTTGTTTCTTCTGTTTCTCTCTCTCTCTCTCTCTCTCTCTGTCTGTTTCTCTGGTGATTCATGGAAAGTTCTTGTGGATGGTTAACATTTTATTCGAGATGAAAACAATGCCGGTAAAGTGAAGTTCCATGTGGAAGAACGAGAGACTTACCTGTTTATCTTTTTCTCTTTTTTTTCGTATTCTTTCTAATTGTTATTCTTTTATGGAAATTGTCACAATTGTTCCTGGATCATGATTCTCATGAATTCTTGAAGAATTATTCATAATTCTGTCTGATGTTCTTTTTTATTTTCGTTCGTTATTACTCTTTGTTTACTTTTTGTTTCTCTCTCTCTCTCTCTTGATTATAACTTCTTTCTGTTTCCTATCCGGTCTTTGGAGGTTTTCTGGTTTCACTTCACTTTGTTCTGGTGAATTGTTTCATGATTTTTTTTCTCTCTCATTAATGATTGTATTTACTTTCCTGTTAATCAACTGATTACCTTTTGAATTAATTCAATGACAATGGCAACAAAGTGTGACTACAAATCATCAAGTGTAATGTACTTTACATATTCACTGTTGTCTGACCTTCTTATTTTCTCATTGTAAACTTTCAGTTCTCTCTCTCGGTGTTTATCTTCATCATCTACACGAACAATCAAATTAATTATAACCAAGTGAACTTGACTAATCAACAATCAGCTGAATCGATCAATAACTAAGTAATTAGTCTGACTGAAGAAAACAACAAACGATAACTAATTTCATTCCAATTCTTAAGGTGTGATAACTTTTCATTGAGAATCGACTGAGAATTGAACAAATTAATTGTGATTTAGAAAAATTGTCAACGTAATAATTTTGATAGTTTAACTTTTTTTGGTAATTCTTATATTTATTTGATTGTTTAACCTTGAAAATGGTCAGATGATATTAAGCAATAAGCGATTAACTAACAGTTAACCTTGTAATTAACTCGATCCATCATCAATCGTAACATTGATCTGATTTTATAACGAAACAAATTGAATTCAATTCAATTTTTTCTCTCTCATTATCTTCAACACGTTTCAACAATCAACTGATTTACTAAAAAAAGGTTAACATTAACACTCAATCTCTCTTAATTAACTCATTTATCTCAACAACAGCAACATATTAATACAATTAGATGTTAACATCCAACAATTAACTATCAACATCGTTCAAGTCTTTGAACTTGAACATTAACAAAAACGTTAATCAAGACACGAAAAAGTAAATTTAATTGCTAACCAACAAGAGATTGGATTAAGAAAAAAAAGAAATGATTGAGATCACAATTAGTTTTTTCATCAACTACAATTAAGGACTAGAGACAAATTGTCATTAGATTTGGTTTTTCATTCATCGGAGAAAAAAAAATCAATAACAATCAATGGTTAAGGTTAATGGTTGTTGATCAAATCTAAATCAACTATTTGTTGCCTTGTAGAGTTAATTTTTTGTTTCTTGTTGACTTATTGCAATTTACTAATCATTACATTAATCATCTAAATTGTTGGTCCATTGTTTCCATTCAATAATAGTAATCAAATACCTTGGCCTGGAAAATTATTCAAACTAATTGACAAGGTTGTTAAATCACCAACAGGTAAGACACAAACAACAATCAATGAGACAAAATATTAACACAAATTGTGGTAAAAAGAGTTAACAATTAACTGATTAACAATTTAGTGAAAGGGTTTCATGATTATGATAATTTAGGAAAGAGGAAAAATTTTCTTCTCTTGTTAATAGAATTAAATTAACAGGTAATTGTGATTAGTTTATTTCTTACCTTTGATTTATACAATTTACGTATGATTAACGTTGAAAATTAAGAAAATTCAAAGATGATTAGATTGATTGTCAACAATTAAGAATATAATTTATTGTTGATATTTTTTTTCTTCACAATAACAATAAGAATCACAATTTAATTGAAAAAATAAACGGGTAATTATGTCTTAATTACTTTGTTGATCACAATAATCACTAATAAAAATAATAATCCATTGATGGTTATAGCAATTAATTGATTCTTTATGGCGCTGAATGAATGATGCTTAATTCCTATGTGATTATGGTGATTATTCAATAGCAATTTAAATTGAATTTCATGACGATCTTAATTGTAATCATCATATTAACAAGATTCCAAGATTAACTGAGCAGAGAATCAAGTTTATGGTGATTAGTTGATCGATGTTGTTTAATCACAATCACTTTTTAACAATAAACTTGAAAACTTTGTTCAATAATTTGTCGAGCAATTAAAAAATTCTAATTCGTAATGATTAACTGGTTTGTTTAATTGATTAAAGATTTGAAGGAAGAACCAATTTGATTAAGAGGAGAAACTTAATCAAGAAAAAGGCGTTTTTATAGTTAATCGATTGATTTTCAATCTCAAGTTAACAATTTACCAAATTAAATTTTGATTGTTGTCATTAAACCAATTTAATAGATACTAAATTATCACAATCAAAACGATTAATCGTTTAGTTAGACAAATCAACCAACGATTAACAATCAATAAGCTGAGAGATGAAATTAAATCAAAACTTTGCCAAATTTCGTTGACAATTAAAAACGATAATAAGAGTTGATTACTAAACCTAAACAATTTAGAAGGTCAATTACATGTTGTTTTCTCTTTAAAAATTGATCATTTCAAGATTTAATTACAATCATAGTAATTTAATTACCTACGAATGTAAATAGTCCTAAATGAGAACGAAAATAAATTTATCAATGAAGGTTAAAGTTTCTAAAAATAATCTCGCCCATAGGAAAGAAACTGTTGCCAAAAAGATTTAAATTCACATTGAGATGTAAAAGTGACACACACAAAGATTATCTCTGTTGATTTAATTTCTTTGTCGAAATCAAATCAAATAAACAATCAACGCGACAAATATTCAATATTCTGGACAATCAACTGAACCGATCAATCAAAAAGTAACCTTAATCTGGATTATCCTCTCAACGGTTATATAAAATGTGACTTTATATTCATAGTTAATTGTTACACCTTCTAATTAATGATGTTTGATTCTCATTCTGATTATCCCAATATTTATAATCGTTCAAACCAAGTGACTGGTAAATAGTTAATCAACTAATTGTAAATTCTTATTCGCCTCCTTAACCTTTTTGTCCACCAATTTGATTACTGTGTTAATCTTTCCCAATAATCGTTCGTTAATTCATTGAGTTTATTTACTCTTCGAACATTTTGTTTTGTTAATTTCTCTTTTTCTTTTCTTAATTCCTTCAATTTAACCAGTTCTTCAACAAACAATCAGCTATTTTCTTACGATTATATCTTCAATTCTAATCATCATTACTCTTCCCTTTTCACTTATATTCTGTTTCAAGGTAATTCCATTTTGATCAACCTTGTCTTTCTCTCTCAAGTTAATTTACTATTTCCTCTTTTGTTTCTAATTTAAAGTAATAACAAACACTTCGAGTAAACGTGTTCTCGAATATAATTGAACATTTACTAGTTCGGTAAATCGTTAGAACGAGAAACCTATTGAGACAATCAATAAGATTTCTATTCTCTATGTAAGAACAACCTAACAAACGATATTAACCTTAATTCCTGTTTAATTTTCTAATCTAAATTTGATTGACCTTCTCTCTATCTCTTGAAGTATCATTTAGTATTTAAATTTTTCTTTGTATTAACAATAATTACACAACAATTACGTGTAACTTACTAAGTCCAATGGTCTCTCATAAGTGGTCAGTAACCTGATACCTTTTAATTGACCATAATATTAATATTTCCGACAACAGTAATAAAAATTTTCCCTTTTTGTTTAGGGCAACAATTTATTTTCTCAATGAAATTGTTTCCATGTGAAAGAGAAGCATTTAATTAACATTAATAGACTTCCTGATTATTTAAGTAATTAGTAAACCACGAGAAAAAATGAAATAACATAATTAACTTCCTTAGATTAACAGGAAGTTGAAATAGTTTTCATCAAAGGTTAACCTGATTTCCGATCAATAACTTTGTTTTAGATTCGTTGTATAATAACAACTTGTTCAATTTTGAGACTTAATTTGATTGATTAAGATCAAGATTGATTTGAATTGATTGTTTTTCTTTTCTAATAACAGGTTGTCCAGGATTACGAACGATCGGTGACCCTTAGACTTGGAAATTTAATCGGCGATGGAGCTCGTGGGTCAGGAATTGTGTTTATCATCCCTTGTATTGATACTTATTGTAAAGTGGATTTAAGAACAGTTTCTTTTAATGTTCCTCCTCAAGAGGTAATTATTGATTAGATTGTTTGGATCAGTCTGATATGATTTAGAAGATGAAATGATTTCCGATGAGTGATTTTAAGTTAATTGCGAGTAGAAACTATTAGATGACAATACTGTTCCTGTTAACGAAGAATCGGTTTTGTTATGTTTTCGTTTCCACTTTGGCTCTAAGTCCATGAGAATTTAACTGATATTGATTTCTTTTTGTTTTCTTTTAGGTTTTAACCAGTGATTTTGTCTGTATTAAGGTTGATGCTGTTGTTTATTATCGTATAATTGATTCCACTGCGTCCATTTTGAATGTTTCCGATGTTGGCAGGTCAACTAGACGATTGGCAGCGATTACGTTGAGAAATGTTGTCGCAACCAAAACATTAACTGAAATTATCTCAGAGCGAGTTATCATTTCCAATAAGATTGAAAATAATTTACAAGAAGCAACAAGACCATGGGGAGTTGATGTTGAAAGAGTTGAAATGTAAGTATCAGACAATTAAGGCTGATGGAGATCATATCATTGATTATGGTCGTTTGATTTACAGGAAGGAAGTTCGATTACCTGACCAGTTACAGAGATTAATGGCCACTGAGGCCGAAACTGAGAAAGCAGCATCGGCACAGATAATTCTTTCCATTGGTGAGAAAAAGTCTTCCAGGTTAATCAGATCAGCGGCTACAGCTTTCGACTCGAGCAGTACGGCGATACAGTTGAAATATCTTCTAACACTTTCATCGATATCAAGTGCTCACAAAGATCTGGATATAATTGTCTTTCCATTTCCAATAGAATTGGCTGAACCAAGTATCAAATTCATTTCCAATGCAACCAAAGGATTTGGATTATTACTGCAAAAAAACAAAAAGAGTAACCGAGGTGAATCAGAGAGAACCACTAATACTGATAATACTCAATTACTTGAAACAGTTTAATCAACAACGACTGGAACATCTTAACCAATTGAACGAAATCAACCAATTAACCAATTAACGAAATCTACAAAAACAAAACAAATTGCGAAAAAAAAAATATAATCCAATTAGTCAATTAGCAAATGAAGAAAACCAAATTTCTCCGTATTAACCACAGCAAACTGTAAAATAACACAAAAGCCGAAAGAACCTTTGTCACAATCAACGTAATTGCTGACAATTAACTTACCAAAATTAAGATGAAATTTTATATCAATTTTATTAATCAACAATTAAAAAGAAAAGAAAAAAAAATCATTTTTATGAAAAGGAAAATTCAAAACTAAATCACAAACACAAAACTTCAACAAAAGATCAACTTGATTTCTTCCAGTTAATGATCCAAATCAAAAGAAATCAATCTAATTAATTTAATTGTAATCAAATTATAAATGGAAATTGTGACAATTCAAATTTGGTAGAATCGAAAAATCAGCTGATCTAAATGACACACTAATCGAAAGAGAGAATCGATTGATCGATCGAAACGATTGTCCGATTCTCTGACACCCTCTCAGTTCAGTTGAAAGTCATTTTGATGAATTGTTGTTTGTGTTGGTTTATCATCTAATTGTAATTAATTTTGATTGTTTTATATTTATAATGATGATACGATCAAGTTTATCTTGTTTTTTATTCACCTTAGTATTGGTCCAATTGAGTATTTCACAAACACCAACCATTGAGGTTTGTTCGGGTAACATACTTGGTGACAAGAATCCAAATGGGTGTCTTATCATTATCAAAGATTGTGTTTACCTTTACATGGAGAAAATTGAGATTAATTGGAAGATAAATAATGTCGAAGGATCTGAAACCATCATGCCTGTGGTAACACAACCTGAGGTTAAAGCTCAATGTGGAGCTGAATCATCTAAATCAATTGGTTATGCTTACCCATCACAATTTGGTCTCACATTTTCCAAAGGTCTCACTAATTCAACATCAATTACCTTTGATACAATTGTTGATGTTAGCAAAGCAAACAATTATTGGGTCTTGGCAAATTCAACGGTCAATCTTAAAGTTGGAAATGATGCTGGTCGCGTGTTTGACCTGAGAACTAGCGAAATCTATGCGGCCAATACTTTCTCTTTCCACTGTTCTCAGGCAAAGATTAACTCAATACGATTATCAAGTGACAATTCTGGTGATTATGTTATTGTTTCCGTCAAACGATTACAATTTCAACCTTTCATCTCTCGAAATCCAAACATGTTCTTCACGGATAATTATGATTGCGCCAAATGGTTCACCATTTCAACCTGGATGGGCTTCCTGGCCATTTTATTATTCACCGTAATTGTAGCAACCGGCGTGTACTTTTTATCACAAATCCGGACAATGGATCGATTTGAAAATCCAAAGGCCAAACCAATCAGTGTGCCCACAACCGAATAATTGAAATTATTCTGATGAAACTTTTTTTTTGTTATCCCCTCATGAGAAAAAGATAAATCAAATTCCGTGTTTGTAAAAAGATAAACCTAATATTACAATTACGCTTGGTTCATTCCAATTCAATCACATATCTAGTCCAGAAAACAGGATTGATTGTTTGTGGTTTTTTGATCATCAACCAACTTTACTTTTGCTTTTTATTAATAAGTGTATCTAACCAATAACAATATTTATTTGGATTGTAATTCAAGAAGAAACAATTTAAACGATTTGAACGAAGAAGAAGAAGAAAAAAAAGTGTCAAAAAGAACAAAAAAAAACAATGATGAATAAAATCACACTTCACTCTTTTAATTGTTTAGAATTTACTAATTGCATACAATTTTGTTAATTGTTTGGAATTTAATTGAATGGAAAGAAGAAGAGTAAATTAGCAAGAGAAAAACAAGAGACAAATGATTAAATGAATTAGAATTAAAATCGGGATGGAGATCATTATTGTCGATGATTATTGTTATGGATTTAACTCTAGTCCAAGTACTTGATTTGTACAGTTAATCACTTTAAACGTGAACTGGTTTATCACCAACAGCTCTTTTTAAATTGTCCAAAAATTGATCATCAATACTATTAACATTATTATCCTCATCTGAGAGCATTTTCTGAAGTTCATGAGCTGAAGTTAAAAGAACTTGGAATTGTTTACCTCGTTGCTCCAATCGTTTATTTAGATTTTCTTTTATCAATTGTAGTTTGTTAATTTCCTCTTCCAATTGATTAAGTCGACCCAAGGTATCACGACGATCAGGATTGTCCATAATTATTTGAGCCAAAACATCATATTCTTGCTTATTTTTACGGATAATCTTCGCCTGTTGTAGTTCAACCTTTAGATCGGCAATTTTTTTCTGAGAATCGGTGATCCCTTTTTCAATCTTATTGTACAAATCTTGATAATTTTTCATTTCCAAATGATTCATGAATAAAATTTGCTGAGATTTGGCCATTGAGTGTTCACAGTTGGTTAACATTAACAAAATTCGCTCATAATTAAGAGCCCTGATGGATAATACGAGAGAGAGAGAGAGAAAGAGAAAAGGATAAAAAGGTAAACAAAAGATGGAACATCATGCTAATAATACTCACTGTTCTTCATCATTCTCATGGGTACTACACCATTTGAAGAAAGTCTTTAACATAATGTTGATCCTTCGATCATCACCAAGACCATCACCATCGATGAGCAATTTACGCTTAATTATATCATCTGTGGAAGAGGAGGAAACAAAAGGAATCAAACCGTGGGTCAGGGTGACAAAAAAACGGAGAAATGGTTTAAAAATACCTTCGGTGAAATTAATTACAGCCATTTGGGTGGTGGAAGTGGCAAATGAAAAAGCAAAACAATCAAAATGAAAAATGTAACAATCTAAGGCAATAGGACAGAGAAAAAGCCAATCTCAATCTAAAGGAATTAGAGAAAAACAAATTAAAACAAAATCAGGTTAAGGTGATGAGAGATGAGAATCTTTGAATGATGTAAACAAATGAGACAATATTGAGAAGAGAGATTTGGATGGATCAAGTTAATTGTTAACAAAAAGAAAAAATCAAATTAAATCAACAATCAGAATTAAAAGAAAATCAAATTACGAAGAGATGGAAGAAGAAGAGAAATGAATGTAAACAAAGAATAGAAATGAAGAGGTTTCTCTTTGTTTCTTTTACTTTTTTTTTCTTTCAATTCGATTGCGCATCAACCGAATTTACCATTGACTTTATTTGATTATTTTCGATTGTAATTCGTTCTCACCATGTAATCAAATCGATTAACCTTGAAAATGATATTCAGACAATGACAATGAAAAGATTTATTCCCAGAAAAAGGAACCAGAAACAGTGACCATTTTGAGTTTACATTAAGCAAGGAAAAGAAAAAGTTTATTCTTTGACAATTTAGCTTTTGTTTTACTCCAATTCCAGATTATTGATTAGAGTTTGATTCTTTTTCAATTGATTGGAAGTGGGAATTGATTAAGAGTGAAAATTTAAATTGTAATTCTTTGACTTGTATGGCCTAACTCGTCGAGAAAAGAGGTAAAATTATGGGTACAAGTACTTCCAAGAATAACTCGAATTCCTTGGGAACGATTAAGTGTCTCAATGTGAAGCGCTTCTTCATAAGTTGTCCCACCGACCATGAAAACAATTATTTCCGTTGGTTTTTCGATACCCTGAGATCGATCTTCGGTTAAATATGGGAAATTGTTCACCTTAAGTCGACCCTTGGCCAGATCTTCAACGATCTCACGTAAAACTGGAGTGTGTTGAGTATAAATATTTTCTATCCCTTTAAGACCTTTGATAATCCGTTTCTTGAAAACTTCATTTACAGTCGATAAAAGATCAGCTTGAGTTTGATTTTGACTTTTAGATCCAGCGTAGTTAAGTAAATTTTGAATAGATTTGATTTGCTCATCTGATATCCCTTTTGATTTAAGTATTTTCTTTAGTTCACCAATTTCTTGATTTGAATTATTCTCAAAACGAAGAGCATATAACATCACCAAACGTAATTTATCAATATTTTGGACTCGATTATCTTCCAATAATTGACGGACTTTCTTCAATGATTTAGAGTGTTCCGATTGACAGGCCAATTCTTGTTCTGCTTCGGATACATCCATTAAGTTGTGGGCCGCTACCAAACGGGAAAGTTCACTAATTAGAAGAACGTGTTTAGAAACTGTACCAGACATTTTCTTAAATTGTGGATATTGTTCAATGAAATCTTTCATATCTGATATGGTTTCGACTTTTTTCTGGCTTTTCGTTTTATCTTGAAAATCTTCCATCAGAATTTTAATATTCACTCCAATTTCACCGAAATTTTTGTACATATTCTGTGGAAAAAGTAAATAATAAGAAAAAGAAATAGATTAAAATGATTCATGATGAAATTCAATCATTACCTTGGCATAGAAATCGTCCTGTTCTGCAGAGACGATTACTTCTTTCATATCTTTGCTAATTCCTTGAATGTGTGAAAGATTAATTCGATTATTGTTGATTGTAAGAAGCTCGTGTAACATTGCTTGATAAGTCCACTGAAGAAATGAAACAATTTGAGATTAGAATGTCAAACAAGAGGAAATCTTTTACCAACCTGATTTAGTAAAGGAGTGAAAGAATCAATCTTACGATCAACAATCAACAATAATGGAGATGGAGAATCACTAGACCAATTCTGTGAACAATTAGTGAATAGTGAATGTTCCTTGTTGATTAGATGATTAACTTCTTCGGCTAATTTTCGACAAGCTTCCGATGAGGCCTGATAACGAATGTTGGGATATTTTTGTAAAGATAAAAGGACACCAACGATTCCATCTAAAGATCTTTGTAAAGCTAATGTATTCCATTTAGAACCTCGGTAACTTCCATTAGTAACATTAACACTGAATAATGTTGGACTAACTGCTATGTAGTCACAATAAACTTCTTGAACATCACGAACTGATTCATGTTCATCTGATTCAGCCAATGTCATGATATCAGAATTACTGATTATATTACTGAAATCTAGGAGAAGCAAAGAAGACAAAAACATAAGTCATCAATCATTTGGAAATAGAGAAAAAAATTGAATAATTGAGAATCAATGATGAAGTTCACCAACATAAATGATATTGTCCAAACTTGGGATTTCTTAATTCTTGAATAAGAAGGTCAATATTTTCCTTTGTTGGCCTCAGAAAGACGATACATTTAAGGTACTTCATTGAGTCACAAGAACTGATCCGATCAATACGTTCAAATAGGTAAACCTCTTTATCCAACATTTCAGTTTGACTATAAGCCATACTCACAATGGAAGTCTAATGAAAATAAACCAATAGAAAACATGAAAAAAAAGAGAAAATATTAAGCACTAAAATCAATTAAAAAGAAAGAAATAGAAAAAAAAAATTAACACCGAAAAGATTAACATATGTAATGAGAAAATCAATAGAGGAAAAAGTGTCAACATCAATAACTGACCGTTTCTTTGTCCATCAGAAGACATTTCATTCCAACACCAGTTTCTTGGACCATTAGGTTAATGTAATGTTTAATTGATTCAATTAGATGCATAATTAAAAACTAAAGAATTGATTTAATCACCAAGGAAAAAGAACTACAATTAAATCAGTTTGTTTACCAAAGATTAAAGGGAGTGAAAACTGTCAATTGAGTTTCCAATGGAACAAAAGAAGCGCCAATTTCGAATCTTTAATTTTCTAATTTTTTGGACAATCAGAAAATGGAAATTTAATTGATCGATTGAATTATTATTATTTTTATATTGGTTAGAAAGTTGGAAACGGACATTTACATTGGTTGAGAGAGTAAAAAATATTTTATTCAATTGCTTTTGAGTGCTGCTTGTTTTACATTGATACTTAATCCACATTCATCTTTTAATATTGGTTTTGATTTGGCAATCAGTTGATTTTGTGTTTTCATTTAAATTATTAGAATGGTCTTCTGAATGGTTGACGACCTGGAAGTCTAAATGGTGGCCTGAAAGGTTGTCTGAATGGCCGTCTAAATGGTTGTCTGAATGGCCTTCCAATTGGAAATCTTCCGAGTAAATCTCGTCGAGATCTTTGTTTATTAGTGGAATCGTTTTGATTACCTAATTCAGTTTGGAAATTGTTTCCATTGTTGTTAAAATTGTTTTCGGCTTGAGGTGATTTTTTATCGTTTGATTTAACTTTTTTCTCGTCTTTTCGACCATCGAAAGGTTTGTTTGACGATTCCTCGAATTCGTAAACTTTATCTTCTTTTTGCCCTTTGTTACGTTCATCAACTGCTCCTTGGAAACCTTGATTGTTTTCTTGATTACCTTTTTGTCCTGAGAAAAAAAAACATAAAATCAAATGTCAGAAACTCTTCTACCTTAGTAATTAAAACTCTGTTTTCAATTTTTACCTTGGAATTGGTTTTGATTGTATTCTCCGTTACCGTAATTGTTATTGTAATTAGATTCTGGGTATTCCTTGTTTATGTTGGTCTCTTTATTATCGTAAGGTTTTTGTTTCTCTTCTCGACCATATCCTCCATAAATATTTTCTTCGCCCCGATTAGATTTACGGCCGAATAGACCTTTGAATCCATGCCAACCTTTGACAATATGAGAACCGATTTTCTTTAAGAAGTTTGGTTCCATTAAAACTTCCGTTCGACCAGGGAATTGGTCGGCATTTCCTTGTGGTAAACCATAGTTTTCATCTCGTTGTTTTTCACAATTTGCAACAGCTGAGAATCAATAAAATAAGATCAATCAATTAGTAAATGAAAATAAATCATTATGAATATTTGTTATCATAAAACAATAGATTTTAAGGAAAACAATGAAAAATTTACCTAAAATTGTTGCGAAAAGAAAGAGAAGACTAATTGTTGATTGTACTTTAGCCATGGTGTGATTTACACAATTGATTAAACTCTTGTGATGTTTAAAATTAAATGAAGAGTCTAAAGTTTGACAATCAATTTTATCCAATTAACATCCTGTTGTTTGAGAGGAAGACAGAAAAGTCTCCGGTGGAACTGCCAATGTACCTTACATAGGATACATTTTTCTATATCCATAATCACGAGCTATTAATCAGGAAATTAAATTTAGATCATCAGGATAATTGTAAATATTAAGTGAAAGATGGAAGAAAATGAAAATTCCAAAACGGAAATCCATTTCCTCTGACAGTTTAAATCTTTCCATCATTACCTAGACCAAAATAGAAAACAACGGAAAATGAGTAAACAAAAGACAACAATTAATAAATGAAAAGAAAATTACACCGATAAAAATGGCGAAAACATTGATCATCAATCGGCAATGAAATCAAATTAATCAAAAATCAACAGTTGAATGAGGAAAATAACAAAACATTAATAGGAAAGAAAATCAATCCAAAGGTGAGAAGAGAAAATTAGAAAAAGAAAATAGATTAACTTACCTTTCCAATAAAAGAACATCACTTTTGGTTCCGATTGTGGAGAATTCACATGGAGAATTAGCTGATGATTAACTAATTCCATGTTAATTGTCAATCTAAATTATTCTCTGGTCAATTGTCTCCATTTCCAAAGAGGAACCTGCTTGTTGCCAAGTGACTATTTCCACCTGAGTCACGCCTCAGATTCAAAAGAAGTAAATTTTTGGTCACCTCCCAATTTCCAATTGTAAAAACATTTCACTTTTTCTTGTGGTAATTAATCAACTAATCTTTACATCTTATTGAGTAATTAATGATTCTATAAACAGTTAAACACTTCACTTGAACCTATTGTTGATTGATTATAGAATCAGTGATGATAAAACCTCCTTTCACTTTCATCTTCATCAGTTTAATTGGTATTACTCTTTGTATACCAACAGGTAAGAAAATGTTTTCTTTTCTTTTCAAACAATAGTAATGGAAGATTATTATTATTTTTTCTCTGATTGAATTTCTGAGATTTTCTTTCAATTTTACTTGCCTTCTTAATTGTCTTGGTTTTATTTTTCTCTAGTCACTTGTAGCATTTGGTGTTACAGTTGTGTCTCCACTCAACCAGGATGTGGTGACGATGGTGTTGATTGGTGGTTACACTCATCAATTACTTGTCCAAAGGACAATGATATGTGTGTCAAAGTGATTGAAAAACGAGATGGTTAGTTAATTTATCTTGTTCACCAATTGGAAACAATTAATTTACTAGCATCAGTTGTGTAATCAAGTGAAAAGGTGAAAGTAATGGTTGATAAAATTTACGCGCCCGATGGTAAACAATGAACCACAAACAATTGAACTGGAAACAAAATAAGATTCACCCTTTTCCTTGATTTGCCAATTGGATTTAAAATTTTACCACTTTCTTAATTACTCTAATTTAATTCATTCCATTTTCAGGAGAAACTCGGATAACCAGAGATTGCCTATCAAACCTTATTGGTGTCAAAACAAACATACCTGGTGATACATTTGAAGGATGTCGCCCAGCAGCTCCTCTTAACAAATTAGCTAATTATGTTGAGAATAGTGTCTCACAATTTGATCTTAAAAGGTAAACAACATTACTAATTGTTTCATTAAGCTAATTTACTAATTGATTCTGTATTCTTTCATTTCTTCTGCAGGGAATATTGGACCAATTCAACTTACTGTTTCTGTCAACTTGATCATTGGTGTAACTCATCATACTCAATGGGGCCAAACATTTTGTTATTGTCAATTAGCACGTTAATTTATTTCCTCAAAGCAATTTAACATTTGCCTTAATATCACTCGCTCATCAATTAACATTCAGCACTTCTCATCCAACACAATTAAGCGCTTTTCTTATTGTTCCAAACACTCACATATCCAAATGAGAATCTCAATCAAAATCAATGATCATTTCGACCAAGACTTACAAGTATTTCTCACCTTTTTAATATGATGATGATTTTCATATTTTTGTATAATTTAATTGTTTTCTAACTTGCAATTATCATCGTAAATCATCAAAATCTACAATCACAATAAGCCCATTATTTTCCACCTACTATTTAATATAAAACAAATCACCAAATGTTTACAATCCAAAATGTTTTGTTTATTTGTTTACAGATACATCATAATATCTTGATAAGGTTATTATATTATTATACTTTTAGGATATTGTTATATTAAAAAAATTAACTTCACCGAATTGATCATTTGATAATCAAGTTTTCTTGATTATTGGACTATTAATGGTTAAATTGTTTTCTCATTTTCTCCAAAGCCAACCTTTAACCAGACCTGTGATACCGCTTGATTTTTGATTGGCAATCTCACTTTCCAGTGACGGGAATTTCAAGTGATTATGAGCGATGTCAAAGAACAAAGGTTTGCTTGGAATAGGTCGAAATTGAGGTGGGAAATCGGTCATTTTCAGATTACCCGAGGTCACTTCAGACGCTGATAGATAAGTGTCCAATCTTTCAATAACGGGCTTCTAATAGGGGAAGAGAGAGAGAGAGAGAGAGAGAGGAAGTGGAAAAACTATTAGAATCAAGATATTATGAGATTGTTATTGAGAATTTACCTTCGATTTTTGATCTTTTTCCGTTTGTACTGCCTCCGTGTCTTTGATTAAACTATTAGCATGGATATTGAACTTTTCGCTATTCGCTTTAGTTTGAAGTTCCTTGATTTGTTTTCTTAATGCCTGTGGAAAATCAGAAATAAATGAAATAAATCATTTGTTAGAAAGATCAATTTGATTGATACGATTTGATTTTTTTCTTCTTTTTTTTCTCATCAATTTACCTCATCCTTATGATCCGATTTTAAATATTCTGAACAATATTGAGCTGATTTGTTTAGAAGAGCGATCGCTTCTTTCCAATCAATTTTACCCACTTTAGCGATTGAATAACAACGAAGTGCTTTGTATGCAATCGAGCGATTATTAACTTCATTGAATAGCTCGTCGATATCATCTTCCGAATTGAAATATTGTCGCAAGGGTAAAGCTTTGATGTCATTAAGAGTACCCAGTAGAACTTCATAAGGTCGAATCAAATCGGAAGGATTGTCAGTTTCTTTGATTAGGAAGAGATTCCGTCGATGGGTTAAGTCTAATCGTAAATAGAGAAGATAACAATAGAGTGGAGATTTATCTTGATTTGCATCGCGAACCAATTGAATACAATCCCGACATTCGAACAATAATTTCTCCAATTGACTCATTTTCTTAAAATCAACCGATTTATATTCTTGATAAGTGAGTAAAAATGAGCGGATCTTTTCCTGTTTCACTGCAAATGTTTTACCCAACCAAGAGACCTCACTAAGGGTTGCTGATTGTCGTTCACGAGTTTGTAAAATTAATTGATCCAATTTGGAAGACAGGAATTCATCTTCAAAGTCCGGTGATTCCAATTTAAGTGTATCAATGAAATCTTGTGCTTTGATTCCTTGTTCACCAATATTGAAGGCACAATATCTGAGTGTTGGCTTAAGTTCATCAACTTTCTGACGATACCAGGCAGAGGTTTCATCATCAACCACCACTTCACACAATTTAACATAAATTGCTTGAGATTTTTTCAAATAATCTGAAGCTTTGGCCCATTGTTCCGTTTCAAAGTAATGTAAACCACTAAGATAAGCACTATAAGCTTGCGTTTCAAGTTTAGTTTTGGCATCGCAAAAATTGGGCTCATCGTTGGTTAAACGTTCCAATTCCTGTCCATGAATAACTGCTTTCCTTAATTTCCTAATCAAATGAAACCTTTTCCTTGGTTCAGTGTTGGCCTCTTGTTTCAGAGCCATAGCATAGCTCCAACATCTTTCCGCGTTCATCAATGGAATATACAGATAGCGAATTGGATCTTTTTTAGCCTTATCCGCACTAATGACCATCTCATTATTCACTCTTTTAGGAGTAAAGGTTGACCTATGGCGAGTTCCAGATGATTGAACAATACCCAGAGATTTCCTTATACGTCTCAATCTCCTAGAACAGTAACCTCTGTACCGATGGTAATCTCCATGTTTCAAACCATGTTGACTTTGAGCTTCTTTGATCAACTGTAAAACTATTAACCATCAGAAGCAAAGAAAAGCCAAATAAGAACAAAAAAACAAGAGAAAATTAGACAAGATTAGAAGGCGAAAATTAAATTAGATTGACACATGAAGAGAAAAGAGATTGAGCTTACCTTCAAAAGCAACGGACTTTTCGGTATTTTCCTCTCGTTCCTCAACCATCTCTTTACCAGAAACCATAATGGAAAATTGTAAACTGATAAATATCACAAAAGAAAATATAATCAATCAAAAAAGAAAACACTATTAATTGTAATTAGATCAATGTTTTGATTCTTGTCCAGCCTTTTACACGTTGAGACTTTTTTGCTCTCAAAAATAAAAGCATAAAAAGCATATAAGTCAATCAGTTGATTCCATTTATGCTCAACACCATCAATTCAATTACAATCGGTTGACACTTTGCCGATTTTAACTCGACTGATTGTTGGAGAAATTAATTGATTAAATTGTTCAACAAACAATTACCTGAGATGAGTAGGTCTAAATTTAATTAATCCAGAAAAACGGAAATGAAAATTAAATTAGAAACTCAAAGATCCATTTGGATCCAAAGATACTACGGTTACTATGGAAACAAGTGGTTCTGTAAACACTTTTGTGAAAAGCATGTTGAGTTTACCATCGTTTCCAATTGCAGTTGTTTGTGAATTAATTTGACTATTTTAATTGATTTTTTTCTTCTTTTTGTGCAATTTTATTGTTAATATTTAACCTGGAATATGAAGGATCAACAATCGAGGACCAGCAAGGATCAAAAACGGGAACAACCAAAAACACATAAAGTTGATCTCAGAGTAAGTAAAATGAAAATCAGTTCACTGAGAAAGTGAATTTTCAAATTTCTGTTGTTAGTTTTGTTGTTGTTTTTTTTGACAATTGTTTCTAAATGTTGATTAATGATTTGATTATGATTTTTTTTCTAGTTTACTCCATTGAGAAATGCTTGTAGAGATGCTAAGAGACAATTAATTGCCACTACTAAAAAAAGGATCAAACAATTATCAGATATGAAAAAGACTTGGTATGAGTATTTTTTTTTCTTGTTTCTCTCATTATTAATTGTTATTTTTTGTTTTCTTTTTCTTTTAGTAATAATCCAGCGTCTCAGACACGATTTGAGAAGCAACGTAAATCTTTATCGGAGTTTATTTGGATGGTAAAATCGCTTGACAGTGAGACTTTGATTAGATTTGGATTGAAAAACAAAGCAGTTCAATTAAAGGCGATTTTAGCATCAGAAGCTCAAAGAGATCTAAAGACGAGAGCTTTAGCTCGTGTATGTAACAAAAGTTGTATGTCGATAGCGTTGAGAACATTTAAAAAGCAAATCAAAGAGAATCAACTGTCGAAGAAAACATCGAAGAACAAATAAATTTACTAATTATTTTTGATAAATGACAAGAAATTAAAATATTTCAGACGCAAATGATGCCAACAAAAAGAAACGGAATTAAATTGAATCTCATTTATTGATGATGTTTGATGTTATTACAATGAGGATAAAATTACATTGAGATTCTTGATGATGTTGGTGATTGGTGACAATTGAGCAGATTAAGTGATCTTAATCGCTGTTGTTGATGATGTTGATGTTGATGTTGATGATTTACCACCAGCTATTGTCTTCCCATCCCCATCCCCATGAAGGCCATGAAGGCCATGATGACCATGATGGTTGACTCCACCAATCATCATGACCAATTAAACCCAATGAAACTTTGGTTGGAATTGGTAAACTGATGTGTTTCTTATGGAGAGTGATCTTCAATGTGGCTTCAGTCACCAAAAGAGTGGCAGCAAGAATAAGGGAGATGATTAAAATCTTTGAAAACATGATGATTAAGAAGATTCTGTAACAATAAAAAAGAAGACAAACAATTAGTAACAATTAGTAACAAAGATCAACAAGTGAAAGTAAGACGATGATTTACCTTCGTTAATGAAACCACTTGTTGCTTGATGAAAAGATTCAAATGAAATGTGATAATTTACAACTAAATCATTTCATCTTATATACTTTGCTAAATAAACTAACCACACACAATTAAGGCAGGACTAAAGGTTGAGGTCATTATGAATGACCACCAAAAACCAATTGGATATTTATTCCTGATGATGATCAACAACAAACTTCAGGTCATATTTTGATTTTCTTAAAAAAAATATAAAGAAAGTGAATTAAAGTAAATGAAAGTAAATCGAAACAAACAAACATTAGAAACGCCTTCAGATCAGTTTACCCTCGAGTCGGGGAAACAATCAAGTAACAATTAAAAATCTTCCAGCTAAATTGATTCACACTATACGAATATGTTTCAATAGTTTCTATTATAAATTAGTTAGTAATCTATTTAATTGAATAATTAACTTAAAATCGAATCAATTTAATTTGTTCACCTTCAATGTCTTTCAGAGTATTCAAATCGAGATTTTATCTTCTATTTGACCTTGATCATTGAGGTTACTTTCTAATCATAATTAACAATCTTGTTCTCACTCTTGGCCTCTAACCTTCAATATTGGTCAGTTACAATTAACTTTTGTTAACAATTGACTTGGTTTTTCGTACCATAGATTTTAAAACAATTACATGAGCGAATTGAGGAAGAACCAAACAAATCTAATAAACGTTATCATTGTCACATTGATCTTGATACTCGAATCAAAATTGATCCGGTTTCATAATAAATTAGCTTCTTATCGTTGGAAGATTAAAATTCATTTTCATCAGAAATCGATAAAAGTTCAGTATGTATCGTTCAATTTGGCCATTTGTCTTTATTAATTTGATTCTCATTTTGTACAGTAACTTTTGGAACCAATTTTTTTACTTGTTTTTGATCAACTTTCTAATCAGTTACAATCGGTTTGATTCCTTCATCGTTTTCGACTCTGATTCCATCAGATGTTGAAGTCATTGGTTCTTTAAGATCAATGAGAAGATCATTCGTTGCCTCATTGGCACCTTTGACATCAAGTAAATAAACGGGATTGAGTTTATATGTTAACGGGAAATTGGGACAACCACCGGCAGTTGATTCATCCCATGAACCATTAGTTATCTTTTCAACATATTGATAGGATTCATTTAATCGTTTAAAGGTAAACAGAACAGGTGAATAAACTCTGATTGTGTAATAAATGGTTGTCGTCTTCTCATATTGAGAAATGACCAGAACGAATTTGGTTGCTCCACCTTCGGGAATGTTAATCTTGCATAGATAATGTGGACTATTGATTCGGACTCCGTCAATATAAGGAGCGGGATCGAAGGGTAGATAAACTTTTTCGGTTCCTTTGTAAACAACTAAAGTGATGAATTCACGATTTTGAGCGAAATCTTGTTTATCGACAATATGCCGAGTCAATAGAACCCAAACTGATGTCGAATCACTGGAAACGTCCAAAGCAAATTGTGGATTCTCACCGATATTGTACAAATCTTTCGCTGGTCCTGACCCCGCTTGCCAACATCCATGAGTATTGGCCATCGGTGGAAACATTGTTTCTGTCTACTTGATAAAGTTAATTGACCAATTTTATCAGTGAAAGGTAACGGAAAGGCAAACCTTTCTTTTAGATCAATTGTAAGAAAAGGTAAATACTCTAATCCATTGATGACAGAGGTTTTCTTAATCACAGCTAATTCTTCACGAGAGTAACTAGATGTTCCAATAACAGTTAATCGTTTCTCTGAAAATGATGTTCGCTTCCAAGCTCCAGAAGATTCATATGAATCGTTTTGAGATGAACCTGAAATCGGATTCTCAGTGTTGGTGGTTGTTGATTCTGATTTTCGAATGTTTGATTTTTGATTTTATTACAATGAGGCTAAAATTTTATTGAGATTCTTGATTATGTTGGTTAGTTTTGAAAGTTTAAATCACCAGGATGATAACGAACTCGAAAGTAATTTGATTACATTAAATTGACTTCGATAATCAGATTCGTTTTCTCGACCTTTTCGTTTATTCATATTAATTTAATTCCTACTGGAACATTTGATAAGTATAAGTTTTTTTGTTATTAAAGTCTACAAGACTGTAGCTCAGTAAGATAATTACAATTTGTATTAGTAGATTGTTGGAATTGTGTTGATATGAATAAAATCCGCAAAGTCTACATTAAAAATACATGAAATAAGTATTGGCAAAATTTTGTTGACGTTTATGTTTTAAACTGAATCTCATTTATTGATTGACAATTGAATGAATATGAAGTTTGACTGACACTCAATTGTCATATTTCAAGGTCATAAAGGTTATTCAGAGAAGAACAAACTTGAAGGTCATTCGAAGAACTTTTTAAAAACTTTAAATTTTTTCAAGCCTAACTTCAAATGCGTTCTTCTTCATTGCTGATTGATTTGAACAGAATTGAACGAAAAATTGGAGTTTTGTTTTGTTTTAAATTGAATCTCGTTTATTGATTGTATGAATATGATGTTATAAATATCAATATGAATGTTTGATGTTTGATGTTATTACAATGAGGATAAAATTACATTGAGATTCTTGATGATGTTGGTGATTGGTGACAATTGAGCAGATTAAGTGATCATAATCGTTGTTGTTGATGATGTTGATGTTGATGTTGATGATTTACCACCAGCTATTGTCTTCCCATCCCCATCCCCATGAAGGCCATGAAGGCCATGATGACCATGATGGTTGACTCCACCAATCATCATGACCAATTAAACCCAATGAAACTTTGGTTGGAATTGGTAAACTGATGTGTTTCTTATGGAGAGTGATCTTCAATGTGGCTTCAGTCACCAAAAGAGTGGCAGCAAGAATAAGGGAGATGATTAAAATCTTTGAATTCATGATGATTGAGAAAATTCTGTAATAATCGAAAAGAAGACAAACAATTAGTAACAATTATTAACAATTAGTAACAAAGATCAACAAGTAAAAGTAAGACGATGATTTACCTTTGTTAACTAAACCACTTGTTGTTTGATGAACAGATTCAAATGAAATGTGATAATTCACAACCAAATCTTTTCGTCTTATATACTTTGCTTAATAAACTAACCACACACAATTAAGGCAGGACTAAAGGTTGAGGTCATTATTTATTTCTGATGATGATCAACAACAAACTTCAGGTCATATTTTGATTATGATTGTTAATGATGTGTGATTTTGATTGTAAAAAAGTATAATAAAAATCACCAAGAAAGTATTAAATAATAAATGAAAGTTAATCCATTATGGATTATCCATACAAGAAAATTAAAGTTGTGCCATTTGACTTTCCAAGACTCTCATAGCATGTTCCTTTTGGGCTGGAGTTTCAAGAACAAGATTGAAACAAGAACACAAATCATAGTAAGCACGTCGAACTTCCTCAATTGTCCAGCGATGACCTCGATCACGCTCAAAAGCTTGTACGACAGTGAGTAGCATTAACCAATCCATACGTGGTACCCAACATAAATGTGTAGTGTTTCCAAAGTGTAGCATTATCATTGCGATCTGAAGCTCATTCAATACGACAGGTGGTTCAACCCGTACTGGGGCGAGGTTAAGTGCATACATTTTCTGAAGGTATAAATTTGCTACACGAGGATAAACAGATTTGTATTCATCATTATCAGAAGTAAATTCAAAGAATGAATGGTTTCGAAACCCGGTTGAATCCGACATTGGAATAGATAATTTGGTTTGGACAATTAAAACAATCTTCGATTATTCATCAAAAACAACACACAATTAAACTGAAATTACTAAAAATTCAGAGGAGAACAGTAATAAGAATAGAAAACAAGAAATTGAATCAATGTAAATTCAAGTCTTGAATTTCAAGAGACAAAATTGTAAACAAAGGACTTATCCGAAATGAGTAGTTTTTACTAGTTGCTAACACTAACTAGTAGCTCCGCCCAAGTAGTACTGTCCGAATCTGAAAATTTACACTAAACTATTTAGTGGTTACCATGGCATTAGGGATAGTATAGGGGTGGAAATCTAGTCGGTGATTTTGCTCATCTACTTTTCATCCCCTCACACTACTTTTGGGTTGCTAAGGTAAACAAAGACTTTACATATTGTTTTTAATGAAAAATGAACCCGCCATAAACAAAAATTTTATTTAATTATTTTTAAAAATAAGATTTGATTAATTTCCGGCAGTACTAGATCTTATAATTTAATTAAAATAAATAAAAAAGTTAAATAATCCTTTAATTGATGTTTTAATGCTGATGTAAAATTGGAATATTAAACCTTAGTTGAATCTAATTACGATAGATGGCGCTCTAACTAGTAGGTGATTCGGATGCTACTTTTAAGTATTTTCTATCTAGTAAATACTATCTAGAGTAGTATGTAGTATTTACTACACATTTCGGATAAGTCCAAAGAGAAAGAGAAAATTGTCTCCTTGACAACAAGTGGTTCGAAACAAATTAGCGGGAACAATAATCTAATTCCGCTCATGATATTTTCTCGATCATTTTTCAATTGGAATTACTTTTTACTAATTTTCGATAGAAATTTGAATTGATCGATAAAAGTTCAGTATGAATCGTTCAATTTGGTCATTTGTCTTGATTAGTTTGATTCTCATTTTGTACAGTAACTTTTGGGAACCAATTTTTTTACTTGTTTTTGATCAACTTTCTAATCAGTTAAAATCAGTTTGATTCCTTGCATTATTATTTGTATGACTTAAATTAATTGAGTAAAAATTGGATTTTTTGTTTACATTTTTAATTATTGAGATCAAATTGGATTCATTGATGGAAATCATATTGATTATGTTTCCACATTGTTGGTTAAGCAGGTAAACTGGTGACACTTATTCAAATTCTTCGATTTAACAACTTTAAGGATTTTATTCCAATCACTGAATTAAGTTTTTTTTTTGTTTCACAATTAGTTTTTTATTCATAGTCACCTTAATTGATCTTCACTGATCGGGGTGAATTACATTACTTTATTTACTTTTTTCAATATTCTGTTTATAAAAGAGAGAGATAAGTCAAATAAAGGTGACTTCCACCTATGAAGGAGATAGAGATAAAGAGAAGAAAACAAAGTTATAAAACGATTAACTAATCTCTTTATCTCCTTGACATTTTCACAACACTTCCGAATGACCATTTTTGAGCAGTGCCTGCGATCAGTAGAGATAACAAAGAGGATTATAATTAGAATGATTTACATTCGATTTTAGCATCATTCTAATTTCATTTGCTGATGGTATTCGCTTTCCTTCTTTGGTTAGTTCTAAGTACTTTCGATACAATTTGATCGTGAAACATGAGTCCAGTCCTGGATTATGACCGTTGAGAGGATTATACGAGTCTCTTTTTAACCCCTTTGAATGAGGAAAGAAGAAGTTTACTAGTTTTTCTAATGAAATTTTTCCATAGAGTTTCTGGACATTGACCACTTCGATTTTCCATTCCTTAAGATCACCATCACTTATATTTATCTTTTTTAGTTCTTTATCGTCGGAATCGAATATGAGAACTCGTTTTTCGCCACAGGCTAGTAGAATGTTTGACTTTATCTCGTCTAGTGATTTTCCGTCTTGTAATTGTTGTAATTGGACGCTGGATATTGGGGTAGTCAAGTGGGTAACATTCGTGGTTTTTAGATACTCGGAATAGATAACCTGAGCACCAAGACTATTGCTGCTGAACCAGCCAGCGAGGGTGACGAAAAGTGCTTTCCCGTCAGTGGCCATGCCTTCGGTGTCAATAGCGAGGGTTGGCTTTTCTTCTCCAACTTTTCCAATAGGCTTTAATTTCCCGAGTAACTTGAAGTCCAAGTTTCCGACGTTCTTCCAAAAGATGGGATTCTCTTTTAATTTACGTCGTTTTGAAGAAGGTTGATCATCGGTAGAGATGAGGTTAACTCGTGGAGGCTCTTCACCTTTTCTCAACCAGGAACAATGAGCTATTTGGTGACCATTCTCAAGACAGGCAGCGCAGAAGGTGCAATCGCGGGTTTCGTGTGCATATCTGAAGCAAATTGCACAATGTTTTTCCCTTAACTTAGATACAATGGGGCAAAATTTCAGGATTTTCTTGGTTTCTTGGTAACCGTAATCTAAGTCTTTTTGATTTCCAGCGGAAATCGTTACCTTGGCCATTTTTCTATTGTCTAATTGAGTACATTGTACGGTGAAATTTTTGTTATTCCTAATTGAAGTGGAAATGGGAACACCGAACTGGTTAAATACTCCTCGTAAGTATCGAGTCAAGATTAATATATTGGTGATAAAGAGGAAAGGAGAATTATCACCGGGCATCTAATAAAGGAGAAATAAAATAAAACTTAAAATTAGAATAATTGGTTAATTGGGATGTAGTCGGGCTTAATTGGGAAAGTTTTATCCTTATTCTTTTTCTTAGTTTTGCTTATGATGACAGGCTCAGTGATCATTGAGTAAATTGTTGGTCTAGGTTGATAGATTATTTTGACGATTTTGAGAATCAACATAACGAGAATAGAAAGGGAGATGAGTCCGAGAAAGAGGTTAAAAGCGTCACGTTTTAGGTACGTGAACCAAGATTCATTGGTTTGACGTTGAGCTTCGATGACTACATTTTTGAGCAATTCTAACTTTTCTGGTTCTAATTTTATTCTCTCATAATCGTAGGGTGATAATTGCCAGTTGATTGTTGTTGACCAGGAAGTCACGTCTTTCTCATGTGTGAATGTTAGGTCGTTAGATGTATACGAGGTTTGACCGATCTGAAATGACATTGAGCGAGATATTTTCAGTACTTGGTTTGGACAAGGTCGGGTGATGTTAAAAATGGTGAGATTGTGGCCATAACAATAGACGAAAAAATCTTCGTTAACGATTTTCGTTTGGGGTTTTTTAATTTGAAAGTTGTAAGAGCCAATTTGAACACAATCTGATAATTTCCATAATCCGGCCTCAGGCACTTTGTGACAGAACTTTCCCGTATCAAAATTTAGTTTTTTCGATGCAAAATCATCTTCGGTTACTTCACACATTTCAGGCGGCTTCGAGGTGGTGTTTACCACGATAAACTTCGGGCCAACATAATTCTTGATACAGATTTCAGTGTTGTTTACTTCTTGAATTAAGGTGAATGGATCAACTTTGTGTATGATGAGATCATCAGCGTAATTATCGACTCTGAATAATAACTTGACGAGGATTGTTTTGTTGATCGTTTTGAAAGTTACTTTGCAATTTTCCATGGAGCTTAAGGGGCAACTTTTCCCACATGGTAACTCTACTTTGAAAAAGTTCAATAAGCTTTCCGGTATCTTTTCCCCATTTTCCATTGCGACTCTGGTTTCTCTCATGATTTCGTTGATTCGTTGTGTTTGATAAACAACAGTGGCTGATTGGAGAGGTGATTGGGATCATTTGCTCTAACTCATCTAGTCAGTGTTCGTTGAAAGGATCTGATCTGCAATGTGCTTGAGGTTATTTTGATGGTTATTTAGTACCTCGTAGGTTAGATTTGAGGCTGTTGCTAACAAGTCATAATTTGGTGATTGGAGATCCAATTCTTAATTGTACCGAACAATTACAGCTAATGATCCTATTAGAAGAGTTGAAAATATTACTCTTTTTTCTTCTTTTCTGTGTTATATTTGATCCAAAAGTGAAAGTGTAAGTTGATTTTCAACATAAGATTCACAGTGTTGTCGTGCTAGCTCAAATATATCTTCTCTATTATATGGTTTTAAGCCACAAAACCATTTTATTTCCTCTCCACACCTCGGTGCTTCCTTTATGAGTCTTTTGCAGGCAAATTTGTTGACCGGTCCCTGATTATCGATCTCACACTTATCTGCGTCAATACTCAAGCTTCCATGTATGGGTGATTTAATTTGTAAGCATGGATTCTGTATGATTATCGTGTAATTTACATTTTTACGTCCATTTATTATCTTATGCTTCGTTGCTCTCCAGATCACGTCAGCACCATATTCAGTCCCGGAAACGAAGCTTATCAGAAAGAGAATGATTAGTATCATCATCTGTTTGTTGAGATGAGAGGGTGATAGTGATCGAGACCTGCGATCTCTTGAATTAAACTTTGATAATTGAGAGGCATGGGCTCGAATTTCATGATCATCATTCTTGATGATGTAAGTTGTTTCTCCTATTTTATCAGTGATGGTAAACGGTCCCTCTTTTCTAGTGTCTAATTTGTCGGTTCGAATATTTTTCTTGTAGAGGACCTTTTCACCGATTTCGAAATTCACAATCTTGGATTTTGAATCATGATAAGCTGTTTGTTTTTCTTTAGCTTCGAGAGAGAAGATTTTCGATTGATCTCTGATAGTTTTCCATTCGTTGATGATGAATTTAGTGTAATCATCAATGTTGGTTTGGTCACTGGTGGGTGAGAGGTTGATGTCGACGGGGAAATTAGCTTCTCGACCATATATGAGATAAAATGGGGAAGCTCTTGTGCTGCTGTTCGCTGCTGTATTGTAAGCGAAGGTAATTAGGGGTAGCATTTGAGTCCATTTCGATTTATTTTCTTGACAATAATGAATTAACATTTGGCAAAGGGTTCGGTTGACCCGCTCGGTTAATCCATTGGTTTGAGGGTGATAGGCGGTTGAAAATTGCCAGCGGGAAGTCATGAATTCACTGAGTTTCTGAATTATTGATGAAGTGAAATTGGTACCTTGATCAGATAGGATAGAGGCGGGGCAACCGTGGCGAGCAACGATGTTTTCGATCAGGAATTTTGCGGTTACTGAGGCGGTCTTGTGAGTGAGCGCCTTTGTCTCCACCCACCGAGTAAAGTAATCAGTGGCCACGATGATATATTTCTTTCCTGATGAAAATGGTAATGGACCAACTATATCGATTCCCAGTTTCTCGAAAGGTTTGCCAACATGAATTGATTTCATTGGTGCATCGACTTTTGTTTGTTTATTAAATTGACAATCGCGACAATTTTTGATGTAATTTGTTATCACCTGGTGCATCTTTGGCCAGTAATATCGTTGACGAACACGATTGTAAGTCTGATAGACTCCACAATGACCTCCGATTGGATCATCATGATAAGATTTCAAAAGTTCATCAATTAAAGTCTCAGGAACCACTTGGACCCATCGGCTACCATATTCGGTTATAATTTTTCTCTCTAGTAGTTCGTTTCTAATACGATGATTATTAACAAGTTTAGTTTTTGTTAATTTATCTAGAGAGTCCAAATTTGATAGTTGATTTATTTTTAATTGAGTGAAAGGATCGCTATGTTGTTCAGCGATTAGTTTACTTGTTTCCTTGGAGTCCTCTTGAATTAATAAGGTGAAGATCTCATCACCTTGTTCAAATTGTTCATCTTTATCGTTAAATTCAGGATCATGAGTCGGGTAACGGCTCAGACAATCAGCATCAGCGTGAGTTTTTCCAGATTTGTAAATGATAGTGAAATCGAACGATTGTAAGGTTATGGAATAACGCATAAGGCGAGGAGGAAGTTTAGCCTTTGACCTTAAAAAGCACAAGGCACAATGGTCAGTAATGATCTCGAATTTGGATCCTTCGAGGTAGGGGCGGAATTTTTCTACGGCATAAATAATGGCGAGACATTCTTTATCGGAGATCGGATAATTGACTTCGGCTCCTTGTAATTGTCGGCTGGCGTAGGCGATCGGCTTCCATTTATTATCGTGACGCTGGAGGAGAATCGCACCTAATCCGAAATCAGAAGCATCGGTTCTCAATTGAATTGGTCGATTTGGATCAAAGTGTTCGAGGACATGAGTGGAGCAGAGTAACTTTTTTAGTTGTTCAAAAGACTCATGTTCATCGGAGCCCCAAATGAAAGGTGCTTCTTTTCGTGTCAGTTGAGTGAGAGGGCGAGCGATCTTAGCGAAATCGCGAATGAATTTTCGATAATATGAGCAAAGTGCAACAAAAGCTCGGACATCTCGAAGTGTTAACGGGATCGGGTAATCACGGATTGTCCTTATCTTCTCAGGATCTGGTTCTTGTCCATCTTCACTGATGACATAGCCAAGATAAAGAATTTTCTTTTTAAAGAAGGTACACTTCTCGGGCTTGAGGGTCAGTCCGGCGGTTCTCAATCTGTTGAAGACTGATCGTAATCGATTGAAATGCTCATTCATGGTTCGACTGAATATGATAATATCGTCGATGTAAACGAGACAAGAATTGTATTTGAGGCCAGCCAGGCAAACGTCCATTAATCGCTGGAAAGTGGCGGGGGCGTTGCAGAGGCCAAAGGGCATCACTTTGTACTCATACATTCCAAATGTTGTTACAAAGGCACTTTTAATTCGATCGACTGGGTTTAATTCGACTTGATGGTAGCCACTTCGAAGGTCAAGTAAGCTGAAATACTTTGCACCTTGGAGGCAATCGAGTGAGGTGTTAATATCGGGAATCGGATATCGATCTTTCTTGGTGATCGCATTCAATTTACGATAATCAACACAAAGTCTCCAATCTTTGGTTTTCTTGCTAACTAGGACAACAGGAGATGACCAGGGAGAGGAAGACTCAACGATAATATCGTCCAGGAGCATCTCATCTATTAGGGCTTTAGTTATTTCCCTTTTCGCAGCACCTTGAGTGTAAGGAGCACAAGCAATTGGAGGATGATTATTGGTATCGATGGAGTGGGTGAACAGGCTTGAACGGCCAATCTCACGTTGGTTCGTAGCGAAGACGTCCCGAAACTCGTTGCAAAGGTTGTACAATTTATCTTTATCACTATCACTGACTTCACTGTCAATATCGATGGTGATGGAACGGTCGATGTTGTCGATATCGATAGTAGATGATTCACTTTCACTTGCTTCAATTGTTTCAATTGATTCAGTTGATTCACTTGTGTTAGTTACTTCAGTATCAATTTGTTTGATTGGTTGACTGTTAATGTGTACCCTACCGGCTGAACAATCAATCACTATATTAGCCTTTGACATAACATCTTGACCGATTAAGACACTAAATTGTTTGGGTAATCGATCGATTACTTGGACTGTAGTTACTATCAATAGGGCTGAATTATTGTCACTGATCTTGATTGTAATATCGACTTGACCTAAGATTTGAATTGGCTTATCATTGGCCGCTAGGGGAGTTGGACCTTTATATGGTTCTAAATTCAGTTTCAATTGCTCAACTAATTGTTTCGTAATCAGGGTCATGTCAGAGCCGGTGTCGAACATGGCTTCAACTCTATGATTATCAACTTTAATCTGTTGATGGATTAGCTTTTTCTTGAAAATCGAGCAAATGGCTGAGACCTGAGGCTCTTCCTCTTCACTAGTGTAATCATCATCTTCTGCATCATAATCAACTTTAGTGATGGTTCTAATTTGAGGACCTTGATTTGATTGCTCTTGCTGGTTAGAGGGATTCTCTCTTTGCCTGTTCTCATTTCTCTCTCTCCAGTTTCGATCATTACTAGAACGATTTTGATAATTTCTATTGTCTCTCCGTTTACTACGATTGTAGAACGGTTGTTGATTGATCTGGGCTGGTGAGGCTTGTTGATTGACTTGTGGTTGATTAGGCTGAATCGATTGATCTTGTGATTGCATAGCATTAGATTGCAATGGTAAGTTCTGTTGGTTTGACTGAGCTGGTTGAATCAGTGGACTGCTAATTGGCTGAAAGTTATTGGCTTGAATTGCTGCCATTCGGTGGCGACAATTTTCTTCGGTGTGGCCGCGATGACCGCAAAAGTTGCAAGTGACTCGATTCTGATTGAAGGCTTTAGCAGTAAATGTATTTAACTTTTCTTCTAATTGATCAAATTTTGATTGTAACCGATTCAAAGTGTTCAACAATTTGCTTTCGATTGCATTTGATGAATTAGACTCGAGGCTAAAATTATGATTTGGCTTGACCTCACCATTGACTAAGGCCTTGTCAGCTAATTTGGCTGCCTCGATTAATTCACTCAGTGTCTTCGGGTTTTGTAAAGTTGTGACAAATTTAATCTGAGGTAAGAATCGTTCAGAGATGAAACTAATCATTAAGCTCTCAGGCATCTGACTGTTCATTCGAGAGCAAAGCTCTTGAATCTCATAGATGAAGCTAGTTGTTGGTTGGCCTGGTTTCTGTTTGCTATTATGAAGCTGTTGAGAGAGGTGAGTACGATAATCTGCTGGACAGAGTCCAGTTATCATGCATTCTCTAAGCTGTTCGTAAGTCGTTGGCTTATTGGCTGGTCCGAATGAACTAACGGTCAAGTTGTACCAACGACGAGCTGAGCCTTGAAGGTAGAATGGAATTATTTTAAACATTTCGGCTGCATTTAAACCTAATGCTTGAGAGGCGAATTCAAATTGGACCAACCAATCAACTACATCTTCATTATCTCCCCTGAAAGGTTCAATAGTTATATGGTTCTTTAAAAGGTTAGAAAGATTAATGTTCATAACTGAAGGAGCTGGTTGATTAAATTCCTGATTAGGTGTTGATGATAATGATGGTGCAGTAGGAGGTACTGACATTTCGATCTAATGATGTTAGTCAAAGGATAGTAAAAGTTTATGATTGTTCAATTAATTTTAATCTAATGATAATTTATGATTGAAGTAACAAATTGACGTGTGGTAAAGTTATTTTAAGGTTAAAAGGTGTTATCATTTGTTGAGGGTTAATTAAAGTCAATGTAGTGATTTGCTGATGATGCTTATCATTGCATGATTATTTTAATAGCGCTTGTTAATTGTTGATTTGATTGAATCATTAGATATTGATTGGTAATTGTTTTTATAGTTAATTTGTTTGGTTGTTAGAATTATACGCGAAGGTCGAAGGTAGGGAGTTCGTGATTGCAGAATTACATGGTTGATAAGTTTAATATTTTATAAGTTCTTGAGGTTAAGCTGATCAAGGTTCTGAGTTAGCTTGAATCTACACTGATTCAGTTTTTCACTTATAGTTTCATTTTGAATCTTCACTGATTCACAATGAATTCTGGGCTCAGTACGAATCTTCACTGATTCGATTGATACCAACTATGATTTGAATATTCACTGGTTCGTGCGTAACTAAATTGATGGAATCTTCACTGATTCTGATCACCTCGAATTAGATTGAATCTTCACTGATTCTGATCTTAATTGGTGAGAGGTTTCAGTTTCGATTCAGCAAATGGAGTAATCGAAGGTGAAGGTTAATAAAATGTTCTGGAAAGACTGTAACTTCCACAGGTTCTATTGAATTGTCACTATTGAGTTTAATTTTTTGTGTTTTTACCTTTCAGGTTTTAAGTTCAATTTTTCTTTGGTAAAGGGTGAGGAATAAGCGATCAGTAGTTTGCGAAACACTTATCTATATCTGTCTAGATTCATTTTCTCATGAACCTTTACTGATTCAATTGAGAAGTTCTGAGTAAGAACCTTCACTGGTTCAATTGAACTCTCGATCCGAATCGTCACTTATTCTGGTTTTGATTGGTTTGCAAAAGGGGTATTAGCATTTCGCTGATTCAATATTATCAATTAAATTGGAAAGTGTGAATTTGAGCATAAGGTTCACCCAATGAATCTTCACTGATTCATTATCATATTAAAGAAATCGTCACTGATTTGTTGTGAATTGGGTAAGGAAGCAATGTATAAATATATAAGAAGCTTTACCTTTTTCCAATTCCTTTTTCAGTTTTTCTTAATTGATTGTTGATTGAGCTGGCCAAATCCACTACCTATTTTGATTTACAATATTTGATTTTTAAAGGTAGAGAGAAAGAAGTTTTAAAATAACAATTTATTTGTTTTACAATTGAAAGATGGGAAAGAGTTTTGATTAATCACAAAAAACTAGCACCAATATACCCCTCACACGGGATCACCAAATGTTGGTTAAGCAGGTAAACTGGTGACACTTATTCAAATTCTTCGATTTAACAACTTTAAGGATTTTATTCCAATCACTGAATTAAGTTTTTTTTGTTTCACAATTAGTTTTTTATTCATAGTCACCTTAATTGATCTTCACTGATCGGGGTGAATTACATTACTTTATTTACTTTTTTCAATATTCTGTTTATAAAAGAGAGAGATAAGTCAAATAAAGGTGACTTCCACCTATGAAGGAGATAGAGATAAAGAGAAGAAAACAAAGTTATAAAACGATTAACTAATCTCTTTATCTCCTTGACATTTTCACAACACACATAAAATTTACATATCAATTAAAGATGATGAGAATGGCTTCCAATCTTGAAAACTTCAATAATGTTATAATAAAAAATAAATATCAAGATAATTTTCAAAATAAAATTTTCGATGTGATGATTTGCCAATTAAAACTATATTATTTGATCCTCGCAATTGAGATTGGGCAGGTTGATTTAATAGTCAAGAAAAAAGGTCCTTTCTGGTGTGGATCAAACGTCGATGGGATTATGTGATATGTACCCGGTGGCACTTTTCTCAATTTTAAAATGGTGAAACCAGATCGATATGCACCAGAATGAGCTCGATCAAAAAGTGACAAACTATTCGGATTACAGGGTGTAACTGGTCTGATTTCAAATCCAACAGAATACTGTTTGGGTCCTTTAAGATCAATGAGAAGATCATTAGTTGCCTCATTGGCACCTTTGACATCAAGTAAATAAACGGGATTGAGTTTATATGTTAACGGGAAATTGGGACAACCACCGGCAGTTGATTCATCCCATGAACCATTAGTTATCTTTTCAACATATTGATAGGATTCATTTAATCGTTTAAAGGTAAACAGAACAGGTGAATAAACTCTGATTGTGTAATAAATGGTTGTCGTCTTCTCATATTGAGAAATGACCAGAACGAATTTGGTTGCTCCACCTTCGGGAATGTTAATCTTGCATAGATAATGTGGACTATTGATTCGGACTCCGTCAATATAAGGAGCGGGATCGAAGGGTAGATAAACTTTTTCGGTTCCTTTGTAAACAACTAAAGTGATGAATTCACGATTTTGAGCGAAATCTTGTTTATCGACAATATGCCGAGTCAATAGAACCCAAACTGATGTCGAATCACTGGAAACGTCCAAAGCAAATTGTGGATTCTCACCGATATTGTACAAATCTTTCGCTGGTCCTAATCCCGCTTGCCAACATCCATGAGTACAAAAAGTATATTTAAAAAGTGAACAGCTCCAATTAAGATACATTGTGTCGAAAAAGTTGATCAAAGATTTAATATCGATGTAAAAAACACCATTATCATGATTACGAGCAGATCTTGGATCATAATGAAGCTTTTGTTTCAACGATGGTGTCCAGTTGACATTATCAATATCGGAAAAATTTCCCTTCCAAGATAAATGTCTCCAAGGATTTTTGAGTAAAAACAAACGATTACCATCAACCTCTTTAATGTCCAAAACAGCGTATGCATGATTAGGCACTAATCCAGATCTTTCTTGATCAAATTCAGATAAATCACCAGTTGCAACCGTTATTAAGACATCACCTCGATTGTAACGGTCAACTAAACCACGAAAAGTTTTCATCAGTGAATCTTTGGTTGTTAATCGTTCAGGAATCCATCCAGTTAAAGCATTTAAATCAATACTCTAAAATGAAGTTCCATAAAATTTCACAATTAGTTTTCTATTAAATCTTGAAATGTAAAAAAATCCATAAATCTTACAGAATTAGAGCCAGGAAAATCATAACCACCCATGACTTTCATGTAGGCCTTTTCCAAGATCGAAACCCAGAATTCATCATGATTAACGGAATGTGAACATAAAAGGCCATTATTTACATCGACTGGAAAATAGTCATCAATGATCACCTGATGGAAAGAGATTTGGATTAATTGGATTGATTCATTTTTTGTCAATTTCCTTCAACTCACCTTACGATCTAATCCATTAATATGAAGTTTAATCATGTATTTGCCACAAGGATTATAAACTGGTTGTCGATTGACATTTTGTGGATAAATCAGATTGGTAATTAGTTTCTTCTTGAATCTTTTCTCGTACAAAGCAGCAACGGTTAATGAAGCGATGAATGAACAATCAGAGACTAGGGTTTGTTTGACACTGAAACAATCAACTTCTTTGATGATTAATGGACTAGCAGCAATATCCTCAAGTCTTGACCACCGATGGAAACATCGTTTCTGTTTACTTGATAAAGTTAATTGACCAATTTTATCAGTAAAAGGTAACGGAAAGGCAAACCTTTCTTTTAGATCAATTGTGAAAAGGTAAATACTCTAATCCATTGATGACAGAGGTTTTCTTAATCACAGCTAATTCTTCACGAGAGTAACTAGATGTTCCAATAACAGTTAATCGTTTCTCTGAAAATGATGTTCGCTTCCAAGCTCCTGAAGATTCATATGAATCGTTTTGAGATGAACCTGAAATCGGATTCTCAGTGTTGGTGGTTGTTGATTCGGATTTTTTAATGTTACAATTTCCAAGAGAGGAAGTAACTTCATCGACATCTTTCCCTTTATCAGACAGTTCTTCTGCCCTGGAGATTGCACTTTGAGCTAATTGGGACAATTTTCTCTTCCTCTCTTCATCTTCAGTTGAATCTTTCTGAAAATGTAACAGAAAAGACAAATTATTATTCTAATAACAATGACAATTTTACTAAGAAAACAAGAACATTAGACTAACCGCTTTTAGACAAATTTCCACAGCATCGAGATACATTTCTATGGCAAATTTGTGATTGCCCGAGGCATCTTGTTCCAAGGCTTGATTGAGTAAGAATTGAGCTCTGCCCATTAATCCATTATCAATACTGTTACCAGGGTTAGATGATTGTGAACGATTATCTTTATCTCGCAAAATATTTGACAAAATTTCTGCTCTCTCAAGGTAAGATTCAATCTTATCTATTAGATTGGGTAATGTTGATCCAGAATCTTTGGCGATTAACAAATAGTGAATGGCCTCACGGTAAGAGGAAAGAGCGGCTTCAATGTCGTTACAATTGTCATGTTCAATTGCATCTTGGGCAAATCGGATTCCCTTCAGTTCAGCCTCTTTACCATTTGAATCCGACATTGCAATAGATAATTTGGTTTAGACAATTATAAAAATCTTCGACTATTCATCAAAAACAACACACGATTAAACTAAAATTACTAAATAATACAGAGGAGGAACAGTAATAAGAATAGAAAACAAGAAATTGACTCAATGTAAATTCAAGAGACAAAATTGTAAACAAAGAGAAAGAGAAAATTGTCTCCTTGACAACAAGTGGTTCGAAACAAATTAGCGGGAACAATAATCTAATTCCGCTCATGATATTTTCTCGATCATTTTTCAATTGGAATTACTTTTACTAATTTTCGATAGAAATTTGAATTGATCGATAAAAGTTCAGTATGAATCGTTCAATTTGGTCATTCGTCTTGAGATTAATTTGATTCTCATTTTGTACAGTAACTTTTTTGAACCAAATTAATCAAATCACTCGACAGACAATTTAATTCAAAATCAACAATCAACTGTAACATCGACACCGATCATGCCAATGGCACCGGTAATCAAATCTCCAAACCTGAAGGCGATAATCAACTCGTCTTATACTAAATCTAATTTTTTTTTTACTGTTTTGATTAACTTTCTAATCAGTTACAATTAAGGTAAATGATTTTTAAAGGTTGAAAGTTGATATGAATAATCAACCTAAACAATTTAATCCAAAATCTTATAATTATCTTTTACCAATATCAGTCTGGTGATCATCAATAGAAGGTTAGATTTAATCAATGAAAGTCAATATACAATAACATTGAAAGAGAATCTGAAACACTTTCATATTAGATTTACCCTCAAGTTGAGAAATTAAGTAACAATTAAAAATCTTCTGGAGAAATTGATTTAAACGTTTACTTCAATTTCTTCACCTTTTAAATTGTCCTTAATCAAAGAATACGAGTAATTAGATTAACCAACAATTGACCTTCAAGTTTTTTCATAATTATACATAAACGAAGACCTTGATTCGTGAATAAGGTTCTTCTAATTGATTAGTAAGTTTGCTTTAAGTTTCGAATGAAGATTTTTATTATAATATTTATCAGAATCTCGATAATTAACGAATGAAACTTTCAGCTTAATATTCATAGGGGCCATTAAGAAGTAAATTTAGTACTTCGTCCTAGAAATTAGAACGATTCTTTCATAGCCACGAATAAAATAGAACCGAATGAATGTTGAACTATATTAGGATACGGTCCGTATTTTGTCTATGGAAGTTTGACCAACACTCGGTTGTCATATTTGAAGGTCATAAAGGTTATTCAGAGAAGAACGCACTTGAAGGTCATTCGAAGAACTTTTAAAAACTTTGAATTTTTTCAAGCCTAACTTTAAGTACGTTCTTCTTCATTGCTGATTGATTTGAACAAAATTGAACGAAAAATTGGAGTTTTGTTTTGTTTTAAATTGAATCTCATTTATTGATTGTATGAATATGATGTTATAAATATCAATATGAATGTTTGATGTTTGATGTTATTACAATGAGGATAAAATTACATTGAGATTCTTGATGATGTTGGTGATTGGTGACAATTGAGCAGATTAAGTGATCTTAATCGTTGTTGTTGATGATGTTGATGATTTACCACCAGCTATTGTCTTCCCATCCCCATCCCCATGAAGGCCATGAAGGCCATGATGACCATGATGGTTGACTCCACCAATCATCATGACCAATTAAACCCAATGAAACTTTGGTTGGAATTGGTAAACTGATGTGTTTCTTATGGAGAGTGATCTTCAAAGTGGCTTCAGTCACCAAAAGAGTGGCAGCAAGAATAAGGGAGATGATTAAAATCTTTGAATTCATGATGATTAAGAAGATTCTGTAACAATCAAAAAAGAAGACAAATGAATAATTAGTAACAATTATTAACAATTAGTAACAAAGATGAACAAATAAAAGTAAGACGATGATTTACCTTTGTTAATGAAACCACTTGTTGCTTGATGAACAGATTCAAATGAAATGTGATAATTTAAAACTAAATCATTTCGTCTTATATACTTTGCTCAATCAACTAACCACATACAATTAAGGTTGGACTAAAGGTTGAGGTCATTATGAATGACCACCTAAAACCAATTGGATATTTATTTCTGATGATGATCAACAACAAACTTCAGGTCATATTTTGATTTTCTTAAAAAAAATATAATAATAATCATAAAGAAAGTAAATTAAAGTAAATGAAAGTAAATCGAAACAAACAAACATTAGAAACGCCTTCAGATCAGTTTACCCTCGAGTCGGGGAAACAATCAAGTAACAATTAAAAATCCTCCAGCTAAATTGATTCACACTATACGAATATGTTTCAATAGTTTCTATTATAAATTAGTTAGTAATCTATTTAATTGAATAATTAACTTAAAATCGAATCAATTTAATTTGTTCACCTTCCACCTTCAATGTCTTTCAGAGTATTCAAATCGAGATTTTATCTTCTAATTGACCTTGATCATTGAGGTTACTTTCTAATCATAATTAACAATCTTGTAATCACTCTTGGCCTCTAACCTTTAATATTGGTCAGTTACAATTAACTTTAATCATTAAGAATCTTGTAATAATGTTTTAGATTAATATCTTTTACTATCATTTACTTTCCTTTACTATTTTAATTTGAATGATACTTTTTTGTTAATTAATTGTAACTTTTTTTTAGCCATTGGGTTGATAATTAACGACGAAACAATTTGTGGAAAATTAAATGTTACTAATTGATTAAATCAACTAGATTAAAGTTCAATGATATTTAATGAAATTTTTTCCTTTTATTGTTTTAATGCTTCAATTGCTTATATTAATAATATTATTGGTTAATTGTCGAGCCACACTAATTTATTATTGCTTATCAATTAGCTACAGCAATTTGTTCATTAATTTGGTCACAACCAGTAAGAAATTTATTTTAATTGTGTTAACAATTGAATTGAGAAAATCCTTCCCGATTAAAATTGAGATTCGCCATCATGATTAACTTTAAATTGTGAGCAATTAGCTAATTACACCGATCTCAAACAATTCAATATGCCTCCATATTGTGATCATTGGTTGTCTATTAGTAGTCAGAGAAAGTTTTTTCAACAATCAACTTGATCACTAATCAAATTACTAACTAGATGAATGATTAACTTCATGGTAACTGAAAAAATTGTAACAATTAATTTCTGAGATCTGTAATTAAAAGTGAAATATCAATCGTGATGCTTTGTTTTGAAAGGTAAAGTGTGAATCTAATACGATTGCTTGAGTTAATTGTAATTAAATTAAATTGATTTATTTTTCTGAAAAAGTTCCCAAAAATTTAAAGGAAAACCTGAATTTCCTTGATTAAAGACAATCAAGATTCACGAAAAGATCAATTTAATTTTATCAGCAATTAAAACATTAAAGTTTCATCAATAAATTTGATCCACTTTCTAAAGGTGAGAAGTTAATTGTGATTGAATTTGGTAATGAACTTGACCCAAAGTTTTATAACAATCTAATTTTCATGATTAGTAACTTATGCTTGAAAATTTAGTGTTAATCAATTGATCATTGTCACGAATAGATTAGTTTAATTTCAACTAAATCTATCATGAGTTTAAATTAATAACGATTCTAATATTGTCTAAATCGTTCACAATTTAACCTAATTGTTTAGCATAAAATCGAAAACAATTCAATTTGATCACCAAATTGAACACCTTTAATTTATCATTATTCTTAATTGCTGCTGATTTGATTGATCATATTGTTGAATATTGAGTTACGATTAATTATGCTTCAAATTGTTCAAGATTTTGTTTCCTTTAAATTGCAAATTCAGATTAGCCTTTTAATTTCTGAAAGTTTAAATCACCAGGATGATAACGAACTCAAAAGTAATTTGATTACATTAAATTGACTTGCATAATCAGATTCGTTTTATCGACCTTTTCGTTTATTCATATTAATTTTAATTTCTACTGAAACATTTGATACGAATAAGTTTTTTTGTTATAAAGACTACAAGACTGTAGCTCAGTAAGATAATTACAATTTGTAATTAGTTGATTGTTGGAATTGTGTTGATATGAATAAAATCCGCCAAGTATAAATTAAAAATACATGAAATGAGTATTGGCAAAATTTTGTTGACGTTTATGTTTTAAACTGAATCTCATTTATTGATTGTATGAATATGATGTTATAAATATCAATATGAATGTTTAATGTGAGATGTTATTACAATGAGGATAAAATTACATTGAGATTCTTGATGATGTTGGTAATTGGTGACAATTGAGTAGATTAAGTGATCTTAATCGTTGTTGTTGATGATGTGATGTTGATGTTGATGATTTACCACCAGCTATTGTCTTCCCATCCCCATCCCCATGAAGGCCATGAAGGCCATGATGACCATGATGGTTGACTCCACCAATCATCATGACCAATTAAACCCAATGAAACTTTGGTTGGAATTGGTAAACTGATGTGTTTCTTATGGAGAGTGATCTTCAAAGTGGCTTCAGTCACCAAAAGAGTGGCAGCAAGAATAAGGGAGATGATTAAAATCTTTGAATTCATGATGATTAAGAAGATTCTGTAACAATAAAAAAGAAGACAAATAAACAATTAGTGACAATTATTAACAATTAGTAACAAAGATCAACAAGTAAAAGTAAGACGATGATTTACCTTTTTTAATGAAACCACTTGTTGCTTGATGAACAGATTCAAATGAAATGTGATAATTTACAACTAAATCATTTCGTCTTATATACTTTGCTCAATCAACTAACCACACACAATTAAGGCTGGACTAAAGGTTGAAAGTTAAGGTCACTCATCAAAATAGTCTGATACTAATCATAATAATTAACCGATTGTTTTATAATAAGGAAAAGAATCACAACGAACATCAAACAGAAAGGTTAGAAAAAACAGTGACATCGAAGACAATTCTGCTTCGAGCTACTTCATCTTCTACTGAGCAGACTGATGATGCCTCTTATACCTATTCCAGTCACTGAAATTCAATAGCATGATTATATTATGATCAATCTGAATGGCATCCAATTCTAATAAGCACCTATTTTCTCAGAGTTTTTCCAATGGATATTTCCCTGTAGTTCATATCTACATTAGATCATTTCGAAAACGAGTTTCAAAGTCAATCTTCGTACATCATAGATAGTTATGATTGTCTTTCTATTTATTAAATTCGTTAAGTGGATCAAAAACCAAACAAGAACAAATTCGATTTATAAACAAATAGATAAGAAGCTACAACATCATCGAACAGACCTTTGGCGAAAATGACCCCTGATGATTTATACCCACTATTTTCCCATCGACGAGATTCGAATGACCTCTAACTATGACATGAACCCAGAAAGAAACCAAAACTTCAATCTCATACAACAAACCGAACAATAGAAGAAATCAATGCGAAAACTTTGATCACTTCAAAGTCTCTGATACTCTTTGCACCTCTTTTAGGAATCCTTCGATTTCCGTACTAATCTCTTGTCTTTTTCAAGCATCATCCATTGTCATCGTTTTTCGATCATCTTCATAGGTTATTAACTAATTATTTGAGTCACTCAATATTTAACAAATTTTTATACCGAAGAGAAAATATTGTTGCAGATTATCAAGTTTAACCGATTTAATCGGATAAGTTTTGAGTTGATTTTGATTAGTTACGATTAGCTACGAAATTGAAGAATAAACATCCGATGCTAATACAATGAGAATCAATGTTATGATTGTTATGAAACCCATTGATTCCTAAGTTTATAACATTACCATATAATGTCTCATGTGTTAAGCATTTGATGGAATGTATAATGCATTGTGTGAATTTTTGTAGTTCTTGTGTGATAATTTCCAACTTTTTGAACGGTTTAATTGAAAGCATTCTTAATTCTTGCTCCATAAGAATATGAAACTAGTAATTTATAGTAAAATGCTCATGTTTGTTTTTTTCCCTTCTATCTTTAATTTAATAATTCAAGGCTTTAATGTTTTGAATCGTGTTATCTAGAAACTCTTTAAAAAGAATTAAACACATTAATGCTAATTGCGTACTTTCAAAAAGTGCAGATGCAGCTTACAGCTACACCTGCTAGGTTAGGTTAGTTTGGTCAGGCTAATCAAGTTACTCCAGTGAGGTTTGAACGCGTGACATGTTACTCACTGAGCATATGTCCTCACCACCAGACTGTCTGGTGAGGACAAAATGTAATAACTTTATATCTATCTAATGTTTATTTGGAATATTCAATCTGAAGGCAATAGTTTACTTTTTCACTTTTTTAAATACAATAACTTTATCACTAATTTTATTTACGCATTCAGCAACATTGCGTAAATATGAATAATTATACACGCACAGAATTCATTATAATAATTAACTCGAATTTTTATTCTCATTGTGGCTTGAAAGTTTGTGAATAAATATCCAAAACTCAAATATACTGTTAGAATAAATTCTTTTTGAGTACATACGTTATTATTATTTAACAAAAGTGTGCCTTTTCTTTGTTGTATAGTTGTTTACCCGGAATTGCAGCCAGTTTGATTAAGATCACCTCTATTCAGCAAGAAAAACGTGGAGTGTAATGTTCATAGCACTAGATGCCAATTTACAATGTAATTATGATAAAAAAGAACATACTGGAAAGAAATAATTTTCCGATAGTTTTACTTTGCAAGACATTTATTTCTGTTTATAATTTGTAACATTTAGACCGAGGATTTTCGAACAAATGCCAATGACTAGTTATTTATGACTTGAAAGCAACTTTTCTGTATCTGCTGTACACATAATATCAAATGGAATTAATATCCTCCTCTTGAACAATAATATTCGATTGTGGTATTAGTCACACAAATCAGACAAAAATTTTATCATTTAATTTTATTAATTATAATGTTATCATATTATTTCTAATATAAATCGTCCGAAAAAACTCAACTTATTCAGACCGGATTAGGTTGTGCATTAGCATTAATTCTTGTAAGTTATAAAGGTTAACTATATTATCGATAGAACTTAATTTTAATAATAAGCAAAAACTATAGTCGATAGATTTGGAATAAGAAATTGAAAAATTCGAAATCGGAATTTATTAAGTGGATAGATAGGTCAAAAATTGTACATTTACTTAAGTTCATCATTTATTTAACATTTATCAAAACTTGCAAGAAACTAGATTTAATAATAAAAAGTGCTGATTTGTCCTTAATCTAGAATAGTATAGAGAGTTCTATCTAAAACTAGGACCTCGATTCATGAATAAGGTTTTCGAATTGATAGCAAGCTGGCTTTAAGTTTCGAATGAGATTTTTATTATAATATTAATAAAATTATCGATAATTCGATTCAATGAATGTAACTTTCAGCTAAATATTCATAGGGGCCATTAAGAAGTAACTTTAGTACTTCGTCCTCGAAATTAGAACGATTCTTCCATTCTACTGACTCTCAACTTTCGTAGCCACGATTAGAATAGAACCGAATAAATGTTGAACAACTTGGCGATAGAATCTATATTTTGTCTATGGAAGTTTGACCGACACTCAATTGTTATATTTCAAGGCCATAAAGGTTATTCAGAGAAGAAAGCACTTGAAGGTAATTTGAAGAACTTTAAATTTTTCAAGCCTAACTTCAAGTGCGTTCTTTTTCATTGCTGATTGATTTGAATAGAATTGAACGAAAAATTCGAGTTTTGTTTTAAATTGAATCTCATTTATTGACTGTATGAATATGATGTTATAAATATCAATATGAATGTTTGATGTGAGATGTTATTACAATGAGGATAAAATTACATTTTGAGATTCTTGATGATGTTGGTAATTGGTGACAATTGAGTAGATTAAGTGATCTTAATCGTTGTTGTTGATGTGATGTTGATGTTGATGATTTACCACCAGCTATTGTCTTCCCATCCCCATCCCCATGAAGGCCATGAAGGCCATGATGACCATGATGGTTGACTCCACCAATCATCATGACCAATTAAACCCAATGAAACTTTGGTTGGAATTGGTAAACTGATGTGTTTCTTATGGAGAGTGATCTTCAAAGTGGCTTCAGTCACCAAAAGAGTGGCAGCAAGAATAAGGGAGATGATTAAAATCTTTGAATTCATGATGATTAAGAAGATTCTGTAACAATCAAAAAAGAAGACAAATGAATAATTAGTAACAATTATTAACAATTAGTAACAAAGATCAACAAGTAAAAATAAGACGATGATTTACCTTCGTTAATGAAACCACTTGTTTGATGAACAGATTCAAATGAAATGTGATAATTCACAACTAAATCATTTCGTCTTATATACTTTGCTTAATAAACTAACCACACACAATTAAGGCTGGACTAAAGGTTGAAAGTTAAGGTCACACATTAGAATAGTCTCAGCATATGTAAATGTAGTAATTAACTGATTGTTTTATAAAAAGCAAAAGAATAAACATTTAACTCGAAAAGGTCGAACTTGTAACTTTCGAAATGAGAAAAACCATAAAATGAAAGACAACAAATTCGCTTCGAGGTTCATCTTTCGCAATGACAAACAAAATGTTTAATTATCTTCATTAAAGGTTGTTACTTTTTCTTAATTACATTAATTTCCGCTTAATTATTGAGGATCATTCGCATTTAAGTAATAGATTGACAAAGTTGATTGAACGCTAATCTTAAATTGTTTCTTTAATTTGTTTCTTGATGTAAATGCTGTTGAGGTGAAAAAATAGATAATGGCAGATTGGTGCATGAGAGGTTGAGCTCATTTGTCAGTGTTGATTGCTCGCAATTAAAAATCAACATCTAATACAAATTTCATATCTTCTTTGTTTCCAGTCACACTTGATTTTTGGTATTCACCGACACGTTTCTCAAAGAAATTGGTCTTTCCATCCAAGGAAATTTGATCCATAAAATCAAATGGATTACGAGAAAAGTAAATCTTGGAACAATCTAATTCAACTAATAATCGATCAGCAACAAATTCAATATAAGTGGCCATCATTTTGTTGTTCATTCCGATCAGAGAAACGGGTAAGGCCTCAGTTAAAAATTTCTGTTCAATCTGAACAGCATCACGGACAATTTGTTGGATTTTCTCCTCACTCGGACGATTAACAACATGTTTGAATAGTAAACAGGCAAAATCGCAATGTAATCCTTCATCACGGGAGATTAGTTCATTGGAGAAGGTTAATCCTGGCATTAATCCGCGTTTCTTTAACCAGAAAATGGCGGCGAAAGAACCGGAAAAAAATATTCCCTCAACACATGCGAAGGCGATTAACCTTTCGGCAAATGTAACCGATGGGTTAGCGGTCCAATTGATTGCCCATTCGGCCTTTTGGGCTACACAGGGAACTGTTTTTATGGCCTGAAATAGGAAATCTCGTTTCTCAGGTTCACTGATGTAAGTGTCAATTAAAAGGCTGTACATTTCCGAGTGAACATTTTCAATGGCGATTTGGAAACCATAGAAACAACGAGCTTCGGTAACTTGGATCTCACGAATAAATCTTTCAGCTAAATTTTCATTAACAATTCCATCTGAAGCTGAAAAAAAGGCCAAAACATACGAGATAAAATGACGTTCTGAATCATTGAGTTTCGCCCAGTCATCAAGATCGCGAGACAGATCAACCTCTTCCGCTGTCCAAAATGAAGCCAAAGCTTTTTTGTACATTTCCCAAAGATCGGGATACTCGATTGGAAAGATGACGAAACGATTAGGATTCTCGGCCAAAAGTGGTTCCTCAGTTGAAATTTCATCGGCTTGTTTTTCAATCTTCATGGTGACGAGATGGTTTTGTTTACAGTTGAGCAGAAAAAAAAAATAAAAAAGCACGAAATGACAATAAAGACAAAGAGCAAAAGGAAAAACTAAAAGAAGGGAATGTCGAGGAAAGAGATCGCCTAAACCGACAGGACCAGAGAATTACGTGAAATGAGGTTGAATCCAAAGGAGAGCGAGACTTTGTTGAAAGAGAAGCGACAAAAAAGCGCCAATTGATGAGGAAACACAAAGGAAAAGAGTCACTCACATGTTAAGAAAAGAACTCACTGGTGCCACCTGGTGAATTCGAAATTTTCTCTGGAAATTGCGTCATAAGAAAATCGATCTCAACGACTTTTCTTTCCTAGAACATTCTAAGCACAATTAGAAAATTGCCTTAGGGTGTGAAAGGTTGTTTTCTCTTTTCTGCAAAACCGAAGGTTCTATTGACCTTTGCAACAAAGGAATGAAAATACTAACAAAGAATTGACCTAATTCTCAAGGTTAAATCCAGTTGATGACCTTTAAGGTCGTTAAATTGGTACAATTGCAGATCGAGATGATAACACTTTATTTTTAGTTGTTTTGTTGTTGTTCAATTGGAGGGATGGGATTTCTGGTGTGATAGTTACACAATTAAATTAAAATAGGATTAGGTTAACATTTTCATTGTTGTTGGGTTTGTTGGGATTGAGATGAAATTTTGTTTTAAAATTAAAATAAATTACAATTAAAGTGATCACATTTAGAAGTTAAATATTTTTTTTGGCTCCTCAAATAATTTTTTGATTTTTCCATGATACTTGTATGTTTGTATATGTATTTTTTTTACTCCACAAAATTAGTTGATTTGTCGATTTTGGTTCCAATGATTTTTGATTTGATGTGAATTGGATTTAAAATAGTGATAGATTCAAATTGCTTTCAATCAATTAACAGCATTCATACAATATATTCTTGCTTCAATTTTTGATTTTAAAATAATTTTTCGTGTTTAAACTTGATGAATACGATTGGTGATAATTAATGATTGTTGGATATGATTGCAATCGCAAACTATTGATGATTTTTTGATTGTTCGTATTAATTTGATTGTAATCGGTTTCGTAATGAATTCAACTCAGTCATTATCGTTTTAGGCAAATCTGAGCCTACTTGTTGTTCAAAATAAGTTTGAACCTCATCACATTCTCGTTGCCAAAAGTCCTTTGGAAGACTAAACAATTCATCCATGTCAATCTTTTCGTCAAGTCCTTCAAATCGATGGAATCTTGTTTTGGAATCAATCCTATTGGTGTTTCCTGAATTACAAACAAGAAAAATTAGGGTATTAATTAATTATACATCTAAGAGCTTTCTAATCAAATGATTATTTGAAAATGTTAATCAAGGAAAAAAAGAGGTTCACATACTTGTGCACAATCTTGATGATTAACTCGTCGACAGATCCAATCTAAAACTCGAGAGTTTTCACCAAAACCAGGCCACAAGAATTTACCCTCACTACTTTTACGGAACCAATTAACATGGAAAATTTTGGGCAATTTGAGGTTTTCTTTGGCACCGAAACTTAACCAATGATCCAAATAGTGGCCAAAATTGTAACCAAAAAATGGTCTCATGGCAAATGGATCAAACATAACCGTTTTTGCCTTGTGTTCAGCAGCAGCGGTGGCTTCAGATCTCATTGAGGCTCCAATGAAGACACCATGGTTCCAATTGAATGCTTCATACACCAATGGTACACCAACGGGTCGTCGGCCTCCAAAAATAATTGCAGATATTGGCACACCCTCAGGGCTTTCCCATGCGGGATCCATGATCGGGCATTGAGATGCAGGGGAACAGAAACGTGAATTGGGATGGGCAGACGGTTTGCCACACCCTGGAGTCCAATCTTCATTCAACCATGATTTTACCCCCAAGTTACTTACATCAATATCATCAAGGCCTTCCCAATAGATGCCCCCTAAAGAACGAGGATAAATCAATTTAAAGAAAGAGGTGTTTAATCTGGTCGATAGTTAACTTAAATAGCAAAACAACAAAATGATCAAAAGATTTGATCATTAGTTGAAATTAAAACACAAAACGTACCGTCTGATGTTTCAGCAACATTGGTAAAGATGGTATTGGCAAGGATGGTTTTCATCGCATTGGGATTGGTCTTAGAACTAGTTCCAGGAGCGACTCCGAAGAATCCATACTCAGGGTTAATAGCTCTAAGAACCCCATTGGAATCAAACTTCATCCAGGCAATATCATCACCAACACATTCCACTTTCCAGCCTGGAAGGGTTGGATTCATCATGGCCAAATTTGTTTTGCCACATGCACTTGGAAAAGCGGCTGCAATGTACTTCTTCGAGCCAGAGGGATCGGTAATTCCAAGGATAAGCATGTGCTCGGCCAGCCATCCTTCCCGTTGCGCCAAAATCGAGCCAAGACGAAGTGCAAAGCACTTCTTGCCCAAGAGCGAGTTTCCTCCGTAACCTGAGACGTTACAACATGTTACGGGATTCCCTTTTTACGTTGAAATACAACCTGAGCCGAATGAGGCAATCTCATTGGATTCCGGCCTGTGAGCAATGATCGTCCTCTCCGGATTGCATGGCCAATTGTTTGTCAACTTCCTCGAGGCAGGTAATGGACAACCAACGGAATGTAAGCATTTGATAAAATCTTCGTCCCCCAATTTTTCTAGAACTTGTTTTCCCATCCGAGTCATGATTCTCATAGAAGCAGCGACATAGGGGGAGTCGGTCAATTCGATACCAATCTTGGAAAGAGGACTGCCAACCGGACCCATACTGAACGGAATAACATACATTGTTCTTCCCTTCATACATTTAGGGAATCGTGAGTTCAGAGCTTTATCTAGGTCTTCCGGTGACATCCAATTTCCTAAAATTGTCAAAGAAAAAACAAGAGCAAAACAACAAAGAATTAGATTTCCATTAATAAAAACAAAGGTAAACAATTAACTTGGCAAAGTTTATCAAAAATTAAAATCTCAAATTAAAACTTACCAAGAGTTCCTTTAATTCCGGGTACAGGTTCAGGGATAGTATCACGTTTATTTTTAGTTGAAATGAATGTCAAAGATTCAACTCTGGCAACATCAGCTGGATCAGTACGAGATAGCCAACTATAAGATAAACAGACAAGAGTAATTAATATTATTTCCTAGTTGATGTAATCGTTAACTATCATTGATTAAGTGATTAAGTGTCAAGTTTTACAACGAATGATTAGTTTTGTTGTTTTCAAAACTTTTCCATAGTGAATAATAATCTTAAATTACTTGATTGATTTACACAATTTCTCTTTGACATTTAACAACAACAAAACACAATCGGTAAAACAATTAAGAAAATTTCTACCAACATTTTGTTTACTTATGGTTGATCATTAGATTATTCTGAATGATCGTTAGTTAATCTAACAAAGCTATTGTAAGTTACGAAAATCATCAATAGTTGTCATCGTAATCAAAAGAGAGAATTAACTTTTTAATGAGTGAATTTAATTTTAATCAATTAACTTACCAATTTTCATATTTCGAAAGTTTTTTGATCATCCCTTGTTGGACCATCAAATTGATCAGCTGATTGTTTTCTTCTTCACTTCCATCACAAATGTGAATACATTCAGGTTCACAAATTCGAGCCTTTTCTTCAACAAAATTTCTCACTTTAGATGACAATTTATCAAGTCCAATGCTTGATATGCAATTTAATTGTCTTTGTTGCAAGGCAATGGAAGATGGATTAATCCTGGCACCAATGACTCCATGAACAGGTCTGAAGATGAACAAACGAAAAAGAAAATGTAAACATAAGAGAGATGGAAAAAAAAAGAATTAACGAATAAATCAAATTAGACTATTCAGTTTAGTAAATTCGAAACTCAATAAACACAAAACTAATAGTAACCTTGTAATTTTCTTCTTCTCTAAACTAAATTATCGATCTCAATCCAAAGCTCTCATATTGTAAAATTTGTAACCCCAAGTGAAAATCTAATCACAAGGACGATCACAAGTTTCAAGGATTAACATCAACTGAACTTAGCTGATAATTAATAAATAGGAAAGAGACACACACACAGAAGAAAAGAAGGTTACATGGAAAATCTAACCGATAAAACAAAAGAAACAACCAATTATACTCTCTCAAAGAAGTCTAGGCGAAACATGGAAAGAGAGATAAGAAAATCTCAATTCAAGATCAAGTGAAAGTGTATATGAAGGGAGAGAGAATTATTACCAAAGAAATTTAATCTACTAAAAGATTATCGAATATCAATTAACTAACAAGGTTAAAATTTACCGTCGAATACATAATACACATATAGATAATATTAATTATGGAGAAAAAAAGAGAAGAGTGTGAAGAGAGACCCTTGAGAAGAAGGAAAAAAAAATCCAAGATGGAAACCAAAGGAAAAAAAGAGAAGAACCAAAAAGAGAATAGAAAACACTTACCTGATTAGATTGGTGAGGTGGGAAAACTTCAACATGGTGTTTTTATCGGTTTCCTCTTGATTACCTTTAGAAGAACAATCAACTAAATAGAAGAATTTAAATTAGAGAAATTAAAAGAGTAACAATTAAACATGGAAAGAAAAGAAAAAGCTTCTCGTTTCATTTAGTTGCTATTCGAGGGAAGTAAAGAAAACAAGTGAAGTCGCAATAGAAAGAAAGAGAATTTAAAAGAAGAAAGAAAAGTCGACAGAGAAAAAGAAAGAGAAAAGAAATCATATGTTTAGATCATTGACTTTCTTCATTTTCTTTTCCATTTTCAAAGTTGTTACTTGTTTCGCTTTCTAAATTGTCTTTCTTTTCTTTATTTATTAATTATGGTGATTAAACAATTAAGTAAATTATCTTTGTACGTTTAACGATCTAATTAAAGGGGTTCACTTTTAATACTAAACTAATCAGGTTGGTAAATGATGATTACCTTTGGTATATTTGGTTTATAGAAAATTTTTTTCTTCTTTTTAGTTTACTTTTTGATTCTGTTCTTTTCACTGAGACATGGGATTTAATTGTGTGGAACAATTAACACTGGTTTAATCTATTTATTGGTTACAATAGAGGTCAACTCAAGGAGGATTTACTTGTTAATCACTAACCAGTTCTAATTATATCAACTATCTCTTTCTCTCTCTTGTTCATAATCAAGGAGATAGAAAAACTCAGAGTTGGTTCAGTTTTAAGCTTTTTTTTCATATCATTTTCTCTTGATTATATCTCCTTGATTAGTATTTTGAATTACATTGATGTTGAGAGTTGATTAAATCTTAATGGTATTTGGTAAGATAATTGATTGTAATCAAATGTATTGATAATTTACCTTGTCGAGGATAATCAGCTGCAATCATCTTTCCTTTTTCTTTGTTTAGTATCAGATTGACAACAAGATTTTCGCGCTGGTGGTAATATTCCTGTAAGATTTGGACAATAACAACGTGTTACAATTAAGTGAACCAAGTGAATTAACAAATTACAAAGACAAGGAAAAGAAAACAACAAAGAAAAAGTGATCAACTTACCAAGTGGATTCTTTAAAATCAATGGACAATATTAGATTTGAATCTAATAATAAGATTTTATGGTTGTTGTTGTTGTTATGGAAAATTTAACTTTCCTTAAATTTGGTAATAACAATTAGTATAAATTAGAATTGATTAGTTTATGAAAACTTTTGCTAGTCAATTAACTAGGTAGAAAAATATTTATAAGGTAAATTGTGTTTTAATTGTGTTGATATAGAATTAATTGTGTAAGTTATGTTTAATTTGTGGTTCATGATTTGCAAACAATTATGATTCTGCTAATTAATTTGTAAAGAGCTCAGGCTTTTATACAACTTTAAATGGTGTGGATTTTTTTTCTCATGCGTCTCTGATTTTACCCTCGACAATTATCAGTATTGATCATCGATCTGGATCAGGGTACATCAGAAAAAAAAACATTGCTAATCGACATCATTAATTGTTGTTGACAAGTTGTATTATCATTCAGAATGAGTGGTTAGAATTGAAGAGATAGTGAAAAAAAGACGAAGATGATGTTGATTAGAATCAATTTGATCAACTTGATTAGTGTGATGATTAATAAATTGTTACAGTTTGAATGATATTAGATTTGCCGGAAAATTAATCAGATCATTTACCATGTATAATACAACAATTAACGATGATCAACAATCTCTCCAGCCGACAACAATTAATAGTATTTTTTCTCTCTCTCTCTTCATTTCCTTTATTTTGATTGTAATCAAGATAATTGTTTAATTATCATGATTACAATTTCCCAGGTTAACTCTGGATTAAACAAGATTCATATGAAAGAGTAAACAATTAACGCCAACAATTAATATCTTCCTTCATTAACATGGACTTTAAAACGTTTTAACCTTAATCAATTTTCCCTCTGAAACAATTAACTCAATTGTTCAATTTAATTTAATTTCAACTTGAAATCAAAAGGTAAGAATTGATTGTTATTAATATAACTATTTAATTGTTGGTAAGACTTTTTCTTTTTGCTTAATTTCGTTTGATTTTGATTGAATTTCTTGGAGTAATTAACTGTTACCATGTTGTTGTTGGAATTTAATTTCTAGTAATTAAAAGACTTAATCAAGAACATGATAATCGGCGAAAAGGGGAAATTTAAATTTAATTGTGACTCCAACAATTAGCTACTCTAATTAATTTGAAGGTTAATTAACTAGTTGATTTGAGAAAATGTTTTTTTTTTATTTCTTAATTACTGTTAATTGTTGTTATCAGAATTGAACAATTTAAGGACAGTGATCTTTAGATTGACTTGGAGAAAACAATTTAAACCAATTTGATATAATTGATTTGTATCGATTACTTAACTGTAAATGATTTGTGTTTACAATTAAGGGATTTCCTAAATTGTTATAAGATTATTACAATTTGATTACTCAACAATTGATTGTTAATGATTGGATGTTGATTATTGATTCAAATGAATCAAGGATGATTTTCAAAGATTAAATCATCATCATCATCATCAGACAAATCAACTTGTTAATGATTATCTTTTGTTAACTTTATTTTTCTGTTTTGTTTTTCATTGATTAACAATTAACTAATTAATGTTTACAATTAAAGAATGATAAAAATATAAAGTAACCTTGCTTTTGACTGATTACAAGATGCTAATCTTTAATTAAAGGTATATCCCAATGATAATTAACAATTAGTTAACTACACATGACAATTTTGTTTTCATTTACATCATTAAAGTTAATCACTTGATTATAAATCCAAATGTTGATTAAGTTAATCACTTCAATTTGTAGCTCCATCTATCGAGTAGAAAGTCAATCATCATAGTAAACAAAAATTTCGAGGGAAAAATTTTTTAATTTTCACTTTTGAAAGTTGAAAACTTTTCACTTTCAAATGTGATTCTTAATTGTTAAACAGTTAATCTCTCATAACAAATAGTTGATCTAAATTCTAATTGTGCTAATTAGTTGGTTAAAGTCTTTAATTGTATCATACCTGTTAATCTAATTGGAACCAGAATCTTGATCGTTTCTATGGTGTCTTTTAATGGGAAAATTTTTATATTGTTACCAACTAATTATTACAAGGTTTTCACCTTGGACATTTATCAGATAATTAACTTTATTTTATGCTCCTTGATTGATTGATTTTAGATTTTGATTACTGATATAATCAATTGATGATAGTGTTGATAATATTGACAGAAACGTTGAGAGAGAGAGAAATGAATGAATAGGAGTGGGGAGTTAATTTGATTAACTTTATGAGAGACAATTAAATTGTATATAAATGATGATATTCTTGTCTAATTGAATCATTATGTTGATGATAATCTTACCTGATAATTAATATGATTGTTGATTGTTTTTGAATTTCTTACTAATCACCTTTCTCTCAGTTAATTGTAATAACAATTTAAAGTGCTCCTTTTGTATTATTTTACCCCTTTCATTGATTATCAGATTTTATATTCTGTTACTAGTGGTTCGTAACAATTAATCAATTCACCTAATCAATTGTTACTATCAGAAAAAACGTCATCCTAATTGCCTCTAATAGTAAACAAATCAATTTGGATTAGCATTGTTTTAAAAGGGTAAAAAACTGTCACCGTAATCAGTTTAATTAACGGTTTCGGATGGTTAATCTAGGAAAGAAACAATTAATCCTCCAATCATGTTAACTATTAACATTTAACAATCGTTATCCGTTAATTGTATATACTTATCATTGATTAGATCTTTCATTTCTATCAGTAAACTTGGTGACAATTAACAATCATAACAACATTTCAATTCTGTTAATCATGAAATTGATATTCAATATTTTCCCTTGAGTGTAAATATAAATTGCAATTAAAAATTGTAACCAAAATGACGAGAAAATTTTAATTTGTAGAAAAAGAAAAATTAAAGTTTAAATTATCCAAAATTGATTAATATAATTAATCAACAATGAAAATCAACAAGATCAATATGATGATTAAAAAGACAACTTGGTTCTGATTATAATTACTTTTTCTCTGGTAATTGTTGTTGTATTAATAGATTTGTGTGTGTGTGATTTTTTGGTCAATGACCACTTGACCAATCGACTTGATTGTTCAACAAGCAAGAAGGATCCAGTTTTAATTAGATTGTGATTGACAGTTGATGAAGATCATGTTGACTCTGATGTTGAATCGATTGTTGTATTTGTTTATTGGGCGATATTGGCCATTTGAAGGGTTTCGAAGTGTCCGATGAACTTGCCTCCGATTTATTCTGATGACAAGAACAAGGAAGATTCCAACTATCTGTTGATCCAAATTCATGATAAGTTGAACCGGTGGATAGACCAGCGATTGAAGGCCAACCTAATTTGAGACAATTTTCACCAGAACCATGATCATCATGATAAGAATCAGAATTATTGAAACGATTAGAAGCAAATTGATCCAATGAATTCAAATATCCTGATGAACGAAACAAGAAAAAAAAAATAAAATCTTTCTCTCTCTCTCTCTATAGTAAATGATTACTAATCGATAGTAATTAATTTGATTACCTGATATTTCACTTAAATATAACATTGAACCAATAATCTGACCACCAACAAGAAACCAGGATAATCCGAGTAATAGTAAACCTTTGACCGAAATGGTCAGTTGATTATCAACTGAATCAAGTTCACTTGTTGACACATGGAAATTAATTAATCCTGGTGATGATTGAGCTGAGATAATTAAGATGACCAAGGCAAGAGCATAAACAACAAGTAGACCAACAAACAGTTTAATCAACAGAACCACACCAATTGTGATGACAATCAAAAAGCTACAATTAATTACCAAACCAATAAGGGGCAAGGGGTCAAGTGAATTATTATATTCAACGTATTGAAATGTTACCAATCCAATTGAAACAAATGTAACTGAGATGAGAAAAAATCTAGACCAAGTCCAATAGCAAATATTACAGATCATAATCACTATTTAATTGTTAATTGTTTTTTTTAAAAAAAGATCGCAATAATTAAGGTAATTGGGAAAAGGAAAATGAATAATTAAAAGTTGAACCACAAAATCAATAAGTTGACAATACAAAAAGTGATCAATTTTGTTGCTGTTTAGGTTTCCTTAGCAAAATCTAATCTTAATTTTGTAAACAATTTATTTAAACCGATAAAGAAATAAATTGGATTAGGATTGGCTGTTAATTGTTGATCTAAATGATTAGCAAAATTTGATTCATTTTTGTGTATTTTGGTTTTGCTACTGGTTTTGATTACGACGATCAGGAGGAGGCATTGGTTGTGGGGGCAAAGTACCGATCACCATTCCGGTTACCCCGGGGGAACCAGGGATGATCTTTGGTGGGGAAATTCGGGGAGTTTGTTTTCTTATTGGTACTTCTTGCCCTTGGGGCATTTCACTGCTCTCAAATGCTGATGGATTATTTGAACCTGGATCCATGAAGAGAGTGTTGAATGATGATGATGATCTTCGTGTGGAAGGTTGAAGAGCTGGTGCCATGTAAGCATCGACTGGGGGACGTTGGACCATTCGAACTCTTTGAACGGGAGGTGGTAAAGGTCGTCGTCGAACACGATAATCAAAATTTTCCTCCGATTGTCCATATCGAGGTGGAGGTTTAAGATTACTGTTAATATTATATTTACCTAATTGATTAGAGATAATTAGTGTTTCAATATATAGATTTATTCAACAGTTAATTCAGTTAAGTGTTCATATTTTTCTCGCCTCTTAATTTGATAATTCAATTTTTAAAATTCTAATTCTGATTAGTTAGACAGTTATGATTTAGATAAATTGTCAACTTACTGTACATTTGAACTCCAAGTAAGGTGACAACACCTAAACCCAACACAAAGACAACACCCACAAGAATACGGTTCGTCCTTTGGGTTCCTGAAGAGAGAGAGAGAGAGAGTTTGATGATTTAGAAGCAATTAGTTAATTGGATAATATGAATTTTACAATAATTATGAGATTCAATTGAATGAATTGTTGTTTACCTGAAGCTGCTGCACTGGTACAATTACATGGGGGACAATTTGGTGGCCTGGTGGTTAGATGTGATGGTCTAACGGTTGTTCTGGTCGTCGGTGGACTGGGCGGAAATGTTGGTCTTCGAGTGGTTGTACTGGGTGTAGGAAGAATTTGGATTAATAAATTGTCACCTTGCAAAGTATTTACAGTTACAATTGACGCTAAAATGAAACATATGATTAGTTGATGATTACAGTTGATTAGCATGATCAGAGTAATATCAAAGTCACAATTCACTGAATATTTTTCCAACTCAATTCATTCATTATAATTGTCACAATTAGTTGATCATCTTTTTTAAATTGATTGGAATAATTTTCACCATTAACATGGAAACAAAGTTGATTAAATCATTTGTATCAATTTTTATTTCTCAAACTGTGACAATTAATTTACAATCAATTGTGATTTGTAAGTATAAAGGATACTAATTGTTTCATCTTAATTATATCCTAATCGTATCTTTACATTTGTATTAATTAAGGATAACACAGTTGATCAAATCAAATCATAATCAAAAAAAAAAGTTGATTAAATTCAGTTATTTGGTTTTATTCAATTGTAATCAACATAATTTTTTAATTGTTCAAATTAAAGTAAATTAATACAACTAATTTGTTATTTGATTATTGAAAATTAACCATTCAAATTCAATTCATTTTAATTGTTGACTCGGTTTTTACATTATTCTTATAATTTAGTTAATATTATTTTTTGTTTATTTGAACACAATTAAGATTCAATCATCTACTAATTAAAAACAAAGGAATGAGATAGTGAATTTTTGCTGTTGTAACAATTAGTTGATTAAAAGGATAACAAGTTAAATTAAATTAGAGAGAGAGAGATGAGATTTAGATTAATTAGATTACATTAGGAAGAAAAATTAACCAAACAATTAACAGAATTCAGATTTTGTTTGTTTCAATTGTTAATAAATTAAAGTTTATAAGAAAAAGTTTTCTCATCAATTGGATAGATGAAAATGATGATCAGTGATAATATTAAATTAAGATTACGAGTTATTATTAGATTAATGAATTGACCATTAGGATGACCAGTATATCTCAATAGGCCAATGAATCAACTGAAATATAATCATCAGATTGTAGTGGTTGGTGAATTGATGAAGATGATGATTGGTAATTTATTTTTTCCTCGCGACGTTTACGTTTACCCCTTGAAAATAAAGCGAAACAATTAATCATATAAATAGTAATTAACGAGCAAAAAAAAAGGAGTAATAATAAGGATAGAATGTAATTTTATTCTGAAAGGTTAATTGTTGTTGGAGAAACTAATTAACTTACAGCCTTTCGAAATCAAAATCACCGATTCCCATTGGATTTTGAGCTCTTAATGCATTGTCTCGTCTTCGAAGGGCATAAAGTGCTTCGAGTTCAGCTAATCTTTGGTCCGAAATGCCGCTCCTTTTGGACCTATCGAATTTCAATCGATTAATATTCACAATTTTAATTGTAACCAGAGTAAGTTAAAAGTCTCAATTAGATTGGTGAATATGTAAACTAATTGTGTTGGTAAAACGTATTGTTAATACTTGTGTCGTGTTTCATTTCACATAGACTTTGATTAGTACGATTATGATTTTGTTGTATTGTGATTGATTATTGATTGAGACTTAAATGATTAACGGATAAATCATAATGATAATCATTAAATCATCTGAATAGATGTGATGAGGAAAAAGTAAATATCTTCCAATGAAGATTGACATTGAACATGATGATTACAAACTGTGGATTTCAAGAGGCTTTTTAATTGATTTTAATCAACGATCAAATAAAATAATACCTAATGACTTTTGGTATTTTCTGTTTTCAAGATCAAGTATAAAATAGACAACAATCAAAAGTAATTAACAAGGTTAAATTGGTCATTCAGAGAAAGAATCAAGATTCATCATCATCTTCAGCATCTCGACATGATTCAGATGATGATGATGAGAAAATTGATCTCCATCATCATCTGAAATCATCTCAAGGATCATCATTAAAATAATGAGTTTAATCACAGGTATATAATATTCAATTTAATTATTAATAGAATCAATGGAAAATTGATCATCATTAGAATAGCAATTAAAGTATCATGAAAACTTTTCATTATCCTTTCAATCATTATTGTTGTTGTTTTATTTACACTCAAGGGAGATGAACAACTGAACATTACAAATTCAGTATGAAATTGAACAATTTAAATTGGAGATAGAAAATTTGATTTCCTCGAAATTCAATCAACTGCAATTAAGAAAAATTCAACTTGTCATGTAAGACAAATTATTAGTATTCTGATGGATTCATGATAAAAATGAATTTAGAGATTGAAAGAAAACAAAATTGCTCCATGAATTGTGATCAACTTAAATTCATGATAAATTCATGATAATTTCATTATCTTTCAAGAAATAAGAGATAATCTTTTCCTTTGAGATTAAAGATTATGATGAGAGAGAGAATTGTAAAAGGTGATGATTATCATCATGATGAAAATCTTAATCATCGTGATAATAGATGATTGATATTGACTATTTTCCATCAATTTCCAATCTAAATGAATAATCTCATGATAGATAAATAAGAAAAACAAAAGAGAATCAGCTCCATGAAAGAAATGAGAAAAGTTCTTAAAAAGTTGAAAGAAATTGTTTCGATTTGAGTATCAAGATAATCTAACGAAATTTAAATAATAGAAATGCTTTTAAATCAACTCAACAATTAACTCGAGAGTAAAAATTAAATGGTTAACTAATTGTTAACTAACAAGATTTTTCTGAATATCTATTCATGGGAGATTCATAATTTTCATCATGATTACTCAGTTTTCTCAATGAAAAGCTAAACATTTTAATTTAATTGTCAAGATTATCCAACTAATTGTCCAATGATAATTTAATCACATACTTAACAGTTAATTAACAGGAAATATAGTTAAGGGTGGTATTCATAATATAAACTATATAATCATAAACATGGTTGACATTTAAATGGTTAATTAATAAGGTAAAAGTTAATTAATCTAGTTAACTAAATATGATAATAATATGGGAATCATATCAATACTCACATTGTTATTATTATTTACAATTATCATAATCAACTAATTAACCGAGGAAAATATTAATGATTATTTACAATTGAGTAATTAAAAGGAAATGATTAAAGTTAATCATCTAATTGATTAATTTATGTGTGTGTAATTATTTTTGATTTAAGGTTAGTGTGCGATAATAACCATGATTAAGTTAATTGTTTGTCAGATTACAAAGGAAAATATTTGATTAAATGATTAATAATTTGTTTTAATTATAATTAAAAAAAACTATTCTCATTATCTTATTGAAAAGTTAAGTGTGAATGAGAATCAATAACAATTAACTGATTATGATTTTAAAATGATCTGAAATTAATTGAATAGCTGAAAAATATTCAACTATTCAAGTCAAACAATTAACTGATTAACATTTAATTAACTAAAAGAAAACTTTTTCCCTTTGATTGATTCAATTGACACTCACGGAAACTTTAATCAAACTTTTTGATTGTTTGATTGTTTTAAACGTTTTGATTGTTGTATTAAAAACAATTGATCACACGAATCAATGTTTAATTAAACACTCAAACAATTAGATTAATTGTTATGGCACAAATTTCATTCCCTTTAATAACAATTAACGAAGTGAACTTTGTTGTTTTCTACTAAATCATAATTAATATGGAAAAATTTTCCATCCCAAAATCTTAATCTTTTAAATCAATAATATTAATAAGTTGAATTAATTTATATATACATAACATTCAGGGTATAGTATTCTGAATACTCTGAATATTTTCATGATGGACTCAACTTAATAAGCTTTTTTTCATGTCAAGATAATAATGATAATACAAATGAGATTCAGAAAGTAAATCAGATAACATTGTGAGGCGATAATAAGAATAGTTGAAGTTTTCAAGAAATAGAACTTTTTTTTTGCTTCTTTTTCAACTGAGCCTATTAATATATTACATGAATATTAAGAGTCAGTTGATGTTCACCTTAGCATTTTCAGAATCTTTCAGAACTTTATCTTTCTCTCTATATATATACAAATATGAGTAAGAATACTGAACATTTCCATTCGATTCTTATCATGATTTGTGAAAGAGAAATGATAATAATATTATTAGAGCGAGATGATGACGAAGGAAGATAAATGAAAAATGTCTATTGGTTTGAGAATTGTTAAAATTTCATGAGAAATTCACAGCCATTTAATAATCTTCCATGAAGGGGGAAATGTTCAGTTCTGTAATCAAATAACGATAATATTTTAAAAGCTATATTCTTGTTTAACATATTCAATTGTCGGATTGCATGTTGAGCATTGTTCAAGAGTATCGTAGTTATCAAATCAAACTAATTTCAATACTAAATTGTAATCATTTACTTTGTTTGTCTATTTATCATGTTATCGGACAAATGAAACAACTTGATTGGTAAAACAAATCTAGATGAGTTAATTTACTTAATCAAGTTGATTAATATTCAAGATCAACTGATTTTCCTTCTCATCATCATTATTATTTTTATCATGAACAGAGAAACTAAATTATTGATTGTAATAATTTTTAATGGAAACATAGTTACATGATAATTCAAGATTGGTTCAGGGTAAATTCATTCATTTGAGTTTAAGAATTTATTTTCTCTCCATGTAGTTAGTAGTTAACAAAGTTACTTTTCATTCAGATTCTCAATGATATTGTAACCAGTTGATTCCTTATTTTATTCATCATTCAATCAGAATCTCTGAGTAGGTTGAAAGAAAAGTTGAAATGATAACAATAAACGACGACAAGAAAAAAATATCAACTCATTTTCATCATGAAAATGAGAGAGAAAAAGAAAATTTCATCTTGAACAAGTTAAATGAAGATGATGATCAGAATTCATGAATCATAAACGTGTATTTATAGTGGAAGAGATAAGATAATGAATCAATTCTGATGGAACAGAATAAAAAATAATAATAATAATAACAGAATCTATTCAATGAGAAGATGATTTTGGAATAATATTGGAAAATCAAAGAGAAAATATTTTCGAATTGATTAATTTGATTGAATGAAATGATTAAGAAAAAAGGTAAAACATTTTCAATGATAAATCGACACAAGAATAACTTATAAATCTATCGTTAGTCTGAATCATGAATCTGAATGAAACCTTTTCAATTTGAAATTCATTGGAATGAAAAAAAAGTAAAATTTCAACGTTGTGGATAAGGTAAATGTCATCAATGGATAATATTAATAGTTTCTAATAGTTATCACATAATATGAACCAGGAAATATCAGAATGTTTCATGGTTAATATTGAAAAGGTTTGTTATCCAATTACAATTAAGAAATTACAGTTTTATCAAGGGTTAAAATATCAACTCTATTTGGGAGTAACTTGATTACCACAGCAATCAAATAAATCACATAACAATTTATGTATATATTTATATCTGAGGGTAAATTGTGATAAATAATATTAATAAATGTTAAATCAAGTCTCATGTGATATTCATCATTAAATTATCATGTTAAAACATTATCTTATTGATGGGAAGGTGAAAGATTAATAAATATGAATGATAATCAACTGATTCTATTAATATATTCATAGGAAGAGAGAGAGAGAGAAGAAAATTAAAGAAAATTTAATAAAAGTTTTGTTTTTTTTTCGAAAAATATATTAAGAGAACGAAGAGAAAAAAAGTTCGAGAATCGATAACAATCATGGAAGAAAAAAGAAAAAAGTTCGTAGAAATTAAAAAAGTGGAAACATATTGTTTTCTTTTCTTACAACTGAATTAACTAACTAACGATAATTATATGGTGATGATTTAATTAGAGAAAAATTGATCAGTTGTAATTTAAATTTCTCAATTAAAGTAGAAAACAAATTACGATTGAAATCTATTTTCTTTTCTTATTCTTTTTATTTGACGAGTTGAATTTTTAGATAATTAATTGATTTCGTTCATTGAGATAGTCGAGTTAATCTTAATTGTGGGACGATTTAGTATTAGAATTAACAATTGATAATTAGCTTACCTGTAATTAAGCTCAGAGGGTTTTGTTAAACTATTCTCAGGTTTGGATAACATTGCACTTGTATTATCTGGGAATAGAATTGGAAATAAAATCAAATCGGTTTTCTTAATTATTGTCCGAACAATTAAATCTCTTAATTGTTATTCAACGTAATCAACTTACCTGATAACCTGTTAACAGGAATGATGGAACAATTTTGAAAAGCAATTCCAATTAGCATAATCAGTGAAATGAACAAACTGGTTACTTTAACCATGATTAATTTACAGAGAAAATTAGGAAACAATTAAACGTTTAAAAGGAACACAATCAATTGGGAACAATTTAAGAAAATTAAAAGGTAAAACTAATCAACAGGTAGTAAAACAATTTCTTTCCAATCAAATGAAAAAGTGAATGACAGAAATTTAAATTTAAATTTTTCTTTTCTTATTCAAATTGTGATCATCTGATATTGACCAGATTTAGATCAACAGATTAAAACAATTAGATTATAAGATTAACAGGATAACAGTAATTTAAGGTGATTAAATCAATCGATGGGCCAAAAACCATAAACAATAATCCATTTGACACAAGATGAGAGAGAGAGAGTGAGATTAGATAAAAAGAGGGATTAGGAAGATGATGATTTAGACTTGATTATCGTAGTTAATGATGATGATCAACTAATGAAGGCAAAGAAAATAAAGAGATCGTAACAATCGAGGTCTCTTTATGTTCAAAATGTTTTGTACCTGCGCCTATTAGGTTAACATTTAAAGACGAAGACGAAAAAGAAGGAGAAGAAAAAAAAACTCTCTCCGTACCAAATTTTATTCCTTAATCACAGTTCTACAAATTGTCAATCCATAGGTTTACATAGTTAACAATTAACTAAACAATTTATAAGATTACAACAAGGAAAACAAAAAAACGGAGGTTAAACCCTCAGGGTTAATTATCATCTTCGTTTGTGTTGATCAACTTTTCTTTTGGAGAAAACGTAAGTGGCTCCATCTATCGGTTGGAGGGAAATTCTTTTTTCTTTTAATCTTTTGGTTACTTGTGATTAAAATGTTTCCATTTTTTTATTTCGCATTTATTAACAAGTGAATTTAATTTAATTATGATTAACGTTTATTTTTATTCTTTTCTTATTCTAATTAGATTAATTTGGTTGGTTAGTCTACAATCGATCAGTTGATTGTTGTTGTTTTGCAGGTGATAATAAATGGAGATTAATTTGATTACCTTTTGTTACTGTGCTTATGTGGGGGAATTGATTACATCTTGAAGCCATTTTTTCTTGTTCTTTTTGGTAAGTAAATTCTATTCTTTTATCATTGTTAATCAGAATTTCTTTACTCTTTATTTTTACTTGTTCTCATCTTCTTCAGGTTCCACTGGTTGAAATTGAATACAATGGTCGTAGAAATGACCTTAAGAATGGCCGACAATCTTTTCCGTTTCAAAGATTTTCTATATTTATGTGTACATAAAGGAAACTATGATGAGGTTTTAAATTGATTCCTTTTGTTTTTTTTCTCTTCTTCTTAAATTGGTTCTTGTATTTTCATCTATTCCAATTGTTTTACATGAGAATTTTTAATCTATCGTTTGTTTCTAACAGGTCCAACGAAATAACCACCACCAAAAATCATCATCATCAGGAGAGGAACGTTATTCTTGTGAGTTTGTTGATGATTCTATGGTAATTTGAGAAAAGGTACTTTCATTTAATTATCCAATTTACCTTTACTAATAAAAGTTTTTCTTTCTTTTCCCACCTTCACTTATATAGAGATGGTAAAATGATCATTTATGACCCAATTGTAAAACCAGATTAATCTCTAATGGATCGCAAATGTATTATTTTTACGGTCATTATCGGTCAAAGATTGGACAGTTTAATAGTAGTTGACCTCTATCATCGTAACAGTTTATGCTTTGTTAATTATTGTCTTTGTTCTAATTTCAAATGAATGAAAAAGGAGAGAGAATTACAAAGTAATTTGCTGATTATCTTCCCTTTATGTTTACGAGAGAGATCCAGTGGAATCTTATAAAAAAACAAACCGTCGAAATCAATGGTAATCGTTAATCAATAACAAAGATGAAAACAATTGTAATTCAATCAAGGAAAATCAACCCAAGATGATTTACCATTTAATCATCAACGTAATTTACCATGATTCACAGTTTTCCAATCAATTATTACCCATGGAAATAAATTTCCTGTCTGGTTAGTATTTTGTTTCAATTAACATTGGAAATTTTATTTTTCTTATTGCATAAGTTAACAATTTAACATTTTCTTTATTCATACCATTAATTAACCATTTACAAATTATATAATTACAATTTGTTAATTTGCATTCGCAGGTATTTTGGCAAATTTTCACCATTTTCCCAACAATCAGATGTACAAGTTTTCAATTTCTCACTCATTCTAATTGTTTTTATGGCAGTGGACAAATCGGACATAAATCGTCGACAATTACAGTTATTCAATTATTTTGACTTTTAACCATTTCTTATGTTTATTTTTATACAGATTATTTTGCCTGAAAAATTCCAATACCCGATTAATTGCTTCCCAATCAACAACAATAAACCGAAGGTCGAAACAATCGGGGTTATCGGATTATCCATATTAACAATTGTAACTCGATCAACTTAGTGTTTTGATTAGGTAATTATATCTTTGATTTTGTCCTCTATATATTATCACAATGAAGTTTAATCTTCAATTTGTTTGCATTAATTGTTCTTGCATTATCTTAATAATATTGCATTAATAATAATTGTTAACATGATATAAATTGTTGTTGTTGTTGTTGTTGATCACTAACGACAAAAAGGTTACATAGGAAAAAGAGGTAAATGGGAAATGTGTGGCACAAATTGTTTCGTTTGGCATAATTGTTATCATCGATTCTCAAATGATTATAATTATTATAATACAAAATCATTTATCTATTTTAATCATTCTCTTTTTTTTTCTTTCCAACAGATTAATTTGATTTGATGGTTAAAAGATTATCTCTCATCGATGAGTACATTCACACTCATATTGGAGACTTGGAGTTGGTACTTTTCGAGTTTCAAGAACATGATGAATACCATTTTCTTGGGTCATAATGTCGATCCCATCGGGCACATAAGTTGGTACATTTTGCATACATTTTGAACATTGTCTTCGCATTGCTGGTCTTTGTCGTGATGCACGACATTTCATCGCAAATTTAAGTTCCTCCGTCATTTCTGAGCAAAGGGATTGCTGTTTTGTGGTAGAACAAGAAATCAAATTATAAATTACATTAGTATAAAGTGTTTTTATGGAGAGTAGAAAAGTTCATCAAAAATATCACCAAAGTTCAGGCACATGCACACAATGAACTTTTATCATTGCTCAGAACTTTCTCTATGAATTAAAACTATTCTAGAGATTGTTCAATTCCTTGAATCGATGGTGACCTCTTTTGCAGGGAAAAGACAATCAAATAGTCCTTAATGTTGAGAATCACAAGTTTTCAGTTCAATTTGATTATCTTATTTTTATTATCGAAATTGTTTTTCCTTTTTCACTGATTGTCCCTTGATACTTACTCTTTGATTATTTGCATTTCTCTTTGAATTCCAACAGAACTCAACTAGAGCAGTTATAATGGCCACTGCTAATCCTCCCATTAGGACAACGAAAACACCACCAATATTATCAACACCCAGGGCATTTGCTTTACCCTCTTTATTTTTATCATCTCGATTACAAGCAATACCTGAATTTTTCCACCATTTATTATACAACATTTGGATAACTCCTTTTTCCTGGAGATCAAGAATGGTTAATGATATTTTATCCCTCCAAGGAGAACCTGGAAAATTGAGACAAAATTTACCAGAACGAATGAGAGAAAACAAGAAATGAAAGTATTTCAATTAATCAATTCATTAACAATCAATTGATCGAACAATTTAATTGAAAGTATCTGCATAATGTTTCATTATCTTCATTAATCAAGTTAATGTTTCGAGTTCAAGGTTTAATTGTTAAAAGGACACTCACCGATTGGAGTAGCAATACCATAACCTTTTGAATCCAGTAAACCTCCAATTTGTGTTAAATTACAATTACGTTGGACAATATAATCTAACATAGTTGACTCCATGAGGAAAGCATAATTACCTTCGAGAACCCTTTTAACACCTTCTTCATACGAGGAGACGAAAACATTTGGCTTATTCTCCATGAATCTCCACATTTTCTGGTACGTTTCAATTCGTGAATCACGGAAAAAGGTCATCGTTGAACCCGAATCAAGAGTACCATAGGCAATCTTTGACTGTGATGCTAAATCTTCAACCGATTCAATGGGAGTTATCATACGTTCAACAGTAAGAAAAGCCGCTAAATTGGCAGTATAAGATGAGATGAGAATAAGTGTGAAAAACCACCAAATGGCACCGATAATACGAGTTGAGATCGCTCTAGGATTGAGGTCACAACCTTGATGCATAAGTGTTACAATGGTAAACCAAAAAGAATTGGCTACAGAAAATTGATTTTCCATAATATCATTATCAGCTACACATGGATGTGGATTTTGCCACTCATAGGGACTAAATCGAGCGACAATGAACATTGTAAAAGAAACCAAAATATACGCAGCGAGAACGTATAACCAAATATCAACATCTAAAGGACTCATGAAGGAGAAAAGACGAGTTGGTGCTTGAGATGGAAGTTTGAATAATATTCCAATTCCAAGATTCATGAAAGGCTTGGTGAAATCGATTACACTCTCACGAGCATAGTTGATTGTCATAGAGGCAACAGCAAGGTCAGCATTCTGAAGAGGAATCATCAATATGAAGGACGAGGAAAAAGAGATGAACCAAGATGAAGATGTTAAAGATGAAACAAAGATGAGGAGCCAAAAAAAGAAAGAAAAAGAAAAGATTATCAATGTTTATCCTTAGAACTCAAATAGGAGGAGATGATGATCACTATTCTGATGATCATGAAAGGGTGAGCATTTTCCCGACTTTTGTAATATATCATTTTGTCGATTCCATGTTATTAGTGTTGAATGTTGATGAAATTTGATAAAATTTTCACTCTTTCTCCCTGATCTATTCAGCTTAAGCTTTAAGCTTGTTTTTTAGCCTAAGCTTATGTTTTTTTTCCCGGAATCATATGAATCTCACTGAATCCCAATCTGCTAGAAAATAGTTTTTATCTTGACATTCAACCGAGCATCATGTTTATCTCTTCCTCTTCTCATGAACCATCAACATTTTCAACTTTTCAAAGTCTCTGAATGAGAAGAAATCGAAAAAAAAAGTTCAAATGACGAAGAAAAAACAGTTTCGACTTTTTTTCGACTCATCCTTATTACTTTTAAATTGTTCAAATTTAATTATAACTCATCTTCTACTCACATGTAATCAGTTTTTAATTAGCTTTTACTTACTGATGATCTTTTTGTATCGTCATGAAAAATGAGAAATCTGAATGAAAAATTCAGTTTTCCAGTTAATCAATTCATGAGACCTTTAAACCTAAACAAGATATTATGTATAGTTAATACCATTAACATGATCCCTCTTTTTTTTTATAACAATTTATTTAATCAATAGTAACAATTTGAACGGTTAATAGTAATCTAATTAACTTCGGACAATTGACCTTACAATCAAATTGTAAAGTTAATTCAGTTTCCAAACTTTTATTTCTCATCCCTCATTCCCAGGTTACTTTTCCTCTATTCAAATTACAATGGTTAATGATGAAGATATTAATACAATTGATTAATATCAACTGATGCATAATAAGCTGATTATAATACTAATCATAATGTTAATGTTAATGACAATTACCATTGCCTCATGATAAATTGAACTCGCTATTATCATTAACATGTTATTCATGCTCCCAAATAATACAATGATGATAATAATTTATAAATCATGATAAATAAATAATGAATGGGAAGATTTGAAGAAAAAAATTTATTTTCTCTCTCTCCATCTCTTAACAATGAACTTAAATAGTATTTATAATTTATAACAATTTAACTTTAAACTTTAATCATTTACTATTAATATTATCATGATTATTTTTTATTATTATCATTTTTGATGATTAACCATTATTTTGATTACAATCAAGAAACAAATATTATTATTATTGCTATTTAATTCATTAATAGTATTTAGATATGTAATCTTTTCGACGACAATTAACTTTTGATTTAACTTGATTATCTGTATATGGACAATTTAAGTCTAGTCTTATCGATCGCTCTTGATTGTTATAAGCCCTAATCTATATTATATAATATAAATTGATTATTGATTATCCCAAAATGTATCAACAATTAATATCTGAGACTTTTTTCCCTAATAATTTAGTGATTTATTTCTGCTAAAATCTTATAAATGATCAATATTTAATGACATTTGATTGAGTATTAATTGTTATATTAAATATGTAACCTTATCTAGTGATTGTAGATTTAATGATTTAATAATTAACCACAACTAATTAGAGGAAAACTTTATATTTGTTTACTGTTAATTAATAACTCTGTAAGTGTAAACAACAATCAAACAATTGAAGAAACAAACTTAGATTTGATTATCATTACAATTGATTGAAATTATTTTTTCTTGTAGATTGACTTGATCTAATTATCAGATAATAATGACGATGATTAATTAATTGTAATTAATTAGAATATTTGTTTACCTTATCAATAATTTCTCTAACCAAACCATTCCACTCCCCGGTGGTTGTGTTTTCCGCTCCAAACTTTTTATCCGGAACTTCATAAAGATCATACTTGAAGCCGAGGGATTTAGATATTGCCTCCAGTAGATCAATACAAAATCCTTCAAATCTATCATTACCTGTCCAATTACCTTTCTTATACATTACATAGGGAATTGAGATAATTGTGGTTATATTAAGGGTCACATTGTTTGAACCAAATTCATGGAAAGCTTCATGATTTGAGACATTCAACCCACTCCATGTTGTCCATTCACCAACCTATTGGTTGAAGAAAAAAAGTATAAACAATTAGGTTAATCAGTTGATTGATTTGAAGGAAGAGAATTTTTTATTTTCTTTAGATTAAATTATTCAATTGGATGAATAATATTTTTCTTCTTGAATTGAGAGTATATTCTAAGGTGCAAGTCATGAAGGTAGATTTTCACTTACTATTTTGATGAATACAATTGAATAATTCAGATTTTCATGGTATCGAATTTACATTTGAACCTTTTTTATTGTTACTTTTAATCTGATTTCTTGTTTTGTCCATTGATTAACTTGACAATCATTTTGGATTAATGTCAATTTCATTCGTTATCTTAATCTCAATCATGAGTTATCTCTGAATTTATTCAAATGTTTTTCTCAAGATTGTTACTTAATCTTTATATTATTTCATGATACGTTTTGACTTGAATTTCTCAGACAATTTCTTCTCGATTCACATTTCAAATGGTCAAGTTTCATCTTGAATACTCATTCAATTGTTATGAAAATTTCAAATGGAGACATCACATGGGTATTCAGTCTCATGTTCAGACCTTTTTTTCTGTCTCTTCTTCACTTAAGGCTCTTTTTTTCTGTTCAACTCTGATATTGATCTGAAAACCGTTTCAATCTCTCACTTTCTATCTCTTTCTCTCTCACCCACTCTTTCAGTATCTTTATCATTCAGAACTCACCACACCTTCCCCACTGATTCAATTCAGTTGCAGTTCACATGACAGGTAATTGGCTTTGCTTATGCTAACCAACCTTTCAAGCTTTCAACCAACACCTTTTGTCGTATTAAAAGTGTAGGAATGATGAGGAAGGTAAAAAAAAAGAAGATCCAATCTTATTAACAGAATATATTTCATCTGAATAAATAGATATAATATTCTGGACATATTATTACAATTCACCATGAAGCATATTCAGTATTGTCCAGAAGACGAAAGTGAGAAATGATATGAGATTAAATGGACACAAGTTGCAGGACAAATGGGAGGATGTTATGAACAATATGAAATGGACAAGACAATATAAAAAGAAAGTATAAAATTCAAGTTGAAATTCACTTAATCATAATGATAATATCATGATGTTTACGATTCAAGGGTCAGCTGATTTATCATAATTGAAAATGGTCAGTAGACAACAAGTCATCTTGTTAACTTGATTGAAAAGGTTTAAGGTTTAACATGAAGGTTGTAATATTATGTGAATCAGGTTGGGTGGGGATGTTAATACCCTTCACAATCAATTTGATAACTGAATTTACACCAGAATTAATATATTTCTTTCTCATTATTATTACAGGTATCATGAATTGTTCACCATCAATTGATTTGTTCAATAGATTCAATTTTTCCATTTCTCCTCCTTATATGATTGAACTTTTCAAATGCACTCTCATTAATAACTCGTCTGGTCAATCATGGAGCAAATAGTATTGACCATCACCTACTTTTCTGGTAAAGACAAAAACCTAAACCTTTTCTTAATCATCTTATTTAATTAACTGTTTGGCTCTTGTTCTTGAAAAGGTTATTGTACAACCATTGGTGATGAATATTATTGGAAATCTTGTTGTTCTTACTTTCTTCATCTTCTTCTCATCTTTATCATGGTCATCGTTTAGATCAACTGAATTTCAGACTGGAATCAATAAAAACAACAAGATGAAGCAAGGAAAAAAAAATCATCTCTGAATGGGAACAAAAACAAAAGGATACAAATATTGGCAACTTGAAGTGAATAAGAATCAATCAGAGGATGTATTAGGTGGAAGAAGATGAAGATGATGTCAATGTGAGAAGGGAAGATGAGGATGAGGATGGATGGTCAGTAGAAGGGGAAAAAAAGAGCAGAGCTCTGGACAATATTGGTGATTGACTTTTTTTCTTTACTCTTTTTCTGGTTGAGAAAATGAAAGAAACATCTTGACCTTGAAAAACCATAATCATGATAATGACCATTGTTTACCTTTCGATGACTATGATGATGATTATGATGACAATAATAATGATGAGGGTGATTATCATGGGGAAGGAAGTAGATGAAGATGATGAAAAAATGCTTCATTCCATACGATTTAACCATCATCATCATTTTCAGTTTTCATCATGATCATCAACAGAATAACTCATATGATGATGAACTTCATATTGTATTATTACCCTCTGGTTAAATTTAGGATAAATGATGATGATGGTGATGATGATAATCAATTCTGATTACAAATGGTCAGAATTGTTTCATTACAAATCTACAATAGGAAAGTTGAAAAGTTAAAGTGAAATAAACAATAGGTGAATTCTGGAAATAAATGATAAAAAAAAACTTCATTTCTATCCTGTTTATCCTCATTCTATGCTTGTTTATAACATGGAACTTGAAATAATAATCATAATGATAACAAATTGAAGATTCGGTTATCATGATGATGATATTTTCTCTTATGAAGTTTATCAGTCTAAAAGTTGGAGAAAGTTAAATGAATGAAAATGATGGAAAGGGTGAAAAATGAACTCATGGAATATGAACAATAATGAGAAAAGGAGTAACATGGTGATGGCGATGAAGATGAACTTAAGGAAATCTTGTTAGAGATGATGAGAAGGTGGGAGAGAAATCATTTGCAATTTTTTTTTCTTTTCTTTTCTTGAAAATTTCATTTCTTTTGGTGATAAATCGATTGAAACTCTTACCTTATCAAGTTTATCGTTCCTCAGTTTGAGCAGATCAAGTTTCAAAGTGTTCCTACGACCCTCTTTGAATAATATTCTCCCTGTAAGTCCATTAAATTCAGCCTATGAAAAGAAAGTTAAAGTTTTGGTGTAATTGAGTAAATATGACATGAGAAAAAGGAAAAATGTTCCTAAATTTTTACCAATCCACCCACACTCTCGTCTAGATGATAATATTATCAACATTATATCACATTAAAAGTAACTGTAACTCCTTTCATATTAATATTGAAAAAGTTTTTCTTTTCTCTGAACTTTTCCCTCTTCTTTTTTTACAAAAAAAAATGTTACAATAATTTCCTAGATACTGTCATATAAAATTATGACGAGCACAATGTTGAAAGTAAAAAGTGATCTTCTTGATTAAATGAACTTTAATGTCGAAACACAGTGAATAATAAAACGATACATAAAGTTAAACAGAATAATTAATGGACTTTGTGGGTGAGAGTTAATGATAATTATTCTTCTCTGTTTTGTCTCTGCTCTATTCTCTCAGAACAATTTAGTTTTATACCTTTTCTTGGAAAATTCGGGAGAATTAGAGAGAGTTAATCGTCGAATTGACCACCTAAGAACAATTAATTAACTGAGATTACATTAAGATAAAGGGATTACAATAATTGAATAATTAATAATAATAAAGAATAACAATTAAGATCGGAGATTAAATATGATTCATAGAGTTCGGTGTAGTATTCATGAGAATCAGTAAGGTCAGATTTTTACATGTGATCATCAAAACATTAATCATTCTACACGATTAATCAACTTAATCAATTTACCTTAGTAACTAATATTTACCAAGAGAGAGAAAAAGAGAAAAAGAAAGAGAAAGAAAAGAAAGGCATAACCTCGTCAGGTCAGACTACCTGACCTAGCTCATTTCGACTATCTGAGGAGGTCATAGAACAACTTTGTTAAAGTCGGACTACCCGACTTTAACCAAAGTAATAATTAAGGGAAGGAATGAACTCAAAGTCGGACTACCCGACAATTGAGTCCAAGGAAAGGGAAGAAGGAAGGAGAAAAGAAAATAGAAAGAGAGAGAAAGAAAGAAAAACCAATACCTTGGTGAAGATGATGATGACACGATGATGATGATGATGTTACTGTTACTGTTACTGTTACTGTTACTGTTACTGTTACTGTTACTGTTACTGTTACTATTACTATTAATTGCTGGTCAATTGTTGATCGTTGTTGTCTGTTGTTGTTGTTGAGGCTGAATGAGCCACCACCCAACCTGGTCTTCATCATCAACATGATCATCTTAATCATCATCATTAATTTTATCACAATTAACAATCAATAATTAATTGCTGATTGTTAATTGTGATTAATTTAATTGTTTAATTTTTAATCAATTTTTGATTATCACAATACCCTGACCTTCTGGAAGACTGTCCTCAGTCGTCAATTGTAACATTCTATATAAATACAAAGATATTTACTTGAAGCAAAAGAAAAGCACTTTCTTGAAATCAAACTTGACAAAATGAACATTCATAACAACTCTTAGTGTTATATATCTTCTCAATATCACTAATTGAGGAAAGTCTATCAGCTCCAACGATAAACATCTTTTAGTTCACATGAACTAAATCTTAATGAACATTTTTATCTAATTTGTCCAAGTCTAGAAATAAAATTCTAATTCTTAAAATAAACATTCAACGTAATAATCTATTGTATTCAATCATCAAAACCTTTTAACTCGACCTTATACCGAACTCATGAATAAAAGCAAAAGCAATAATAGAATGGAAAAACGAAACAGGATCAAAGACACGAAAAGATCAAACACTAATAGAGGCCATTCATCAGGGTCCTTTTGAACCATCTTTATGTTGGGTCCTTTCGTTTTCTCTTAAATCGATAAGCCCAGAATAATGTCCAAATGTTCACAGTTATAGAAAACAAATTAAAGATCCAAAAGTCTGGCGAATTAGTGGGATTTTGCTCGGAACCTGAAGGTGAAAACTTTTCATTGGTGAAATTTTCCAAAGCACAGATAGGATAGGCACTATTATTTCCATGAAGTTCTAGTCGTTGGTCCAAATTCGAATGGAGAATTGAGTCAATGTAATCAAAATTTGCTGTTACACTTGCTATGCATAGCGAGGTGAGAAACACTTGAACAGAATTTTTAAACGGAAATGTTCGTCTCTTCGTTTCAGGGGTGAGAGAAACTAGACTGTGGAATTGATTACAAGTAGAATTTGAATTTTCATGACTCTTTATATTACTCTGTGGTGACCTCGATATTTCATCGTCATTGGTTGGTTGGGTTTTAAAAGGAATGACCACAACTTTGTCATCAAAAGTGACTCTTTTAGATACCATTGCTGTTAATGCTTCCATCAGATTGTTGTTTTGTAAAATAGATGGTGATTCATCGAAAGTTTTATTTTCTTTCATTTCTGTTTGGGTGAAATCATCTTGGACAGCATCATTTATTTTTTCTTTAGTTAAACACTTTACTTCAGTTTCATCTCCTAAACTGATTCGTCCATTGTGTGTATCAACAATAACTCGAGCAGGTGTATTTGCGTTTTGTCCAATTAAAACTGAGATACCATCGACAAGATTTTTAACAACCATACACAAAACAGTGACAGAAGTAGATTTATCTTGAGTTATAAAAGTGATTGTTACTTTACATTGACCTAATGGGTATAACCTTGATCCAGAAGCATTATAAGCGATGGGTCCATCGTAGTTTGATAGAGGTGTGTTCAATTTAGCAAAGGTTTTGGCGTCAATGATTGTAATTTGAGCTCCAGGATCAATAACGGCTTCAATTGGAATCTTATTCATAACGACAGTTGCTTTGATTAGATTACCATAACTCCAATCTGTATTATCTGTTGACTCATTCAAAGTTACACAACAATTACTAAGATTCGTCGAAGGTTGTGGATAAGCTACACTTTCGTTTGCTTGTTGATTGTTGAAATGATTTGAGTTATTATCTCGTCGATTCGGACTACTCGATCTCGAAGGATATACATCATCATTTTCTAAGTCTCTTTTATAAAGACGACAATCTTGTTTGACATGACCAAATCTTTTACAGTAATGACATTTCATTGAAGTTCGATCTCGATTTGTATCACCATTTCTCTCTTCTAGTTTAGCTAGTCGCTCGACGATAGTTCTCAATAATTCTGTATTAGGGTCAAGGGATATCATTGGTACACTTGTAGTAGAAATATTCAATGTTGAAGTTGTTTGTAGATTTGCTTCACTTAACTGTATTATACGAGCAAGTTCGGGAATGTCAAAAACATAAGTTGAGATCATTGAGTTTCTAACAACTTGGGCTAAATCAGAATGAAGACCATTGATAATTTCATGAATTTTATCTTCAACAGGCATTTCAATTTTATTGCAGAGTCTATCCTTTCTCAACAGATATTCGTAGGCACTTTCATGATAAGATTGACGACATTTTCTTACTTGATCACGAACATAACTTCTAAAGTTTGGAAGACCAAAAGCTGCTTTAAACATTTCAAGAAAACTCGTCCAATCCTCTGGTGTAGTCGAAAGTCCAGGAGCAGCATAACTTTCATACCAATTTTTTGCATGTTCAGTAAAGTAATTAGCGATGTTATCCAATTTGTCGGATTCGTCCCATCCAACAACTGTTGACTTTCTGTCAAATTCGGCAATCCATTCGTATAAGTCTTCACGATCTTTAAGTGAACCAGAAAATGGATATATCGAACATTTTGCGAGACATCGTTTCACTGTAGATTTTTCTTTCTCTTTAGATGGTTCACCTTCTTCGGCATCCACTGTGTGAACATTAACGGCTGACATTTCAATAGATTTCATAGTCACTTTTCACTAAAACAATTAACGGTATCCCACCGCTGATCGAAGCGAGTGATCGCTGATCATCAAAACATTAATCATTCTACACGATTAATCAACTTAATCAATTTACCTTAGTAACTAATATTTACCAAGAGAAGAAAGAAGAAGAGAAGAAAAGAAGGCATAACCTCGTCAGGTCAGACTACCTGACCTAGCTCATTTCGACTATCTGAGGAGGTCATAGAACAACTTTGTTAAAGTCGGACTACCGACTTTAACCAAGTAATAATTAAGGAAGGAATGAACTCAAAGTCGGACTACCCGACAATTGAGTCAAGGAAAGGAAGAAGGAAGGAGAGAGAAAATAGAAGAGAAAGAAAGAAAAACCAATACCTTGGTGAAGATGATGATGACACGATGATGATGATGATGTTACTGTTACTGTTACTGTTACTGTTACTGTTACTGTTACTGTTACTGTTACTGTTACTGTTACTGTTACTGTTACTGTTACTGTTACTGTTACTGTTACTGTTACTGTTACTGTTACTATTAATTGCTGGTCAATTGTTGATCGTTGTTGTCTGTTGTTGTTGTTGAGGCTGAATGAGCCACCACCCAACCTGGTCTTCATCATCAACATGATCATCTTAATCATCATCATTAATTTTATCACAATTAACAATCAATAATTAATTGCTGATTGTTAATTGTGATTAATTTAATTGTTTAATTTTTAATCAATTTTTGATTATCACAATACTATATGATTCTGATTCTGTGATGGTGATGAACATGATGATAACGATTCCATTAGCTTAACTATTGACAAAAAGAGGATTTCATGTAAACAACATTTCGTAAGGAAATTCATTCCAACTGAATATAAATAATATCATATATATGAAACTGAATTTCATCTTAATATTCATGATGGAAAACAAATTGTTGACAAATTTGATCAAATAATTAGTCCCATTCAATGATCTACTTTTCAAGTGTCAAAAGTTGATCTAAATTGAGTAACTTTGAAACAGAGAAAAGCAATAATTAACATTAATTATATTGAAACTATTTCACCTAATTAGTTGTTACTAATTAATACTAATCTGTTATTTAGTATCTAATTCAATTGGATGATATTCCTAAATGATAATTTCTCAGTTAAGTTAATAGATGTTGATGAAAATCGAGAGCACTTTTATATCATTTACTTTTCTCAACTCATTGGTTGATTTAGTTTTAACACTGACAAGTAATTTAACTGATTGTGATGATAAAAAAAAACGAAACATGAATTACTATCATGAACTCCCATGTAATTCATCCATGAATCTTTGTATTATTAATATCACACAATTGAGATGAGGGAAAATAATTGATGACATTTGTTTTTTTTTGTTGGAATCACGATTTTCATTGTTTCGTTCATAATTATCAACGATAATATTTACTCAATAATAATGAGAATGATGATCAGGGTGGATAATGGTGATGGTGAATTATACTTACGGCGTTGACGTAGTTGAAAAGACTACTACCATCAATCCAAGGCTTTTCCTCGTTACAGGAAACATTACTTGGCCTCAGGGTGGTTCCCCGACCAAGTGCTTGAAGTCCTCGAGCAAAAGCATACACTGAATCAAACATGAGTGCTGATTCCGCCTGAGGGCATATGAAGGTAAGAGAGAGAGAGAGAGAGAGAGAGAGAGAGAGAGAGAGAGAGAGTGAGTGAAAAACAATAACAATAAAGTTCACATTCATTAAAATTGAAATTAGTTCTAATCATGATTGAATCGATCACCCTGACCATTGACCAACTAATCTTGACCGAGTAAACAACATGATAATCAATGTTAATGATTTAGATTAAATTGTCAATAACAGATTTGTTTTTCTCTCTCCAGTTAATTAATCTGAAAATGGTAAAATCATTGATTATCAAGTGGCTTATTATTGTAATAGATTCGGTTAATTGAATCATCTTAGTAGAATTGATTCTTACTCTTTAAATTATCCTGAATACTTAAACACTTAATATAAAATGATAACAATTTAATCAACTTGATCCTCATCTCAATTGGTAATTAATTTTTCAATGGGTTTTTCATCATAATTTTGTTATAACCATCAATCAATTCACATTAATAACATGATATTTAAACAAATCTTTTCATGGTGATGATGATATTCAATAATAAACTGAACATATTCATTGTGAGAATGATTATCAAAAAACTTATATCCAATTTCACCATGATACTGATCAGATGGAAGATGAACTTTCTCCCATGTAAATTATTTTCTCTTTCTCTCTCTCTCTCTATTTTAGAATAATAATTTCAGCTGAGATGATGAAGATAATGCTGAGAATGAAGATGAATATGATATATGTTTTTCTTCTTCTTCTTCTTCCCATACAATGCAAATCGTATTCAGGAAAATTATCATTATCATCATGATGATGGTTAAAAAATGAAACATGAATGATGATGATGAATAGATGATAAACTTTCACAACTTTTTCTGTTCATCTTTTCCCCTGGTGAAACTGAAGTTATCATGAAGAGAAAAGCGAAATGAAAATAAATATTAGAATAGATTGTCGATTAATTTAACAGCCGATTAGAAACAGAGTTTTCGACATTTTCGATATCGATTATTGATTAGATGAAAGTTATCACGATGGTTATGATAATCTAACAGTTTTTAAGATAATTTTTTTTTTGTAAACTTCCAAGAACTGAGAATCATTATGATAATGAAAAAGTGATAGAAAGGTTTATGATGATAAATTGTCATCATCATGAAAATGGTAACAAACAAACAAAAAAGTCTAGACGATTATAACGATTATTAGTTTTATCTACTGTACTCTTAATGACCACTGGTCATCTTTGGGTCAACTTACTCTTATCACATGGGTCTTGTTGTTGGTCGATGGTCCATAGTTGTGAAATTTTTCCATGTCTTTCAAAATTTCCTTCACATTTGAATCCTCTGAATCAACCATTCGAAAGGCAGTCATGTTAACAAAGTTATATCTAAAATCTTCTAAATCATGAGATTCAATATCAAAAGTTGTGAAATGATAATGATATTTGTAGTTGTTCATTTGAATCTGTAAAATCTGGAAAGAGAAAAAAATTTCTTCCAAATTAACCTGAGTTTTCATGGTGATTTTGTTCACATGATAGTAAACATTTCACTCATCCAATTCATCGTATTCATAAGTTTATCTGATTTAATATGATTAACTGATTACACTTTTTGTTTCACATCAGATTAAGTTAATCACTATTCTTGTTTGCCTTATAATTTGATTTTAATGGTTTAAAAGCTATGATTAAGTTGAATTAGTTGTAAGTTGATCTTAATTAACTGTTCTAATTAGCTGATTCTTGAGACTTTGTTGATTTATGAAACTATTGAAACGATTTTTGTTTGTTTCATGGTAAAAATTTGGATGGTAAGAAATGAATTTAAAAGTTATTAATATTGAAGATTAACTGAGTTTCCAAATGATATTAATAAGATTTCCTGTTGATTGAGTTTTTCATTTCACATTGGAAAAAGTTTTACTTTTTTTTACTCAATGATTTCAATTGATTCCATGATAAATATAAGTTATCATGATGGTGAGATGATGATAAAAAAATACAGATATAATTTCAATCGGATACTGTGAAAGACAATCAACAGAGTTAATGGTTAATGGAAAAGGTGATCATCATGATGCTTTTTTCCAGAGTTTCTATTTGATTTGATGAGAGAAAAAAAAATTATTTTCTTCATTGACCTACAAGTGAATTGGAATCTTTTGGTCCGGAAGGAATGTGATCCATTTCATGGAAAGGGAGAAAAGATGAACACAAGTTGAACATTTTAGATTCCAAGTTAGGGATAGAATTGAATGAAAGGGTGGGATTACTACTGTGGGTGGACAGGAGAGAGAGAGAGAGAAATGAGATGGACATGAAGTGAAAAGAAGAAAATAAAAGGATGACTTAAGTGTAAAGTTTTTTCGCTCCTTCTACTCTCTCTCTCTCACTCACTCTATCGTATCTCTATTATCATCCCTAATGTCAGAGGAAACGGAGGTTTGATCAGGAAGGAATCAACTTCATGTATGGTCAACATGTTGTAGTTGCTTGACCAATGGATAACAACGAAAGAGTTTGTTTTATCATCAACCTTTAAAAATCCCTTCAAGTTGAGGTTGAAAGAAAGACGAAGATGAAGAAAAGATGAAGATTGAGATTGAACAGATTTTGATATTTTGTCAGGAAAAAAATTCCAAGAAATGAAAGAAAAAAAAATCTTTTCCCCTGATTCTTTTGCAGGGAATTATTGTTCAACTTGACCATCCCCTCCCTTTGTCCAGCAGTTTGTCAAGTTGAAACTTTTGAACAGGTAAATGTTTTTAACTGTTTCTATTAACTTACCATGGAAGAGGGGAAGTGGAACAGGAATTGTTTTCATTGAATACTCAAATAGAAATGACCAACAGATTGACCAATAAATTGCAATAACAATGACAATAAAAACTCAACAGAGAGAGAGAGAGTGGACATTGAGATAGCCAATAGATTTCAAGTGGACAATCAGATAAGAAGATAATTTTTATCAGTTACTTAAATCAGATTAATACATGAGATTTTGTAACATGTCCAGTTTATAGCGATGACCACTTGGTATGGATTAGATTTTAATATTTAAACAAATACAAAATAATTCAGACACAATTCAGTTTGAGTTTCAGTGAAAAATGAATGTAAAAGTAATAATATTAAATCATCGGTGAGTTGATTTCAATGAATTGAATGAAACTTTTAGCAACAATTAAGAGTTAATTACTTACTGCTTTTAATAGTAAATGTAAATGCTCTGGTTTTGTATCTATTATCACACTGTATATACCACGAGTCCTAATGTCCATCAAGATCTGTCGGAATCCGGAAGGGTCAGTTTTCCGAAAAATGAACTGGACACTTTTGGGCATTGGAGCTTTGACCAATTGTTGAAGTTTAATCAAGGCTATGGAACAGAATTAATCACAACAATTAAAAGGATTGATCAGAATTTGGAAGAGAAAAACAAATTCAAATAACAATCAACTCAATTGAATTAATTTGGTTAAATCATCATAATAATCACTGAATCAACATGATTATCGGTTGAAAGAGTTGATTATATTTATATTATCATAAATTTTTGAAAAACAAATGAAAAAATCAAATGAGCAATTTAAATGTTTAAAAAGTTAATCATTACATCAGCAAATTGATTGTTACTCATTTACCTTAATAAATCAATCATCATCATTAGTGTGGTTAATTAACTTGCTAGCATTTTGATTGTTAAGTGTTTAATTGTGATGTTTTAATCATCTACAATATTAGATAACAATTAACAATGAAATTAGCTGTTTTTTTTTCATGGATATTGACAAAGAAAAGGCTTCACTAGTTAATTGTTAATTAACTTATTGTCGGTGTTCATTGTTTCCATTAACAATTAATTAACTAATGTCTTCAACAACAACGAGTGGTTAGTATTTACCCTCAGGCTAATTGATGGATAAATTATTTCATTATTTCATCTAAAGTAATTGATCAGTAAATTCATTAGCAATTATCATGATTAGTTAGAGAAAACTTTCCTCAGCAGATTAATTTGAATTAATGATATTCCTGTTGATAGAAATGATAAAAAAATAAGCAACTGAATTAACCGATTGTTTTATATCACGAGTGCTCGGAGGGTTTTCAATTTACACACCGGTGGGTGTTGATAAGCTATTCAGCTTTTGTTCTGAGCATTTTTTTTTCCTCTTCCAAATCTCTGAAAGTTCTGGATTCTCCATGATAATCCCCGGTAAGGTGTATAAACTAATTCACTAGAAGATGTATAAACTCAATAAATACCCGGCGGCCATTTGGCTTGGTGTTTTTCTAGTGAAAAAGTTTTCTCATCAATATATTACACAAACACCAAGAATGAATGAATGAGAGAGGAAAATATTTCATGATAACAATAGGTGATGATGTTTATTAATCTCAATTCAATGGAAAACTTTTATCTCATTCATGTGGTGGTAAATCTCATGGTGAATATAAATGGTTGCAACTTTTTTTTTTGCTTCTCACTCATTTATGAATAAAAGCACATGGGATCCATTGAATTAGTTGGTATCATGAAAAAATATCACTCATCAAATTATTAGATTCACAGTTTCATGAGATAAACCAATCAGAATGTTCATCATAATTATCTATTAGATGATCAAATCTCAGAATTCTAAATGGATGATACCAAGAAAAATCCTCAATCTGATTAGAAATTTTCTTAAAAATAAAACCTTCAATTCGTTGCTACAGTTATTCAATTAGATGATAAATTATTACATGATCTTGATGATAATTTTTTCTCCTCATACCAAGATGATTATGTTGATTCTAAATGATTAAGTTATCCTAATGTTATCATTTTTACTATTAAGTAATAATAATCATTCAATATGTATTATATGATGAAAGAAAAGTTTATATCATCATCTTTTATCATTCTCATCATCTTGTTCTGAGTGAAATCTGTTGATGCTAATCAGTTACCATGAGAATGGGGATGAAAATATCCCAAGTAATCATTTGGTTTCTGAATTGATATAAAGTCTTAAAGATAATGAGAAATATTTATCATGTTTCATGTATTGATAGTTGATTGGAGATTCAATTAAATCCATTGATAATATTAATAATAAGATAATCTTATCATTGGATTGGAAATCAATGTTTCCTCAATTAGATGATCGGGAAAATTGGATCAAGAGACTTACACAAATCTTGCTCATAAATAACGGCAATTTTGGTCCAATTTAAATATTTAACTAAATCACGTAAGGCATCACCGGTGATTACTGGATTAGGATATAGATTAATTGAGATCTCCTTAATCTCAGGTTCAAGGTCAACTCGTGATTCCATGTGAGGAATGTCCAAGGCATCGCATAGGGATTGTATATGATTACCCAAGAGCGGGTTTTGAGGGCCGAAAATGGCACTTACACCGGAACCTACTTGATAACATGCTGAACAATTTGAAAGAAAAATGAGAAAAAGATCATTTCAATTATTCAATTGGAGTGTTAATTGTCGTGAATCAAAATGTTCCAATTTGTGAAATGTGATCTGAATTTAAATCTCCAAATGGTTAAATAATTGAACAAATAATAACCAATTGAAGTGACTTTGATAATCAATAACAATTAACCCGTTGATTGATGGTGACAATAGACAAACATGTATTAAATTACAATGGATTTATCTAAATTGTATCAAAAAATAATCAAGCAAATTGAAATAAATTTAACATAACAATCACCAGGATCGTTGATTGTTATGATAATATAATAGAAAATCAGATTGTTAAATTATTTGTTTCCAAATTGTATCATGTTCATGGTGATGGTTTGATCAAATTCAAGTCATCAATTGAATACTAAATTGTTGATTAGTTGGAAAATTGTTACTCTCAAAGTTGAACAACAGAAAAGAGGAAAAAAGTTTTTCTAAATTAAATAAACATAATATTGTAATTGAATGGAAATTGTTGGGGGAAAATAAGGTAATTAACATTCTTGGTGTAAGAAAATCATTCGATAATCAGAATCGGGGTGAAAAGGATTTTAGGTGAAATCATATATCAGAACTTTCAGAATCTTTAGAAAAAGATTGAGAAAGGAAGTTGATGATCATGGAGGATGAAAGATGTATACATATTCAAGCCTGAGAAGTTCAATCAATCTTCCGTAAACTCAATTAACTATCAAATTATTTCATTCGAGTTGAACATTTGAAACAACGATCATGATGATTACATGGTGATGATGATGATGATGATGATGGAGGTGGAAGAGTGAATTGGATGAAGATAAGTGTTTTTGTCTTGTTATTTTAATTTCTGTTTCTCTCCTAAGAGAAAGTTAATCTTAAAAAAAGTTGAAAAATCACAGAATTTCAATGAGAAATATAAGGTTATCAATTTTCCTTGTAAAATAATTGAATACAAATGCTATTATCATGGATTCGATGAGACTGATAATGATATTATCTCTCATATTGAATTCATCTTGTGTTTCATTCTCATGAGAATATGAATTATCTTCTTGTTTGAAGACAGGGTATCATCATCATATCATCCTTATCTATCTGTTAATATCCTCAATTTCAAATTGCTTGTATGTGTGGGATGTAAGGGATATTATTTACTCTTCATGGTTCATGGTGAAAATCACTCATTTCCATACTTGAAATATTATTTAAGTTCCAATGGAAAACAAAATTGTTACTTGCTTTTACTTTTCCATGGTGATTCTGAATATCATATTTTTCAGTTTCTTTTCTTTTCATTTCATTCTTCTCAATTTCTCAATATTTTTCTTATTCATAAATTCTGGTAAACATCTCGATGGACAGTTTATAGTAACATTCAGAATATATAATAAGAATAATTCTGGGATTGGTTTGATTTTTTTTTCCAATTCTGAGTTTCTTGTCACATATGAATTTCCATTCATTTCTATTGATGAACATGAGTTTTAAGTCTATCATTTTATTCTGAGATAACAAGATGACTATCACCCTGATTTGTAATTCTGATATTCAATTGGTCAGTCAATAAGCTGATAATTTCTTAATTGAAACTATTATTGTTATCTGACGATTGTTTAGTTTCACAGAATTGCTCATAAATTAAAAACTCTGCGTTTCAATCGTCTGAGTTGATAAATCGACACAAAATTAGAGAGAAACAAGATTTTGTCTGAGAAAAGCAACAATTTAGCTTAACAATTTTCACCGAGAATCAGAATGAAAGCTTCATGGTTAACGCTAATTCATTGATTTGGAAATAATTTCATCATTTAATTTATTCAAACTGAAGATAAACTGTTACACTTACATTATCTTTCCCTTGATAAAATGTGTCATGATGGTTGATTCAGAATCATCCCAATGACAGGGGGATGAATTTCAGAGAGAGAGAGAGAGAGAGAGAGAGACCTGTGAGGTGATTCTAATGAGAAAAAGATGATAGGAAAAGAAACTTTTTTCTCTCATGAACGTTGAGACTCATCTGAATTCTGTCTTTGAATTTCTTTCGAGATTGTTACTCAACAGGATAACCCAAACACTTCCGATCAAATTGTTCGCTTCATCTTCATAAACCATCAGCATCATCATCCGGTTTCCATTTTTCTTGATACTCTTTTATTAGAATCATCATGAAACTCATTCATCATAATAATGACCCGAAGTTTTATTCTGTTCAATCTTCCACATCAAACTAGACATAATCATCATCATCATGACCATCAAGATGATCTGAATCATTTTAGTAACATTTTCATCAACTCATATTTGATATTTGTTTATTTTATATAACCTGAAATCTGTTATCAGAGTTTTAGTCATCATTTTTTCCAGAACTTTTCTCTTGATTCTTTATCAAATTTTCCTTCAAATGATCATCATAACATAAACATGATGATAATAATAGTATTCACAGTTATATTACGATAAATATAATAAATGATTGATTCGTAATTGAATATCAATAACTAAATCTAATTCCATGTTATTATTATCAAAGGATAAGGAAATGAAGATAGAAGATGAAAAAATGGAAACATAATTTGTCAGAACTTTTTTTCTTCATCTTCAAGTCAAATCTCTTGTAATCTGAACAATTTTTGTTTAGCACTCATTTTAGAAAAATAATATTATCATGAATCAGACTAATCCCTGAGAATTTCATATTAACATGAATTACATGGTATTTATTAGGTTGTCCAGGGCAAGACGAACCGTTTTAAAAGCGCTGTAACTTTGTTATTTTTTTGAAGATTTTGATGAAATTTGGTGAAAATGTTAATTACTAATAAAGTTTCCTTCTGCTGCAATTACGCGCTTCCAGCGGTCAGGTAAAGCTAAAACGCCCTTCATTCGACCTTCGCTATTTAGTTTGGCCACAGCTTCATTCAAATTGGTTTCGAATGTTTCCCAATCACCATGTTGGGTTCCTTTTAGCTCTCTCTTTAACTGACCGAAGCAATTGAAGTCTAATGGACTTATGTCAGGAGAATATGGTGGGTGATGCCAAACGGTGATCCCTTTTTCGTTCAGATACTGCTGAACAACCTGTGATTTATGAGGTCTGGCATTATCATGCAACAGCCAGAGGTACCTACTCGCTCTATTGCCCAGCCAATCAGGGATATGATCCTCCAAGAACTTTCTGTAAACGTTTCCATCTACAGTGGTTCTTGCGGGTAGCAGAGAATAAAAGGCGATTCCATTGGAATCCATTGCCATGATAAGCATTCTCTTGATGCCATGTATCGATTGGGTGGTCACAGGTTCGGGATGTTCACCGGGAAACTGGTAAGAGCGCGCTTGATTGCGATCAGGCTCCATGTAAAGGGAAACCCATGTCTCATCTATGGTGAGGGTCCTTTTGAGGAGTGTTGGGGTCTTTTGCCATGCTCGGACATTCAATTGGCACTTCATGACGCGCAATTCTTTTTGTTCTGGCGATAAATTGTAAGGTACCCACTTAGCCAGTATCTTTTTCATTTTTAAAGTGTCCCTTATGAGCAGCGCCAATGATGATCTTGGGATGTTTGTTACCATCGATAGAGACCTTAGGGACCAATGTCTCGACTCCTCAAATTTCGCCTTGATAGCATCAAGTCTTGTGGACAAAACTTCAGCATCAAGTCTGGACCCTCCATGACCCCTCTGGTCGACAACGTTGCCAGCCCTGAACTCAGCGGCATATTTTGCCACTTGGCTTTTCGAAATAGCTTTGGTACCAATCAGATTACACAACTCTTGGTGAATTATTGTGTTAGATTTACCAGAAATAACACCAAAGAGTATAAAAGACCGTTGATGGTCACTTGTGATCGAATTAATTAATTTTTCTTTATGAGACATGATGATTATGAAGTTTTGAATATTGACGATCAAAAAGGCAGCTATCAGTTACGTAATGATGTATCTCAAACAAAAATTGAACTTATAATTAATGCGCACGCTCAGTTTAAAAACAGTTCGTCTTGGATTGGACAACCTAATATATACCTTGGAAAATGTAATGATAAATATTCATCAGGAAAGAAAATATCAACTTCAGAATAACATGAAGATATCGATGGATTCACATGAAGTAAATTCACCAATTAGCTTTAGGTTAAGAAAAAGAGATGAACAAAATTTGGAAGATTGAAAACTTGAAAAACTTTATTAAACTTTTGGAGTTGGAAAAAAGTTCTAATGATCTAAAATTGGTTAACTATTGTTTACAATTAATTTGACTCAACACTTTGTCAAATTGAAAAGCTATCGATCACCTTGACTTAACAAACTCTTTTTATCTTCACTTCTTTTTCCTCATCTTTCTGATGATTTTATCATCTCTTTTTCATCTCTCATCATCTTGACACACCATGAATTCAGAACTTTATCTAATAGAGAAAAGTTTATCGGCTCAAATTTTCTGTTACTCCAAGAAAAAAGTCTTCGATAATCATTCCCTTGGTGAAGATAAAGAGGAAGATGAAATACCCACCCCGTCTTCATCCTCTAAATTGAAACGATTACATGGAAACTGTGAGTTTCCCACCTGATAAATTCCAAAAGAATGAAGCTCATGATCCTCATCATGTAGGTTAGAATTACTTCAACCTCAAACTCATGCTAAAAAAGAAGAAGAAAAGCGGAAAAGGAAATAGTGAGAATGAGAAAAAAAGTTCCAAATGTAGAAAAAATTTCCTTTTTGTCGAAATTATTGAGATTATATTTTTCTCTTTCGTGTGTTTTATCATCACTACTCGACCCCGGAGGCGATATCATGTTTGCAAATATAATAAAATAATTTCGATCTACCTTTACAAGGGAAAGTAAAAGAGAAAAGTTCTGTTAAAAAAATTCGACTGAATTTTCAAAGAAAACTTTTTCAAACGATACAAAAACTGATTATCTAACATGATCATTATCAGAACTTTTTTCTTTGAAAAAAAAACAACAA